AAGCTCACGCCCGGTAACTCGTCACAGTACCTGAAAGGTACCGGTGGAAAGACAGCGGATCGCATTAATGTAATGGCCGCTCCTGTGGTGCTGAAGGAACTTCGGAAGGAATGGGCATCTTAGGTCTATGATTTGCTTGAAGCGTGCATGGTCAGATCACACTTTATTTTTATGATTTCAAAGGACAACATATCACACGCGTTGTACAGTTTCCAAGTCCTTTAGCCTTTGCAATAAGCTTTTATCATACGTAACATTCAATATGTATTGTATTTTTAGCTCAACAATTTTCATTTGCAATTGACGCTTGCATAGACGCTCCTCCTAGACTCTTTCTGCATCACCTTGGTATACTAGTTCATCAAATGGTCAACAGGCGAGTTCTTGGTGAGGCTTCAACTTCTTATAAATGCCCTGCTCCAGGCTGCATTCGCACATTCGGTACTACACAAGGACTGAATTCTCATCTACGCAATGCTGCAAGCTGTAAATGGTATAAGTTAGGGAAGGGAAGAGAGCTGGATAGCATGGATGATGAAGGTACAAGTGGATTTGAGATGGAGGGACTACCAGATGGGATAGCGGATGAGGTGGATGATGATTTATTTCAGTTGATACCTTTGGGGCCTGATAGTGAGTTGCAGTATCAATTTCTTGTTACGTTCTTACATTATTTCTAGTTCATGAAATACACAACGAAGATAACCAGAACATGATGGACATAGACCAGGAGCAGGAAGAGCTCACAGCGGGTCCGTCTAGGCACAGAACCGCTTTAGCAGAGGAAGATGCGCGTGTCACAGAGACTCATTCTACTGCTGGGAGGGTCATACGCATGGAGGAGACAGTGTATGCTAAATGGCGGACACAATTTGGATTAGGTGACGGAGAGGAGGTGGAATCAGGTCGTTCTGATGATGAAGATGAAGATGGTAATTTATTCTACCCCTTTGCATCACGACTGGACTGGCAGGTAGCATGTTGGGCTGTGCAAGAGGGAATAGGGCACAAAGCATTTGACAGGTTGTTAGCTATACCAGGGGTATGTCAACGTACATATTTTCTATCAATATCATGGCTGATTTTTTGCAAATAGGTTAGAGAGCGTTTAGGACTTGCATATCACAATATCAGAGGACTCCATCAAACCATAGACAGCATCCCTCCTCGAGCTAAATGGCAATCAACTTACTTGGCCTTCAATGATACGCCTCACTATAAGCATGAACTACACTATCGAGATCCTTTGGAAGCCATTCAAACGTTGCTGGGCAATCCTGCTCATGCTCAAGATATTGTCTATAAGCCTTCAAAGATATTTACAGACTCTTCTCATTCTACCCGCATATTTAATGAAATGTGGACAGGGCGTTGGTGGCATGCAGTCCAGGTGAGCGTCTTAATATTGATTACACTGCTATAACAACTAAGTATGTTTTTTACAGGATAGACTTCCTCAGGGCGCATCTGTAGCTCCTGTAATTATTGCCACAGACAAAACTCAGCTGACCCGGTTTTCTGCATCCAAATCAGCATACCCCGTCTACCTCACTCTAGGCAATATACCTAGAGCAATACGACGGAAATCCAGTCAGCACGCCTGTATTCTTATAGGGTATTTATCTGTGGATAAAATCCTAAAGGAGGAGCTATCTGCAAGAGAAGTCTCTTCCAGGGTACAGCGTCTCTTCCATGACTCAATAAGGATCATTTTGGAACCGCTGAAAGAGGCAGGAAGAAGAGGAATAGAGGTGGTGGGTGGAGATGGTCTTGTTCGCCTGGTCTTTCCCATTCTAGCTTGCTATGTGGCGGATTATCCTGAGCAATGCTTGGTTACCTGTACCAAGTACGGTACTTGTCCCAAGTGTAGGGCTAGAGCGGATGAATTGGCTGAAATACAACATTTTGCCAGACGTACTCAACCTTGGACCTCATCAGTAATTGACCATGCCAACATCTCCACAAAGACCAACTCTGCCTTTCGTAAACAGTGCATGTCTCAGGATGTAGCTGGAGGCGTATTTGAACCATTTTGGCTGGACTTCCCTCATTGCGATATTCACTTGGCTATCACATCTGACGTACTTCATCAACTGTATCAAGGGATATTCAAGCACATGGTCGAGTGGTGTCAGGAGCTTATGGATGAAGAAGAACTGGATCACAGACTTAGAACTCTCCCTCCTTCTTATGGCGTCCATCACTTCCATAAAGGCTGGTCTGCTTTGGGTCAAGTCGGTGGAAAAGAGAGGAAAAATATGGCTAGAGTGCTATTGGCTTGCTTAATTGGCAAAGTTCCAAGAGGCGTCATTCAGGCATACCGTGCCCTCCTTGATTTCATTTATCTTGCCCAATATCCCACTCATGATGACGACACTCTGGAATATATGCAACAGGCCTTACAAGATTTTCACCTTCACAAGGAAGTCATCATTAATCTGGGTATCCGAGACCATCTCAATATTCCCAAATTCCATTCCTTGCAACACTACCTGGAGAACATACGCAACTTCGGAACTACAGACAACTATAACACGGAGATGTTTGAGAGGTTTCATATTGACTTTTGTAAAGAGGGGTGGTACGCTTCCAATGGAAGAAATGAAAGGCCTCAAATGATCTCTTGGCTAACTAGAAGAGAGAAAGTAGCGTCATTTCAAAGCTATCTCAAGATGTCTATGGAGGATGAAGAAGAAGAGTTTTCCCACTCAAGGTTTAGAGATCATAGAGTCATCCTCACTAAACGTCCTCATCGCCTTCACCAAAATATCTTGGACGTCATGCAGAATCATTCTTGCAAAGGCTTCAAGAAAGATCTCATCACCTATCTCAACTCTCAGTTGGCTCACTCTCATTCACGCGGGCAGCTCAGGAACATGGATCTTCCTTTTAGTCATATTGATATCTATCATGGATTCAAATTCTGTCTAGAGTCATTAGGCAATGACGTTGACTTTGATCAATTGGAGGAGGCAGATTTTGTCAAAGCACAGCCACCTGTTTCTCATAAAGCTGGACGCTTTGATACAGTTGTAGTCATGGATGATCCTGACTGTGAAAGCACTGGTTTAACAGGTGAGTAATATTATGATATATCTGTTGAAAAATTGTATGAAAATTTCAAAACTATAGGAACACGTATTGGAAGGTTGAAGATTATATTTCGTCTGCCACAACAAGTATATGGGTCTATTCAACCTGCATGGACTAAAGACCCTTTGGCATATGTTGAGTGGTATACTCCATTGAAATCTGCAGCAGAAGACTATCATGAGATGTATACTGTCAAGAAACCTTTACTTTCTTCAGATGGTTCATTGCCAGGTAAAGTTATTCCACTGTCTTGTATTAGACAGACATGTCAGCTTGTTCCGAACTTTGGCACAACAACCATTCCTATAGATTGGACTTCAGATAATGTATTAGATAAATGCGATACCTTCTTACTTAATTGTTTTACCTCCAAATATGCTTACCAAACTTTATGGTAATATATAGACCTTCATGATTTCTATATTGGTCTCTATGGCTATCATAGCTGGCCATAGACTGTGTAGAGCTATGACCCACTATCACAACTATATAGAGGATGATTATCTATATAGAGAAACAGTTTTTCCTGATGTCACTCATTCCTCAATGTCAGCCATGGATCTGCCCCCACCCGGCTACGCACCTCCATATTATTCAATGCACCATTCTGTACCTCGGTCTCCACCTGTTCTTCACCCTCCCTTCACACCGGTTGGTAGCGCTAGTATGTCTCAGGATTTTCGAGTTGGTGGAGTGCAGATGTATGACATTGGGGGCTCTGGTGATGCAGGCCGTCAGCTGTATGAGTCAAGACTCTATCAACAGTACCATTACAATCACAATAATTAGTATATAGACCACGATCCTCGATAATATTCATTTTCAATGCGATGCGCAACGACGAGCTTCAGAGTCTTCGGAGAGTGAAAGTTGACGGTGCCGCTGCTGTGCCGACGTGTGACACAGCGTGACCATGTTTTGCAGAATACCAGTCAGACCCTGAGTTTTCTCGGCCTTCATCCGACACTCCACCAAAAAATCAGAAAAATCAGAAAAAATCATATTCATATAGAGTAGCTACGAATATATAATGGTGCAAATCAGTAGAAGATAATATGATGCGGTTGAGGAGTTACAAAAGATTTATTGAAAATGTTGCAGAAACCCAGGAGTGATAGTAGTTTGCGGACTCAGACTCAGGCCTGCCTGTCCTCGCATGCATGCGAAACTAAAATTTGTGTCCACATGTGCCATAATTGTCCGTCACCCACCCTTAGACCTGCTAGCTGCGGCCAAAGAATTCTCAAAGCAACTGTGGTCATTGTCCGATTAGGATGACAAGGACTAGGCAGTGGACTGTCCAATATCCACATCTCCATAGTGGTAGGCCACAATCCACAGTAGCTTGATCGATAGTATATATACCGTACACGAAGGAAACTGTTTGGTATCACCTCCAGCCCCAGGCAACGTCTTCCAAGAAAGCTCAAGTGCATCACTATGAAATCTCAAAGTAAACGGTCTCAGCGTACTTCTCCCTATCAGGTCGAAAATGCTCCCAAGAGGAAATGTATGACAACTGGACAGCTTAACATACTTGACCCTTATTATGCCAAAAACGATCACCCTACGAAGGATGATATCGAATTACTGGCCAAGGCGATTGATGTGAGTTTGGATTCCTTCACATAGTGCGATCACCCGAGCTGACCAAATGGATGCATAGTCCAGCCCAGAAAGTTAAGAACTGGTTCAATAATCGGCGCGCCAAAGAGGCTAGACTACAACGGAATCCATCGGATATGTTATCGCAATGCTTCTGGAACATGAACATTGATGATACCGATGACTTGTCCGATTCGGACGACAACGATGACGAGCACGAGTCGGGTGATGCCCAAGGTGCCCTAAACCAAGGGGGTCTGGACCAAGAAGTTCTTTATCAAGAAGCCCGCGCCTGTGTCTTGGCCATGGCCAAGATGACACCAGAGGAAGTCAATGCGGCGTTTATTCTCAACAACCTCAAGCGACGAATCATTGTTCATCCTCCCCAAAAATGACAACGTGACGTGTTTTCAAGCGTTTGACTGGTTCCCACACGGCTACTCGATCAGCGCTATATAGCCGCTATATGTTGATTACTTGCTTACCTTGTTATTGATACCCGACATAAATATGATGTACTTATATTGGCCCCAGTAGGCATCATGCACTGCAGTGAGGCAACCCACCATCTTCTAGCACGTAAAAGATCGCAGTCCACCATAGGGTCAGCGATACAAATTATCATTTGAGAGATTCTAGCGGTCCTCCGATTGTCCGCTCCTGGTTTGTGGAAGTCTTGACTTCGGAAATGAACCAACGATTACTGACTCTGAACTTTGGAGCCCCATGGTAAAACCTCGGACTCACCGACTGCTGGCAGAACTTGAAAAGGTCCTCTGAAATTGAGTAAAGTTCTCACAAGTTGCCAGAAAACTATCCACGGTAAGAGCCACAGAAATGAGTATGATTGCAGCAGGACACACTGGTACTACGGACAATATTTAGCTGGTCACTGTAGTAGGAGCTGATAGAAGCTTAGTACTACCGCGTTCCAGGGGGTATCAAATTTGGGAGGAGCACAACTAGGGTCACTCCAATCAACGAAGTCGACCAGGGCGCAGCCTTGACTGCATAGATACGTGAGGGGGGGGGGGGGGGGTTCCAACGATATCAGAAGCGGCAAATTATAGCCTACTGTCCACAGTTGGACGTGTTCGTGGGGAGTAACCTCTTCACCTTGCTTGCAAGGTCATATGGCATGCGACGAAATCTGACGGACTATGTGCCAATAATAAACATTAATAAATCATCAGTCTCCCTGCCATCATTGTCATAATCCATCCTGTCGTCGATATTATGAAGCCAGGAGATATCAAACACGATCCTTGTGTCTGCGTATATCCAGCTGTCATGGCAAAGTGAATTTATGTGCAGATCCTGCAAAGCTTACGACTCACCACACTCTCCCGCTGCCAGATGCTCCACCTGCTAAAAGAATCCATGCAGACATGCAGAACTGAGGGTCAAAAGGACATATTTCATCGATACTTAGCGTCTGCGGAAACCAGTGCCCTATGCTGTAGCTCCACATAAGCCTCTGCAAGTCAGTTAACTGGGACATCGCTGACTCGGTCACGCATACTTTCCACAACGTCGACATTGAATGGTCCTCGTGCAGGTCCTGTAAAGACTGCCGTTCATCATACTCCGCTGCCGCCAGACCTGCTAAGAGAATCCATACAGAGGCAGAGGAGTGCAAGCACAAAGGGAAAATATAAATATAAAGAAAGCATTCAGGAAATGTCAGTACTAGTGTCATTGTATCACACTGAACGTTTACGTTTATATCATGAATCATAAATTTCAATATTTGTTCGAGCAAGCAAGGTCAAAATCGGCAACGCCGATCCCTAGTAACAATAAGACAGATTTGAAGTGAGTGGCAGATGACAAGGTGACGGTACAGTTCAAAGACCGTAGAAGGCAGGAACATGAATAAATAGAGTTGGATTTGATTGCGCTAGCGTTTAGATGCTACCATAGGCATCGCCTTCTTAGTACACGGCGTATGCGGCATCGGGCCGCTGGGCATTGGTGATGTCTCGCTTGCGAGACGCTCAGGTGCAGATGTTGTGCTAGCGGCAGTAAAAGGATCATCGACAACGTGAATGGGATATAGTGTTCGAGGCACAGCATCATGCGTAGGATAGGCTTCTTCCATTGCTTCGTCGTCGAAGGGGCTAAGCAAAGAAGAATCCAATGGCTGGGGTAGAGCCATGTAATCATTGTAGGTCACTGTTCAGCTGACGACATACATCGGCATATTGGGCAGCTGGAATGGAGTTGCGCCGGAACGATCGAGATTAATATATAGTGAGCCTGAGGATCGTTAGGGGTGGGGTATCCTGCAGCGGATAGTTGACGAGACAAGTATGCCGCGCTGGATGGTTACCTATTGAGGTGACTATGGTCCTCGTGAGGGGCATGTAGAATTGCCGTCTGAGCATGCAAGGTATCAGTAGGCAGCTTGTTGATAACCACCGTAATAGTTCTGATAGCTGTGTCGGGCGTTGAGGGCAGGGGATGCCAGTGCGTTGTGACGTTCGATCATGGTCGGTGGACGGGGGTTAAAGCATGATTCAGGATCACCCACAAGGATAGCAGACTGTAGTTCGAAGGTTGAAGCGCTCCATTCGACTTGCGTTTGCGGCGCTAAAATTTAAAGTGAGAAGACGAAACGGATCTTCAAAAATGAGACATAAAATGCACCACATGATGGGGGAACCTAGTATAGCCAAACTGGGAGACATTCAGCAATACCACCTACGACTGCAGCAGTGTTAACGGAGCCTGAAGAGCCAGCAGTCGAAGGAGTTCCGGATGTGATGGTTCCGGTACTACCCAATGACAATATCAGTTGGTGATGTGAACATGGGGGTAGTGTACAAAGTGACTGCTGCTGCAGGGGTCTACCGGATGATCAACAGTCTGTATGTGTAAAAAGGTCAGATACTGACAGTAGACAGTACAGTTTGTGGGACTAAAGTTGAGGAAGTAAACGAAGTGAGAGTGCTCGAGGAGGTGGTAGTGCTTGAGGATGTGGTCGATGAAGACGTGGTTGAAAGAGAAGAAATAGTACTAGGAGTGGTGGAAGCGGAGGATTATCGAGGAGAGGTAGCTATAGGGGTGGTGGAGGTGGGAGTGGTAGTAGGCGACCGTACAAGCATGGATGGTAGCAGCATAAGTTCATGTATCATAATCAACGGTGACGACAGCACTTTTAGCCTTCTGACTTTTTCCTTAATCAAATACTACGACTTCAATATAATATACATAAAAATATGACTCAGCTGAACAATACTAGAGACGTATCAGAAAATAATACGTGACGCTTTACTCAACTCGAGTTTCGGAGCTCCGTCGGAAGGCGGCGAGGAGAACCGAGTTTTAACTTTTAACAAACACTTTTTCAACACTTCCTATACGTTTGTCAAAAGCGGCATACAATTTCGCCATGTCTTCCAACGATACACGATGAGAGATCATGCTGAAAAAATAGGTGAAGTGAACCGCCTGAAGCAGGACGAAGAAATTCGAGATCAAATTTGCTCGCCATGATGTAGTCGTACTGGCGCTTGACCATTGCTGATAAATCTCACACCTTTTTCCATGAGCGCACCAATGTTGAAGCCGTTGGTGAAACCAGCATATGCAGCAATAAGACCGCATCGACCGATCTTCCTCACAGATACGATCATCTCGTTCGCGGTCTCGGGAACATCAGTCTCAAGCATGAGCATTTTCATCCCTTTGTAGAAGTAAGGTCTTCGGTTCGTGGAATGTACCTGAGAATTGTTTCAAAAAATGTATTTGCGGCGGACTCACTACGGTCAACTGAACCGCGACATCAAATCCTCCAGGAACCATCTCATGAACCTTCTGACTAACGTCCTTGACCGTGCTAAAGTTGACCACTTCGCAACCCTGCTCCTTTGCACACTCCAGACGCTCTGGAACTTGGTCTATAGTGATGATGCGAGATGCTCCCTTCAATTTTGCCCAGCGAATGCAGCATTGTCCAATGGGAGTCGGACCAAGACCCTGCTCGGAGTTAGGTTGGAAACTCGACAGACTAACCCATATTCTGACGGTGTCACCTTCCTGCACGCCGGTGCCAACGACGCAATGGTTAACTGGTCGGCAGAACATCAGAGAGGCACAGGGCCTCTTCGTCTGAGACGTCATTTGAAATAGGAAGAAGGTTTACTTCGCCCAAGGGCACGCGGTCATACTCTGCTTGGCCACTAGGGAAACCACCTGTGAAGTGGGAGTATCCAAAGAAGCCAGCATCGCGTGTTCCATACATGTAATTCTACAAACCAAGGAGAATATCAGTACGTTAGTGTGAAGCAGGAGCAAGTTATAAACGTTGAATTGTTAGTATTGTCACAGAACGACGAGAGTCCCTCCTTGCAATATCGACATTTTCTGCATGCCATTTGGAAGGAGGCGACAACGCGTTGACCTATGGCGAGGTTTTTGACATTCGGGCCAATCCGATCGACAACTCTCATAAACTGGCAAGCATGTGAGCACCGGGTAATTTGTCTTCGGAAAAGATGCGATGCGGACCTCGTGGCCCAAAATATCGCCCTTCTGAAGGGCCATGATCTCCCCGTGGTACAGATGTAGATCTGATCCACAAATAGTCGTGCCTGTTGCTTGAACGATTACGTCGTCCGGTTCTGTTATGTCGGGGATAGGCGCATCGATGACTCGAACGTCTGTCGCGCCGAACCATGCGAGGGTTTTCATAGTTGAGCCATCTCCACGATGTTTGTATTCCGGCTGCACGACAGTAGGCAACTTCCCCAATTGCTTAGCATATATTCATTAGCAAGCGTGGATGAACATCCCACGCAAACCTACCGATTGTAATATGTCGGTGGCGGCTTGCATGTTGTGTCAGGAGGTTGAAAGGCCGGGATATGGTTTAGATACGCCTCCTTGGCTATGATGCAATGGATTTCATACTTAGTAATGATCACTGTCACCTGACGTATTGTCCGGCACGTATAGCCCGCAATATCATGATGGGGTGATCATGTCCGTCCTGCATGCCACAGTGCACCTGGACCACCGGCATGTTAATCCTGCCGACATCCCCACCGTCTTTATCTTAAGCCACCGAAAAACTTCACGCACTGATTAGTACAGAACGTGAAATACAGCATTCACGTCTATATATCCCTGCCCAGAAGATTGATGAAGTTCCACTCACGAGGTCGAACCGGAGCAGGTCGGTTACCTTAATGTGTCATCAGTACGATGTCGATTGCGCAATTTGGAAGGATGACAACAATAAACACTTGATTGCTTATCATCCTACGGCGTGAATTTCAATTGCAAGATGAGGTGTGTACCAGCAACAATAAAGAAATAAATTTACGTTACAAAATTACGTGCAAATGCTGATATTGGTATCATATGAAGGCTTCTGCCCCTCAGGGTATAGTCTCTCGTCAAAAGGGCTCGCTTCACTGGTCAGCACGGAGGTAAGACCGAATGATTGACGGTGGATATGGTAATTACTTACAGCATCATTCCAAACATTGAACCGATAGTCCCGCCATACTCGGTCGACAGTGACGCCACTGGCAGGCGAACCCGTGGACCCACGTAGAGAAGAAGCCCATGACGGTGGGCTGGCAGCAAATAGATGCGATATTTCGCACTGAATGTCTCGCCAGCTCCGTGCACTGTATACAATACATATGAGAAACCGAGCGACGGACTTGCCGTGCATACGCACCTCACGTTGGCGACCTTGGAATGTGATTTGAGAGCATATTTGTACATGGAACCTGCCTCGAGGACGAGGGTGAGGCTTTCTCCAGGGTGCAGCAGGACAACTGCGCTAGTATTCCGGCCATAATCCCGCAGTAACTGGATCGTTGCGCAGTCATGTGTATCGTTCGTGAAGTCGAGTAAGACTTCATATGGTTGTGTAATTGCAGGCATAGTTGCGATGGCGTTAAAAACGGAAAGTTACGGGAGCTAGTGTCGATAAGTACTAGTAGAAGTCTTTGAGGGTGGGGATTGGAGAAAGACGAAAGGAGGACCAAACAGAATAGAATAGCAATATTAATTGACTTGAGGAAGACACGCGAAGACACTTCACTCGAAGAAGCGTTGATGTGCTGGCCTCTTTTTGTTTGCTTTACGGCACGCGGTATAGTCGTGCCCAAACACACTGCTGCCAGTGTTTAGACGTCAAATTTGGACTGTCAAAAAATCAGGGCAACAAAAAGGCGATCCTGAATGAAGAGATGCAAGTTACGGTGATTTTGTGCAGCTTGAGCAGCATTCCTGAAGTAAGGCAACGGTGACTCAAGAACAAATAAGTAGTTCAGGTGTGTTGCCACGTTTTGCTTGGTTTATTGTCCTCGTGCGGAGAAATTGCGCTGGTATTGCGGCCTCCGATGAGCTTGCGAATACATGCAACATGCCAGTCCAAGATCGGAAACAGGGGAAGACAGATCCATGCTTGAGTGGTGAGGCTTGCGGATTGATGGATCGTTTTCCCCCCAAATGTCAAGCTCGGGATGAACTGCTGATTAACTGTGCTCACGCCTTTTTCAGCAATTTATAATAATTATGCTAATTATACTAATCCCCTTTGAAAGTTTCTACATATTTCAATGGTAACTTGGCTTCCGTTCAATTTCAGCCTTCCTACGTCTTGGAAACCCTCATCGTATGTCGACAAAAGGTCTCTCTATACGAGACTTACCCTACGACGTTCGTATCCTTGTCTATGAGGCCATCTTAGCTAATCACCTGTGTGTGAATCAAAATCGGCAACCCTCCAATGATCATATCCGTGTCCTTCATACCTGCAGGCAGATCTTCTATGAAGCACGCGCAATATTCCACAAATATGTCTCCCTGCGAAACGACTGGGAGGTGGATCACTACCTCGCTTATCTGGATTCTGAGCCCAAAGCTGCGCCCATAGTTCGTTGGGCTGATGTTGCCAACGATGGACGTGTCTTGGAGTACGGTACGCTTGACCAGGTATGTAACATTCTCTTCTTGTGCCTTGGATAGGGGGTCGTTAAATTAGCTATGACATCGATAATTAGACTGGCCCAGCCTCTCGGTTGTATCTTGTATTAGCAAAGTTCGTATCGCTAGAGAAAGTGCGAGTCTTCAATGTTCGTCATTGTTATCCCCACACGATCTCTAGTAGGTGAGACGCTATTAATGTATCTGCTGGCGTCATTACTCAATCTAGTGCCATATCCAAGGTATCGGTTGAACTTCGAGGGAGCCATGTTTCCCACTGGAAAGGATCCCATGCCCCTCTTGCAAGCATACGAACTTCATCTGAATCCATCCACAAGGGTGAATCCTTTCCAAACGATTCCTTCGCATCACATCCGTTCACTACGTCTATCAGGAGATTGTCGTTTCAAGGAAACGGCTTTTCCTGCCCTGCGCCATCTCACCATTCGGGGCGTTACAAGCAATGCCTTTGATCAGATACGCTTCAACACCAGTTTTCCCAACTGTCAACTCGACTCCTTTATCCATGCACAAGGTCATCGACTTGGTTTCGAAATCAGAAACGTTCATCTGGAATCCCTCCTGGCGGGGCCCGGGTCACATCTTCGTAAACTCGTCCTATTGGGTAGTAGCCGGCTCTCAAGTGCAACCATCGCTTCATGCCTCCGCAGTTTGCCCACGTTAGAGTACTTTGCTTTCTCGCTGGTGACTGTAAATGAGCTGCGTGAAAACTTTATTCTAGCTCTGGGTCCCTCGCTCCGAGTGCTCAAGCTACAAATAACTCATGCATGGTATGCATTACCGCTATTCGAAGAAGAGCAGATTATTTGCGATACGATAGAGGAGGGCATTCTGCTTCGGCACTTGCCCCATAAAGTGGAGCATGTCTCATTTTATAGTCAGTTGATGGCCGAGCATAGCCGAGAAGACAGGTGGAGGAACATTGCCGCTGCACAGCACATATCACTAAAGATAGGACCCTGGGAAGACGAGGAGGAAACATAACTTCGGGAGTTGCAGGGCAAGAGATGCCACGTCTAAGAGATCGTCGTAGAAAGAGATGAGTCCACGTAGAGAAATCTGTCGCTATAGAGGTATATTACAAATTTCAAATAAAGGTCCATGGGGAGGAATACTGCGCATTCCGTAAGAAGTCTACGAAGCAATGATGGAATCAGAGAATTTCCTTCTGCTACAAGAACGTGGTGGTTTTGACTATCTGTGGCGCTGGGCGACCGAAGGACCCTTAAGCTAGAAAAAAAAGGAATCAGCTTATAATGATAACACTATTCGGGAGAACTGACAAACCCGCTCATTCAAGTCGACCACAAATGGCGATTGTGATGAGCGACCGAGGGATCAATACACACCGGGGTGAGCCTGAGTGGGTGCAGGTTGCCCAGCCAGACTATCAGCGTCGTAATAGTTATTAGCATATGGTGCAGGCTGAGGGCTCTGAGTGTGTGTGCTCAAAGGGGCAGTTCGTGTCGATTGCTGCCGCTCAAATTGCGACTCAGGTTGAGGGGGATAGGTCGGCGTAAGATAAGATTGACCATCGGCGTATCTTTCTTTCTGTAATGGAGCATTCATGGTTGATGCCGTACTTGCGTTTCGCATATAACCGCGGCCATCCTCGTACTCGGCAGACGCTCTGTAGTCCCAAGGATCACCACGATCAGACATCGGAATATTATCCGTCAGTGGTTTTGTGGTATCATTGAGAGCGTCGTACTTCTCGTAATCCCGACTTTGGGCAGTCCCGTAAGATGAAACAACAAAGAGTAGATATGCCTGTAGAACAATGATCAGCTGTCTACCGGGTAATCAATTGACAGGCAAGTTACCTGCACAAGAGCAAAAAAGACCCAAGCACCGGCCATCAGCCCGACGTCAACCCAGGTGATAATGCCGCAGACAGTTTGACCCTCGGTAGTATTGCTACCGTTGGCCGCAGTAGGATAGTATTTGTTCTCGCAGTTGGTCACAGCAGTCGAGTGACTTTTGGCTGAAACAATGACCCATGCCGCGGCAATTGCGAAAACAACAATGGTGACGAGGGCGTGTAGAGTGGCATAGCGGCGGAAAAGTATATGTTTCTCCTAACGACGCAAAATTCAGCATTGGCAACTACATTAGAAGGACGTCATACCTTAAATACACCTATGAATCCAAGAATTTGAATTGCAGCACCCACGTAGCATGCTATTGCAAGAAGCAACGGGGCGTATGAAGGAGTTGCTGCTCCAACAACTACGCAGAAACGGGTTACACACTAGAAGTCAGAAGTGGGAGCGACTCACTAGAAGGCGTTCCAACAGAAAGGGTGCCTATGATAATCCCAAGAGAGAATTGTTCAATCAGCGTAGTATATATACCAGCTTTGACCAAGGGGATTGCGCAACAGCAATACTCTCTAGCTTTCATTTTCGGTAGCACAACCCGGAGATAAGATCAATGAAAAATAACCCTGAGGGTAACACTGCTCGGTGGGATCCAGTTATCAGTATTTTCTGGTTGCTTTTGCAAACTTGTTAATTACCTTTGTGTTTGGTTGAGAGGAGAAAGGAAGCGAGTTGCCTTGATGCGCACTGCGCAGGGTCGAGTGCGAATCGCCACAGATCGCTCCAACCCGCATAAAATTCTCCCACGCCATCTTGCTCCTTTGGTTGAGCTCTGGACATTTGCATCAACTAGCCTTCCTCCAGCTCTTGCTCGAAATACCGTTGGCCATGGTTCGTCTATTCTCTGTTTCTTTGCTTGCCATGTTGGCGGGTTTTTCTTCCGCAAATTCTCTTCCCGCACAAGAAGTTATGAATCAGCCGGTGCACACAATGGAGGGTTGGTCATGGTCCGATTGTGGTGAGACCTGTTTGATAAAGAAGCGCATAAGCCATGTGCTGAGTTTCTTCAGGCTCCCCAACAGACGTTATTCAGTTGAAATCAATAAGCCTCTCTCCCGACCCACCCAAGCCGGGCCAAGACCTGACTGTCACGGTTGTTGGGACTGCTCATGAACGAGTTGAGGTTAGTTTTGTTAGTATCGCATGTCGCAAAATAAAATGTCTATTCGCAGGTTGGAGCCTATGCCGACGTTGTCGTAAAACTTGGACTCATCAGACTTCTCTCGAAGAGGTTTGATGTTTGTGAAGAAGCGTAAGTTGGTTATCGGCGGTGTCCTGGATTTCGATTGAAGTCAGATATAGACGCAACGCAAACGCAACCATCCAGTGTCCAGTCGAGCAGGGTGATTATACTGTGGTCGAAACGGTTGCATTACCGAAGGAGATCCCTCAGGGTGCGCACAGGTCTACGTATATTATAGTTGAGCTAGTCGCTGAATCTTTTGCAGCCAAATTCACCGTCGCTGTGACAGGTCACACTGTGGACGAGGAGGATTTACTGTGCTTGGATCTCAGAATTGATTTCATGAAGAGCCCGTTCCCAAGATTTGGGTGGTAAATTGCAGTTATCTTCATCTCACAGTGATATCCTTTTGCTTGTACTACTTAATACGTAAACTGGGCTACCAGTATTACTATGCAACGTTCAGTTTTTGATTTTGGAAGAACAAGCTCCTAAATAGTAAAATGAGTCACGTGAAGAATTTTGCCGAAGCATTTGGCAAAGATCAAACGCGTTTTCATTCATTCTTGCTATTAGTATTAGAGACCATGCCAAAGAGCTCGAAAAAGAAGAAGGAGAAGGCGGTCGACTTCTCGGTGAGTTTTGCTCACGAGATCCTTTCTATTCGTTAAACTTGACGAACAGAAAGCCAAATTGAAACTTGGTAAGGGCAAGCAGCTGCCAAGCAATGCAGTGGATACTTCATTCAAAGCTCGTAGTGAGTATTAGATTTGGTTGCAGTTATGGGCCGGGATGTATCTTATGGTTGAAGGCATTGCACTTCCCACCCAGAGTATTGCTGTGGATAAGGATGCTACACTTCCGACCACCAGGAGGAAACAGTCATTTGATGATCTGGTTTCGCTCATGAAACACTACAATGCGAATACCCGGAAAGGTATGTGTCATATGTCTACAACCCCAAAAGCTTATTGAATTCGATAGATGCTATCTTGAGCTTTCGGGAGTTGTTTGAATTGCATCCTGACGTGGTAGAATCCTCAATGACCATACTACTAGGGGCCTGTGTCCGCTTGATTGGAGATGAGGTTTGTCCAGTGACGCGTTCATGGAAATGAAATTTAAACATCTACAGGATGCAGGCGTTCGAAAGACACTGCTTTCATTTCTGAGCTGGCTGCTACCTCTTGTTCCGAAGGTGATATGTTGTATGACTTGCCGTGATCACTCAAATGTTTAAGCTGTTGTGCAGGAGGACCTGATCCCTCATGTTCCATTGCTCATTCTTTTCACTACATCAGCCCAGACCCATATCTTCCCAGAAATCAGGATTGATGCCGTGCGATTCTTAGACTTGTTTCTTGAATTAGTTCCAGAAAGCGTAGTGGATGGTTGGATACAAGGAAACCCTGGACATGGAAAAAGAGTTTTAGAGGGATACTTGGGGATATTGAGCGCAGGAACCAAATATGGCGACACTGAAGGTAAGAGTTGCAACGCTTTTCAAGCTCATGTAACTTCTCATCCCACAAAGGTGAAGTAAAGGCAACATCAACTGCTAGCGTAGTCCTTTCGTCACAGGTATGACTAAACCGTCAAGCATGCCACACGATCAATGCTGACATGCATTGCAGTCGAAGCTCGTCGTGCTGAAGTCACTTTCGACATTCCTCACTCATGCGGTATCACGACAACTGCGACCGTCAAATCATGCAACTTCTAATTTAGACCTAGCCGCAGTCCCATTACCAACGTGGTTCCTCTCTCCTTCTTTCCGCTCCGCTCGGTCATTCAGTGCTTACGAACGATTGTTCCGATCTGAGTCGGTTGATTGTCAACCTCAGCTGGATGCCGAACACCCTCGTGATGATTTTATATGTATGCCGGACTTCGCAACTGGCCCATTAGCCACAGCTTGGTCTTTAAATGACCTTTCTGGTTTATCACTTGCTCAAAATGAACCATTGACTCATCTAAATAGTAATACTTCCTCTCTCATCGTGCGTTACCAATTATCCTCATCGTCTAGTCTTCCATCAACGCCACATGATCCATAGCATTTGGCCCGAACGCTTTACTCGACTTTACTTGCTTCGTATCTTGATTGCGCCCCCGTTGTCTTTTCACCCAGCGCGAATCCTCCTGAAGCAGAGCTCAACCTTCTTACCGTGACGGCGCGAATCATGAGGACGCTCTATGGATCAATTTTGCAAGACAGGTTCTCCTTGAGCCTCGCCGAGGAGGAAACCCTTTGCGACGAGATAGTGTACCTTGCTTGGTTATATGACAGGGTACTTTCCGTTCAGGCCTGCGCGCCGAGAAATCAAGGTAAGGAATCGTCAATCTGGGATAAGATTCCCAGCTGACTGCTACTAGGTGGAACATGCATTCCAAGATCTGAATGTAATCTACTGCGAACTCACAGCACTGTTGGTTCTCGTATCCTTCCGCCGACCATCAGGAGATATCTTGCGCAAAGCCCGCTTTCCAACTTCTCGATCACACGCTTCTACTTCTCATGTCAAACATGAGGGCAAGTTAGCCTTACAGGCCGGCTTGGTCAGAACATACGTCACTCGTCTTCTGCTAGGGGAAGACAACTCTGGGGCACAGATTTCAAGGCCGCTAATCCCGACAATGTACATCGCGCTGCTACCCACGATCTGGGCTCTCCTAAACGAGCCGAAGGAGAGCCACACGCGGAGTCAAGGCGAGGCCCCCACAGACACCGTATTATCTGCGATGCTCGATCACGCGATTAGGACGACATCGAATTCTGCTGTCAAGGCGCTCACTGTGGAATTTGTAGCTCGAATTCTTTTGGTGTGTATCTTTCCTCACCTGTTTATGAAACGAATAAATGACATCACTTCAAGCTCGAAACAGAGACAGACTATTGCGGATATTTTGATGTACGCAACCTAGGGGAGCAGGAGAAATTCCAAGAATGGATATTACACCTCCCAAGGACACTTTGGGAGATAGGTCCTCACAACCTGGCCGCTTCCGAGGTGATTTTTCAGTCAAGCTTATTACCATTTTTCAGCTAACCGTCCCGGCCCTAGACAGTCATCAGATCATTGTTACGTCTCCTCCAGCGTGGCTCCATCATGATCAAGCATGAGGTGCGTCCTTGATCGGAACGACGGGCAATTGACGAACATATGATCCCGTTCCTTTGTATGTTTATAGGAAATCATGGGATTGCAAACCCGCCTCACACCCTTTTTCATGATCACACATCCTGTTCGTGGTCGGCTTCCTGGCCCGTTCACCAAAATCCCTACTTCTTCAGTGCTTATCCGAAGGTTAGCGGTGGACCTTGTAGTTACGATTCTCTCAGTCTCAACGAGATCGGAGGGGGAGGAGAGAGAGAATCTTATGATCGCGGTGGGTAGTGCAGTATCAGGCACCCTCGAGGAGGGTTATTGGCAGCAACTTGTCAGAGCAACAGGGCTGTCGTGAGAACTTGCGATGCGGCCTTTGCGGCTATATTTGCTTTCGGCCTACAGTGCTTTTTTTACATCAGATGACCAGGCTACTGCCTGCCTGTGTTGCAAGCACGACATCGTTTGAGGCCGCGGGGATACTGCGCTTTTCCGTTGGCATGATTCGGTGTCTTTCTAGCGTTTTTTTGAGGGAGCCTGTCAGCCACAGCCTTTCAGCCAGACTTTACCCAAAGGACCAATCGTATTACCTACGTTCATGTGATAATTACAATGCTTGGACAACGGCAACGATACGGAAATGAAAAGTCACACTTGATTGATCTGATTCCTCAATTCCAGGACCGAGGGCAGAAGTATCGGGAATGAACGACTGCCCACCTGACTCGGAGCGTCGAAATGTAGCCTAGCGGCACGAAATTGATAACGAGACTGATGACCGATGACCGATAAGATGGCTGTTACTTGCACGAGTCATTGCATGACCGGTCGACCACTCAACGCTCGAACGTTCAAGTACAAGTTACATAGCAAGCATCTATATTCCACTTTGTATTACAAGCTGCACGATAATAAAATTTATACCAAAGCTGAACCTGTCAAGAAAAGCGCTGCAAGATCCAAGCAAGCAACAACTGCTCATTCCAACCCATCAACTAGGTATATAGGAACCATCCAGTGATAGTAAGTACGTAGCACACGTGAGTGTGTGGGTATATGGGAATGAGAAATCGACAGCGATCCCAAGCTCTCTGCTAGCAGAGAGGCGTCTGGCGCGAAAGCAGTCGGAAAGGATATATACCTTGAAGTATTTAACCGGAAGAATAATGAATAAAAACATAGAAGACTTTATGCCCATTCGTCGCGAAAGCATGAAGGCGTAACGACAGCGAGATGTTTAGGACCAGGACCAGTCAATGTCGATGCGACCCAACGACTCATCCGCAAGTGAGGAGAATGCAGAAGGCGAGAAGTCAAGGTCTTTAAGCGCACAGCCCGTGCACCTGTCTGTGATCGTGACTGTTACACTCTTTCCCTGGTCTGAAAATAAAGTCAAGACATGGTCGTCAAGGGGAGACGGAGGGACTTACAGGTAGCAGTAACTTGCTGGTTGCAGACAGGGTTGGTGTTAGGGTTCGCACCATCATAGCCACTAGTTGACCAAAATGAGACCACGGGAGACTAGGAACAGAGTACAATGCTTACGGGTACTCGTCGAACAACAAGTAAGAGACAGCAGCAATGTAATCACTGTCGGTGTTTGTGATACCACATGCTCCAAGACCAGTCGCGTAGTATGTGCCTACCATGAAAAATGAGCCGAGAACCGGACGATGATGAAGAAAAATTTACCCTGCCCAGCATTAATGCCGCTGAGGAAGCCGTCCGGCACACCACCGTTGGATGCAGAGGTAGTCTGAGCAGCCTGGCTGGTGGTACTTGGGGAAGGTGTGGACGTAGGTGTGGGTGTGGGCGTGGGCGTGGGCGTGGGCGTAGGCGTAGGCGTAGGCGTAGGAGTGGGGGTGGGAGTGGAAGCTTGGTAGATCGACCCCGAAGCAGATGAGGAATAGGAATGCGAAGAAGAGGAGGGTAGGACAGGCGATGGAGCAACGTTAACCGGAACGGTTGTAGCAGCAACAGAAGCGGAGGTCGAAGATACAGTGGAGTTACCAGATGGCTTAGGTGTGCAACGTTTGTTCAGAGAACGTTTACGTTTGGGAGCTGGCGGAGCATCGACTTGACCAGCGGTGACTGCCTGTACGGCGACGCGAGCAACAGCGCGACGGTGATCGAAAACATTGTTGGAGATGTGAGGGGATGTGAGGGCAGTAACCGAGAGAACAAGAGAGAGAAAAGCAAGGCACTTCGTGATGGGGGCCATTGTAATGAGCGGGGGGGAGGAGAAGGCTCTTGCTGGTTCCACTGAAGGGATCGACAGGTGAAGACTTTATAGTAGTGCAGTTAAAATAAAGATTTAAGACAAGAAAAGACAGCCGATAACCGGAAGTAAGGAAAGAACGATGGAGAGCAAGACAAACACCAAGACGATGCAAAATGGTAAAGAAAACTCCCTCAAGTTATATCCCCACAAAGTATATTAGGTAATCATTTTAACAAAAAGGCTATGTATTTTCCAGGTGTATCCTTACCACATTTAGCAGCCACCCTGACACGGAAAATTTATTTGCATTAATTTATTCCATAGCGATGACTAGCAGCGGTCACCTCAGGTACCAACAATAGTAGGGTTACCCTTCTTGTTTGGTCCACCTAAACAATCACTTGCATTGTTCTCAAACGCTAATCCATTATTGGTCTAGCCCCTGTATAATACAAGGAAACTTATACACCAGAGCTAGCTTTCGCTGCATACATCTTCACTAATCCCGTACCTGCGATACTCTCAAGGCTCTTCGCGTAAGCATCCACCTGTCCTAGTAAGAGCATGCTCTCCAACCGGCTCGGCTCAGGCGGGATCCTGAACAACCTGCTTACATCTTCTTCAGGCAGCGCGTTCAATCCCTGCGCCACCCGCCGCGCATTCTCTTCTTTCCGTTTCGCAACATATGTCTCCGCACGAAGCTTCTCCCGTGCGATTTGCCTCGACAGATACGCGACATTCCCTTCTTCTGTCCGGTAATTATCGATCGCTTCTGCGACTTGTTCCAGATTCTTCGTCAGTCCCACATTGCCTATATCAAGCACTGAATAGGACGGAGACAACGCTGACGTCGTTGCCACCCCCGGATGTGCACCCGAAAACGTTGAACTCGAGCGAGTTGCAAGCGTGTTCAAGTATGAGGTCAGAAGCGCGTTTGTCCTAACTCTTAACGGGATCTCTTCAAGTATGGAAGCAAAAGTCAATCGATGGCTAATCAACCTATAAATCTCACTCAGTTAAATCGATCGAGGAGCATGATCAAAATGAGAAAGCATACCCGGCTGTACTAAAATTAGCTCTTCTGTAGGCATCCATGAATGCGGGCGTCAGCTTGAATGCACGGAATGACGCATTTCCGCGTGCCGTTTGTGAAATGTCTAAACCTCGCTGTCAGCATGTGGGGTCTGCATGTCGAGCCACGTGACATTACCGTGAACTATAACAACACCGCCATGTCTAAGCCTATCTTGGTGGATTGCTTGTGTATCTATCAGTGATTGATTGAAGAAAGCACCAAGTGAGGTTGCTTGGTAAAACCCTACGACGTTGTCGTCTCCTTGAACCTCTTTTAGCGATCGTAGCATGGATTGCTGGTAGCGGGCTACCATCAGCAACGTTTCGTCAGTGCTTATATCCGTGGAGATGATAACAGGGGGCCCACCAATAGATTTCGTCGCCTTTTCATCGTCGTCACTGTTATGGTTCGGTAATGCAAACGAGTTGGACACCTCGAGGATGCCATCAAGATCAAGACCTAACAGAAGTCCATGCGCGGTTGTCGAGAATGCCTCGCGACTGTGTTTCAAAATTTTAGTAATAACCTGCGATCCAAAAGTCAGTATAGCATAAATAGAAGTCCAACGTGGAACTTTGAAAAGTAGTAGTAGTAGAACCGTTCATAGGCAAATGATGGGAGACAAGGGAGAGAGACGATCCACAAAATTACGCACTATGCCATCAAGCTGGACGCATGTAAGAGGTATCTCAGCCTCGATGTCGATCGCCTTGGACATGGATGCAGGGATGGCTTCATATGTGGGTGCTGCAGGTGTTGGTGCGGCCTGCGGGGCGGGAAGTGAGGCAGCCAGAGCTGCAGCCATCGATGGAGCGGCCATTTTTGGTTTCCTATGTAAAAGGTTCTGATGACGGTCTACGATTTGGACCGAGATGCCACTGCAGTTCTGCTTCAAACAAACGGCAAAAGTCGATGGCAGCCGAAAAATGTTACATAAGCAGCGAGTAGTCCGCCGCGGTGAACGGCTTAGTGTTACAAAGCCATTACTTAGTACCAGCAACTACTTACCACTCGATGTCCGTCTTCGGGATGTCTCGCTCAGGGAGAATAACGCTGTTGCTTATTATCGACATCATATTTTTCTTCATTGAGCTCATTGCAGGTAAGTTAATATTCTGTAGTCTTACACTAGGATCCTCCTAAGAGAGAAACTCATAGGTTATGCTGTTGGTTCACTTGCCCTTGTCGCTGACAGCTTCCACATGCTGAAGTTTGTATTCCTTCAACTTATACTGACATGTGGCTAAAGTCCCTCAACAGTGATGTGATAAGCCTTGTGGTTGCTCTTTATGCCATTAAGGTATGATGTTAATCGCTTCAGGTCATTGAATAATTCATAACCTTTCTTTTTTCTTCCAGTTGTCACAACAAAGTGCCAATGATTCTAGATATTCGTATGGGTGGCACAGAGCTGAAATTCTCGCTGCTCTTGTCAATGGGGTTTTCCTCCTTGCGCTGTGCTTCTCTATTACGATGGAAGCCTTGGAGCGTTTCTTCACCACACCAGGTAGGCCGACTCCCTATATACTTCGCAAATATTGTCTCACCATTCGCTCATGCAGAAATTTCCAACCCTCGTCTCATTGTGATTGTAGGGTCCTTTGGTCTGGCATCTAATATTGTTGGCCTCTTCCTCTTTCATGGTCAGTTCAGACGTTATCACCATGCTTACCCCTGCTAAGATATTACCTAGAACATAGTCACGACCATAAGACCTCTTCGACCCCAACACATTCTTCGAGCATCTCTCAGTCAGAACAAGTTGTAGATGATGATATCAGTCCCCCAAGAAAAATATCTGGACGGCCTAGTAGCCATGAGCATGAGCGCTCTGACTCCTATTCCTCGATGTATGGACACCCCATTGCGACGCGTGCGTCCGTCGTGCAAGCTGCTCAGGACATCGCATCCCCTTCTCCGCATACGAGGCGGCTGAGCACTTCCAGCCACGTGTTCGACGAGCGCCTCCCACTGCTCCCATCCGAAACAACCGAAGCACCATCTTCCAAGAGTAACACGGTCCACCATCATGGCCACGCGCATGGCTCTATGAATATGCGCGCCCTGGTATTGCATGTGTTAGGCGATGCCCTGGGAAATGTCGGGGTCATTGCTACTGGCTTGGTCATCTGGCTTACGGAATGGAAATACAAGTTTTACTTCGATCCTGTCATCAGTCTTGTGATCACGGTCATTATCTTTTCGTCTGCCCTGCCATTAGGTATGCGTATTTTCTTACCTGTATCTTTGGCATCAACTCACCTGTCTCAGTCCAGAGCGCGTCTTTCATTCTCCTCCAAGGCGTACCGCCGGCTATATCCCTAGACGAGGTCCGAGAATCCATTCTGAATGTAGATGGGGTTCTTTCCGTGCATGAATTGCATGTGTGGCAACTCTCAGAATCCAAAATCGTCGCCTCGGTACACGTGATGGCATCACGAAACCATGACTTCATGCCTGTTGCAGCAGAAATTAGAAAAGCCCTTCATTATCACGGCATACATTCTAGTACTATTCAACCCGAGTATCATGCTTGCAACCCGAACATGTTTCCAGATGACCACCTGAAGGTGTGTGGCCTGTTTCGATTACAGTTATCCCCATTTGGCTGATCACCCTCAAGACATCCACGGACTCATCGTGTCTGATACTGTGCCCAGCGGATCAAAATTGTGATCCGGTAGAAAATGCTTGCTGCCGTGAGTCCTCCATCTATCTTTCATATCTTCGCTTCCACTTACCCCATGTTGCCAGCTCCGCCCCCACCAGGCGTTTAAAAAACGTTTACCCCATGTGCGCAGCACCAGCACCATGACTATTTATGTGTTTCGAATCCTTGTATATTTTGACATATTACACACGCATTGGAGTGCGCGGAATTGGTTTTGGCGAGTAATGAATGCATCGCCGTGTTAAAGCCAGACGACGAGACGTAATTATGTTGTCGCGAGATAGATTATCATGAAGTTTTGTCTATATACATCAATCACAGCTTTTTACATAACAAACACAGGAAAATTGGTGACAAAGGCAGGGGAGGATCCCAGACGCTGCAAAATGGTTGCACTGGTAGAGGAATTGGACTTTTGCGCCCGGAGATCAGCTGCAAGCCTCCTCGCGACAGCGGCACTTGGTTGGCCGAGTACAAAGCGCTGCTCTTCGCATACTGTTTGCACCGCCCATTCGATATGTAGTGCGGCGGTAAGGGCGGATGAAATGATTGTCACCAGGAGCTGTGTGTTCATACCCTTTTCTGTCGCCTGCTGTTGGTCTATGGCCGTAATAAGGCAGGGGAGAACGTTGTACATAAATATCGGAAGGAGGGGTGGCGCCGATGATAGCTGACGCGGCATGGCTAAAACGAATGTCGCCAGGCGCCTGCACGTTTCCATCTCCCCTAGGCTGGAAGCGACACTGAGTTCTGACCAGAGTAGATCAAGGAATCTAGAGGGTGAAGTGGCGGAGAGACAACGTGTAACGTCAATGCGAGGAGCCTTGTGGCGCCGAGCTAACACGAGTGCCTCGTGGATCTCCTGCTTTGGGAAGTCCATCCATCTGGTGGCAGGGCTGATCTGATGATCCTCCAACGCCTTGCAAGATGCTGTGTCAGATGATTAATTCAGGTAGGAGGAAATGATTACTTCCAGTTTTTTACTCACGGTCTTTGTTGACTCCGAGGGTTTGGAAACACGTGGCTCGTATAACGCTGATATCGAGAACTGGACTCTGGGGAAAAGCTTGGATCCGTCTACTAGATAATAGTCTAAGACAGCTCGGACTACAAAGACGGCGGACGACGACGGGACAACAGGGAGAGCATAAAATAGTTTGTACGATTGCGAGGTGAAAGGGAGCTACCAGCCTGCAGCGAAAACGTGTCGACGATGAATTTATTTGAAACTGATACTTGACTTACGCTCTGTGCCCAATTTCAAACAACATGGCATGGATCACGCCAACGAGTGTCCACTGGAGCAACGGTCCAAGGAAGTATGACATACCGGTCTGCAGCGTGTCGTTGTCAATTCGGTTTTCCTGACGAGCCAGGGCAGCCTGTGAGAATAGTGTGGCGGAGATTTGCAGGAGAATTTGGGGTTTCGTTGTACTACAGGGAAATGAGACACAATTTCTATTGCAAGGGCGGAAACACATTACCGGAGTAAAGCGTCGTCGATCCCTTCGCTATTGCTATCAAAAATTGCCTTGTACCACGTGGCAAATGCAGATTTGTGTTCTGGGCTTAATTCATCCAGCTGATAAATCCTCGAAGTACATCGGAGAAGTTCTGTGCGGTACATCTTTCCGTCTTTGATGATTGGCGATGAGATCTTGACAAAGAATATCAAGGAACAATCGCATTCCGATGACAGAAAACATACCCGGAATTTCGCCAAGACCATCTCTGCAAATAGAACTATATCGCCCAAATGGCTCACTGCAGTCTGTGGATCACCTATGGGTCGTTGTTAGTACGAATGTCGTAAGCTTCCGTGGCGAACATACCAACTGTTTCGCAATCATACCCGGAGATTATCTCCAGTGCATTACAAATCAAGTATGAGATCTTGAGATGCAGTGATAGTATGTCTAAGGCGAAGTCATGGTGGTACAATGTCCGTGTTAGGTGACTCAAGTGCTCAAGATCCAGGGATGTAGAGTGTGACGTAAATCGCTGAAAAGTGCCTGATTAACAGATGTGGATCAATCATGAATGGCCTCGCAACTACTTTCTGGACCACGGCAGCAAAACAGTGGTGGCTGCCAGGTTCTTGGCGAATTTTTTCCAGCAGTAACAAAGTGTCTTCCGGGCTTGAATCTAAAGTGAGCTTTGAATCCAGATAAGTCTGCAGGTCTCGTCATCATCAGCAAGGAAAGTATGGTGAGATAATTTACTTCTATGGAACAGCCATGATCAAAAGCTTCTGACTGTAAACGTGTCCTAGGGTCGTTTACCATCATGGGGTCCATCGAGACCGCAAATGTATACTCAATAATCCCAACGGCCAGAAGTTGTTGAATGAATTCGCGAATAAGTGATCTATGTCTTTAGAATGAGATATTAGCACGGAGGACACAGAATACGGATCAAACATACAATGTATTGTTGTCCTGACCGGAATCGTGTCCTTTGCCTTGCCGGGCGACAACGTCACATTGCGCTAATAAATCGGACCGTTGAGATAACGATAACAACGCAGCATGCATTGCAGCTCGCTGATGGATTCGTACTTCATGCTAAGCCTTCCTGACTTTCAGAAAAAATAATTGCTTACCCAATCTGCCTCTGTTGTTCCATGAGCTTCAAGGGTTTTTTCGAGGGCAAATAGAAGCCGCGGAAGCTATGAATCATGAGTTGGTGGTAAGTTGTACTGATACTCACGGTGGCTCGCGCTAAAGCTTACACGACCAACCACAAATGCTCTCCATAGAGAAAAGGAAGATTCATGATCATCCTTAGCAGAACTTTGAGCGACGCAAGTCAGAGCAGCCACGAGTAGCTGTGTACAAAAGACATTGGGGGCCCATGACGTCCATCGCAATGTGCCCGTCATTATTGCAACAGCTTCTAAATCGCTTCCCGCTCCAAAGTCACAGGTACGGCATGCCATCTGTAAAACATGAGTGGCGCTCAAGTTACAACCATGAAATACATACAAGGCTTTGCAATAATAGACCGCAGGTGACGGTGTCAGTTTCAATATTGGTGCCAAGCACGTCATTTTTTCCCATAGTCAGCTGCATAGTATGTAACATTTGTGCATCTCGGACGGCTTTCGCGTCGTCTCCCATGAGCAAGCTCAGAGATAAAACGAAGCCCTCGAGTACCTGCCGGAGCTCCTGCGAAAGGCGCAACGATTGCAGCACATCATTCGCATCCCCAAGATAAATCATGGCTTGAGCGGCTGTTACCTGCGACATGTCAGTGACACAAGACAGTAGCAGGATCGCGAGTTCAGAAGCTGATATAATAAGGTGATGGAAGTTAGAAGGGGGAAGAGAGTGGGCAATCCGCAAAAGAGCCAGTGCATCTTGTACTTTGGAAAGCACAGAAACCTGGGAGTCCGCCAAGGGGATGATGGATCCTGCAGGTGATAATCCCGATGTGTAATGTGTATTAAGAGTTAAACGGCAAAGCATATCCAGGGTAGACCCATTCTGAAGTTCTGGGTCCCGAGCAGCGCGTATCAATGTGGAGACGAAGACCGCGTTCGAAAGTAATCCGTCACTCAGAGCAAGCTGAAGGTATTCGCGAAGAGTAGGGTCTGCGGGATACAAGCGATAAAGTTCAAGGATAGCGTCTGTTTAATACGTATTCAGTGCGTCAGAGTCTAGATCCTTGGTACGCAGGCCACATACTGCTAATAGTGGTGCTAAAGTCGACACCGACATCCTGTTGCTGTACAAGCAATTTGCATAATCCTAACCACTGAGAAGTTCCAGTACACCATCATAGCATGTGTTACGTGACAGAAACTACTCACCTGTTGCGGAGATACCCCGCATTGATACGAATTCCTCGTCAACTCAGCGAGTGACATGTTACGGATAAGAACTACTGTTGCAGCCCTTTGGTATCTGGTTTGCGTTGATGTTTCACGAGGTTGTTCACCGGGAATACTGTGTTAATGTCGAAATCAACCAGCTGCGTACTTAAGGGTTCACGGACTAATAGTAGTATAAAAGGAATTTGTAGCTGTGGAATCTGGATTATGGGGCGCTTGTAAGTATGCTTTTGGAACTCACGCAATTTCCTGTTTTGGTAACACCGCACGAGTCGTCGCTGACGACACAACGCCCGAGCTTCGAAAGACTCGCCCAATCCTTCACCCTTTCCCTAGAAAACGTTCTTTGTGTAGGACATAGATTTATGATAAAAACGTTACTTGTAGTATGTCAATTATGTTATATTGGCCACAATTCTTCCATACTTACAATATTCACCAACATATCAAGCATTCAACATGCGTTTACTATGGGATGTGTTGCTAATTGTTAAGATATTTCAGAGACATGAGTATCCAATTAATTAGAGTCCAGAAAATACCAAAAAGCGACCACCCAGGCCTGGGTCGGAAGTGCAGACGCCCATGACCGTCATATTAGTATTCGTTCACTCTCTATAATTCAGCTATACTGCAAGACGGAATACTTCATCAAATGGCTAACCTTATCCGGTCTCCAAAGTCGGGTAGCGATTGGACCTTCTACGAACTCATGGCATACAATATATCACCGTCACGGCTCAGCCACCTGAACAGTTTTTTTGTCGAAACCCTGAACCGCTCTTGGCGGGTACAGACTCGTCACTCATTGATTCCGCTGTAGGTGACGAGGATGTCTCAGACGCCACTTTCGAGTATCTCGGCTACCTTGACCTGGCCACCAATGCCAGTCAAGGCAGTTTCCTTAACACATTCGCTCAGGAGACTCTTCGCATACTCGGCTTCATTGAACGTGGCTTGGTTTCCACCACACACCACAGTATCCCACTAACGATCTGTGGCGATAACCGCCGAGTTGCACAAACAGATGTATGTCTATTCGATCAGCGATCGATGATGGTCTTGCTTGTTTTGCAAGACAAAACAGTATTCAATGCATCTCAGCCTGAACCACAAGTCATCGCTGCTGCGATTGCCGCGTATCAGAATAACAACGAGAAAAGGCAGTTCAGATCACTTCCCCCCCTTGATGCCATGACTATTCCATGCATCACTATGGTTGGCACGCGACCCATCTTCTATCTCGTCCCTGTCACTGAAGCGCTCAGCGTTGCGGTTGCGACCGGTCAGTGCCCTGAAGCTCGAACAACGATCGTGAGGTGTGTCACCTCATTAGGGCACAACCATCGAATCAGTCAAGGAATGGAGACACCAGAGTACAGGCGCGTTGCTTTTCAGCGCTTTCTCGCATTCAAAGACCTTGCGAAGGAGTATTGGCAGACCTTCATCGTCTGACTGATGTCGTGCATGTGCCTCTAAAACACTTCGTTCCAATATTTGACCAAGATCCTCCAGTGGCTTTCTGTGATTTTGCAGCCTGCTGTAATAATTTCTTGATCCGACTGGTGTATGTAGCACTAGTTATGTTCACGAAGTCGATGCTGATTATATGTTCCCGACTCTGCCAGAGACACAGAGTCTGCTGACTAGGTGACCCCATTGTCGCCGATACGCTGGCTTTGCACTTTCATGACTTCGGATGGAGTTTTTCATAATGAGGACTTTTTTTTTGCGTGTTCGTTGCACTGCTTGACTCGGGGGAGGAGGGGAAGGAGGGTTGTGTTGTCCAAGAGTAAACATAGTTAACGACTTGAGAAGGTAGAGCATTTATCATTAATTTATGTACCACAAAAAGAACTAGGGAAAGGGCGAAAGACAGCGAGCTCGAGCGTTGTGTCGTCGCACGGTGTTACTGACACAACAGGAAGCCGCGCTAAATCCAGAAGCATCCTGATACTGGCTACACAGAGGTTCAGGAGGGTGCACTTCCGCAACTCGGATAATGTAACGTGTCCAATGGTAATGACGCGAATTGCAAACGACAATGTATAAAAAGTAGATGTATATAGGGGTATCTATATTTCAAAGCTTTATCGAATAACAGTAATAATTTCCTCACTGGACTTTTGCTATCAGCCTTCGGGTCTCCTGTGGTGTAAAACGCAAGATGATGGACAAAACGCGAACGAGATTGGGCTGAGAGAATGGATTATTAGCACAAACATCTTTTTCAGTGTTCTACACTTACTCTCATCTCCTTATGCTCTAAAAACTGTAATATCACGTTTCGAAGGTACTCCAAGTTGATGTCTTCATCACCTTTGGATGGGGTGGGCGATGATGGTCCAGGAGAAGAAGCTCGCGATGGAAGATCAGTGCCGGATGATATCGACGCGCGAGAATCAGTGTTCTCGGTTCGCGAGGTCCAATAACCCACTCCTGGATTGCGCTGACGCTCGAGCAGAGCAGCTGAGTTTTGTACCTTGCGGAGTTCTTCTCTAAGCGTCTGCGAGTGCTATGAGACAAGGGGGGAGTGAAAGCTTGAATGGTCATCACCTTGATGTGACTACGCAACTGCACTTCATGAGCCTTCAGGTTCTCAAGCTGGCTCTTGTAACCTTCGGCTTCTGCTTGAGCGTCTGAGATGCGAAGCTGGAACGACGTCTGTATGGCACCTGTCATAAAGAGTATTCTGGCACATAGTACACGAGCCATACCTCAGCATCGTTCATACGGTCAACCTGTAGCTGAAGTTCCAACGCATGACGCTGGTGATTCTGCACCTCAGCTGTTAGCTTCTCGATCTCACTTTTCAGCACCCCTGTAATGCTCTCTTTCTCTTCCCGTAATTTTGCAGAAGACTGCAGAATCATCTTCAGCTTGTCCGTTTCTCTACCTTTATCGCAGAGCTTGCGACTCCAGTCCGCTTCACTCTCTGTACGCTCCTTCTCTGCAAGTACCAAGTTTCTCTTGATTTCCGCCAATTTGGCCTCGTACTTGGCTTCCATCGTAGAGATGAGCTGCGACACGTCTTCCTGGGGAGCGCCTGGTCCGTGCGGTCGCGTTTCCTGTTCACCTCGAAGATCTGAGATTTCCTCGGCGAGAAGAGTAAGGCGATCCTGTGCCTCCCGAAGCTGGAACTGCAGTTCAGTGTGTTGACTCTGGAGGGTCCCGACGTGATGCTGAGAGGATTCTAATTCGGCCTGCCGAATCTGGAGTTGCTCAAAGGATGTCCTGTTCTCCCTGGAAAGATTATTGACAGACGCTTCCAATGTAGTGATCTGTGACCTCTTAAGAGTTAATTCCGTTGAATGCGACATCTGTATTGCAATTTCTTAGATCATTGGCAAAGTTGCGACCATCTATACGAACCTTCAACGCTGCAATGTCAACTTCAATTTGTGCGCGGGCGGAAGAAAGCTCCTTCTCACTGCGGTCCTTGACAGCAGCTACTTCTTTGTCGAACTGGGCCCTTAAGCCTGTTACCGCTTTCTCTCGCTCTGCATTGACCGCATCGATTTCCGACTGTAACCTTACTCGTTCAGCCCTCTCTTTGTCTCGTTCCAGTTTGTCCTTTTCCTTGGATTCTCCGATTTCCTTCAGCGCATCGTCTCTATCTTTCTCGGCTTTGACAAGCTTCTGACGCACGGTCTTGAGGAGGCTGATTGCCTTAACACGTTTCTCTTCCTCTTCTTTTGCCACTTCTTTTGCTTTGGCAGCCTCAAGTGCAAGTCGCTCAATCTCGGCATTTCGCTTCGCTGTTTCTTCTTCCGCATGAGAAGCTGAAGCTTGGGAGGCTGCAACGAGGGCTTCTGCTTCGTTGAGCTGTTGACGAAGCTTGTGGATCTGGTCCAACTGAGACCTGGTTTCAAGCTTGTGAGTATCTCTGAGCTCCTCGATACGCTCCTCTTGACCTGTTGGAACAAAAGTCAGCATCTTCTTATAGCGACACGGATAATTCATTACGTGTCAGTTTTCCGTTAAGACGCTGCAGTTCATCCTGTGTAAGCTACTCGGATGGATAAGAAGCTAGAACAGGGCAAACATTGTAGCACATCACCTCAGTCTTCATGTTCATGTTAGACAGGTAGTCACGTAGTGCAGTTGCATCATCAGCATCCTCCAAAGGAGTCAATTCCCGAATAACATCATCTACAGCCGACCGTTCTGCCTGAAGTTTTTTAAATGACGTCGACACATCTTGAAAGAGTAAGCATGTACCCAACGTATGGTCCGACCAAGAACGTACCTGAGAACCGTTGTTCCACGAGTTTTTAGACGTTCTTGAAGAGCTTCAACATCAGCTTCGCTGCATTTTGATGAAGGCACAGTAAAAGGGTCTTCTGGAGGTTGCTCCGTCTTTTCGCCATTGCCGTCTGAAGTAAGTACTTCTATTTGAATGGGAACATCGGCGTTGCCATCGATGTCTCCAGAATCCGAGCCGTGAACTTCTGACATATGGGAAGTAGATGCGTCTGTATGAATGGCAACATCGGCGGTGTTCTCGATGTCTCCAGAATCCGAGCCGTGAACTTCTGATACATAGGAAGCAGCTGCGTCTGTATGAATAGGAATATCGGGCTCGCCATCGATGTCTCCAGAATCCGAACCGTGAACTTCTGACGGAAGTGCCGTGTATGTATCAGCGGGAAGATCATTAGGCAGCTGGAGATTTTCTTCTATTCCAGTAGATACCGATACGGGTTTGGGGAGGAGACTATCAGAATATTCTGCGACAGGTGCCTTTTCTGGGCCCAGTGGCAGAGGAGCTAGGGCTAGAGCTTGAGGAACCTCTGTTGTTGAAGTAGCATGAGGGCCCTCTTCACTAGCATCTTGGAGGTGAGTTGCAGCGAGGGGAAATGGCGAAGGATGTGACGGAAGGTCGCTGGGCTGGGTGTCAGATACTTGCGGTGGAGATGCTGCTACTGGAAGTATTACAGGGGAGGCTGGCAGGGGAATTGATGTGGGGGAGAGTGGATGTTGCGTGACCACAACCGCACTCGACGCTGGCGAAGCTCTCGAAGAAATACCAGGCGATGTAGTATTGGATGCATCTCCGACTGAGAATGATGCGCGTAGGCGTTCTTCGAGAGTAAATTTGCGTAGTCCAGGATCGGGCGTACTGTTACTCTTTGGGACAGACGAAGAGACAGGGCTAGAAGATCGCGACAGCGGACTCCCAGGGCGCTGTGATGCAAATGACCTGCGTAGGTTATTCAGTGCAGCGTCCGCAAGTTGATTTGTGGATTGCAACTGTCGTGCAGACTGCACGTCAAGTGGGTCGCTTGTGAAACGGTTATCATCGCCGTTGAGGTCTTGAGACCGACGGGGCTGCGGCTGTGCAAAGCCTTCCACTGCCTGCCGAAATTGTGAAAACATTAGGAATACCAGAAGTTGACCAGAAGTACTCAAACCAGACTGCGGAGGCAGCGGTGGTCGTTGTACTTGGTCCTGGACAATGATCGGTGCTCAGACAAGTCTCCCACGTGAGCGTGCTAAAGTGGATGCCGATGAAAGTACTTGTCCAAATTGTTTCAGCAGCATATTTTAAATTTGAGAGTACAATACGCTATGTAACAATATAATACATGATTTTATGATGAAGATTCATTCGATGGTGTCTCTGCTTCCTTGCCCTTTCCATTCAACTGGGCGACAGATGTAAACGACCCATTTAGTGAAGTTGAACTCGGTAGTGACTCTGCAGCAGATGGCGCTGGTGCTGAGCTAGCCAACTGCCATGAAGGTATTGACGGTCTACTGGCTAATGAGGGTATTGGCATTGAAGGAGAGCTTGTCAGAGGAGCAGACCCGCGACTGAGTAGTAGAGCCTTGAGAGATTTGAGTTCTTGTTGTAGCTCAGAAAGAGACTCCTTCTGAGTCTCTTTGTTCTTCTCAATCATCTGTGTTGAAAAATGAGAAAAGCAAAATGACCAACATCGCTGACTCTACCTTGGGCAGCATCTCTCGGATATTTTCTACTTCGTCACGAATTTCGCGCATCTCGTCCCGCGTCTTTGACTCGCCTTCCCTCATTTCAACTACTACAGACTCAACGTCCTTGGTGACCTTGTCCACTCGTTCATTTTGTTCATACACCGCAGACTTGACGGCTTCGGTCTCTGCCTGAATTTCCTTCAAAAGGGCCTCTGCAGCATCAAACTGTGCTGTCAGGCCATCGCGATCTTGCTCATATGCAGTCGCTGCTGGAGGAATGAGGTGTGGTTGAAGATATTTCTAGAGCTAAGGTAAGAGCAAGAAATACGGAGTGATTCAAGTCGCTTACCTTGAACAGCGAGACGGCACCATACACCACCGACCCTGATATCACAGCAGTTATCTACAGAGCATATGTCACAACTCACGCCACAAAAAGGAGAGCCAAACGACGCACGAAATAATCACGCCAGTCCCATTGTTGGGAAGGATAGCTGGGATAGGTAGCTGGCCCATATGTTGGATATGGTGATTGGAAATGATTCCGAGGCTTTGCCGCAGTCTGGTTCGCCGCCTGCTTCATTGCCTCCTCGATCTCTGGCCCACTGAGACCTTTTGCTTCAAGGAATTGCACACGCTGGGCGATCGGCGCTTGTTGAGTCTAATACACATGATAAGTGTCACACACTTCAAGAAATTTATGACTTGCACACCGTAGAGTCTGAGAGGAACGAAACTGCATTACGGACGAGCTCTTGTCTGTTAGCGTCTGACATGGTACTACTTACTAGTAGTAACAGTTCTGTAAGTGCGGTAACTTGAATACTATGCCGAATAGCCGATTAAGAAATTATGTCAAGTCTACTCCTTACGCTCCGAATTCATTCTCCGATTGTCTCCAATTTTGTGGCAGGACGTTGGACTCACCATCTTTTGCAACAAGTATGTTTAGGTTGGCAGCTCAACGGGGAATAGCGAACAAACTTGCTGGCTCTTCAAGAGGTATATTATACGCTGCGTCATGTTCCCTATATGTCTAATGTTTTCGGGTTGTCAAGCTCTGAGGGCTTCTTCACTGTATGCTCGTTGCCGGTGCTCAACATGGAAGCCAACGTCTGGCCTTTCTCTGCCTTCGGCTGCCAGCTGGGGTATGATCATGCTTGTCGGAGCAAATTTTTTCGTGTCTGAGATATTCTAACAGGCAACCGACGCGGTTATGCTGAAGCCGCTGGCAAATTCTCCCGCGTAAAGCCTCACATGAACATTGGCACCATTGGTAGGGTCACGCCTTTTTTGCCCTCTGACGCGCTTTAACTCAATCTAATCTTTAGGTCACGTTGACCATGGCAAGACAACGTTGACTGCAGCTATCACAAAAGTTCTCTCCGACAAAGGCGCAGCAAAATTCACGGACTACTCGCAGATTGACAAGGCGCCTGAAGAGAAGGCTCGTGGTATCACTATCAACTCAGCGCATGTCGAGTATGAATCTGATGGGCGCCACTATGGGCACATTGACTGTCCTGGTCACGCTGACTGTTTGTCCTTCCTTGCCCACATACGTCCCCAGTTTTACGCAGCTACCTTTCATAGACATCAAGAACATGATTACCGGCGCTGCACAAATGGACGGAGCCATCATTGTCGTGTCGGCAACGGATGGTCAGATGCCTCAGACCCGTGAACATTTACTTCTTGCTCGTCAAGTCGGCATTAAGAAACTGGTCGTTTTTATCAACAAGGTTGACATGATTCAAGACCCAGAGATGCTTGAGCTTGTGGACATGGAGATGCGCGACCTACTGTCGACTTACAACTTCGACGGTGAAAACACTCCCATTATCATGGGTTCAGCATTGGCCGCTTTGGAAGGTCGGGATGACAGCTTAGGGAAGGAGAAGATTCTTAGTCTTGTTCAGGCCTGTGATGAGTGGCTTGACGTTCCCCCTCGTCAGTTTTTTTATATGTGGTTTTTGATTAGGAGAGTTAAAAATTTCTCATAGGTGACCTGGAGAAGCCTTTCTTGATGCCTATCGAAGGTAATATCAAAATTATTGTCTTCAGGGACCAGCTTTGACACATTCAAATTACTTCTCTCAAAGATGTGTTTTCGATTTCTGGTCGTGGCACTGTTGCTACTGGACGAGTGAGTTTCGCGTTAGGAACGTGTACCTATGAGCTCACCTGTTGTACAGGTCGAGCGTGGTATTGCAACTAAGGGTGCTGAGGTCGAGGTCGTTGGCCTTGGCAACACTTTCAAAACCACGTTGACTGGTATCGGTACGATCAATATCAATGCATCATTAAAATCTTGGATTTCTCACGAATTCGCAGAGATGTTCCACAAGGAACTTGACCGAGTATGAAACGTTCTATCTTGCAACGCGCGTCATGTTTATTTTTATCCTTTTTTCAGGGTGAAGCTGGTGACAACATGGGTTGCCTGCTACGCGGTGTCAAGCGGGAACAAGTCCGCCGTGGCCAGGTTATCATTGCTCCAGGCTCGATGAAGGCCGTCAAGAAGTTCCAGGCTCAAATATACGTCCTGACTAAGGATGAAGGTGGCCGCTACACCCCATTCATGAGCAACTATCGTCCTCAACTCTTCCTCCGGACTGCTGATATCACCGTCGCCCTCACTTTCGCCGAGGGTACTCCTGACGCCGAGGAGAAAATGGTATGCACTAGGCCATTTTCTCCTATATTGCTTACACCTTTTTTCTAGGTAATGCCCGGAGATAACGTCGAGATGGTTTGTGAGTTAGTTCACGATGTTGCCGCCGAGGCTGGTTCCCGCTTCACTCTTCGTGAAGGTGGTAAGACAAGTAAGTTCTGATTTCATACGCTCTGCCAGGAACCAGCTAAACAACCACAATACAGTCGGCACTGGCATTGTCACGAAGATCCTGGATTACGCATGAAAAATACTACATTATTATATACTACCCTGTCGTAATTCTTGCTTGTCTTCACTTGCATTGTTGTTACATCCCCCCTCAGCATCATGTTCAAGAGTAGAACAGAACTCATTATGCGCTGCATTTGTCATTTATCTACTTGGCCGCCTTGTAGCCGCTTTTTGAGATTTTACGGGCGGCCACCCCTGAAGTAAACATCGGTTTGACGTCGGTTGTTCGAAGGTTCTAATTAGATTCTAAAGTGCAAAACGAAGATTGTTTGTCTCACACCTGACACCCCCACTTGCATCAGCTACCTTACGCTCGCTCAGCCTCAGTGACTTAATTATGTTCTCTGCAATCAGACAAGCTGCTCGTGTGCGAACGATGCCCTTGACGACTGCGAGGACAAGTCCCTCAAATACCATGCGCATGCCCGGTTGTCGGACTATCGTTAGTGAGTGAAACCCACCACTCTCCGATTGAACCCTCATCTGACAGTCTCGACTAGCAAAAAAGTACACCGAGGAGCACGAAGTCGTTGCTTTTGATGACGAGACTGGATTGGGCGCTGTGTCCATAACGGATCATGCGCAGGAGAGCCTTGGAGATGTTGTGTTTGTGGAGCTTCCTGCTGTAGGCTCGAAAGTTTTAAAAGGCGGTAGGTGCCCGTTTCCAGTGAACAGTGCCAAACAGGTGAACAACGCGCTAATATCCATTGTAGACCAGATTGGTGCAGTTGAGAGCGTCAAGGCAGCCTCGGATATTGTTAAGAGACCATCCATTGCGTTTTAACCCATAGCTCATGAATGTTCGTTTATACAGTATGCACCAGTATCTGGCATAGTCACTGAGGTGAACGAGGTCCTGAATTCTGAACCTGGACTCTTAAACCGCTCTCCCGAGGAAAAAGGTAAGCTTTATTTCTGATTGGGTCACAGCGGCGTCAACATGAGACTTGCAGGTTGGCTGTGCAAAATCAGACTCTCTGCACCCGAGGAAGTGAGTGATTCACACGTTTCTCTAAGGATTCTAATGGCGCCTTATTGTAACAGATGAACGAGCTGCTCACGCTCGAGAGTTACAAAGCGACTTGGGAGGCGTGAATCGTAATACTGAAGGGACGACTATTTGGTCTGCCTGCGGGAGACTAAGTTTGACTAGCGACATAACCCCTGGCCTCAACTGCCATACCTTTGTTATTACTTATATTATCATAGATATTTGGAAATCATCAGCTCTTGCAATGCATTCTATCTCGAGAGCCAGTATGGATTGTCAGAATGAAATGGTAAGATAGCTGATGAAATTCATGATGATGGCTCGTATTTATATTTCTCTCCACGGGCTTCCATACGTTCCTTGGCTTCCCTTAGGGCCCACGTTTGTATGCTGTATAGACCAAATTGACTGATGAACGAGCTGGCTCAGCGAAATAGGACACGCCGCCCACCTTGTGTCAGGCTTGTAGTACAATAATACTGCAGCCATTGCCATTGACCCGAACATCCCTACATACCAGATGTTCTCCCACTCCTCTTTCACTCGCTTTTGTCCTGGTGCAGGGGGCTAAAGCATTCATCCCGTTAGCTCCCCGGATGTCCTGAACAAACGTTATAACATCACCTTTTCGCCAAAAAGCCAACCGCTAGGCTCGTTGAATTGTGGTGGGCCATGGGAAGCAAAACGTCTGCCTGTTATGCGGCGCGGCACTCTCACTTGAAGCGCACGCAAAGATGAGGTCGGTAGCATGAGGAATATTGAAGTTGACCGACTTCACTGTCGAGTCCCTCGGGTAATTTCGAGGTGGATTGATCTAAATAGATGCAAATACAACTCCATACATGGCTACGCCGCCACTGCCACTTGTACAAGGAGTCAGACCATGGAAGGAAGACGGTCGTTCATGCACATGTTCAGAATGCATAGGTTGTAGTTATACTCGAAAAAATTCAATAGACATCACGGTATAAACTTGGTCAAAATGACGTAGCCACAATCTCATGTTACATAGACAAAAGAGTCAAAACAGAAAGCTATCGGGCTGCATACTACCTGCCACACCACACTCACAGTTTCTCTGTCACTGCATGTTAGTATTTGATAATTCCAGGTGTTATCAATAGAACAGACCCAAGTTGGTCGAACGTGTCAGTGTCTTCAAAGACACATCAGGGAATCGCGGGAGAATGCAGCAGGGAAATGTCTCCGGATGACTAAATAACAAGAGGTCAACAGACTACTCTCCGGCACAGATGGAATTCGCAAACACTGTGAAACCAGTGGTGAACTTCGGAACGACCGGGATCTCCATGCCGTGTTCATCAAGGGCCTTGTGGACAGAGAAAAACGCCAAGAAATTTGCGATCACGATCCAGAGTGACGCGTCTACGACATGCCGTCCCCACACTGACCAATTGCTTTCAACGGAGAGCGAAGAAGTGCGAATAGATGCTCACCAAATACGGCGACCCCAACCGAAGCCTAAACGCATAGTATCGCTGTTGAGAGACCCGTCATCTTGGAAAAATCTTTCCGGTTTGAATTCGTCAGGACTGGGGTATTTCGTTGCATCGTGTGTCATTGCCCTAAAAGGTTCGTTATTCGGATATATTAAGGATAAGGGTATTGGGGGCTTTCCATGCGTTTGGAAATACAGCAACACCTAGCAAAGGTCGTCAGCGGCCGTTGTCAGATCAGCATGATACCAACCTTTAGGGATGAAATAGCCATTGTAGACATCACTGGTTGTTGTTGCGTGTGGGACGCCTGCAAAGATTGTCAGAAGATATTTAGAAATGATTTGTATTGGGGACAAACCCATTGGAATCACTGGGTGCCACCTGAGTGTTTCACGCAAAATAGCTTCTACGTAAGGCAACGCTGGTCTATCGTCGAAATTAGGGAGTCTATCTTTGCCAACGACTAGATCGATCTCCGCCTGCGCCTTGGCTTGTACTTCTGGGTTGAGCACCATAGCAAGAAAAAACACGAGTAAGGTGGCAGTGGTCTGAGTCAAGGGCAAACTTATTATGATTAGCAAACGAAGGCCAGGAGAAACTCACCGATTCAGTCGCCGCTGAAGACAAAAAATGAGCATCGAGAAGAAATAAATTTTCAACTTACATACCTGTGAACGCAACAGAAGCAGCCTCCTTAACTGCAGTTGTATTGACGTCGTCCTCTTGACTGCTCCGGTTCAAAGCATCAGCCACCAAGCACGGCCCCATGTCGTTGGCAGACTGTCCGTAGTTCATTAGTTGGATGTACCTCTACTGGCAGGGTGCTTTACCATCCTCTCTTTGACATACTGGAAGGGTATCTCCTTCACATCATGGCCTGCCTGGATACACTTAAGTGATGCTCGCTTAAATGTGGCACCGGGAAACCAGCTAGGTAGCTGTAAAACTAGAACGATTATTGAGTTGCTTACATGCAATCACTGCATGTGCAAACATACGGAAAGGGAATGTTTCCATTAACATCATAGCAGCTGGTGCGAAACCATCGACTATGAGTTCCCCATATCTTGTAATGGCGTGGACGACGTGATCGTCCTTAGCTTTCGCTTCACAGTCATATATTATAGACAGCATGAATGTCAAAGTAAACCTGGTAAAAATCAACTTCAGCGCGAGGCCGAACAAATTGTCGTGACCGACATCTGAAAATGGCTTGGATAATTGCTAGGGTCCTGTAGAAGATTGAACAACATTTTGTGGGCGGAACGGAGTTGCACATCGTGGTGAGCAGGTATGACAGCTTGATGAAATGCCTGATGAAAAATTCGTCGGTGAAGGCGCCACCTGCTTGTAATCAGACACCCATCAATATAACATAGAATACTCCATACCTGTTTCCATATGGCATGAATCCCATGTTAAAATCTGAAGCGAAGCTGACAACATTTCAGGGACCGATGCGGACTAACACTTCAAGATGCAACTCACGCTCCGTAAACAATTGACTGGGGTCTATCTGAATATATGCTGGAACGCCGATCAAAGAGGTCCTTCGCGACCTCCTCAGAATTGACGACCAAGACAGGCTTGTTGAGGAAACGAGCATAAATGATGTCACCTTAGGAACAAAATGAGCTGTCATGAACAGATTCCCGTCACAATGTACAAACCATATGTGGATCGCCAGGCATTGAAGCTCAGCCAAGGCCGAGCGGAATCAACACTAAGAACATTTCCTAGTACTGGAAGTGGGGTAGGACCAGGCGGCAGCGGGGGACGCGAATGATTGAGCGAATATTTTCGACAGTAGCTTAACACAGCTACCACCAAGCCTGATATAGCAAAGTAAAGGTAAAGTCCAGGCCCATTGTCGAGCATCGTTAGATAAGACTGTTGTCCGATGAGTACTCAAAGGTGGAGGTGTATTGAAGTCTAGGTCAACTTGAAATATATATCGCACTGAGCTCAACTGAGCCAAACAATCGGTCTGATCCAGGATGTCAAAGAGGTAGAAGTCCGCTAACTAATTACACGGCCAACTGCCGCAGATCAGATATCTGAAAATTCCGTAGCGAATGCAGCCAAAAAGGAGCGCGAAGCGCTCCTTTTCCTGTGCCGAAGGCACAACGGGCGTGAGCTCGTCTATAAAGTAAGGGAGGAGGGTGTGGGAGAGTCGAGCCTGCGAAAGCTCTCGTCAGGGGGGCCATAATGAGACCGTTTCGGTGACCGGGATATTTCAGATCCATGCGAGTAGACAATGCTGGAAGGTTAAGAACGCTCAAAATTTCTAAGCGTTCTGTGTGTTTGGGCTCGATTAGCAACTTGTGACACAGCCTAGAATTTCTCAATGATCAATACACGAGTTGATTTCGGCTAGAATACGAATTCCAACCTGCGAACCGAGGTCCAGGATAAGGATGGTATCAAACTCATCATGTATTTCGACTATGTTTAGTGATAGAGGACTTCCAAGTGGATTTGACGGAAAGTGACATGGAAATGCACGATCTCTGTTGAACTAGACTGTCGAAATCTTTTGCTGACAAGTTCGGTGGCGAGTCGAAACAACTCCAGAAACAGGATGACAAGCAACATCACCAAAAGTCCGCAAATCAGAAATTGCCTGATTTGGGTTGCGGCTGCGCCACAATGCTTCTTTGAAGTGCCACGTCATGGTCATAAGCGATCGTGCATACAATGTCAAGCTACTAATGCAGTTGTAAGGTGTATGAGAACCTGACAGCGTGTAGCTAATGGTTGCCCCAGATTATCTATCCCAGCTGGAGTATAACGTAATTAAAGTGCGCCGTCACCGTGTTGCCCTCAGCAGACAATAAATTGGATTAAAAAAAGAAAAAAAAAGTTCACACTATGAAGAGTTCCCCTGTACATCAGTGCTCGTGATTTTATGTCAGGATTATCTTTGTTATGGCACAAGAGAGCGGAACCCGCAGCAATGAGTGTCATAGATCTAAGGCACATAGATTTATGGAGCAACAGTAGTATTACTTAGAAAAGGAGCTTTGAAGGAGCTTGAGGATTAACAGGGCTCGCCTTCGGTCAACATGGCGCAAGTTACATGCTCCAAGGTACATTGCAGTGTTTGAGTTCTGGAAATTCCATCAAGAATAGAAGGACAAAGTCTGGTGTCTTTCGGGAGCTGCGCCGCAGATCGCCCCACTTGGATACGTCCTCGTACAAATGCCGCCAATAATGACCTAGCAAAGTCAGCCAGATATGACCGAACCTGTACGGCATAGATCTCTTGGATCGTGCTCTCAGTCGAGAAGCATCCTAGCGTCTGTAAGATCTTCGGATATCATCCAACGAAGAAGTACTCACAAGAGGGGGGTACTCGATATCGCGCCGGGCTAGGTCAAGCTAAGTGAATATTCTGATCTGGGATGACGAAGAACCGACGTCCCAACTCGTGCATGTGAACCCTATCTAATAATTGACAGTCATGTGAACGCTGGGCGTAAAGCATCTAGCTCCCATCGGTGGCACTGCAGATGTAATACCATGATGCCGTTCCAGAGTCCAGACTGCCAACCGGACGGGACTAGCGACCTAAAACGCGCGAACTTAATCTATACATGAGATATCGGATAATCCGCTCACCTTCAGACGTTGGAATGAGCTGTACAAGAGAGTAAAAAGACGCAAGTCGTTGAAAGTTGTCGCGTATTCTGTCCGTAGCCCATTCTACCAACAACAACGAAAATCGAGATAGAATTCAGAAGGTCACCGTAGCCGCAGTGGATGGTGACCCGTCGCCAGAGGCACGGGCACACACAGTGTGCCACAAGACCTAATCACCCATCTAATGGCGGCGTGCGTGCTATGTGTCAGGGTAAAGTAGAAGGGTATTCTGACGCGGATGTTGTATACGTGTCCCCAAGCAAGCGCTGAAGATCATCGGGCTCCGAGTTGCAGTGAGAAAGGCGGCGGCGGACTGCCACTTCTACAAGGATGGAAGGAAGACAGTCGTTCATATCCAGAATGCATAGTACAAACAGATTGTAGTTATACTCAACAAATTCAATAGACATCGGTATAATTAAACTTGGTCAAAATAACGTAGTCACAATCTCATGTTACATAAACAAAAGAATCAAAGCAGAAACACCACAATCACAGTTTCTCTGTCACTGCATGTTAGTATTTGAGAACGTCAGGTTTTTTCAACACAACGGACCCAAGTTGGTCGAACGTGTCAGTGTCTGCAAAGACACATCAGGGAATCGCTGGAGAATGCGACAGGGAAATGTCTTCGGATGACTAGATAATAAGAGGTCAGCAGACTACTCTTTGGGACAGATGGAATTCGCAAACACTGTGAAACCAGTGGTGAACTTCGGAACGACCGGGATCTCCATGCCGTGTTCATCAAGGGCCTTGTGGACAGAGAAAAACGCCAGGAAATTTGCGATCGCGATCCAGAGTGACGCGTCCACGACATGCCGTCCCACGCTGACCAATTGCTTTCAATGGAGAGCAAAGAAGTGCGAATAGATGCTCACCAAATACGGCGACCCCAACCGAAGCCTAAGCGCATAGTGTCGCTGTTGAGAGATCCGTCATTTTGGAAAAATCTTTCTGGTTTGAATTCGTCAGGACTGGGGTATTTCGTTGCATCGTGTGTCATTGCCCTAAAAGGTTCGTTATTCGGATATATTAAGGCTAAGGGTAGTGGAAGCTTTCCATGCGTTTGGAAATACAGCAACACCTAGCAAAGGTCGTCAGCGGCCGTTGTCAGATCAGCATGATACCAACCTTTAGGGATGAAATAGCCATTGTAGACATCACTGGTTGTTGTTGCGTGTGGGACGCCTGCAAAGATTGTCAGAAGATATTTAGAAATGATTTGTATTGGGGACAAACCCATTGGAATCACTGGGTGCCACCTGAGTGTTTCACGCAAAATAGCTTCTACGTAAGGCAACGCTGGTCTATCGTCGAAATTAGGGAGTCTATCTTTGCCAACGACTAGATCGATCTCCGCCTGCGCCTTGGCTTGTACTTCTGGGTTGAGCACCATAGCAAGAAAAAACACGAGTAAGGTGGCAGTGGTCTGAGTCAAGGGCAAACTTATAATGATTAGCAAACGAAGGCCAGGAGAAACTCACCGTTTCAGTCGCCGCTGAAGACAAAAAAATGAGCATCAAGAAGAAAGAAATTTCATCCAACTTACATACCTGTGAATGCAACAGAAGCAGCCTCCTTAACTGCAGTTGTATTGACGTCGTCCTCTTGACTGCTCCGGTTCAAAGCATCAGCCACCAAGCACGGCCCCATGTCGTTGGCAGACTGTCCGTAGTTCATTAGTTGGATGTACCTCTACTAACATGGTGCGTTACCATCCTCTCTTTGACATACTGAAAGGGTATCTCCTTCACATCATGGCCTGCCTGGATACACTTTAGTGATGTTCGCTTAAATGTGGCACCGGGAAACCAGCTAGGTAGCTGTAAAACTAGGATTATTGAGCCGCTTACATGCAATCACTGCATGTGCAAACATACGGAAAGGGAATATTTCCATTAACATCATAGCAGCTGGTGCGAAACCATCGACTATGAGTTCCCCATATCTTGTAATGGCGTGGACGACGTGGTCGTCCTTAGCTTTCGCTTCACAGTCATATATTATAGACAGCATGAATGTCAAAGTAAACCTGGTAAAAATCAACTTCAGCGCGAGGCCGAACAAATTGTCGTGACCGACATCTGAAAATGGCTTGGATAATTGCTAGGGTCCTGTAGAAGATTGAACAACATTTTGTGGGCGGAACGGAGTTGCACATCGTGATGAGCAGGTGTAGCAGCTTGATGAAATGACTGATGGAAAATTCGTCGGTGAAGGCGCCACCTGCTTTTTATCAGACACCCATCAATATAACATAGAATAATCCACTATGTACCTGTTTCCATATGGCATGAATCCCATGTTAAAATCTGAAGCGAAGCTGCCGACATTTCAGTGATCGATGCGGACTAACACTTCAAGATGCAACTCACGCTCCGTAAACAATTGACTGGGGTCTATCTGAATATATGCTAGAACGCCGATCAAAGAGGTCCTTCGCGACCTCCTCAGAATTAACGATCAGGACAGGCTTGCTGAGGAGATGGGCATAAATGATGTCACCTAAGGGACAAAATGAGCTGTCATGAACAGATTCCCGTCACAATGTACAAACCATATGTAGATCTCCAGGCATTGAAGGTCAGCCAAGGCCGAGCGGAATCCAAACTGAGAACATTTCCCAGTACTGGAAGGGGAGTAGGACCAGGCGGCAGCGGGGGACGCGAATGATTGAGCGAATATTTTCGACAGTAGCTCAACACAGCTACCACCAAGCCTGATATTGCAAAGTAAAGTCCAGGTCCAATGTCGAGCATCGTTAGATAAGGCTGTTAGTCCGATGAGTACTCAAAGGAGGTGTATTGAAGTCTAGGTCAACTTGAAATATATATCGCACTGAGCTCAACTGAGCCAAACAATCAATCTGATCCAGGATGTCAAAGAGGTAGAATTCCACTAACCAATTCAGTGAGCTGACATATGAACTGCCCGGGGGGCCGCAAAGTCCACACTACGAAGAGTTCCTTTGCACATCGGTGCTCGTGATTTCATGTCAGGATTATCTTTGTTGTGGCGCAAGAGAGCGGAACCTGCGGCAATGAGTATCATAGATCTAAGGCACGTAGATTTACGGAGCGACAGTAGTACTAATTAGCAAAGGAGCTTTAAAGGAGCTTGAAGATCAATAGGGCTCGCCTTCGGCCAACATGGCGCAAGTTACATGCCCCAAGGTACGTTGCGGTGTTCGAGTTCCGGAAATTCCATCAAGAATAGAAGGTCAAAATATGACGTCTTTCGAGGGCTGCGCCGCAGATCGCCCAACTCGGATATGTCCTCGTACAAATGCCGCAAATAATGACCTAGCAAAGTCAGCCAGATATGACCGAACCTGTACGGCATAGATCTCTTGGATCGTGCTCTCAGTCGAGAAGCGTCCTAGCGTCTGTAAGATCTTCAGAAACCATTCAACGGAAGAAGTACTTACAAGAGGAGGGTACTCGATATCGCGCCGGGCTAGGTCAAGCTAAGTGAATATTCTTATCTGGGATGACGAAGAACCGACGTCCCAACTCGTGCATGTGAACCCTATCTAATAATTGACAGTCATGTGAACGCTGGGCGTAAAGCATCTAGCTCCCATCGGTGGCACTGCAGATGTAATACCATGATGCCGTTCCAGACTGCCAACCGGACGGGACTAGCGACCATGAAGATAAACGCGCGAACTTAATCTATACATGAGGATATCGGACAATCCGCTCACCTTCAGACGTTGGAATGATTTGTATAAGAGAGTAAAAAGACGCAAGTCGTTGAAAGTTGTCGCGTATGCTGTCCATAGCCCATTCTACCACTAACAACGAAAATCGAGATAGAATTCAGAAGGCCAGCGCAGCCGCAGTGGAGGGTGACCCGTCGCCAGAGGCACAGGCACACACAGTGTACCACAAGACCTAGTCACCCATCTAATGGCGGCGTGCGTACTATATGTGTCAGAGTAAAGTAGAAGGGTATTCTGACGCGGATGTTGTATACGTGTCCCCAAACAAGCGCTGAAGATCATCGGGCTCCGAGTCGCAGTGAGAAAGGTAGCGGTAGAGTGCAGGAATGGCTTGAGATCCGAGTTCACACATGAGGGTCACGCGAATTGCTTCGGCAGATTCATGTTCCGTCCTTACATTTAGTATATTAGTAGTACCTGTAATTAAGAGTGATATTATCAATAATCACGGTATAGATTTAGACAAAATGACGTAGTCGCAGTCTAATTCCTCATCTTGCCAGTCATCCTCCGCGTATCCAGGCGAACTAGGGTCGAGATTAAAGCTAGATTCATTGGTCAAAGAAGTGCAAGGGATGTGGTTGAGGTGGACACACCCCAAAGATTTGTAGAAAGCAGACGCAGCACTATTGGCTACTGTTTATGAGGATAGGGCAAGTCGAGACTGTATCTGAGGCTTACCTTTAAAGACGGTCAACATAACATTCTTCATCCTCCATCGTGAGCCAATGTCGAACAGAGAACCCATCAAGAGTTTTCCCACCCCCAGTCCTCGAGATTCTTCGGTCACTTGGAGCTCATAACTTTTCTCAATCAATGAGTTAGAAGTCTCCAACCTGTAGACTTCGGCATTGTACCCACCAATACACCACGTCTTGTTTGGCTTCACGTTCGAAGCGGAAGATAGTATATGCAACTATCCGAGATTCTGATAGAATTGATTCACTACCTGAGGATGTATCATCGCATCGCTCACATAGGACGAGCCGAGCGTGTGAGTGAAACATCTCTTCTTTCTTTGAACGAGGATCCCAGCCAAATGAAGAGGTCGTATAACTGAACGGGTAAATCATGAGAATCAAGATACAAGATGAAGCATCGCGTGAGCTCACAACAGGTGCATATTGGATTCGAAAATGTTCCATATTCGCTCTCGTTCAATGTCAGACAGCTCTGAAGAGGTCTTGACAGCGAATTGCAGTCTAGTTGTCTAGTTATATGTCGCAATTGACAAAGGCAGCCCGCATGAGACATACCTGGCGCCATTCAACTCTCTAGATGTCAAAATGCAGGCGTCCAGCTGTGTCGAAGTCGCCTAAGCTATGGTTCGAGTGAGGTTTTCTGTCTATTAAGAAACGCGGAAGACCTTGTTGGCTTTATGTGTTGCACTAGACGGCATTCTATGCGAGGTCACGAATGATTGAACGGTCGTGGTCTGTGACGATTTATGTAAAATATTATTACATCAACATCTCAAAAACATACCTCGAGTAGTCTTCACGTACGGGCTCTCCGGGAACCAACAATAATTTACTTGACCAGGCTGCTGATGCAAAGGTATAAGTTACAAACTAAGTACTTACGTTGATTCTTAGCTATTGCACGCGCCTGGTAATTTCCAATTTGGCAATATTAGTTCGCGGAGATTTTTGATTGCAAGTTCGTTCTACCCAGCTCATCATATTATCGCACTGCAGCTCGTGTACCGAGTCTCACTTCACTTTGTGCCATACTCGCAGCTAGCAGCATAACAAGCAAAGTATGAAGCTTGACGCAACAGATCTGCGATACATCACCTCGGATGAATTTCGGGTACTGACTTCGGTAAGTAAGGGGGTCCTCATCAAACTGATGGCCGTATCTCAAACATCCGAACGCAGGTGGAAATTGGATCGAAGAACCATGAAGTCGTCCCAACTCCACTCATCGTACAAATCTCTGGCCTTCGGAATGGAGGCGTTAACAAGCTTATCGGGAGTTTGGCGAAACGCAATTTAGTTGCCAAAGTGCAGAACTCCAAGTGTTAGTACATGTCCTTTTGTTAGTTCTTTCTTGTGAGCCTGACTTTTGGTGACAGATGATGGCTATAGGCTAACGTATGGCGGATATGATTATTTGGCCATGCGTGCATTATCCAAGCGAGACTCGATGCACTCTGTTGGAAACCAGATTGGTGTCGGGAAGGAGGCTGGTGGGTGCTCGCTTTAGCGATTCTCAACATACTCACCTATGGAGTGACTGATTGCACGACACAGATGTATATATAGTCGCAGACGCGGAGGGCAATGAATTAGTTCTTAAACTGCACAGGTGAGCTCCTGACAATACCAGGTTTCATGAACTTTGCACTCATAGAATTAGGCTAGGCCGTATTTCATTTCGTGCCATCAAGGAAAAAAGAGATTACATGGGAAAGCGCAAGTCGGCATCGTGGATGTATATGTCGCGACTAGCGGCGCAGAAAGAATGGGCTTTTATGAAAGTCAGCTAGTTTTGGTTTCTGCAGGACTCGCGATGCAATCTGCTGAGAGCGTGGCGCTGACGGAATGACCTCAGATCCTTCACGAACATGATTTCCCGGTCCCCAGGCCTGTTGATCAAGCCAGGCATTGCATTCTTATGGAAGCGATCGATGCATACCCGTTGTAAGCACACGTTTCCATCTGGCACTTTCCTTGTTTCTCATGGTAAATCCAGACGACAGATCGCTGACGTTCCGTCGCCGGGCAAGTTATACTCGGCGTTAATGGACATCATTGTGCGATTTGCACGGGCGGGGCTCATTCATGGCGATTATAATGAATTCAATATTCTGATTCGACGAGAGAGTGGTGAACCTGTGGTTATTGATTTCCCGCAGATGGTCAGCACGTCGCACGAAAACGCTGAATGGTGCGCAACACTCGAACTTGTCTGACACAGCTTGATGACATTCATCAAGGTACTTCAATCGCGATGTGGAATGTATACGTACCTTCTTCCGCCGGCGTTTTAAGTACGAAAGTGCATTGTACCCCAAGTTCAAGACTGTTAAAGCCGAATCAAATGGTGAACATGATGGTTTCCGATTGGATGTAATGGTTGCAGCTAGCGGTTTTGCGAAGAAGGACCAAAAGACATTAGAAGAGGTGAGGTCCTTTGCATCCAACACCTTTCAAATTCTTATTAATATCGCTGTAGTATATGGAAGTTGTCCAAGCAAATGAGCTTCAGGATGGCGCAGATCAAAACAGCTCCGATGAAGAGGAAGAGGAGGAAGAGGAGGAAGAAAATGACGAAAGCGAAGGTGGCGACATTCTGGATAGCCATGAGGATAACGTCCAGGTTGAAACCGGTGATGGGCACAGTGAATCGGAGACGCAAGAGCACACAGACCTGCAAAACTTTTCGAACACCGAAGTGCCATCGTGTTCACAACCTGGGCCGAGCGCCGACCCATTCGGTTCCCCTGAGCCAATCTCCCGGCCTAGCAGCCGCATGTCTCAGCTGTCAAGGTCACCTCCACGTTCCCGCTCGCCTTCGCCTGATACATTGGCAAAAATGGCTGCTTCTCTAAGCCTGCAGGACGCTGCTTTCCGGGACAGAGTCGCATCTGACCTTGCAAAACGTTCGCGCCAGCAAAGAAAGTACCACACAAAACGTGGTGCACAGAGAGCTGGACGGCCGCAAGGAAGCAAAGCAAAGCAGGACACAAGGGTCAAAATTGACAAAAGCGGAATATGGGAGTAACTCCGAGTTTAAACGCAAGATCTAAACCTGTTCGGATGCTTATCATAATAGGGTCGTTCACTTTCGAAATTCCGGATCGTCGCAGCTCATAATGGGAAGAAGCCCCTCGCCCGCTAGGACAGTGACACGAGGGGGGCGATACTGCTGTAAGAACTTACCTAGTGATCTTGGCGTTGAAATTTTCTTGTCGGAACTTGGGGAATGATTAATGATGAGTGCCGTTCGTGCGTCCATGGAAACGTTTGTGGCACGCAGTCACCATCGCAAAGTCGAAAGTGTAATATTTGGGGACTTGGGTACTTTCGGACGTGTTCTGCCTGTCGTTCCTTGAGAATGCAGGGGGCATTGCAATACAAAACTTTGAATCGACTCAACGACGGGTCGCAGTCCGAGTGCGCATGAATATTTGTTCGCTATAGATTATTCGGACTCTGAGGGGAAACAATATTGATATGAATTTGAAACGAGCTCAAATGAACGCAGCGCCGGGACCGCGATAGACCGAAGAGGATTATGTATTTGATTCTGCTTATGCCTTGGTGTATTAGCATTGATATTGAAGACAAAGTTCGATCTGAGCAATTGATTGCCGATAACTACGGGCCAGCAGCGGCAGCCGATTACGAAAGATATCGATTAGTTCCGCTGGAGGGAGAGATGGTTCTAGAAGACGAGCAGACATTATAGGCGTTTCCCGAGGTAATCACATTTGGGAGTCTTATCTACTGTACACACTTGTTCAACCTTGCAAATGAAAGGTCTATTATATACTGGGGGATGGGCCTCGTAAGCAGTAGCATAAGTAATGGGAAATGCCATCCTTCGGTTATGTACGATACAGATGCGATAAACAAGCGATTAAAGAAATACATAAGTTGATTTTATGAATGACAGATCCGAGCACATGGCGAGTTGAGGCCTAGAGCATAACGAAAATAGGGGACTATGATCTTGCCGAATAAGTAAGGGAATCCATGATCATCGGGCCTCCAGGATTGAAGGCAGTCCTTGTGTTTACGGCTATTCCGGATGAATCCATAGAGTGACGGCGGACATCTGCTTCAAGAGAAATGGAGGAGGTTGAAGTTGTTTGCGTGCCGAGTAGCTTGTGAAGATTATTGTTCTATAGGAAAATTAGTTTAATATGTGGAGGTAAGTGGACGAAGAATGTACCGAACGTTCTAGCTCTAGCAGCTTAAGCTTTGTATGGGTAGCATCGTGTTGCAAGCCCGCTACCATACTCTATAAGACAAGATGAACGGTTGAAAACGTAAATAGAAATTGATTTGTTACCTTGGCCGTCTTTGAATTGAGGCCCCGGTATGGTTCGAGGCGCTGAAATGGGATTGGGTAAAGGCCGATACCGAGCAGCTGGTTGTGTAGCCGATCGATGTGGGCCTCGAGAGAGGCGATATAAATGGTACGTCTGTGTGGTGCGCCCATGGTTGACCTGAAAGCGAAATTAATTGTGAGTGAATTGAACTGAATAAAGTACGTACAACTCCTGAGGAGAGAAGAGTTGTTTCTCGAGGACGTGGTTCCAAATTTTCCGTCGCTTAGAACCGTCCTTCTTCGCGTAAAGGCGTGCGTATGGGTGGGCGATAGTGAAACGAGATGCTCTGTGTGAATTATCACGGGATGGGTGTTCGACAGACGAGGTATCGGAAGATTGGTCCGTAAAAGTTGTAGATACGGGACTCTCGGATAATCTAGACTTTATGAAGGAAGAATCGTCTTTCTGTTGGGGGAAGACATATGGAGAAGGACCCTGCTGCGTTGAATAATGGTAAGGGGGTGGCGAATCATATGATGGAAACGAAAGATGAGGACTCGGAGACTGAACGGGATTAGGGTAGAGAGAGGTAACCATTGGGTGGATGATGGATATTGTAGAATTCATTGGAAAACATGGCTGGAGTATAGTGATTATATATATATGGATCGGAATGACGGCGATGAAGAGGTAAGATCTCGGTGTCGACAGAGGGAAGGGAAGACCGACCGAAGTGGTATAAATTAAGATCGCCAATCTTGGTAGTAAATTTCAAACGCAGTTTCAGCGGCGCGTGATGCGCTGCTTCTGGCGCCACGATCCGGGCCCGCGGCGTATATGAGGTGGACATACTAACCATTCGAGGTTTATGTTCAAATAACCGCGAAACCCCAAATTCAAGTCCGCGACTCCCCGAGACGACCCCCACGCTTAGATCGTTGCCCTCGGATTCCGAACTCGACATCAGTTCCTGACAATTATCATGTCTTCCAACTTGCCCTATTAATTTGAATATTTCGTTTTGTTTACCCGAAAGCCGACCATCTCGTTGCCACATGGTCAACGTTCAATCATTTATGTTTACAACTGAATTAACCTTTACTCCAACAGGCCAGCCTTGCGGTATTACGGCTCATTTTGACGTTAATGATGATCTGCGAGGGTCCATAAACGTATCCAAAGTATTCAATATTCACCTTGACATGACTTAGTTACCCTAAACCTTGGCCTCCATCGGTGTCCATTCATTTGCCTCGCCTGTCTTGGCCCGATCCAGTTCACCTCGGCACCCAATTTCCATCTAATCAATTATATTATACAGGTCTGCATCTCTATATCATCCACATTTCTAATTTATTATTCCTCTGTATTTAGCCTCACCGTTCACTCATTCCTCATCTCAGCAAACATGTATCCCATCTCTCAACAGCAATCTGCCGACTTTGATTCTCAATACCATCAACAATTTACCGATGCTACTAGCTTGCATCTTGCTCCAGGCTCAGACTACGACAATACTACTAGACGACATTCCGTAGACACCTACGGCTTAGCTGAAGATGCATCAATCGCATTGAACTATTCCTATCCGCCTATTCATCCATACGACTACTCAGAGACGCAGGCACAAATCCAGTTACATGCTCCAGTCCCAGTCCCAGTCCCCTACGGCCCGCCTCACGTGCCAAACTCCTCTCGTCAAATTACTCCACCATATGTAGAGCAAACGTACTATGATCACCACCTCCCATACCCCCCTTCTTTAAATCAAGCCCCCCCACCGGCCACAACCACCAATACCGATATTCTCGATTATTATGCGAATGCGCCGCAACTTCTTTTTCCAACCCCCTCGGAACTTCTTACAGACCTCTCAACGCCGTCTGCTCCAATCTCCGCAACTCTCTCCTCGTCCTTGTCTCACCCGGCGCAGCGTGAGCAGTCTCAAACTAGTGAACGTAGCAACGAGGCTCCTGCCTCCGCTGCACCTAGCACGAGTAAGACAGAGAGTCAACGCAAGGCACGGCAACGTGCCGTTGCCGAAGAGATAGGTTTTATTCCTACCGATCCGTAAGTTACCTTGTTCAAGGAATTTACCTGCAGACCTTGAGCGATATTTTACAGTGATACTATCTCGTCACACGAGAAAAAACGCCACTATCTGGAATGCCTGGAACATTATGTTCTATATTTGCACGAGCAACTGCGTCTCGTCAACACAGCTCCGCTTGACCTTGAGCGTGTTTCTACCTATCGGGGTCTGAGCTCTCGCAGCATCAGAACGTTGCTCGTGCACATGCAAAACACAAACCGCCGCCTTCATGAAAATACGCTCGAAGAAGAGCAAGTGGTAAGTCGATCCCTCGTTCCATTCATCGGCGGAGTTCTTACGACCACTCCGCAACAGTTTTTGAATCTCTCCGCTGAAGTAATGGCGGCGCACGGAGCTGGCTTTCCCATGAGACGACATTCAGTTGATGTCATCGACCAAACAGCCAGCAGCTACCCATCTGACTCCGCAAATATCGGTGCTACTACTACTAGTACCAGAGATGGTGATCGCGTATTTTTAGGCACCGGCATATCGTTGAGCGGTGTTGACCAACGTCAGCTCGCCCCAGAGTAAGTAGTAGATTTCCATTCAGTCTTCTGCATACCATTTTTCCGGTCAAGTTCCCACTCGTAAAATTCTCCCTGTCCTTGCGAGCCCTCCCCCGCATTGATTTCTTTTGTATTTCCTTAACCGCATCGTCCGCTTATGATTCAGCAGTTACAGTTTGTGGGTCTTTTTTCTCTGGTTGTTTAGACAGTTTCCATGTGGTCGTCTACTGGGAGACCCTTATATGCATTTAGATATGAGTTTTGCGGGCAATTAGTCGCCTCCCCCATCGAGGAAATCTGAGCGACTGTTACGATGTAACTAAATTGTGCAAGGGGATGACATTAATAGGCGTTCTCCGACACCGGCGGTTGCGCCTCATGGAGCAAACGAGTCGTACTACTTGCAATTGCAGAAAACCTGGTACGGTAGTAATTAACGGTGGCTGAAACGCTCACATCCGGGCCAATACAAGACGAGACGATCGAGTGACCATGATATGTGCCTCTAACGAGCAATGTGAAACGACTTCTGTGCTCCAGGCCCACAGACAAGCCACACGCGCAAGAACGCCGATAAAAGTACAACAGACCCAAATCACTGGACCCAAATGCCGCTCCTACCAAAGTCTGCCTAATTAATGACGTCCCAAGGAGTTCCAGCTACCTCGAATCGACAATAGTTGCACAGACCTTTGGAGAGCTATCAGGCGTTTTAATCAATCTGGCGCGTAGCTAACAGTGCACGCTTCGACATCTTGATGGGCAGGGGCACTAGGGGCCGGCACTAATATAAATATTCGAAGTACCCATGAGACTGAAGATGGTACAGTGCATAAAGTACGAATTCTATACAACCTTTGGAGAAAGACACCCCACCACAATATTAATGATATTTCTCATTTCCAGATATACAAACATTGGAGAAAGACATCCCACCACAATATTAATGATATTCATCCGCTATAGCATTGATATTGAGCAATTAATAGAAGCAGATACTATCAATCACAGAACACATGTCCATGACGCCGATATCATTCCAAAAATCGCAATCCACTTGCGAATCTTCTCAAGGCCGCCGAAGGCAACCTGACAGATTGAATTTCACAGCGGGGGACCATTTCCGTTTATGGTCGGTAGGCTTTCGTAGCGTACGCTTGACAGTGGCGTTCCTCGGTCCCCAATATCAATATTGTCGCTTGACAAGCTGCGGTCCAGATATGTGTAGTATCGAGCAAACTGGCGTCGGTAGGATCATGGTTATACGTACATGCCAATCATCCGAAGTCAGGCACAGAATGCAGACTCACCCTTCCCTTCTCTTCCTACTTCCCAAACTCCGAATGCACGTACCCCGTCAACAATTAATCGCCAGAAGGACTGTTGAGGAGTATCGATCATTTAGAATCTAGTCTCCTAGAATGCCTAACTAGTCTGGTCATCCTCCCCCTCGGACTCGGTACACATCAATCAATCAACAACCGGGGCAACGCCACGCCTGGTCAAGTTCTGGACACACAGCCCGTCGGAGAAAGGGAACGACAAGTGTCAAAGGACAGATGCATGTTGACCAGTATGATCGAGAAGGATCTGAAGATCTGATTATTGATAAACCCGGTATTTTGTATTATGGACGACTGACCTTCGTCAAAAAGTAGATCAGTGAAACATCAAAGTATCACATCTCGACCACGCATATTACTCCAACATCACGCTCAAGTCAACGAGCCTCCACGACCAACGATGAGCGCTGAGCAATCGCTAACGGCAGGGGAGAGATGGTACTGCATACAATGTTCAGCGAGCGGCCTTCTCTCCAAGGGCTTATTTCTGAGGAAGATGAGTCTGACAGCAACCTTCATATCGACAGACTCGGACCAGATTTCATCCATCTTCGAGTTGTCAGCGGGGGACCCGCTTTTACGTCGTAGACAAGTTTGGTCTCAAATTTTCTAAAAGTGGTAAATGCGTCAAGCGATGCACTCTCGAGAAGTGCTGTGTCCATAATGAGGAGCCAGTGTCCGCCTATCTCTTTCCGACTTTCCAGCTGAGAGATCAGAACAGCGTGCAGTACGAGGAATCAACGATAGTTTATACCACAACACTGTAACTGACATAGTTGCCCATCACCGTGGTGGTGCTACCGCTGAACGGGACTTGTCCAACTTCGCAGATAGAAGCGCCTAGCCGAATCTAATGACAATATTGCTATTAATATCGGTGAAATCAATTTGCACTGCCAGCCTCGCAAATGATACTGGCTGTAGTACCTTCGATGCAGGTGGTCAGGTACATGCCAGCGACGGTGTCACGAGAAGCAAATATGGTTCAATTTAAGGTGGAAGGCGGCAAAGAAGCACAGCTCACCCAGATCGTCGTTCAAATCAAAACGCAATCTGCACAAATCACTGCAACTTCTTTGTGCAATAAGAATTAAAATATTAATGGCCCACCAATTGCTGTTTGCGATACCCATTCCGATTTGAAGGTAAAACGGCATTCATACCCAATCGTCAAATGGACAGGAGATACACCATTCCCCTTCTAGATCCTTCTTGCGTGCTGTCGCCATATGCGTTTTGCATATCCACCACCGTTTCACGCATCACAGTTGTGAGTGAGTCCAAGCGTATTCTGCACAAAATAACGCATAACAAACGTACGATTACACCAACGGACATCGGCTTCGCAAGTGCCGACAGCAACGAAGTCTCTGATAAATAAGGCGAGAAAGAAGAAAAGCGGTGATGAGATCCTGATGACAAGTAGAAGAGGGGAAATGCATCACATATAGATTATCGGTATCAATACTTGCAAGCGTCATTGACACCAGTCTCTGCTTGCGAAACCTGCTATTGACGGGAAACACAGAATCATCAACGGGCATCTAGTATAATTTGATAAGACGACGTGAAGTTCGAGCTGTTGACGGAGAATTAGCATGACACCCTCTCGCTTCCGAGGCGATGAGTACGATACATACATACATACTTATGGAGGAGAGCACTCCAACTGCCCCATCTACGCATTTGGTTCGTCCGTTGGCGCAAATTTATGCTTGCCTCGAATCGCGACTTCCGTCATTCCTTTTCCGCTGCCGGTAACGCCGACTACAAGGCCGTTATCAGAAATCAAGAAGTTTGTATTCAAACCAACTAGAACGATACGCACCACGGCCTAATGGGTTGTCGGGCGTCTTGAAGATGCTGGTCCCCGCCACACCGGCAATATGGACGCCCTTCTTCTCAGACTTCTTAGCAAACTTCTGCCACGTCGCTTGTTTTGCGAGTTGCTCCTTAGCTTTTGCAGCTTTGACCTCCAGTTTCTTCTCATTGCGCTTCTTCTTCCGATCCCTCTCCTCGTCCTCAGCTTTGGTTAGCTTTCTTTTACTCGGCGCTGATACTTTCTCCTGGTGATTTGGCGGTAGTGCCTTGATTTCTGCCCCTTTTATCAATTCCGTCGTATTGTACCCTTTGAACATGATGCTGTATACAGGGTTTTCTGCAGAGCCACCGACGCTGGTGATCCGTGCAGGATACCAACCCCCATCACCCGAGTATTTGGCAAGACAATCGCTCCCTGCAGTCCATGTGTGTGAAGGTGTTGAGTTTGCTGTTTTACGAACAGAATCTGCGCGTGATGAGGAAGCAGCTTGGGCAAGCGACTGTTGTGTGAGAGAGATAAGTTCTTGTAACTCTGAGCGGAGGGAGAGGAGTTCGCCATTTTCAGGATCTGTTTGGAGTGCGAGCTCGACCTGAGAGAGCTGTACTTGATATGTCTCGAGTTCCGTAGTGTCCATGTTCAAGGAGTAATAGGAAGGGGACCGTGCGTATACCTTTGGAGTTATTAGGGTTAAGGTCACATGAGCTTAGTTCTTCACCAAAAGCGACTACTTGAGCCTAACTGATAATCACTAATTCTCTGAAAAACTAATTTCCCTAATATCGTGAAGACACGAAGCTGGGTTGGTTTCCCGCGTCCAATCGATCTTGGCGATAACTTGATTTTGGGTATATGGAATCAATACTACATCACACACAAACTATACAAGATGCATACAAAAAATCCACGAAGCAATTGAGATATCGATAATAGAGAATATCAGACCCTATTTATTCAATGTCCTGATATGGGGGAAGCTCGTCACCCTCTTTGACCTCGTTGCGTGCATTGCCGCTGTCAGTACCAGCGCTAGCAAGAACACGTTCCCTCTCTTCCCGCTCGAGTCTACGCTTCTCCTCCTCAGCAGACTCATGTTCAGAAGTAGCGGGTGATCCAGATGTCCCCGCCGCGGATACCCGCTCGCGCTCCTCACGCTCAAGGCGACTCTTTTCTTCTTCTGCAGTCTCGTGTGGCTGTCCATATAGATCGTCAGACGGTGAGTTGCCCGGGAGACCGCCACTTCGTGGTCCCGCAGCATCTGAGGCACGGCGTATGTCACGAAGAGAGCCGCTAGCAGGGCCTGGACCACTTGCACTCGCAGGTACGGGAACACCGGTTTCAGCCACCGTAGGTAAAGTTGGCGCGATTACGACGGGAGAAAGCGAGCCCCTGTCTGCAACCGTAGTGATAGGTGGAGTTTGATCATCCGGAATTGGCGCAGGAGATAAATTGAGTGCCCTTGGGTCAATAGGAGGAGAGTGCGACGCGTCTCTGGACTTTTCTGCGTCTGACGCATAGGAGGCTTGAGGTGGAGGTGTGATGGGCACACCTGGATGACCAGCGTTTCCTCCAGAACTGGATGCGAGACTGTGCAGTTCCGACGCGTGACTCTCCCCAAATGATTGGGTGTCAGCCCGTGAAAGGTTTGCGTCAGGCCGTGCGGCAAAATATGTGCTCCCGGGAGTATAATTATCCAGTGCGTGCTGAAGCGCAGCACGAGCAGCACCTGTTTCCTGAGCTCCTGTGTAAGGGCTCGAAGATGAAGGGGGAATAGGTGGCAGGACGGCTATGATAGGCTTGGAAGCCTGCGACAATAGAATTAGTTTTTCCCCAAACTACAAAGGATCGTGTCAGAATAGCTTAAATTGTAGTAGTACGAAGTGATTTACCTCGCGTATAGCGTCCCACTTCTGCGCTTCGCTCTCACGAACCGCCTTCCGCTTTAAGGATCTCAAGCTCCTTTTCAAGGGGCTCGTCAACAAGTTCAGCCTTGGCGAGTGTCTGTTTTAGTTCAGGAAGCTTCCGCTCCATAGACTTGTCCTGACTATGCTCGATACGAGAAATCTGGGTGCGCAATCCAGCGCGGAAGTTGCGCTTTGGAGCAAGGACAGCCTCGGCATCGCGAAGAGCTTTAAACGGTGCTCGTGCATTGTTGAGCTTGATCGCAACCGATGATGCAAGAGATCCCTGAACAAAGTTCAAGTAGGCCAATCTGTCCGTTACTAAATACCAAGCCTCATCAACTCAGATCACGTCGTTGCGGAAGAGGCGGCTTACCGTCCTTGAGATCCTCTGGCTGTGTCTGACCCCACGTGTACAATTCCTTGCTTTGCACCTTCGCATCCCTAGCGAGGGCATCGCAATCGATTGCAACACCCTTTTCAGATGTGATGATTCTTTGCACTGGAGTAGTGGTGGTATATTGTTGTCCAATTGAACGAATTTGATGCTGCAATGCTTCAAAAGCCACTGAGCGATGGCCGCCCTGAGCTGCGGATTGATTGGCAGATGGTTGGTCGGTGGCGTTGGCAATACCGGGGACATGGCCGGCGAGAGGGGTCTGATTGATGGCACTCTGGGCCTTATCGGCGAACGATGACAAAAAACTTGACACTGACATCGAGTGGGATATTAGCCTAAGGTTGTTAAAATGAGTGGTCAGGGAGAAGAGATTTCGATTGTGTTTGGAGCGGTTGTCATAGGGTCTTTATACAGGGGTCCAATGCGCAGTCACATCAACTGCGTCACGCGCAGCGTCACAGTTGCACTGCCGAGCACCACAGCAGTGCACAGCTTCAGGTACAAGACGTCAAGGACGGGACAGCGTGTTTTTGAGTATCAATATGCATCGCAACAGCAGCATGAGCTTGAAGTGAGAATATTCGTCCGAACACCATACGAATAAATCAGCCACATCCAGCACAATCTATCTATAACTCCGCTCAATCGATATAATAGCAACTTATACACCCACTCAAATGACGAGCTTCTTCGCTGCCTTGCCCTTCTTCTCAGAATCCTTGTGTGAAAGGAACTCGACCTCGGTTGCGAGAGGACCGGCCAGTTTTTGAGTCTCGGGATAGCCTAGTACATTAATCTTGAAGTGTCGTCCGACTGTCTCGATGCGTTCACGCAACTTGTCTTCATCTCCAGAAGGCGCAAGTCGCGTCCAAATCGATAAACGGTAGAACTGCGGTCGGGTAGATACGATCACACCGGTGATGAGCGATTGAGAATTGGGCTCAGATGTCTCCCCGCTTGTAAGATGGGGATCGAACGTTTCACCAATAGCAGCAAGCATCTTTATGGAGCATTCAAAATAGGAAAATCAAGAGATGAAAGGGAAACATACAGTGTAAAGCCACATTTTATCAACCTGACTGCGATTCTTCTCTTTGGGTAGCTGTATACTCCACTTGCCACCATGCTTGTTTGCTTCATCCTCCCATGCAGGTATGATACCCTCCTGAAAGCACCGTTAGCTTAACAAGAATACGATCCTGTTGAAACACGTACCTTGAAGAGGTAGTAATTTGCTTTTTGAGGGAGCTGTGAGGGAGGTACAATATGATTGTAGAGGCTGTGCCTTGGTGAGCTTCCAGTTATCGAAATAGGAGAAAGGAACTTACCCCCAAAACTCTTCGACGCTGTCGAAACTGACGACTCTTTTGATATCCTCCATCCATCCCTGTGCAGCAGCAGCACTGGGGGTCTGAGGAACGGGGGTTTGAGGGAAGGAAGAAACGGGTGTTTGGGGAAGGTTACGGCCTTTAGTAGCAGGGGAATCGAACCACAGGGTCCAGGGTGAGTATAGAGGATGCTGCATGGGAGGAAAATGAATACTCTAGAGCGGGGAGTCAATTCGGTTGCGCACCTTTACATTGAAGCTGGTAGGGTGACTGAAGACGGTGCGAATGTCGTCTGCCTGTGCTTGCATATCGACCTCCTGAATTTCACCAGGTTCTACGTCTGCTCCAATAGATTCTGGGTTCTCAGCAAGAGCTGCGGCGATAGCAGCCTTGTTAGCATGCTGAAAGGATGCGGGCAGAGTAGTCATGATTAATGGTGAAGTAAGCGAGACTTGCAATCCTGTTGCTTTTGAGTTATAAGACTATCAAAGTCTGTTCAGATTGAAAGGATATTGATCGAAAGATCGAATGAAGCTTGAAATCAGTCGTTTCGGTTGGTGAAGCTTCCGGGTCGGTTGTTGTGTGTGATCAACAAGTTTAAGTATTAAATCCACAATCGTCCGCAAAATTAATTTCCCGGTCATTGCCGGTGTTCCGTGCCGATTCTGATAATCATTCCGCCGGCATACCGGGGGCCGTCATGTTAGGTCACGCCTAAACAATTTTGTTGCTCCTTCTCTGTCGACGAGGAGAATGGATCCGTTCCAGGCTAAACTCCTAGCTGCAGCGACGGGGTCAACGATGACCGCACTTACGAGTATGTTTCAATCATTTCTTAATTCATTGATATTTATTATATTCAGTGACTCCTTTTGACGTCGTGAAGACCCGTCTTCAGACTCGACCCAAGGTGCCTCTCGTTTCACGACCACCACTTAATACTTGCTGTCAGCCAGCACATATACCTTGCGTACGCAACATGTCCTCATATGCACGCCCCATAGCTGCGGAAGAGGTCGTCTGTATTTTCGATCATGGCGTATACCGCACCGAGCGTGTGAATGGGTTCTTGGATGCTATCCGTCATGTATGGCGAGCAGAAGGTATGAGGGGATTATGGAAAGGTGTTGGCATGACACTGTAAGCTAACCCGATTCATCTCTTGGTCACAGTTCTCATCATGCGACAGACTCATTGGCGTCCCCTCATCATCGATATACATGCTCACTTATGACCATCTCCTACGAAATGTACTCCCTCCCCTTATTCCTTCCCCTACATTCGTCCCTCTGGTAGCTGGTATTACTGCTCGCGCTTCTCTTACTTCCCTACTCTCACCACTAGAGCTCATACGAACCAACCTGCAATCAACTCCAATATCTCCCGACAAACCACATACACTTCCATCTGTCCTCGCTTCCGTGCGTACAATTGTCCAGAAGCAAGGCATAACCTTCCTTTGGCGTGGCCTTGGCCCTACCTTGTGGCGTGATGTGCCCTTTAGTGGCATATATTGGGCAGGCTACGAAGCCTGGAAAAGATTTTTCGAGAGCCGAGGAAAGAAGGGGGCATACGTTGCCTTTGCATGCGGTGCTATCAGTGGGACAACCGCGTCATTGATAACTTCACCCTTCGATGTTCTGAAAACCCGACGGCAAGCGCTCCTCATGACTGGAACCATGTCATCACAGACTACAGCTACGATACCACTGTTGGCTCATATCATTCGCACTGAAGGCACTGCCGCCTTGTTTGCTGGCGTTCTGCCTCGTACAGCCAAGATTGCCCCAGCTTGCGGGATCATGATTGCGTGTTTTGAGGTATCGTTGGTTACTCTATGCTGTTGAAACGTGTGGCTTACCAATTTATTTTAGGGAGTTGGTAAGTTTCTGGAGAAGGACAAAGACTAGCTAGACCTATGTTATATTCACACGGAGCATCGATGCATCATCATCATCATTTACATTAATTCAATGTTTTCTAGATGTTAACTATTGGTATATGTGTAGCACCTCGTACATCCCTACTCAAGATTGGAAAACCGTCCTGATCTTACTCATCCCAGGCGGTTGAGTTGCTTCTTTGCACTGATGAGTTTACCCCCAACACGATCAACGTCAGTATTGAGTTCATCCAACAACTCGTTGTGCACCGCAAGCTCAGCACCGATTGCTTCCCCGAGGTGCCTCTGCCGTTGTAGTATGTGCGTGAGTGTAGCAAGTTGGCTATCTTGCTGCTCCAACTGAGTGTTCTGCAACTGCACGAGACCATGATCGTCAAGCGGTCTCGTCATCTCCGTCTCTTGAGGTTTCTTAGCACCAAACACTCGCGTGACTGGTTTGCTAAGGCTCAGCAGCGCAGCCCGATCCGATTCGGGAGCGATAGCAACATTCGTGAAGCCCTGTGAGGAAGGGGCGGCCGCAGGACGAGAGGCCTGTCGAGTGACAGTGACCATCTTTCCCAGCTTCTCGCAATCGTCCTGCAAGCGTGCGACCATGTCTGTACGACGTTGCAGCTCTCCCTGCGCCATAGCCGCCATGCCGAGTTCTTGCAGGCCCTGCTTGAGCGTACGCACCCGAGAAAGGGTTTCTGCGAGCTTCTTCTTCGCCTGGACATTCGCAGTATGAGATGCACTGACGTCTCCCCGGTCAGAGAGCGCATCCCGCTTGTTGATGTCTGCGCGGATGTCGCGAATCTTGGCTTGCAGCTCGAGGTGCTCGTCGAGCCAGGAGGAAGAAGAGAACTGTTTGGAGGAGGCACTCAGGCCTTCAGCCATGGTGCCCTGACGGCCGACTGGCACACCAAGGAAGTCGCGGAAGGCATAACATTCTCGCCATTTGTCATCCTTTGCGCTGATTATGGCGCGCAAGTATGTCTCGAGGCCAGCCCGGCGCTCCTCAGTCATGCTACTACTGTCTCTGAAAGGTCCGCGGAGGATGGCGAGGGAGTTTTTGGGTGGTAGGGGTGCTGGGGGTGAAGAGCCTGTGGACTTTGTGAGTTCTGTGTGTAATTCCACGAACTCGGAATAGCGTCTCCACATTTGCCATGAGCGGACATGGGCTTGAATTTCAATGCGGTAAACAATATGAGGCTTGGGATCGGGGCGTTCTTCGTGCCCGCGTACGTAGACGGCTTGTATGGCGGTCATGGTGGTTGGTGGTATAGTGCCTTCGCCTTCTTTGCGGCCCGCAATGAGGCCGTCGCATGCCGCAAGTTTACACACCACACGTCTTCCACATGCCACTCGCTATTACTCATAGCTACTCCCACAAAGACGGCAACATTATCGTATAACCTATGACATCTACGGGTACAGATCATGCAAACATACAACTGTTAGTCAGTTCCAGCTAACTAAGATTTTGAAAGCACATAAAATAACGAAACCCCGAAAGCCTGCGACGAACCCCTGATTCCAATGACTCTGTGCGCCATCAGCATGAAATGATATCTGTAGAGAGCGGTGTGCCCGTGGCGGCGGACGGGCCCGTAATCTCTTCGACTGACTCGCCAATTGCCACCCTCACCGATAACATACCGAAGAACGTCACTGAGCGTGATTATGCCAAGTAGACGCCCTTTCTTTCCGCCTTTTTTCTCTTCCTCCTGTAAGGTTATGATTGGTATGGTTAATCTATTTTCAGAACAAAGACTTACATCTCCTTCCACTACGACAAGCCGATGGACTCTACGCTTCTTGATTAGCTGCAATAGTGTTCCAAGCGAGTCCCCAGCTGTACAAATGACAACGCCTGGGAAGTCCGGAGAACGTTGGTTAAGGGCCTCCGATATCGTTAGGTCGAGGGATTGATATGCTCCTAGACGCACAAGAGTCTGCAAAAGGGGTAAGATTTGGCCCATCTACATAATAAGACATGACGTACAATGACATCTACTGTTTCATACAGATTCACAACAACGCCGTCCTGGTCGATGATGGGAACTGCAGATATGGCACGCTCAGAGAACATATGGACGACATCGAATACAGGGGTGTCGAGCGTAGCGGTTGCGATCGGATAATATGGATTCTGAGTTTCCGGGTTTTCGGGGTTCGGGGGCGGTGGATTTGATGAAACATAGGTACCGATCTTGAGTTTCCGGAGTGAGAGATGGAGTTGCTGAATTTCTCTAGTGCACTGGGAAGGTAACGTGAGCGAAAATCTTACGTGAGGGGGAGGGCATCATGTTACATTTATAGAGATAAATTTGAGAAGTCTGTACTGTGTTAGGACAGAAACGATGACCTCATGACCTGTTTCTGTGTCATAGTCGAGGAGAGGTAATCGGCGGGCATGTGTTTGAATTAAGACTCTGGCGGCCTTGTAAAGGGTGCTATTTGGATGTTCTGCTAGCATTGGAGGTGTGGCTACACCGAGGCTCCTCTCGATATCTAAGTTAAGAGCAGAAGCTGATCAATTTAACGATATGATCCTGCGCAGCCGGTATATGTACCTCGTATTGATTCTAGTCGGAAGGTCTCCACGTCTGCTGCAGCAGCTTCGTAATTTGCTGTGTCATAATAGTATTGGATGAGATGTATTATATCTAAGACTGTAAGCATCCCAGCAAACTTTGATTTTTCGCTGTTCCATAATGGTGCAGAGACCACACCTGTCATGACAGTGAGGAAAGGTGAGTGGGAGAGATTAAAGGATTACCATTGAGAAGCAAGCATTGTAAAGCCTTCTTGACATTCAATTTAGTATCAAGGACTATCAGCCTGAAGCTGACAGGGAATGCATCGTAAGATGTTCTTCCTTTGAGGAGGTTACGAATGGCATGTAGAGCAGCGTCGTGAGTTTCCTGAGATTGAGGTGGACATATGTAAGAGGAAGCGCGTTTTCTCGTTGATCCTCTTCTTTTGAACGCCTTCGAAGGAGAGGGAGCTGCGAGCGTCGTGTTCATCGCAGCAACTTTCTTTCAAGCTCTTCCTTTTACCGGATCTTCTGTAAGGTAATTACAAGGAGGTGTATTTCCCACGCCTCGATGACATTATTAATATTAGTATTAATAACTAACCGGAGTGGCTCGGCTCACGCCGGATTACGTTCCTGTCTGGTCTAGTGCATCGCCCGTAGTTCACTCACCAAAGCTGCACAGTTCGCCATTCAAGTTCTTCTTTCTATATAAAATAATCCCTCAATAAACCTCCAATTCAGTTCTCTGGTCAATATGGCCACACAGGTCGTTATCAATGTCAATCACATCGTCAACCATAGCTCGCAGACCTCCAGAGACAACTTGTTACAGTACAATTCACACCTCAACAATCAGCCTGCACCCGATGCCCTTCTCTTCATATTGCCTTTGCTTATCGTGCTCTCGACTTTCCTTTTCATCCTCCTCATATTTCTAGTATGTGTCATATTCGTTCGTAGACGACGTGGTATCGTCCTACGAGATAGTGATGGTCCTACCGACATGAGTCGAGAGGAGCTTATGAACGGAGAAGGAGGCCTTGAAGGCGTGGAATCTCGCTGGCTCGAGAGTGTGTCTGAAAATGTTCGGCGCTCATATCTCAGAGCAAAAGGTCCCTTCCATTCTCAAGCTTCCCGATCCCATACTCATGCGACCTTCGCACAGATTACCAATTGCAATATGCCCCAAACTCGGAGCCTACAGATATCACATTATCTCAATTCCTTTCTATTCAGGAGAAGGGTGTTTCTGCATGGTCCTTCGAGCCCGACTACGAGACTATTAATTCACTTCTGGTTCATGCTCGCACGGAAATCACCTTCCTTCCTGATCCTGCATCTGCCTCGTGCGTGCAGTCGAATTTACCCCTCCCCAAATTGAACGAGGTCTACTACTTGGAAGTCAAGATGTTTGACCTTCCCGAAACTACTACAGTTGCCGTTGGACTGGCCACCAAACCCTACCCATCTTTCCGACTTCCGGGCCTGAACCTTTTCTCTGTCGCTTACCACTCCAGCGGTGACAAGTGTTACAATTATCCCTTCACTGCGTCACCATTCGGGCCCCTACTCAAAGAAGGCGATATTCTTGGCATTGGTTATCGTCCCCGCACAGGAACCGTGTTCTTCACTAGAAACGGGCGTAAGATGGAAGATGCTTTCATCGGCCTCAATCGCTACAATCTATTTCCCACGATCGGAGCAGATGGTCCATGCAGTGTTCATGTCAACCTTGGCCAAGCTGGCTTCGTCTTTATTGAGGCGAATGTAAAGAAGTGGGGTCTGGCTCCGACCGTGGGAACTCTAGCACCCCCACCTGCCTATGGGAGTGAACGAGGCAGTATCTTATTGGATGTGGGAGGTGGCGTACGACCCAGCGCTCCAATTATTTCTACGCCTAGCACTTCTTCCACGCCCCGCAGACGCTCTCACCGCTCTCGAAGACCGAGCAATCCACTCTCAGCGTCGTCTGTTCCCGTCGCTTCTTCGCCACTTAGAGGCGCTCCTATATCATCACATACCGGGGAGCCTAGTACTCCTCCCCCACCAATTACACCGATCATTGAAGAGCCCGACAGCACGGACCCCTCAATTGGCCAAGGATATCTGTCTCCAACAGATTTACCTTTCCACACACCATCAAACCACACCCTTCCATTGTACCCTGCCACAGAAGACGAGAGCGAGCAGGAGGACGGAGATGGCTCTCCCTCCCAGTCACCAACCTCCTCGCGTTCACGATCGCCAGAAAGCGAAGGTGCCGCAGGTGCGAGCAGCCTTTTTAGCATCCCTCGCTTTCGGCGCGATTCTTTTACTCACTTCCTGGCCGCGATGCAACATGCAGGTTCAGACTTGACCATTCAGGTGCATCCACCGCCTGATTCGCCTCGCTCGCCGAATCCGCCCACGCCTCAACCACGTGATATTCATCTGGAGGCTTTCACTAGCTCATCAACAGAAGGATCAGATGATGCATCGGAAGCAAGATCTCCGACATTTACGAGGCGTGATCCCCCAGCATATTCACCGTTGGATGCATTCACGTATGCGGAGGGCGTCCATATCGACTTGCCGGCCGATGTGATCGCTGCAGCTCTGGAGGGGGATAGTATTCCTCCTAGTGCAATTGGTCAGGGGAATAGCGATCGGTCGGAAAGGCGTCGTAGCAGACGAGCCAGACGGTGACACTTGTATATGACTGGATTATGATGGTGAGTCCTGAGGGCTTTGACTTCGAAATTTGCCTGAACGCGAATATTCCAGTATCATTTGCGCTGTGTAATGCTCTGTAAATTCGTTGCGAATTGTCGATCTTTGCTTTACATTTACTACCCACATATTTCATGTATTACACATGGACATCTCGCTTCCACGTTACAATTTAATTCGACACAACACTCAGCATCTGGGGTGGGGCTACTTGCGTTACAAATGTGGCAAACACTAGATATCATTTATTTGTGTCAATCTATGTATGTATCATTAGTGGGTGCTCTTAAGGCTCAAGGCGCTTGGGGTCTCTTGGGAAGAGGGAGGCGCGTCTGATGTTGTTCAGCTTCAAGAACAGCATGAGTACCCGCTCGAGACCAATGCCTCCTCCGCCATGGGGAGGGCATCCCATACGGAATCCGTCGATATAGCCCTTCATACTCTCAGGATCAACACCTTTTGCTTGCATTTGCTGGCAGAGGAACTCAGGGTCGTGGATACGTTGTGCCCCGGAAAGAATTTCCTCGCCACGCATGAAGAAGTCATAAGAGTTGGTGAGAGTCTGGGTGAAAAGAGTAAGCGCCACGCCGAGATAGATAACGTTTACGTACTGGGTCATTAGGGTCGGGCATGGTGTAAAATGGACGAAGCTCGAGGGGGAATTTGTCAATGATGAAATAGTCGGTATCATATTTGGCCTTTACGAGCCGGCCGAGCCTCTTTTCGTTCTCCGTGCTAACCCGCAGACGTCAGCGTATTTGTCATCGAGATTTCAGAGCACCCACTTGATATCATCTAAAATTTCGCGGTCAACGCCATCCTCGACGAGAAGGTCCACTGCTTCTCTAAATGTCAGAGTCAAGGTCTCCTCTCTCCATTTGAACTCCTCCGCCTCGAATTGCTTGCCAACCACTGCGATCTCTTTTGCATATCTCTCTTTCAGACCCTTGAAAATAGTCTTGAACATTCCGTCAAGGAGCTCTTTTACCTCGTGGTAGTGCTCTTCGATTGTCATCTCCAGATCAAGTCCGATGAATTCGGTGAGATGTCGGTGGGTGTTCGAGTCCTCAGCACGGAAGACGGGCCCGATCTCGTAGACTCGCTCAAAGTCGGCGGCGATAGCCATCTGCTTGGCCAGTTGAGGGGACTGCGCAAGGAACGCGTTGCCTGGGATATGGTCAGGTTAACGATACGGATGAGTCAACGCAAGTAGCGGACCTTTGAAGTACCCAACCTTGAAGACGGATGCTCCTGATTCGGTAGCTGCTCCCTGCAATTTCGGGCTGTGGATCTCGGTGAAGCCGTTGTTGTTGAGGTAGTCACGGAATAGGTCTCCAATGGCGTGTTGAAGCTTGAAAATTGCTTGATTTGTTTGCGTCTACAGATCGAGTGAACAAACGATGATTGAATAAAAATGAACGAGCAAACCCGAAGATCGACGATACGGTTGTTCAAGCGGGTGTCCAATAAAACTCTACTGAACTGCCCCTCGATTTCAGGGGCGGTTTCTGATCTGGATGCATCATCAAGAGAAAATGGCAATCGGCCTTCGACGCCTGCAACCAACCAGAGCTAATGGAGGATAAGAAGGTCAGGTGGTTCAAGGAGGGAATAATCGAGGCGCATACCTCGCTGACATGGATTTCGACGTCATCGATCGAGCAGCTTTTAATGGATTCCGGCGACTTTACTACTGTCCCATGAACGAGGACGATACTCTCGTCGGAGAGACTAGCAACCCACTTGACCATTTGTTTGCTAACTTGTTTATCGTTGACAGCAAGCATGGCCTGGATTGTGTCGGTCCGTTGACGAAGACTAAGAAACGCCATCTTGTTTGACTGAAGACGTGAAGTTTGAATCCGAGCACGAAGAAGAACGTGTTCGGAATCATTCTTGGCGCTGAGAGTTGCGATGTCAGTGCGCTTACGATTGGGGCGCGACTGGGATTGGTGCAGAGGAAGCTTTCCATAGTGCGCTGCTGCGTAGTCCTGCGATTGTAGATCAACACATGAAACGAGAATATGGCAGCTAACTTACGAGCCCTTCTGCGGCTTCTCTGACCTGCTCGGCCTCCTTGGCCTTCGCGGCTTTCTCTGCCTTCTGTCGAGCTTTCTCCTCCTCCTTTGCTTTCTTTTTCAGAGCACTTTTGGTCAGACCTTCAACAACGTCGGACATGATGGAATATGAATGAAAAGCCTACTATCACGAGTCGAGTCAATACGACTCCAAAAAGATCAGATCTTATCTCCTACCGTGAATTGTATGCAATTGTTGTGGCGCTCTAACTGTAGGGTAACCCTAGCATGAGGTTAGGTTTCATTATTACTGGGCCCCGGCCGTGTGTATTAATGACAGAATGTCTACATGCGAGAATTTAGCTGGTGACGGACTCTTAGCGGGTTCTTGCCAACGAATGCGTATTAGCCTCCGTTCCGCTAGGGGCTGCTAGAGGCTCTGACTGATCAACAGCAGTGCTTCAGCAACATGTTTCGGGTTAAACCCACGCTCTAATCGGCGCTCTACCGCCGAAATCGGCAAGCTCACCATCACTTAAAAGTTTCCTTTCCTTCATCTGCCAATAACCGCTCAATCCCTGTTCTTGACTCTCTCTCTGTGTTTTAATTTCAAACTCTAGACTAATGCTGGCCATTAACGCTATCCGTCGTGCGCCTACCATTTTGCGCAATGCTGCACCTCTTTCGACTTGGTCCGCTGTTCCAGCCGGCCCTCCTGATCCGATCCTCGGTGAGGACTGTTGCCTGAAAATTAACAAAGTTGACTGACTTGGTCCGTTCGTATAGGTATCACTGAGGCATTCAAAGCCGACAAGGACCCTCGTAGAATCAACCTTGGTGTTGGTGCATACAGAGATGAGGATGGCAAGCCGTACGTTTTGAACGCAGTCAAGAAGGTACGGGATAAGGATAAGTGCTGTTTTTCTGCAGCCACTGACCGTGTATTCTTCGGAAGGCTGAGGAGAAGATTGCTGCTGCCAAGCTCGACAAGGAGTACCTCCCAATTACCGGGTTGCCTGGCTTCACTAGCAACGCAGCTAAACTAGCGTATGGCGTCGATAGCGTGCCACGGAACCAAAATGCGGTGAGCGAGCTGTGGTTGAATCCCGGAAGTGTCCTTATGGTCGGGCGCTAACACCGCAATTTGCCAGATTGCTGTGACCCAGTCTATCTCTGGAACTGGTGCTCTCAGAATCGGTGGTACTTTCTTGGCAAGACACTACCCGCACTCCAAAACTATTTACGTTCCTACACCCACATGGGGCAACCACATACCTCTTTTTAAGGATTCTGGCCTGGAGGTTAAATATTACAGGTACTTTGACAAGAAAACTGTCGGTCTGGACTTTGCAGGCTTGAAGGAGGACTTACAAGTATGACAACTCGATTCGTGTAATGTGGTATACACGTTGACATGGTTTTTAGAATGCCCCAGAAGGCTCCATTGTGTTGCTGCATGCTTGCGCACACAACCCTACTGGAGTTGACCCTACTCAGTCGCAGTGGAAAGATATTTCGGATATCATTGCTGAGAAGAAACTTTTCCCTTTCTTCGACATGGCATACCAGGGCTTTGCTTCAGGCTCGACTGATCGTGACGCATTCGCTGTGCGATACTTTGTCTCGCAAGGCCACCAGATCGCTCTTTCACAATCGTTCGCAAAGAACATGGGTTTGTATGGAGAGCGTGTTGGTGCGTTCTCTCTTACGACCGCTAGTGAAGAGGAGAGGAAGCGAGTGGACAGTCAATTGAAGATCATTGTGCGCCCGATGTACTCGAACCCTCCCCTGCATGGTGCCCACATTGCCAACACGATTTTGTCGGACCCTGAACTCTACCAAGAATGGGAGGGTGAAGTAAAGGGCATGGCGGACCGCATTATCAACATGCGTGAACGCTTGTACCAGCTGTTGAGCAATGATTTCCGGACACCTGGGGAATGGAGTCACGTAAAGAGCCAAATTGGCATGTTCAGGTTAGTGTACTACTATAAATTACCCTTGCTGGTACAGACTGGTTTTCATTTTCAGCTTCACCGGACTTAATAAGGAGCAATGCAAAGTCCTTGCGGAGAAGGCGCATATTTATATGACGATGGACGGACGTATTTCGATGGCAGGATTGAATGGTAGGAACATCGAGTACTTCGCTAAGAGTGTGGATGCAGCAGTTAGAGGTGACTTGTAGACTGTGGAGAAATATAACTTCCTTTTTTGGTTGTGTTGATCCCCTAGTACGTCGCGTGCTTCCTTCTTACAAAGTCCGAGGGTAGTTCAATGGAGTTCAACGGGATTCAATTACATATTTTTTTGCGAGGTGCGGTTTGTAACTCTTTCTGCAGTTAACCCTCATGTCCAGTTCTTCAACTCCTACAAAACTTATACCAGGTGCTTGGCTAGACCAAGCCATCTCTTCATCTACAAGTTCCTCCTCGGTACGTGATTATTGTAATCGGAATGTAATTTCCGTTCAATTGAGGTTCTAAACAGGGTTCAACCATCATACGAAACGTTGACCAGGTGATTACTGCCTCGCCCGGGCAAAGAACCCCTGAAATGCCCACGGCGAGTACAGCCGGCGACCGTCCCCTGAGCATCATCGTGCCAACACCAGTGTTTATACCGCCATTGGCGTATTGCCCCTTCAGCACAGATTTTTCACTTTCCCCGCTGCCAGCCTCGTACATTGGAAAGAAAATCTTGCCAGATGAGCATGCAAGCTCTAGTATGCCATCTACGCCTGGTCTTGATCATACCCCATCTTCGAGTCACTTCTCATCTGATCCAAACACCATAACATCTCCAACACCTAGCCATTTCGCAACAATGCCCGTTACCCCCCGAAGCACACGATAATCGCGACATTGCCACCATAAATACCTCTCCTTCGAAAATCTCTCACATAATTAAACCCCAAGCCAGCATGACCCTGATGACGGACAAACCGCCGAAACTACCAGATAATCTATGGGTGTCTACTGGATCCAACTGGCTCAGCGACCTCGGTGGAAACACAGAAACAGACCGCATATTCCGCAATGCTCTCTTCGGTCCAGTTCCCTCCCTAAACCCCCAAAGTAGTCCACTCACCTCGAGTATTGCATCCCCCGCTTCCTCTTTTCCTGCAGCACTCTTACCGAGCATGTCCACATCGCTCAACAGTACTCCGATTTCGTCTCCCTCCGCACCGTCTTCTCTCAATTGTATGTCTTCAGCCTATTCACCAACTACAGCACGCCTGGCATTGTCACCGACCTCGACTCCAGCCTTTCCCTCCAGCATTGATAGTTTTGAGCGGTGGCGCGAAGATGTTACAATCCAGACGAACAGACGAGAGACCATGCCAGAGACTCCTTCTGTATATGATGACACTGGCTCTAGTGCAGAGCACACCGAACGCACGAGCCAGCCTCCACCTGGCTTAAATCAGAGGGTGGTGAATCCACATGCACCGTCTGCAATAAAGTCAAAAACATTCATGCAGAAGGCGAAGAACATTGGCGGACGCGTCAAACGCTTCGTAACGCGCGGCAAAAGAAGTAAATGGAATGCCACCATCGAAGCTGACACTTTTGATGGTACCACTCACACGGGAAGCGATGACGGGAGCATCGTAGTCATTTCCGCGCGTCCTCCGTCATACGACACGCGCCTTTCTCCACCCATGTCTCCGCAAAGTCCTCAGCAGCGCAGGAGGTCTATGCCCATGGTCTCTCCGCATTATGTCCTCGTTAGAGAGCGTGTCTCAGCCATCGCTGAGGGAGCTGTTGAGGTACCTCGTATGGCGCCCCCTGCGGACGCCAGGGGACTTCCAGGGTCCATTGTCTCGAGGGTACCTACTCGCCGTTTTTCTCTCGCAGCGTTCTCAAGTCTCGCATCGCTCAAGCGACCATAAGCGGGACTCGTCCAATACTTTATTCCATCGTATTTGAGGTTAGATGCAGTGCATGTCCATGTTCCAGCTCTCCTATCGGCAATCATTTCTTCTGGATCGTATTCCTTTTCTGTATCATGGCTCTTGACTAGTGACAGCAACATCCCCCGTCTTGGAATGGCTTCTTGATTTCGTATTGCATACTCGAATAGATAGCATGGACATGCCTGTAGTTCATGACATGACATTAATGACCAGATTTCAATGTTCGTATACCCGATGTCGACGGCACCCTCGAACGTGCTCTCGAAGGGGCGGTTCTGCCCAGTTAGTGGCGTCAATGATAGACAATCCGGTTTTTGATTCATCCGCTATCTCTCGCCAAAACCAGGAAAAGTTAAAGATGAATTGGAGCATTACTCACGCAGACTCCATGTGTGGTCGAGAATATCGAATCAATATTTGCAAAAAGAAGGAACAAATACACAACGGATGAAAATATCCGCAACCCTACTCTGCAGCGAAATCAGGGTAATAACTCTCATCCGGATTCTTGCTGATCATATTTCCGCCGCGACGAAATCCGCCGTGGTCAGCTCCAAGTGCACGAGATCAGCCTCCCACTTGAGGTGTCGGATTACTCGGTCAGACAAAGAGTTTATCAACGCCAGACCAGGGATCAGTGCCAACGTTTCTTATTACACAGGAGGTACGGAGGAACCTAGAATCAGGGTCATGGCGAAGGGATTCACTGCGATTGTTATCCTAAACAATATGAGAGGCGTCAGTGTCAGCAACTTGTAAATGGTATTTCCATCCTCTCCGCGGGATGGTCTTCGAAGTCGCCGCGCTGCCCCAGTGAGAAACTGCCTTCCACGAGATTCTTAGCGCGACCATGTGTGTGGTACAACCAACACATGACACGTACGTCAACGTCTGCTAAGATATGCAGCGGCCGACGAGACGCGCTAAAGATTAGCCAAATACATGAACAGGTGCACGCTTATTACCCTTTGCCAGTGCACACTGTACCAAATGGTTCTTGCCACTTGCTTCTAACACTGCCGTCAACTTTGTTTGTGCTCTTTCAGAAGAGCAGTTATATCAAGGAGTACGTTGTGGTGAAATTTTTTCAAGGAAGATACAGACGAAGCCCTGATTATATGCGTTATGTGCCGACCAGCACTAGATACTGCAGGACCAGATTCAACGCCCTTTGGCCGGTTTTTATTATTGAGAAGAAAACTGAACTCAACTTCGGCTTCGCTCTTGTACTGGGGCTGCAATGCGTCACCCTAAGTGGTGTTATTCATTGCGTTTCCTGAACGGACACCGCGACAGAAAATCGCAAAAGTATATATCCACGCAGTCAGGCTCTGTTTAAGAGAAGAAAGCGAGCAGCTTGAAGGTGATGATTACGAGCTTGTCATCGAGTAAGTACAGTGAATATCATCTACCCAACTGGCGTTGGGGCCACGGCATAACGCCAAGAACAGCCAGTGCATGAGATGCGCAAATCCTGTCCAGTGAATCAGATAATGGGGACATGAAGGTCAGGAGAAGACGTACAATAGAGATCACGAGTCCTTAGGGCCCTCAATCATGAGCGGCGCCTCTCTCCTCGACCAGCTCCCTCCGCTCGCGCGTTTCGTCGCCTCTGTTGCCAACCTCTTGGTCTCCGCTTTAAAACGCGCCATTATTGCAGAGTAGCAAGCTCTGCATGCATGATGTGCGAGCTTAGGCTCTCCGCAGGCTGGACAGTTTACGATATCTTTAGGACTAGTCAGTGACTCGGGGGCAGGAGATAAATAAAAAAAAATGGGAGCGTACTCCGCTTGTCTTTAAGTCCTTTGTTTGCACTGCGCATGGACTTTCGCGAGTGAGAAATTTTACTCTTTGGAACTGCGAGGATGATGGGAGGGAGCAGTTCGAGCAGGGACTGCAAGCCTGGCAAAGCCCAACTGAATGACTTTTGCCGTAGCTCCGAGTTGATAGCTAGAGAAGCAGCAACTGGCAGCTGTGCCCACGACGACCTGAACGTAGAGATAAACGAGCGCGTCTGGTGTAGAGCTAATGAGGCCATGACGGTGGAGAAGGACTTTTGTAACTTTTGATGACTTCTTGATTTGTACTCCGAATTCAGACAGTGACTGAACTGAATCAAACACTCTTGCTAAACAGCAACCGTCATGTTCAGATTCACGCGTCCGTTGCTGCAACAAGTCACTAAGAAGACAACTGGTATTGTCGGTCTTGCCGTCCACCCAAACCCGCTCCCAGAACTCTCCAACGCTTACAATTCGACGCTCAGCGTCCTTGCTTCAATACCGCCAAACTCCGTCTACAGACAGGGCGTCGAGGCACTCACCAAACACAAACTCAACATTGTACAAGGCGCAAATGGGGACATTGCAAGTGTGGAGAAGCAGCTGGATGAGGGGCAAATCGAGGAGTCGTTGGATATTGCTAAAGATGAGCTGAAGTTGGCCGAGAATATGCTTGAATGGAAAGCGTGCGTTTTGAGATTTAGCATGTCTTTCTGCGCTTATTGACTTTATTCTTCAGTTGGGAGCCTCTAGAAGAGAAGCCATTACCTGGTCAATGGGAGTACTTTGGCAATACATCGAGCCCGGGATCTTCGTAGTGTCATCCAATAGCTCGGGATTTGTCGGGGGCAATATCACATTGCTGGACCACGTCCAGTACGACGCGCTAATACTAGTCGCGGAGGGAGCTTTCGCAAAATAGATTGATGACACCCGTCCAGACATTTAAAACATGCCACTGCGTGATTCTACCGATTCTTCTATCTGGTCTAACTTGTCAAAGGTTTCTGAGACACTACCACATATAGCTCTAAGAACTATCACAAACTGCTGCGATGTATCTGTGGCCCACAATTGTCTTCTTCCTCTTGCGTCCCGGGAACACCCTGGTCTGATATAACCTGATTCACTTCGTCAGGGTATTACTCAGACTTCCACTTGCTTACACACTTACCTTGCCATTTGCAATCTGGATGTCCTCCAAGCCCCAGTCCCTGGACGCACCTTCCTTGAGGTGGCTCCCTGAAGCCAAAGCCTTGGCCTCCCAAGCACCCAATACACCCGAAGCATCTGATTTACGAGAAAACTCGGAGATTGAGCAGCAGCCAACTCTCAAAGGGAGATCTGGCTGTGCTAGCAAGGCCCGGCACAGCACGATGACAATCGCAGCATGACTGACTAGAAGAATGTTCTTATGCTTGATGCCAAAGCGCTTTTCTATCTCCGTAACGAGCAGATCTGATACACCGTTGGCGCGCTCATGCAAGGCTTCGACGTCCTCGCCTCTTCGCGTGGGATACCAGATTGAGGACCACGAGGGGTCGATCTCTGAAAAGTATGTTTGCATGACTGCAGCGGACGATGGCCTAGGGTGCAAGCCAGTGCCAGGAGCGACAGGGGAATACCATTCGGACAATCCTGACCGACCATAAGCTGATGTATATTGCTATTTGTATTTGCCCACCGTGTTCGACATAGATGGGCACTTCAAGAGCTTTGGAGGTCGGCTTGGACGTTTGCAGACACCGATCTAAGGTAGTCTTAGCCTTGAGAGGATCAAGAAGTGATATGCTTACAGTAAGGGGAAGATAGTATGATGGTGGGACGCTTCTCTTCGGGAATAGCTAGAAAGTAGGCTGCAAGTTCCTGTGCTTGAGTCTAAGAATCATGTATAAGTTGATGATCCTGCCAATGGTCCGATGTTACCTCTCCATAAGCGGCCAAGGGAGGATCTCTTGGAAGACCTGTAGGACTCTTCCTGTAGTATCTATGTGTTAGATTATAGTTTGACCTGATCTTCATCCGCTAACCAGTTAGTGTTGATCCAGTTCAATCTGAACCCTAAGACTTGTTGAAGACCAGATGGAACGATAAAGAGGTGCACTGACCATGTCTAGCGATGTAGATTGTCTCAATCATATTCTAGCAGGTATGGGAGTACATTCAAGTTGATCATCTTCGACGTTCATAGCCGAGTCTAAGCCGAACCGGGATATAAAAAGTCAAAGATCGAAAAAATTCGCTGACAGCAGGATTTGAACCTACGCGGGCAATGCCCAAGTGATAATGTGAATTCAAATCACTCGCCTTAACGACTCGGCCATATCAGCTTGTATTCCGCTGGTAAACCCAGCAGAATAACCTCACTACCACCAAGATATCAAGAACACAAATCTTGAATTTCACGGCTTTGGTTCTCTCCTTACATCTCGTAGTACTTATTCGCTGCGCGGGAGCGGCATTAACTACCTTCCATGGATTCTTTAATCCCATTCACAACATCGGGATCACTGGTAGATTGCGTGGACAGTACGTCTACCCAGTCAACTGCACGGCAACCATTCGACCTGAAGCCTCCATGATCACTTTACCCCCCAATTATAATATGTGCTCTTTCGCCCGTCCCAGGAAAGATGTTGGTCGTCCTCAGAGACGGGCGAAAATTACACGGTGTACTACGCTCTTATGATCAATTCGGTGAGTTCATTTTCGTCAAGCATACGATAGTCCGCTGACTCCCCCAACTCACCCGCTTTTTCAGCTAACCTCGTCCTCGAAGACACCGTCGAGCGGATATACCACGGTAAAGCATTCGCAGAACACTGGCACGGCCTCTTTCTCATACGCGGAGAGAATGTCGTTTTGCTTGGCGAAATTGTACGTATTCGAGCGCCGCGCAGCAGGTGCATTTACGTTGTTGATGTCTCTTCGCAGGATCTCGATCAGGAGGATGATGTCCCATTACAACAAGTAGATTATTCCGTTCTTGATCCATATCATAAGAGGGATATCGCACATAAGAAGGCGCGCGAAGATTTCAAATCCAAGGTCTTATATGAGCAAAAAGGGTTCTGCAAGGAGGGTGGCGAAGGCGATGGCTATTGATGGACTATCGTACTAGTACTGTTTATTCATTCCTCATGCATACCGCCTATGGGCGTATTGGTTTATTGTGTCGTCTAGCATATATGTGCGGTATCACCGGTTAAAGGCCAGGGCTACAAGAAAAGACGAAAATACCATCATCAAGAACTGCAAAAAAAAGCGAAATGGGACGTCAAATGCTCTGACAACAAACAAGAAAAAATGTCTTAGAAATACAGTGGCGTGAATTAAGATTTCTTCTTCTTCCCCTTTTCTACAGCATCCCCGTTAATCCGAGGTTTGCTAGTGCCATTAAGTGGCGGACCTGCAAGTGAGGGCTTGGACGGCGTCTGAGAGGCATTCGTTGATGGTGGGTATAATATGTCTTCGATTCCTTTCCTTATTTCGCGTTCACGAGTGGTGAGAGTGGTGAGGATTGTTTCCTTCGTTTCTTTATCGAAAGCAACCTCGGCAACGCGTAGTTTTTGCCACCTAAACCACGGTCAGATCCGGCACGTTAAAATCCATAAAATCAATGCTCACCCTGCATGCCGCTCGCATTTTTTCTTCCCTGTACACCACCACTCTCCATGACTCGTTGCGACGCCATCCACCTGCATGACATCATCTGACCCGTCCTCCTTTGTCTTCTCCTCATAGCTCTCCAACACCTCCGCACCAAAATCATCCCATTCTTCCTCACCAAAACAAAGCCTCTGATCCCACCCACACTCATCCACCCTTTCGGCACGCTCAGAAGCAAGCTTCACCAACTTCTCCCTCCACAGCACCATATCCATCTCACGCTTCATCATCTCCCGCTCCCTCACCACATTCTCGAGGCGTGTATTCAAGCATGCAATTTCACGCTCCGCCTTGCGCTTCTGTGCAGAAACAGGTGCAGGTGATGGCTTTCTGTCGATCTCCATCTTCACGTCCGCACAGACGACAACGCCCTCGCGCTTTTCTGCGTTCTTGACGCTTTCCCAGAGCTTGTCACGTTTGCCGCCGCTACGCTCCCATTGCGAAATACGCATCTGCATGTACTTGATGCCGCATTCGTCGGAGCAATATTTGGAAAAAGCGCCTCGAGATGGTTTGTGGCACGCATTCGATGACGATGGGTCTGTATGCTTCAACCCGAAAAAGCAGCGGAGCTTATACGTCGTCTGGAGGTGCAAGTGGGGGTTACCTGTGAACACATCAAAAAAAAATAAGCAAGTTGAATCTCTGCATGATACTGGTGACGTACTTTGTATGCACACCGGGCAGATGAACTGATCCACAAGATCGACCTCTAGATCGGGCATGTTGACGCACTGCGTATGATACCACTCGTCACAGCTATACAACTTCATCAGCTCCATTGTTGAAAAAAGATAAACAAAAAACACCCACCGGTCGCATGCAATCATGACCCGATCTTCGTCGTATCGTGTTTTGCAAACGCAGTAGAGCTTATCATCCTCCCTCTCGCTGTCCTCGTCTTCCGGCTCTTCTTTTGTGTCGACAGGCATCACAGACGCAGAGCGTGACCGTGAGGCAGCAGCATGCTTCGCAAAGAGACTATTCTTGAGAACATCTTTCGGCGTAGGTTCCTTGGCTTTTGTCTTCGGAGGAGGCTTTGCCCGCGCTTTCGGCGGAGGTTTGGGTTTCGGAGGAGGCTATGACACGAAAATGAGTCACCTGAAAACCGCAAAATAAAATAAGGTCACCTTGGGAGTAGCCATCCCTTTCTTCTTGCCGGCCTTTGCTGGCTCCGCCTTCTTTTTAGTAGGCGCCGCAGGGGGAGGAGGCATGAGCTCGTCATCTGGAGGAGATGGGCGCTGTGGAGAAGGCGACGGTTTGGGTTTTGGACGCGAGGCTTTGTGATGTGGTGATGGGCGATCCTCAATGAGACTCAAGAGTTCCTCATCCACATCCATCGAAGAGGGGTCGGGCTTGTGTTTGGGAGAGTGGGAGGGACGAGCAGGAGACACGCGAGTGGAAGATGAATATAAAGGGGATTGCGGGCATTCCGTAGCGGTAGGTGCAGTGGCGTGGACGGGAGAAGGAAGGCGCGCCTCCTGCTCCTCCATCTTACTTGGTTGGAGAAGCGGGAGCGATGGAGAATGTACCTTTACCTTGCCACGATACATTGGAGGCAAGTTGCGTTCAGCGCTATCGTCAGCTGGGGGCGAAGCTTGGATAGCCGGGGAGCCGGATGTAGATGGTTGTGGCTGCTCTTCCTCGCCTTCCACAGCGTCTGGACCCATGTCTACATCTTCATCCTGCTGGAATTCGTCCAATTGCATCTGCTCAAGCTGCTGTCGGCGCTCGAGCTCCTGCTGCTGTTGAAGCGCGAGCTCTTCTTGCTGTCGTCGCAGGGCTTCTGAACGCTGTTTCCACTGGAGTTCTTCTCGTTGGCGTTGTTCCTGTTCCTCCCGTTGACGCTGCTCCTCCCGTTGACGTTCCTCTCGTTGGATCTGCTCTTCACGTTGACGCTGCTCCTCCGCCAATCGTTGGCGCTCAAGCTCCTCCCGCTGCTCACGTTCGAGGGCTTCCCGTTCCTTGCGTTCAGCCTCTTCAGCCAGTCGCAATCGCTCGGCTGCTTCTCGCTGTTGGCGTTCAACTTCTTCCAGCTGCTTGCGTTCGAACTCTGCATGCTGGCGTTCGGCCTCCTCCTTCTGCCTGCGTTCAGCCTCTTCTCGCTGAGCCTGTAGTTCGAGCTCCTCGAGACGCTTGCGCTCAAGGTCTTCCCGTTCTTTCCTCTCGGCTTGTTCACGCAGCTTGCGCACACGTTCTTCCTCCTCCCGGAGCTTGCGTGCTTCTTCTCTCTGCTTGAGCAAAGCTTCCTCGCGCTGCTGATACAACGTCATCTCGCGCTGCATCCGCTCGAGCTCTTCTTGGCGCTTCTGTTCTTCGTCTCGGCGGCGCTGTTCGCGCTCAATGCGTTGACGGTGCTCAAGCTCAGCACGCACAGCTTCTGCACGTTCGGCCTCTGCACGTTGGCGTAGCTCAGCCTCTATACGCTGTCGCTCAGCTTCTGCAACACGTCGTCGCTGGACATCTTCCTCCCTGCGTCGGCGCTCAGCTTCCTCTTCTTGGCGTCTGCGCTCAGTCTCCTCTTCCAGCCGTCTGCGCTCAAGTTCTTCTTCATGTCGTCTGCGCTCGAGCTCCTCTTCCGCCCTCCGTTTCTCGAGCTCTTCTTGACGGCGTCGCTTCTCGATTTCCTCTTCTTGCCGTTTGCGAATGAGTTCTTCCCGCTGACGCTGCTCGGCCTCTGCACGAATGCGTTCGATCTCAACCTTGGCCTTCAGTGCCTCTTCTTCTTCGCGCCTCCTCGCCTCTGCCTCCCTCTGCCTCAAAGCCATCTCCTCCCGACGGCGCTGCTCTTGGCGCAATTTAAGCTCCTCTACCTCCCGAGCAGCAGCCTCTTCTCGCTGTCGAAGAAGCTCCTCGCCCTGCCGGCGCTCAAGCTCTTGACGCTGCAACTCCCGCTCGAACTCCTGCCTCCTTTGATTCTCCTCTTGTTGACGCAATAGCTCCTGTTCGCGCTGTCTCAACAGCTGTTCGCGATATCGAGGGTCCATATCGTCTGGGTGGAGGAGGGGATCGCGCGCGGGATGGAGAGAGGTTTCACGTTTGGGGTGATGTAGAGATGGCTGGCGATGTAAGGATCTGTCCCGTTTCTGACGTTGGGAGTCTTCCCGGGGGGATTGATGCAACCCCTCTCGCCGCCCGCGCATTTCTTCTACTTTCCATGCAGCTGCTTCTTCCTGTGCGCGGAGAAGGCCCTCGCCGTGCCAGCGCTCAAACTCTTGATGTCGAAGGATCTCTTCGCGCTGTCTGACAACGATATCGTTTGGATGGCGCTGACGGAGTTCGAGTTCGTGACGTTGGCGGATCTCGAGTTCTGGGCGCTGACGGATCTCGGGTTGGCGAAACTCTAGTTCTTGGCGCTGGCGGAGGTCAAGCTCTTGTCTGTGCCGAAGTTCGTAATCCTCTATATGCTCCCTCGACTCTGTATGCCTGGGGGGTTCCTCACGCCTTCTGTGATCGTCGACTTCCTCTTCATCCCATACCGCCCTGCCGAGACGGGGGACATCAGAGCGCATCGCTGCGTATACGATGGGTGACATTCGGGTAGGAACGACAGGAGAATGGCGTGTGGGGGAACGATGCAGAGGAGGCTGATAATATGAGGGTGTTATTCCTGGGCCTGACAGGGGTATATTGGAAGGAGAAGATAGATGTGGGATTGCGGGGCCTGTGAGACTTGAGCTAAGAGCGCTTGCTGTTGGACTTGGATTTGGGAGTGAGCGTTGGGGTGGTGTTGGAGAGCGAGATTCTCGTAGTCTCTTGTGTGGACGAGGTGAGTCGTCTGTGATGTAGAATGGATAAGGGCGGGGAGGGGGTAAGCTGACTGGACTGCTGCTTGATTCGCTTGTTGATGAACCTGCGCTGATACGCCTTCGTTCTTCTGAAGCAGCATGAACGAGAGCGTCGAGACCTGTTCGAGGATGTGACATTGACTGTACATGTAGGATTAAGAGATAAAGGCGATGATAAAAGAGGAATACTGACGAAAGGCGAACGAACTGGATTTAAAAGAGCGTTTACCGAAGAATGAGAATGAGATGAATCTGGACGTGGTGAAGATTGAATTTGTTGTCTTGGATGGTGTAGGAGGGCATCGATGGTTCTTGGTGGCATGTTGGGTGAAGTCTGTTCGCGTGGTTGTGGTATGTAATTATGAGGCTGCTGTCGTGCGTGTTTACCACGAAGATGTGGAGCTAGAATGACAGGTTGATAGATTAATGGTGAGGACTGTTGCTCGTCGTCGTCGTTATTGTTGTTATTGTTGTCGTCGTCGTTGTTGTCGCAAAGTAGCGATGAGATGTCCATTCGTCTTGCGGCCATGTCATTGAAAGAAAGAAAAGAACTCGTGAGAGACTGAATGATCACGCTTGCTTAATTTTGTAACCGAGAGTATCCGAATCATTCGAATTCAAGAATTAGAATCAAAGAAGCTCTTGTACAACGAGACATTGCGAATTTCGTCCAAACGGCGACCATGAATAGTCTCCACTACGAACGCACCGCACCCAAGTCCCATCATTTAAAATCACTCTTCAGCCCATTTATGACGGTCTCAAGGTCCTCGTTCTACAACCATCCAAAAAGGCGGGTAAAACTCGTCGAGATGCTTTTGAAGGCTATTTAAATTTTTATTAGAACGTCGTCCTGGTCATCTTGGAATAATATGAGACTCACCTGTTTTTGTTATAAGCGTAAGCTTACAAGCTGGAATTAGACTTGTTTTTATAGGTAGCACGTGTTAGGAACTGTACAGCCGATTCTTTGTGGCTTGAATGGACCCCGGTTCGTGTTTACGGGGTCATCACAACTAGATCTCCATCCTTCACTTAAACTGATTGATCCTTAAAAACGGCCCCGTCAAGTCATGTCGGTGGCCACAAGAAACCCGTTTGCACTCTTGGACGGCAGGTTTTTGGTTTCTCATCTTATTCTGTCACTTACTTTCACATACCTACAGATGACAGGCCATCCACTCCTCCACCTCCAGCTGAGCCTGCAGCAGCAGCACCCGCTCCACAACAACAAACTCGTACTCGTGGACGTGGAGGCCCTGCATCTCGTGGTGGTAGATACTACCAGCGTGGAGGCGCTGCACCCCCTGCTGCCCCTCCTAACTGATGACCAACCAGTTGTAGAGCCAAAACCAAGGCGATGTGAGTACTCTCCTTCTTTCAGTTCCATTATCTCATAAATAAAAGTCGATGGTGAGCGCAAAGAAGGCCGTGGAAGAGGCCGCGGTCGTGGTGGTGACCGTGGTGGTGATCGTGGTGGCCGTGGCCGTCCATTTGACAGGCACAGTCAAACCGGTAAAACGTAAGTCCTCCCCTCCCTCATTCTTCACCCTCCTCACCCTTTCACCCAGCGACTCTGACAAAAAAGTCCACAACTCTTGGGGTGGCGACGATGGCGAAACAGAGCGAAAAGTAGAGGAAGCCGCTACAAACGACGCTCTTGCAGAGAACACCAACGCTGCTAGCGGTCTAAATGACTGGGCTGGCGGAGCAGCTGAAACCCCTGCAGACGACTGGGCTGCCACCACAGACGCTCCTAAAGATGACTGGGCTGCTCCTCCCGCAGCAGAAGGTGGCGAAAAGCCTCAATCCGGCGAAAAGCGTGAAAGGCGCGGTGACAGAGAGGAAGAAGAAGATAACACTCTCACTTTCGACCAGTACCCTCGCACAACAGCGCGAGAAGGAAAACGCACTTGTCCCCAAGTTGGACGTCAGAAAGCCCAATGATGATGCAGATGATGATGTCTTCAAGGGCGCTGCACCCTTGCAGAAGGACGAATTGGAGTACTTTGCTCCAAAGGTACATCTCTTCCTATATCTGTCAATCGTAGCTCACACTTCTCCAGGCCAAATCTGCCCCAAAGGCTCGCACCAAGAAAGAAGAAAAGGTCTTCATTGAGATCGAAGCTCGCTTCGAACGCCCAAGCCGTGGTGGTCGTGGCGGTCGTGGTGGAGACAGGGGTGGCGGAGAGCGGAGCCGTGGCGAGAGGGGTCGCGGCCGTGGGGGACGTGGACGTGGTGGTGCGAACGGTTATTCCGCTCCTACCTCATCTGCCGTCAACGTGGACGATGAAACCGCATTCCCCTCACTCTCATAGGGGAATTGCTCGCGCACAATAGGCGCCCCCAAGATTGCAGAATGTGATGGCTTGATTTAGTGTATACTGACTGAGATTGACGCCTGCTGATTACGCCACATATCATTTTCCCCGATTCGCTTTGTCTGTTTTGTCTTTTTTTTCCCTCTGTCTTTCTCGAGGTTCATGCAATTATTTTGCCATGATGCAAACACGAAAGCACGTTTGATGTGATCTGAAATTCCCCCACAATCTCAGTCCCGCGCACGTCAAGAAAGACGCCGTGAGTCCAATAAAAAATTCAGCTCTCACCGCACACAATCAATTTCCGCCCGAAATCATCCGATGAGCTATGGCTATAAAGCCTCCCACTCATTCGCTCACACCTCATGCCCCATTCTAGTCTCACAGACGCATTATGGCCGTCTGGGAGAACTTCCTCAGGGCTAAGAGCGACTCGTAGCGTATCGTGTTCACCTGTGTTGTCCTGACCCCAGGTAGACTATATGGGTCAGCAGTCTGGACCCAGCGCTCGACAGCACATGATCTGTAATCAATATATTATTCATTGATGGTGTTGTTATACATGGCCAGCTTGTCGATCGTGTTGTACCCATCCCCTCTAAAAAGTAACATACGCACTCGCATAACTCACGCTCCAATCATCAAACGACACACACCGATTGCTCTGCTCATATCGCACCCATTTCATTCTCGCCTGCTTGCCTTTCTCCTCCAGCGCACTGAGTGCACCCATCAGCACCCCTATGGGATGTCGTCCGCAAATCGTATTATGCGTGCGCTCTAGGTACGCAACGAATTTGGCGTGTGCGGTAGACGCGGGCTGTTGAGTGAGGATATCCATCGCTTCGTGGTCTAGATCTGAAATGGATGTATGGATGGGCCGAGAAGGTGACGGGCGCGGACCGCTACGGCGGAGATTAATACCCGGGATATCACTAGGGAGCGTCTTTGGATAATAGAACGTGTATCCATAATTCGAGTGACCCCTATATACCATCAGCCATCAAATAATGCACCACCAAAACAAACGCACCAATGACAAAAATCGGAAGAGATAACAAACAACGTATCGTCCCTCTCAAGGTACGGGGCCAAGATCTTCCCATACTCTTTCTCCTGCTCCTGATCGATAGCACCGACCATGATCGGCACGATCTTGATATTATCGATGCACCTACGAACCAGGCTCGAAACGGACGAGGGGAAGGAGGAATGGGGCACAGCTTACCCCTCGAAGACTTTGTATACATAGGGCAGCTGCATCTCGATACTGTGCTCGCCTTGCTCCCTGCGTGGTTGGAGGTACTCGAATTGTTTGGTCTTGTAGAGTTCTTCGATGACTTGGATATGGGGTTAGATCTGGGCGGTTGTTTGTTTGTTTGTGTGGGACGTACCTTCTCTGTCTAGTGTGAGGTTTCCTAGTGGGGTCTCGTACGTCTCACATTTCGAGAGTGCGCATCCACCGAGATAGAAAGCGTGCGATGGGCCTAGGATGAATACTCGGGAGCTGCAAGGCGGTGCATCTCATCAAGGATAATATTTGGGAAAGAGACACTTACATTCCAGCAGTGGATATGCTCTTGTACGCCCAAGCAGCTGCAGGGCCAGAGTATGAGTACCCAGCGTGACTAGTAGATCTAACTCAGGAACAAAGAAGAGACGGGAGTGATAACATACGGTGCGATAACCGCTTTGCACCCTGGGACCGGCGGCGCAAAGTCGTCCTCATCAGTAGGCTTAACGTCAGCCAACCAGCTCGAGAGCTCCGCATCAAGGGTGTCGCCTGTTGTTTGACAGAAGACATGCAGTGCTTAAGTAGATGATCTGGCGAAGCAACGAACCATCTGCTGAATACCAAAACTTGGCGGGAAATACAGCTGGTCTGTTGGACATTCTGGTTAGCTACGAGCATAATATCGCAGCGAGCGTTTTCATGCCTGGTTTTGAGGGACATGCTGGGTGGTTCAGGTAAAGGTGATGGAGTAAACCTCCTTTGATATCAATGAGCGATGTGATCATGTGCCTCATTAGGCAATCTCAGGTCGTCAATCTAGACGCACAACAGGAGACAGGAACTAATAGCACAATATCCTCATGCGACAATACATCATTTAGCCTGAAGCATGCTTGCATGTCGATTATCTCCAGCATATGAAATGAATACATGGGAATGGCGTGAATGAGAAACGACAACAACAAATCACTCTTCCGACCGCAGCCGTGCTGCAGAGTTCGTCACCTTCACTCCGAGAACCTTTGCTCTAAAAGCCACAACGCATCAGAATCTCAAAGCGCGCAAGACCCAGAAGTAGTCGAGACTCACCGCTCAAGAATGATGGTGCGGTTACGGCTGCTAACGTTGTGTGCGATCTCAGCCGCGTAGCTTTTGTTGTGCATCAGGAGGAGGTCAACTTCCTTGACGTTGTTGATGAGGAATTTCTTGAGGCCGTTGGGGAGAAGGTGACGGGTCTGGTACAAAACATGAGCATGAGCATCTAGCAGCGGAGGAGCCTCTCTACCTTCTTGTTGCTCCCGTAACCAATCTTGGGCATGGGGAGCTGCCCCTTGAACCGACGCCTCACTCTGTTGTCAATACCCTTGGGTTTCCGCCATGCTTCCTTGACGCTGTGGTAACGGTCGGACTGGTGGCGCCTGTGTTGGAGAAAATGAGTCCTGGTTTATCAAGAGGTACTGCCGCTTCGTACGCACTTGAAATGCTTGGTGCGCTTCTTGACGATGGGGATCTTGATGGCCATGGCGGTCTAAAAGGAGTGGTTAGTGGTTGACTTTCAGCGGAGATGCCGGATCCCAGGGTGACCACATCAACACATCCGAGTATGAATCCATCCATTCATCGACTTGTTTTGGCTTAAACTCTCCAGAATCGAATATTATTGACATCGGACTGTGCTATGGACCTGTTCAACACCAGCATAAAGAGACTCACCCGCGAGTTTTGGATTTTGGAAACGACAGCTTACTTGTCCACTAGTTTCCACTCACTGGCGGGTGTGGGCTCCAAATAGAACCAAACAATTCGGTGGCTGTGCTAAACTTCCCCGCATGAATCTGACAAGGCATAGTATTGCATGCACTAGTACTCATTACTACATGACACTATTGCCTGTACTTATCCATTCCCCGTGCTCTCTCTCAGCTACAATCGACGATTTCAGATTACACCGTCTCCGCGTAATATAGAAAAGGAACGATTGTCTTACTTCTGTCATGTCTGACTAGGGAGACTACGTTTTCCTAATTTCCCTCAGCCAGACCAAATAGAAGGAATATGCTCTTTCTCTACGGTGAAAGTTATCCGTGGATGTACACGCTGGCAGGTCATATGAAGCAGGTTGCTTGCAACTTTCCCGCCAGATTCAAAGTACCGCTGTGTGTGAGAGGTCGAATCTTCCCTTGTGTCTTTAGTATAGCTATGGTCTTCTCACGTATTCAATGATAGCGCTCACCTCCCATCAGCGGTACCGCAGTACCGCATATGAAGTTCCAAGATTGCAGGCGAGTCGGTGGCACGTGCTGACGGAGGTCCCATGCACTAGCTAGCAGTTGATTTGCTAGCCGTGCGAGAATAATGTGCCTTTGAGCGAGATTGAAAGGTTTATTTAAATCATAAACCGAAGAGAAACGAAGACTTACGAAGCAGGTCGATTTACCTAAATAATTAGTCTCTGAAAGTCTGAATAAACCTTCATAATCTTATAATCTTCGTGCACGGGCGGATCCATTCTATGCAGACAACTTGAAAAGGAAAGCGACCCTGCGACCGCAGCAGCGGGCGCTAGGACATATCCTGTGCGTCGCGATGCAGGAAATCAGCTAGAATTCACCGGGAATCAATACTTGCATCGATTTTCAAGATGAGGCACTGTCAGCCGCAATGCTATGGTCCCAGCTACTGATTGTCGATGAATCCACTGCAGAAGGGGAAGTCGAAGGTCGTCATGGTGGAGTGCACTCGGTGCGCAAGTACCCACCACGTCGTTGATGATAAGCTGCTGGCAAATTGTCAATTCCATGTCGGGATGCACGGAACTGCTAAATTGAGATCCGTGTGGCGACATCCTAACAGCCTCGCAGTCACGTCAAGTACCTGTTTATGAACTTCGGTCGTACTAGTACAAGTACAATGGACGTAAGTGACAAAACGTGTGTGGGGTAGCTTGGATCATTGGGCCGTGAGAACAATGCCGGTCTAATGTCTTAGTGGCGGATGACAAGTCCTCGTGCCGCACTTAAGGAGCTTGATCAAGTGATTCCGGCGCTCACTTGTGTTTCTCATCCTTGCACATTCCGTTTCCGCTTTGTGTCTTACGAGGGATCACTGGTGCATAATTTCATGCTCGCCGCAACCCCCATCGATTTTGCTTTCGACGAAGATGATCATTGGCTATCCCCAGCTCCCCCTTTGCTGTACAGGTCGACAAGTGTCGGAAGTAGCTGGGGAGTCACATCGATAGGTCGCGGCTTTGATTGGTCTACGAATGATGATGAAGTCGAAGTCATATCACAACCTGAATGTCCATTGGAGAAAAAACCACCAATCAACTCACAGGATCTTCCAAAGCACGAAGACTCTAAGCCCGCAATAGCTACCCGACCGTCTCTACTAGTTTCTCCAGTCTCTGTTCGATTGCTTTCCGAAACTCAAACGACCTCTCCTGGCCATGAATCATTGACGATATCCCCATCCGCATCCACTCCCAACCTAACGGACTCTCCGATCTCTGACTCTCCGTCTCGTTCGCTATCACGCTTGTCATTGCATTCGACAACCCCACTTCAGCCGAATGTGTCTGAAGCACATCGTCCCCCACTTCCCCGTTCTCCTACCATGTCACGAGCTCGCAGGAGGTCTTCACAACAACGGGTGTCACTCATCGCAGGACGCGTTATGATAGCTCCAATAGAGCCGCCTTCACCGCCTCCTACGATGCCAAAAATTCTGCATCGGTCAGGAAGCACTGGAAGTATGTTGTCCTCTGTTGCCAGTACCTGTCCTCCGACCCCCGCTCGTGAAGCCTCCTCATTACCCGATGTAAAGACCATATCAGACTTTTTTATCGAAGGTGAGATCGGCCGAGGCGCGTACGGCCTTGTCAAAAGAGCACGCGAATACAAAGCAGATGGATCCCTTGGGGTGAGGTTTTATCCACCAGACTTTCTCTTTGATTCTTGCGGTCTGACAATGGGACAAGCCACCGTTGGTTTTGAAACAAATAATCAAGTCTCGCATCCTTGCTGACTGTTGGAAACGACATCCACGGTTTGGCACGATACCAATAGAAATTTTCGTCATGTCTGTCATATCATCAACGTCATACACCTTACCCGCGGTACGGTCATGGGATCCATCGCGACGTCGACCTCCCGCTGGAACCGACGGGGACACAACACATTTGCAGCCTGATTGTACTCACATGGACCACGATGAAAGGTGGGAAGAAGGGAAAGAAATCAAGGGACATCCAAATATCTGCCCTCTGGTGGATTTCTTCGAAGACAATCATTATTACTATCTTGTCCTACCGTCTTCCACTCCTGAAAAGAAGTCCGATGAGCCTCCTCCAACAGATCTATTTGATCTCGTCGAGGCCTACCCCCAGGGACTGTCGCCCTTTGATATTCGCAGCTATCTCGGACAGCTTGCAGATGCTCTATGTTTCTTGCACTCTCATGGGATAGGTTGGTAGTTCGATTCCAGAATCTCTCAGTGACATACTGATCCATCGTCAGTTCATCGAGACATAAAGGATGAGAACGTTGTCCTCGGACGAAATGGCAAATGCGTCTTAATAGACTTTGGAAGTTCTGGACTTGTGAAGAAGAACGGATGGGACACATTCAGTGGGACGTGAGTTTTCTCCATACTCGCGCCTTCTATTTGTCAATGCGGTCGCTTACCCGATCAAGGTTGGACTATGCAGGCCCTGAAATACTGCGTGGGGAACGATATCACGGGAAGGAGCAAGATGTATGGGCGTTTGGTGTTGTGGCCTACGTCCTTCTCGTAGGAGAATGCCCTTTCGTTACGGCAGCTGAAGCGCAAGAGGGGCTGACGTCGCCGTTTGCGAACGCATCTATTGCGCTGGATGAGCGGTGTGGTGATGATAAAGAGAAAGAAGGAGAAGAGGTAGATGGAGGTGGAGCGGCAGGAGATGCTGCAGCCCTTGTCAGGGCTTGCTTACAAGTGGACGTGGGCGCAAGACCTACGTTTGAGAACATTCTCCAGTGCAGATTTTTGAACGGGGGAAAGGGTTGGGGCATGGAGGTGCCCTTCGGTAATTATCAACACCTGTCTCCACAACCGAGCGCGTTTCCAGCGCGTGTCACTTGATCGAAGGCAATGAGGCAGGTACTCCGTCTTTCAGACTCTCACTGATCCTCATGAGGATCTGTTCAGCCTATCTTTGCTCTCGGACATCTCTCCTTTTATGTCGTTTCTTTTTATCTCAAATCATCAAATCTCACCCTATCAGCATCGATCTGCCATGAGGCCCCACAATATTAATCTGTTTTATCTAGCTAGCGCGCATTGTTATCGATAGGCTGTAGTACATCGCAATCCTCTTCTTATAGATAAATCATATCTGCGGACCACCGACGTGACTAGGTCACAGTCGTATACTCTATGTATCAAATTGATCGGGACGTTCGAGTCTGTTCGAGTCTCAGGAGTCAGCGGCAGCGCTAGATGACTCGGCCAGTCCGGCGCCACGCGGCCGGTGCCGAGCGGAGTCACGGCGGCATATCAAATCACAAGATCGATAAAAATTTTCCTTTGGGAAGGTATAACTATCAGTAAAATCAACAGGCTCTCTCTTTCTTCCGTACCATCACATCCCATTCCTCTTTGTTTTTTTCTCTCTTTCTGTACACTTAAGTGAGTTTTTTTTTTCTTTTCCGATCTTTCAAAAGATCCTGGTTACTAGCGCGATCCATTCACCGATGTCCTTATCGTCATCGCGCGATGGCATTCTGCGATTTTACATCTTATGGTCTCCGATTACTATGATCACTGCCAATCCGTCTTCTTGAAGTATCAGTCACTGACGATCGCACCATTGGACAGAAATCCTTCAAAATGGGAAAGGAAAAGATTCACGTTAACGTTGTCGGTGCGTATCTGATCATCTGCAGTAAGCCCATTGATCTGATCCATCGCAGTCATCGGTCACGTCGATTCTGGTAAATCTACCACCACTGGCCACTTGATCTACAAGTGCGGTGGTATCGACAAGCGTACCATCGAAAAGTTCGAAAAGGAAGCTGCTGAGCTCGGCAAGGGTTCCTTCAAATATGGTGAGCAACTGGATAATCTACATATCAATAACGTCACTGATAACGATCTTCAGCATGGGTCCTCGACAAGCTAAAGGCTGAGCGTGAGCGTGGTATCACGATCGACATTGCTCTGTGGAAGTTCGAGACCCCCAAGTACATGGTTACCGTAGGTTTTATCGACGACTTTCTGGGTAACATCTGCTTAGGCATTTTCCAGGTCATTGATGCCCCAGGACACCGTGATTTCATCAAGAACATGATTACTGGTACCTCCCAAGCTGACTGTGCTATTCTCATCATTGCTGGTGGTACTGGTGAGTTCGAAGCTGGTATCTCCAAGGACGGTCAGACCCGTGAGCACGCCCTCTTGGCGTTCACCCTCGGTGTCCGTCAGCTCATCGTTGCCGTCAACAAGATGGACACGACTAAGGTAACATGCGTTGACATTTTTGACAATTTATGCATTAACACTTGAACTCAGTGGAGCGAGGATCGTTTCAACGAAATTATCAAGGAAACCTCCACCTTCATCAAGAAAGTCGGCTACAACCCCAAAGCCGTTGCATTCGTCCCCATTTCTGGCTGGCACGGTGACAACATGTTGGAGGAGTCCCCCAAGTCAGTTTCATTTGGGGCCCTGATTGATCATATTCTCACGTCTCACACAGCATGCCATGGTACAAGGGCTGGACCAAGGAGACCAAGGGCGGTGTTGTTAAGGGCAAGACCCTCCTCGATGCTATCGATGCCATCGAACCTCCTGTCCGTCCTTCTGACAAGCCCCTCCGTCTTCCCCTCCAGGATGTCTACAAGATCGGTGGTATTGGCACTGTACCCGTCGGTCGTGTTGAGACTGGTGTCATCAAGGCTGGCATGGTCGTTACCTTCGCTCCTTCGAACGTGACCACTGAAGTCAAGTCCGTTGAAATGCACCACGAGCAGCTTGTTGAGGGTCTTCCCGGAGACAACGTCGGTTTCAACGTCAAGTTCGCATTTGTCATTCGTTTCCCTAACCTTCACACTTATATATACCTTCAGGAACGTTTCGGTCAAGGATATCCGTCGTGGCAACGTTGCTTCTGACTCCAAGAACGACCCCGCCAAGGAAGCTGCTTCCTTCAATGCTCAGGTCATCGTCCTCAACCACCCTGGTCAGATCGGTGCTGGCTACGCTCCAGTGCTTGACTGTCACACCGCCCACATCGCTTGCAAGTTCGCCGAGTTGATTGAGAAGATCGACCGTCGAAGTGGAAAGTCCCTCGAGGCATCTCCCAAGTTTGTCAAGTCTGGTGATGCTTGCATCGTCAAGCTTGTTCCCTCTAAGCCCATGTGTGTCGAGTCCTACAACGAATACCCACCTCTGGGTCGCTTCGCCGTCCGTGACATGAGGCAGACTGTTGCTGTCGGTGTCATCAAGTCGGTCGATAAGACTGACAAGTCTGGCGGAAAGGGTGAGTCCCTCGGCTAATCTATCTGCGAATAAACTTGCTGATTGATGCTCTCTTCAGTGACGAAGTCTGCGGAGAAGGCTACCAAGAAGAAGTAATAGATGTAGAACTGCCGTATCCATATTCTTTTCTTTCCGGCTTTCTGCTGTACGCTGTCTCTCTGGTGCCACCCATACGGTATTCATACCTGCAATGTGTTTACTATCATCATTTGTATGCACGATTAACGAAGCTGGCAGCGAGGTCATGACCAGTGGCCTCGCTCGCCTGTTGATTAATGTCGCGGAGATGTTGTCTCGAATAAGAACGAAGGGATTTAATTGTATCAATATTTTTATTCGTCGTCCTCTCTTCCATTGCAATCGACGTGCATCAAAGCTTCAGACGGATCTTCATCGAATTCATACCTTGTGACCTATAATATTTGTCACAGATCTAGCATACGTGTTCGACTTTCTCTCCTTTGTCGACTTTGGGCCCGAGATCTCTCCCGATAGTTCTGTCAAACACCTCCATCATGAATGTAAACAAGGACCGCGTGAGAGCAGCGTCCCATCGACCTTTGGAAGATTCATCTCTGATGAACGCGTGCTGCGCCTGCACTTCTAGAAACTGTATCTGTGGTGAACATTCTAAAAATGCACACTAAACCATGTAACCTACAGAGCAGGGCACCTCGGCATCCTCAAGAGTCTTGCGGATGAGATCACGACCTTCGCGAGGGACATGTGTGTCCTAGCGGCACCAAGTTCAAACACGTCTCTTCTCCTAAACACCTTCACGTACCTGTTTCCCGAAGATCATCTATGAGAAGGCTCAGTATGGTGTCACTGCCTTTCTCAATCGCAAACAAACATACCACGAGTTCACCTTTGCCTGTCATATTCCCCTTCTGAACACGCGCAAGAGAGTCGTCGTTCTTGCCTTTGCCAAGAGTTGCACTGTGAACATCAGTTGCAAAGAAGCAGACAGAAGATAGTACACGGGGATCAAAAGCAGCCTTCACGTGAATCACAAGGGTCAGCGAAAACTGCTGGTAGCATCATCGCCCTGTCGCTTACCCGAAACGCCTATGGTTTACGTATTCAAAGATAAAGCACTACAAGCAGGACTGACAGACGCACCAAGTGCCCTCCTAAGCACATTCCTGTCGCTGAGGGACATTTCAATGTCTAGTATGCTAACGAAAACTTCGTTGACATACCTGCAACACGACCGTTGCAATTTGGCAAAGAAGCCAGAAGATCGACGGAGAGCGTAGCATCCTAGATCACAGCTAATACTTAGAAGCATATCGACAACAGAGCCATGAAGCTGACCTCGTCGTACGCAGCTAAGTCTTTCTCGATCTAACACAAGAATAGATGAGAATGCAAACCGTTACGATATAAAGTTGCTTGCCTTGTACCTGTTCCCCCTATCAGTTCCTGATATTGATGGTGATGAACAACGAATGGAAAGATGACGAGAACGAGAGATACCTTCGGTATCGTACGGAATGGCATCTGGTCCCTCAAACTCATGGTAGCTCGATGGGCAAGCAACCACATATCCCTGGCTCGCGATCTGACCAGCGAACCTTTCCACTGGCCCTGTCACTTGATAGATTTCACTGACGGATGTAAACAATCGTGCATAAGTTTAGCCCACCGAACTCAGGCTCACCTGAAGCATACCACACCTGTTGTCGTCCACAAGCACTGGATCAGCTTCAAGAAAATAAGAGCGATAATCAGAGCATGCGACTTACCGGGAAACTTTGCTTGTGGATAGTTTGGGACAACAGGAGAGATCACAAAGATGCGGATTGGACGCCCGTTGTCGAGTTTGCTGGGCACGTCGTGGAATGTTTTGGCGATGAGCATGGCCGTATAGAATGTAGTAGCTCCAGGCAGGGAAAATAGTTCAACCCACGTTCGATGAAGTGTGTGAAGCAAGTCTAATACTTAGTACTTAGTACTTAAGACTCCGAGTTTGAAGACTTTGAAGTTAAATCTTCAGAGTCCTTAAGAATAGTCCTCATATGTCGATCATCATTGGAACTTGTTTGCCTCGAGCGCTATCCACTGCACGTGCATATGCTTGCACTTCAAAGGGAGTTGCTGAACTTTTAAATTCTGAGGCCTGAGGCGGCACAACTGTGAATCGTATTAGTATTGTGCCTGGACTTGGCCCGGACAAACGTGCGATGAAAAGCTGCTACAAATCATGACAGCGAGAGTAGAAGTTGTTTCATCCTCACGCTCCCATCCATTTGCACGGTACAATCATGACAGAAGCTGATGCGCGCATCCGGTCGTATCAGGCTTCCGATGACAGACTGGTCAAGTTCAGCATCGGAAAGGCTTCGATGGAGGGTCTCGCAGTCGCAAATCGAAGTGGTACGTGTCGTCCTTAGCTTTCTCGCAATATTGACCAAATAATCCTGTAGCCTTTTTCCACCCATTCACGCTTAGTGCCTGGGTGGCCCTATCATGCATCATGATCCAATATCTCAACTGGTGGCCTAAACCAGAGTACGGGTTCCTTGGTTATTTGCCGCCTTTTCCAGCCTTTGGATGTTGGGGTGCTGTTATCCTCTACCTCATGGATTGGTGTGTTGATACGCACACATTGCGGACCGTTCAATAATTTAACTCGACAGGTTCAACCGTCCAGACTTTGAAGATGCGTCTCTTGACTTGTTGCGACGACCAGATGTCGCGGACATTGCAAATTATTATCAGCGGTCTCCCTCCTCGGGCTTTTTCATCCTTGAGTATTCCGGAAAGTTCATCGGTCTCATAGCTATCGACGCGTCCAAGGACTCCCAGTCGCAAGAGACGCTCATGGACAAGGGAAAGTCATCTTCCTCTCTGAAGTTGAAGCATACAATGCCTCAGGGAACATCATCCGTCGCTACAATCCGTCATTTCTATATCGAGGAGCCATATAGGACAGCAGGGATTCAAAATGACTTGCTCGCACATGCCATACAGCATGCATTCAAAGCGGACAATGCAGTCAAAGAGATCAAGGTGGCCACTACTTCCCTGATACTGTATGCTCAAAAGTGCATCCGCGACGCCGGGTTTGCTTTGGATAGGCCTATTGGCAAGTTTGGTGTTTATGGGTGGAAATTTGACCTACTCGTTCTTCGGAGGGCACAGTGGGAAAAACAAGATGCTGTTTTGTAAAGCCGATTGTTTAATGTCGTAGTTAAAAAGAACTATCTTCCTTCCTCTATAAATTTTAGGTCTGTCTAGGGAAGACTATATGTCGTAGGACTTGAGTAGTCCCAGTGACTTGAAACAAATCATGTCAAAGCAACCTGGACTCACCACAAAGAGAAGATGTCCTTACTCTCTTCCATCATCAACAACTCAACAGGATTAAAGCCACATCAACCACTGATCATCCTTCAGTCGTCTTCCGCACAGACATGTTATCCTATCTTGAGGAATCTGATCTCAAAATTTAAACCGACTACCCAGACACTGTTGTTTTGTTTCTTGCATTCACCATCGAACTTGACAAATATCGACGAGGCTCCAAATATCATTACGTTCGATTTCACTGGGCGAATTCCCGGCTATGACGATCTGTGGTGTGGTCTCCAGGACGAGATACTAGCTCGCATCAATTCTGGTTAGTATCAGCGCGTTTGATGAACATAATTATCAGACTGGTAAAACCTTGTAGTACCCCCGGGATCACTGAATGTGATCATTGACTCGGTGGATACATTGACATCAGACCTCGGATCTACACCAAAAGCTTACAAGTTCATTCGGACACTCCTTGGGCTAGTTACGACTCGTTCTGGTGTGTTCACAGCACGACTGATGTTCATGTGCCTACTCATCTTCCTCAAGAACCTTCGATCCTCGCGTTACACCTCCAGCCCAGCCCTATTCTCGAACTACTGACTCAAACTTCCCTATCACCAACGCTTATGCATCTGACTGCGCATCCCCCAGCCATCATCACGCACATCGCCTCTGCATATCTTACACATCCTCCACCAGCTGGTCCGGCAGAGAAATTCTGGAGTGTCTTCATCCCCTTCTCTGAGCGTACACATGAAAGCGAGCGCCTGGTTTATGACCTTGACGGCAATGGGACGAGTGCCGGTGCGTGGGTGAGCAAGGGCACGAGGGAATTCGTCGTGGAGGTCTTTATTAGGGTTGGGAGCAAGCGTGGTGTAGAAAGGACTGTCGAGGGCTGGAAAGGAGACGTCCCGTGCGAGCTGCAAGCTCTTGAAAGCCTGACAAGTATTTGGACCAGGAGAAAACCTGAGGAGGTAAGCGCGAACACCACCTTGACGTGAAACCTTATACCTGACCAAACTATAGGCTCGACCGGATCCAACGCAGAACGTATCGTTCAATCTAAATCTTACGCCGTCGCAGGAAAAATCGCGAGCCCAAGTCCCTCTACCTTATGCACACGAAGGTGGTGCTCCATTTCTCTATGCTTCACGTCATTTTAATCTCGACTTCAGGCAACCCTATCACAACATCTGGAGCGATTCTATATGACCCTGATTCTGCCGATGATATCGATGACGATGATCCGGATGAGGATTTGGATATATAGCAGATCTCCATAAGCGTACGCCACATTTGTGACAACGCCAGAACTGTTGTCCTGATGCAATAGTACTTCCATGACGTCAAGAAGAAACTGAGTAGATGTGAGACAGCCGTTGGTCCTGTTAGCAATCCATAATCCAGTCTCCTTTTTTCTTCTTCTTCTCTCGTATTAGCCTGTGACATGTCTAGCTGCGATATCTCTCTTGTCGCGGTCTGGCCTGACCAGCGCCAGTTCACCATCATGGATCGCATGGCATACAATGAACTACCTAACCGCACGGTAATGTGGCTTCGCTTCGTTGGCACCTGGATTCTTGGTAGTGTCTTCAGTCCGTCTAGTTTCAGGTTATTTAACACACTGCATGGGGATGCCCCTTGTGCAGAGGTTGAGAGCAATGGATCAGCCGTCATCATCCCTTGCATTTCAGGAGAGGATCGTTTCTTTTATCTACATGTCGAGGGTGAGCCGTGCTTGTTCGTTGCTGCTGTCCTGGCTGATTGTTTGCAATCAAGCTTGGGTCCCATATCCAAACTTCGCGGATGGTGCCAGTGATGAGTGGGATGATCTCGTGACAGTGGGTGTAAACGCTTTTGGTGTTCTGAGTCTTCGTTTATACTAGTACTTCTAGGATTCCGAGTCTGACTCTAGCTCTGATGAAGTTGAAGAAGCGGACGTCCTCCGTGCTCCAAGTTTGCCGAGTCAATGGCTGCCAGGAGGGTTGCTAGAGGGTGATGGTTTAGATGAACTCGAGAACAGCGAGGTTGCGATGATAAGTCTAGGAGCCAATTGCGGAAATGTTCTGGGACATGAAACTATATATACTTCAAGTTACTGCACCAAGTAAGTATGGCATGCGACTCGTACAGTTACTTGTCATATGTGTTGTGATCAGAACCTCTGATTATGCATATGCACTACTGAGTACTGCAGCTGAGTACTTCTCGTATGTTGAAGGAAGACCGTTGTTCCGAACTTGCCTGTATGCATGATGCTATTATGATCCGATCAGCCACGGGGACACTCATAATCATTCATACGACCCATACTTAAATCTCACACTCAACTTGAATGCCTTTTGAGGATCCCGATTTTCTTCATGTTCGCTAGCACTACAGTCATACGTACTAGGATCTCATCTACGATGCGCAATGTCTCTACACATAGTGGCAAGGGCATCTCTGCGGTGCTGCAGAAGAACCCAGATGATGTGGTCATTACATTTGCAAAGCGCACCGCAATGGGGAGGAACAGAAAAGGTCAATTCAAGGATATCCCAGTGGATGAAATGATGCAAGCTCTGCTCAAGGTTGATGGCCTGTTTGTGGACTACCTACAGTAACTCATGCAGCCTTCTGAATCTTAGGCGACCTTTGAGAAGACAAAGCTGGACCCCGCAAAACTTGACGACATCTGCGTTGGTGGGTGCAAGCCGTACCCTGCTATGTGTTTCTGCATTAACTTTCTGCAGGCACATGTCATCCTCCTTCTCCAATGTACTCCTCGCGAGCCGCTGCTCTCGCATCCGGCATTCCTCACGATGTTCCCATCTCGACAGTGAACAGGCTATGTTCATCCGGTCTTATGGCCATCCGCAACATTGCCCATGCTATTCAGTCAGGTGAAATATCCATGGGCATGGCAATCGGAGTGGAGAATATGACACTGAAGTGAGTCTCCAAGTTGAACAGTCTGTGGTACATAAATGTTAATCTTCGCGTAGTCCCCGTCCTACGCCTGTTATTGCTGAATCTGTGGACAAATCTCCGCGGGCTCACGATTGCATCCAAGTGTGTCTGGGTGAGCTATATCGATCAAATACTAATGTATTTTGTAGCCTATGGGTTGGACGTCTGAAATGGTCGCTCAAACCTATAAAGTCTCGCGACAGAAGCAAGATGAATATGCCCTTATATCACATACTCGCGCAACCAAGGTTTGTACGTCCAAATTTCTCCGTGTTGCATCTTAATCACGAGACCAGGCGGTGACCACCGGCATCTTCTCTGAGGAGATCATCCCAGTCGAAATCCGCGGGACTGTGATATCCGTTGACGACACAATCCGGCCTGGCGTGACGATGGAAATGCTATCTGGGCTGAAGCCTGTGTTCCAAGATTGGGGCGATGCAGCTACCACTGCTGGAAACGCTAGTGGCATTGGCGATGGTGCCGCGTTATGCATTCTCACGACAAGAGAACGTGCGGAGAAGGAAAACATGGAAATTATCGGGAAATGGGTTGGATGCGCAGTCGTTGGTCTGTTATTTGTCTCTTCTGTTTGAGGGTCTGTTGAACCGTTGCCGGTGAAGGTGTCGAGCCCCGCTACATGGGCATTGGCCCCATCGCCGCTATTCCTAAGGTCCTTACGCAAGTTGGTCTCACTAAGGATGATATTGACATTTATGAGGTCAACCATTGTCTTCCATGTTCTTTCTGTTCATGGTTTAACGTCTCTCACGTAGATCAATGAAGCATTCGCTTCGCAATTTGCATACTGTGTCGAAGAACTTGGCATTTCCATGGACAAAATCAACACGAAGTAAGTTATCCTAGCTGGAGTACTTCTGTTCTGACACTTTGTTGGCAGTGGCGGGGCAATAGCCGTGACGCACCCTTTGGGAATGAGTGAGTCTCATTATCGTCTTGAAGCTTTGATAACTCATCTACCAATTATTTAGCTGGCGTTCGTCAAGTTGTTACCGGCCTCGCAGAACTCCGCCGGAGAGACAAAAAGTTGTTGTGCACAAGTATGTGTGTCGGCAGTGGTATGGGTGCAGCAGGCATCTTCGTGAACGAGGCACAACCATCTTGTGAAGCGAGGTTATAGTTTGTATTTGACCGAGGTGTGGGTGTATTGTACATATTCATAACTGCTGTCTCAAACTTATTTAGCGGCTGCCAGCGCCGCATCTACAATTTCTGTCATTTTTATAACCGCCTCTTCCTCCAAAGTCCGACCGACAAGTTGCAGACAAACAGGAGCGTTCTTGAATTTCTCCGGGTCATCTGAATCGATCGTTGGCATCAGAAATTCACTGATCAGCTAAATGTGCCATTACTACTCACACATTTCGTACACGGACTTATCGAAGTCGTCATAGAAATTATGAGGAGGTTCCTTCCCATCGAGAGTGGAGTCGACAGTAGTCACAGGGAAAACCGCAGCGGGATAGTCGAGCGTGTTCCAAACGGTAGTATAGTTGGCGTACCTGTGCATCGTCTCATTGAAAGTTCGGGACTCCGAAGTTACGAAGACACTTACTTGTTCTTCCCATGGAGAGGTGCAGCAAATGGTGCAGCTGGACAAATGATAGCATCGACAGGCCGTCCTGTCCCAGTCTCAGAGGCAGTTGCGTTCCAATGGTCTATATATTCTTTCCGGATATTCTGACGCAGCTTCTGCACTTGCCAGAGTTGGTATGCAGTGACACCGCCATTTTGCGGACGGAAGGCCGCTGCCTCAACATCTGTGTCGTCCAGCTCCATCGTTGCAATTATTGGCTCCCCTGTGGTAGAGGTCGTGATCATGAAGTCCTCAGCAGAAGCGGCGTTCCAGATGTCCCGCTGCATGGGGTTACTAGGTCAATAGATTGGCAAAATGAAAGACACAACTCCTTACCGCGACATCTCCAAGCAATCTGTGCTTGATGGGTTTCCAGTCAACAACTGTCATTCACTGAGTACACATCAGCAGGGGAATTAGACGAGAAAAACCTTTGTGGCCAGCCTTCTGGAGAGCCGCTTTGGTGATTTCCAGAGACCTTCTGATAGGTGGGTGGGGAACAACAACACCATCGTTCCACATGATTGCAAAACACAAATCCTTGCCAGACCCATGGTCTACGAGATCGTACTCCTCTTCGTCCCATTTCTTCCGAACCGCAAGAGGGTCCTTGAGCCACGGTTTAGAGTTAACGACAGCTTTCATGAAGACTTTGAGCCCGCCGAGACTGCTTGTCATAGGACCGAACACGGAGAGAATCGAGTCTTGGCCCTCAAGCGAGTTGCGGGCACCACAGTACGGTACACGCCCGTATGACGGCCTCAGGCCGTATATACCGCAGAATGCAGCGGGAATACGAACAGAGCTGTCAGATGGCTGTCAGATGGCTACTACCAATGATACTTCCAAATTCCTGTCATACCCTCCGATATCAGAACCGACTCCCAATGGGCTTCCTTTTAGGGCAATCAATGCACCCTCTCCTCCTGATGACCCACCTGAGGTCAGAGAGACGTTGTTCGGGTTAGTTGTCCGGCCGAAGATATTATTGAACGATTCTGGCCACTGAAGATATTTTTAGCATACGAGCAGGATTCATCTTCAGGGTGCGCTCACCATGAGTGTCTGCGGAATGTTGGTGCGGACGAATGGCACGGCTCCGCACTCGATCAGAATGTCGACCAACACCGCATTTTTCTCTGCATACTGCCCAATCCACGAAATATAACCTAAAACCCAGTTAATCACAATGCGTTAGGTCCAGGCCAGAATTATGACTTACCCATAGTGGTTTCTAGTCCTTTGATACATAGCTGGTCCTTTAGAGATATGGGCAGCCCGTGAAGGGGACCAATGACCTTCCCTGTCTTCTTCAAGTGATCATCGAGTTCAGCCGCTCGGGCCAATGCACGATCAATAAAGATTTCCGTCAAGCAATTGACCTCGTCGGCCAGGTTAATACTACATCATCAAGCAAATGCCTGACAACTTGGCTTACAAGCTGATGGGCAACAATGGCCCTCTTGGAGAACGCGGTGGTCACGTCTACAGCTGTCCATTCCGCACTTGCAAGTTTCTTTAATAAAACATCCACCGAAGTATTGGTGATCTCAATTTCTTGGGCATTCAGAAGGCCACATGACTCTGGAAAACCAGTTACATCCAGAGTAGAAGGTGGAGGCGGAGTCACAAGCCACTCCTGTGGAATGGACTTGAGCTGCCTCTGTTTCTTCTCTGCAGCTAGAGCAGTCCAATGCGGCATATTGATAGTGTTAGGGATAAGTGAATGATGAAGCTTAGATGCGTTACAGTAGATAAGAAATACAACTGACGGACAAAGGAAGTCCGTAGCTAATATTAACAGCGAGATAAGACTGTCAAGGCGGTGATTATGTTTGACTTGAGGGGGTGTGTGGACGAAAGAGATTGATCATGTGGATTCTGAAACGTAATTACAGACAAAATCAAAGAATACGCGTATGGTTAGATCTGTCTAATAGTTGACCTTGAAGCCCGACCTAACGGAAGAATTGTCAGCTGAGAGCTCGAATGACGAATTCATAGGAGCAAAGAAATGATGATCAGAAAGTCATTGATGTCAGTGATACACGTCCGCCATGTTACAGGCTCGCGTGCATCAAGTCGACTAAGAGGTGCCAGTGGTGGTTGATATACAACGCTCGTCATTGAATTGAAAATTTTATGTGAAAGGGCGAGAAACGTTGAAAAATTACTCACCGCCAGCTTAGCTGCACTGTCCCAGCAGGAAGGTTTAAAAATTGCAAATGTATTTTCAGCACAATTTATCAAATACGTTTTAGGCGGCGATTGAATATTATTCGGCAAGCCGTACCCGCCGCAACAAGCAGCTCGACAACGCATACAGCGTCGAAGGCTACATTTCATCAAGGTTCGTCCAATTTCTTGTGGTCAATGTGTCCAGAGCCTGTTTGCACAGTATCGCAGAAGATCGGGGCTGGCTATGGCACTGATGAGATGGATGACAACTCTGGGATTTGGATGATGACAGTGTCTTATCTATCCGTCTTTGCAGACATTATCCTGTCCCCAATATGTCCGCTCAAATCAGCAAAAAGCGCAAGTTCGTAGCTGACGGTGTATTCCGCGCTGAACTCAACGAATTCTTCACTCGCGAACTCGCCGAGGAGGGTTACTCTGGATGTGATGTCCGTGTCACCCACGCCCGCACCGAGGTACGCTAGTGTGAGCTGAACAGCCTCGCCATCTTGCAAATGCATTACTTTCAGATTATTATCCGTGCCACACACACCCAAGAGGTCCTTGGTGAGAAGGGCCGCCGCATCAGGGAGTTGACTGCACTCGTCCAGAAGCGTTTCAAGTTCCCCGAAAACTCTCTTGAGCTTTACGCCGAGAAAGTACAATACCGCGGTCTTTCTGCAATTGCTCAATGTGAGAGTTTGAGATACAAGCTTCTTGGTGGTCTTGCTGTCCGCAGGTCCGTGTTTCTACTAATCACATATGGGTTGTTTCTGATAATATCTCAGGGCATGCTACGGTGTCCTTCGCTTCGTCATGGAGTCTGGTGCAAAAGGTTGCGAGGTGGTTGTTTCTGGCAAGCTTCGTGCTGCTCGTGCCAAGTCGATGAAGTTCACCGATGGATTCATGATCCACTCCGGTCAGCCCTCGCGAGACTTCGTTGACTATGCCGTGCGACACGTCCTTCTCCGTCAGGGTGTTCTTGGTATCAAGGTTAAAATGTAAGCTAACAAATGTATTCCAAGACATATGACTCACCTCACAACAGCATGAAGGGCTATGACCCCGAAGGTCAATTGGGCCCTCGCAAGCCCCTTCCCGACTCCGTCCAGATTCTCGAGCCCCCTCTCGACAAGATTGTCTCGGAACCTTCCTCAGAGTCAAGAGAGCCTGCCATTGTTTCCGCTCCACCCCCAGCTGCTGCAGAGGAACCTGCTGCATATCCACAGGAGCCAGCTTACCAACAGGATGCGTACGGCGAGCAACCTGCATTTTGATCTTATCTTTGTTTATCCCTCATCCACAAAACATGTACTCCACCGTTGCAATACATTAGGATTTGCATGGCTAGTATTCTAAGATCCCACATGATGAACGATGTGCTACTGCCCTAGTACGTGGGTCACGCTGCTTCCTGCCAAACCACTGCTAGGTAGTGTGAAATAAATAATAAGGGTATTTTGAGAGTTCCATCCTTTTGGTTTAACTCCATCTCCAGCAGTCATTTCTACAGTGAGTTCAGAAAGTGTCTGCGATGGATCTGAGACTGTCACAGTGCCAGATTCTACCCGATAGAGAACGGCGGCGTTTGCACTGGTTGTGACGGTGATTGGTGCGTAGCTTCCATCCAGCTGGAAGGTAAAGGAACCACCAGTGGAACTCCAAAGTACTGCTGTTACCGTTCGATGGACTTTATCGAGCAACGCGCTAATACTCGCGCTATTCTCAATCTCCTGTAGCTGGGTGGCCGCTCGCTTGAGCGTGAAGGTACCGTAATCAACCGCAGGATAAGATGTATAGGAGACAGGGGCAGACAGATTGTTATGATAGAGCCATGCGGCAAAGAGTTCGACCGTCTCAGGAGGCTGCGTGGAGGATCCAATGTTTGACCAAGCACCCGTGCGGTTGCCCCATTCAACGGAGAGTTCATATGTCCCATTGGCAGCTGGAAACTCATAGCCAACGTCGCCATGCCACATGGTTTGTGGATCTGTGTAGTTGCCACCATAAGCCCCTACTCCATTGACCCAAACACCGCCTCCGAAGCGTCGTTGGTCAAGAACGGAAAACACGGGGGCTGCAGTGGCAGACGAAATGTTGGCAATCATGACATGTTGAACGTCGGTCTCTAGGAAAAACCATGTCTTTTGCCAGGATATCGAGCCACTCTCAGGGTTGGTGTAGCGCATTGCTGCGGCGCCAATTCGACCATCCGAGACGCCACCGACAAAGGCTTCTTGACCGGTGTATGAAGTATGGTTACAATCGAGTACTGTAGCGTTATAGTCCACGGTAGTTCCAGGGATAAGGTTCCAGTCCCAGGCGGCAGCGATGTCTTCATATTCATTGCCTTGAAGGTAAGTGTAAACAGTGCCATCAGAGAGGTGGAAGCCCAAAGGCTGATATGTCGTTAGCACTGCTCATATGACGTAGGAGGCGATACCATACATTTTGAGAGTTGAGACACTCTGTGTTGATCGTCCTGTTGGAGTACATTCTCACTGTGGTCACATAGCCTGGACCGCGTGTTACCTTGGGGGCGCAGGTCAACAGGACGGAGCGAACGAAAAAAAAAGATTTCACCATGTAATCATTGGCAAAGAACATACGATTCCCGTGGAGCTCACCCACATTTGCATCGGTTGCGTTGGCAGATATGGTCAAAGAGAATTCGAGGAGAACAGTAGAGTTCCATTCCTCTCCGAGTTGCTGAACTTCTGAAATGTTCATATTGAGGCTACCGGTAGCCCTGAAACAGCGTCAACAAGAACATAGCGAACGAGCATCAAAATAGCCTCACTGCTCGTCAATCACAGGGAAACTGATGAAACGACCTAGGACGCTCTGGGCAGCGTCAGATAACATTGAACCAAATGGCCGCTAACTCACAAAATCCCAATGCGATACCTGCAAGATAGTCAGTCACAAATAATATAAAAGTAAACCATTGACAAACATTGGTTTGAACGTTACGGAAGATCATCCATCGATTTCCGTCGAATAGAGTTTCAAATGCAGTCTTGGAAGTTGCATTAGCAGAAAATCGCGTTCCTGCAGCCTCAGTTTCCAGGTCGAGAACGTCATTTGAGCTGACGTGACTCAGGAGGATGCTTCCAAAGTGCAGAGATGACATACAAATCTTTCCCATAATTGCCATTATAGATAATCCCAAGGTGTTGACCGAAAGATCCGTCGGGACGAATCTGGTTGCCAGCCAATTATTAGTTCGCCAACTTCAGGACAATGATTGGTTTACTCCGTCAGATCCAACAAGCTGTTCAATAACCACAGTCTCATGAATCCTCATGAAGGCATCTGTGATCAAGGAGACGTTGACAACCAGAAGACCTTGATCGATTCCAATTTTTGCAACGTCTAACGCATTCGAACCAGTGATATACCCTATACCATTGACATAATGGTCGAATGTGCCATATGCACGGAGGGTGATGTGAGTACAGTTGCCGAGCTGAGTAGGTGTCAATGTGTCGTTCAGCAGGAGGCAGGATTGTGACACAAATCCAGGGATCAGGATAACCTAAACCAAGTGTCAGAAGAAATTGATACGATTAAAAAATAACTGCAATCCTACATTGGAGAACCAATTCGTGTTCCAAAATCCCGGCGTGCCACAAGGGCAGGTTGGAGTGCCTCCATAGTCTAGACATGCGGGGTTGGTGAAATCATTAGCGAACCAATAGTCCATAGCAAGTGATGTGGCGGCCAAGGTCTTGGAATCGTTGACGTATTGCTGCCCCCCGCTAAGACCGCCGTGCCAAGCAGCGGCCATGGTACCTGTCAAGAGCCGGTTAATATGTCAATTCTTGGTCCAATGTAGATTCTTACTGATGCGTTGCCAGTGCTCTTGAGCAGGCCAGTTGGACCTTTGTGCATCACATCCGGTAGTGTAATCCACTTGAGAACTAGGCCACTGACCATCGACTCCCAGGTCTGCAATCCTGCAATGTGATTGTAGTCAGGTGCTGCATACAAAATAACGACCAACCAGGATGGAATATTCTTAGGGTCTGTAGTGATTCCCTCTGTGATTGTCACCAGCCTGCGCTGATGAATGGTGTTGATGTCCTGCATGACGGTGGAGCCAACAGCCAGTGTGGGAGATACTGGTGATGTGCTAGTGCTGGAAGAGAACATGACGATGGTTGAACATGTACTGGCAACATATTTTGGGTTCAACCGCACCTCGGAATCCCGCCATATAGACCTCTGTTGTGGACCATCTGGTGGTGGGCGGCATGAAAGTTGATATGATCTGGAATGTGAAGGCTCGTCGCGTAAACGCAGACCACACGAAACAGTACTAGTGAAAGGAACATGATCAGAGTACTAGGGCGACCGTGAGCCCGACACAGCTACCAAGCTGCAGGGAAAATTCGAGTTGGTTGACTCGATAGAGTTCGAAGCGATGTTTCCATTCTATACTGTCATCAACATTAACATTGCTGACTTGACCTTACGGCTGTCCTCTCGTAAATTACTTACGCGGACCCTACTAAACCTTTCCTGATTCATGACATGATGCATGTCGGATATCCATACGCGGTTATGCGTCACAAGACACCCAACTCGCTGATCGTCAACTTAACTTAGTACATAGATGTACCTCACCTAATCTGTGATGCAAGCCGCTGGTACACACCTATAGCTGGATGAGTTCACCAAGGGCATAGGCAATAACTTCCATCATGGATACAGCAATGGCAAACAACTATGGATAAGTATACATCTTAGATGGAGGGCGGAAAGGAAGACGTCTATATATGTCCGTGTAAATGTAATAAATTTGTTTGTCATCACTTCGTAGCAAGAACGTGAAATTTAGCCAGTGAAACAACGACAGGGATGGCAAAGAATGCATATGCTACCCAAATCACTACCAGGCTTTATTAGAACTGAACTTGAGAATTGTATGTAGGGTCACTCACTCGTGAATGCATTGCCGATAGTGGCAATCAGTTGGGGACCATTGCTTCCCTGGCCCTGGATACTTTGATTAAAGTCATCGGCAGCCTTCCCAAACCACATAAAATGATGAGAGTAGATCCGAGACCTAGAGACCCAGATCAGCGCCAGCAATGTGTACTTCAAAGTAAATGCATACCGATCAAGAACGCAAAAATCCCAATCCATGCGGAGACACGCTGCACCATGGGTTTTTCCCAAATAGCACCAGCTTTGCCCATCAGGTGACGGAATGATATTGCCGTGAACATGACGAAGAAAATCACGGAGAATACAAGTGAAATTGCGATAAAGGCTGGTGCACCTTCTGGTGGGGCCGATATGACGGAGCTGGGGGTATTAGATGTAAACACCGAAGTGTCTTGATTTCATGTGAGCATCACTGACACTAGCAGTCAGACAGTTTTAACTTACTATAGATGGGAGATATGGAAGATGGCATACATGTCAGACCAGCTTCATTATTTGGTCGAGAGCACGACCCTAAAGGTCCAAAGAAAATGCTGGGGCCATCCACTGCTTTGGTAGATCCGGGCTGGGTCAAGGCAGAGGATGGCGTGACCGTAAGCAACGCGACTTGACCATGCAACATAACGGTCGGGGCAAGGTACGAAAACAACGAGAGCAGGAGTGCTGTGAGCATGAGCACGGGGGTGAAGTACAGGATGGTGCCTTTTGAAATATCGGCTAGCATGGTTGAACTAGTTGCGTAAAAATATTGGTTCAAAAAATGAATGTAGCGAGAGCCTGCTCGTCAGTTGAATGTCGCGAGACCGTGCGCGATAAAAACCAGCTGGACCTATGGGAGAAGGGGATTGAAGCGTACTTTTCCATTGTTTGGAGGTCGACCTTATGTACTGTAGCAGGTACACGTCGGTTCGGTAGGACAATGTGCAAGAACAAAAAGATCGCGCTCAGTGCAACGGAATTATAAATTGTTGCCTTGTACTTGTTTCCTAGGCATTCGCCTTTTGTTGACTCGGAAACAGGGCGAAAAGGATGGAGACATTGTCGCAAGGTCGAGACCATCGTTACTGTGAGGGATGGCCTAGAAACTCATTCACGAGAACGCACATATGCCGCAGAATTCGATCATCCGATGTAATACTTGTCAATGTCATTCAAGTTCTTCAAACGCGTGAAGCTGAGCGCTGAGTCTATCAAACAAATAATCGCAAACAAACGCATTTGGAAACTCAGAAATTTGACTGCTTTCAGCTGCAGACTCGGTCTGCCAGTGCATGCAATGGAAATCGGATCACAGGTCATTCTGCCGAGAGAACTTGATGATCTCTCGTCTTTCATTCAAGAAAAGCCCGAATCATTGGCAGCTGCCACTGCTGAGCTACAAGCCATAGCTCTCCGCGCAACCAAATTCATATTCGATCTTGGTGAGCAGACCAGACCCAATTCAATATCCGCACATGATACTGTGCTGAGTAGTCTATAGCTTTGCAGTCGGAACCTGCCTCTCTGCCTCATATTGAGAACCTTTTGTCTTCACTCAGACAGTCTCAAGCACCACAGACGAGATCACAGACTCGCGCTAATGCCAAACGGAAGAGGAGTCCAAGTCCTGTCCTGGAATCCCCAAAGAAGGTCACCATAAAAAATACACCACTGCCATCACTTTTCATCGAGGAAATGAATGAAGATCAAATTTGGCAGCAGTTGGACCTTAGGGCTGCACCTCTTTGCAATAATCTTCTGATGTTAGAGGGCGAGACTGAAGACGTCATGGAATTGTCAGACAGGATGTACGATGATCCGGAAGATGAAGGAGGTGACGAGGTATCAGAAGAAAGCGAAGATTCTGAAGAAATAGAGCACATGGAGGATTCTGAAGAGGACACTGGTGGATCGGAAGAAATGACTGACCTTCGCGAGGAGTTGTCGGAGGACGAGGAGGACGATTCAGATCATCATCCATCTCTTCTTGACGTCGTCAAAGCAAAACCCTCTTTAAAACGTGCAGCCGCAAAGAAACCAAATTCAGACGTTGACGACGATTTCTTCAGTCTTGACGCATTCAATCGTGAAACGGAAGAGGCCGAAGCGACTGCTGTTTCCCGTGGCCGACTAGGACGAGAATCGGATGAGGATGAGTTTGACGACGAAGGTGACAGTATTGATCTCTTCAGGCCAATAGATGATGTCCATGACCCTAATGACGATGCTTCGGAAGACGGCGCAGGTATGCAGTGTTGTATTCTTTTTGTCACGCGTAACTCACATAACACGCAGAACCGCTCTACAAAGATTTCTTCGATGCTCCCAGAGGCTCCGGTTCGAAAGCTACTATGAATATTTCTTTCTCAAAGTCGAAAGTACGATTCAGTGAGCAGGTCAGAGTGAAAAGTATCAAGGCAAAGGGCAAGGGCCTACCGGTGTCTAGCTTAATGGAGGAAGACGATTCCGACGACGAGAGCGGACTGCACATGTACTTAGAAGATCCGGATGAGGTCATGATGGACGCCGAGGTTGAAGAGTCATTTGTAGACGAGTATGAAGATGAAGACGACGACGGAGACGACGAAGGTCGCGCTATCATTGAAAGACTGAAGGATGACTTATTTGCGGAGGAAGATGCACCAGATTCCAGTAAGGCCAGTCATATTCTTGTTGGGGTATCATTCATTCACAACCTGGCTACAGATATGACCACTTATGAAAAACGTATGGCAGCACTGCAAGCACAGATCGAGGAGCTCGAGGCGGAGAATGTCGCTAAGAAAGACTGGGTGTTGATGGGGGAAGCCACCTCGAGATCCCGTCCTCAAGATTCTTTACTACAAGAAGATCTAGAGTTTGAACGAACGATGAAAGCGGTGCCTGTCATCACTGAAGCTGTGGTTCAAGGTCTCGAAGAGCGAATAAAAGCTCGTATAAAGGATGGCCGATTCGACGACGTTGTGCGAATTCGCGCTGTCGACGATAAGCCTTTCCTTCCGTCGCGATTCTTTGAGCTCCAGGATACCAAGTCCTCCCAGTCACTTGCTCAAATCTACGAGGATGAGTACGTCGTTGCACAAAACGGTGGTACAGGAGGTGACGACAGAGATGGTCGGCTCAAGAAGGAGCATGACGAAATTACAAAACTTTGGGATAGCATATGCAGCAAGCTAGATGCACTTTGCAACGCGCATTACACTCCAAAAGCGGTACGTGTTTTGAACACTATCATCATGTAGACATGACGCTGAAATTTCGACAGCCGAAAGCTAGTATATCGACAATCTCCAATGTTTCCGCAGCTACTTTGGAATCAGCACTTCCTACCAGCAAAACCGTGTCTTCTATGCTTGCTCCAGAAGAGGTTTTCAAAACAGCATCTTCTGATCCACGCGCTCGTAGCGAGCTTACACCCGCGGAAAAGCGAACACTACGTGCAAAGGAAAGAAAGGCAAGGAAGAAGACGCGGGATACCCTCGACAGGAGCGTTGATAAATATGCCAAAATGAAAGGCATAAAAAAACAAAAGGACGCAGCTCTAAAGAACGTGGTCAAGTCAGGTAAAGGTGTCACGGTGGTTGGCAAGAAAACCAGGGACGTTTTGAAGAGCAAAAGCGTCAAGGGGAAGAGTTACTAGTAGTAGCATATGAGTAAGGTCACGTGGCCGTGCCGCAGTTCCGTTAGTGTACGATTTGGTTACGGTAGTCATTTGGCCACCTCTACCCAACCTCTGATTCCCTTCATCCCATCGAGTCCATCGTCCTCACATTTCAGGAAATGTCGTTCTTCAAGCGCAAGGAGAAAAACTTGATTCCTCCTCTTCAGCCAGCATCAGATGGTTTGCGGGGTTCGTCTCGAAGCACGTCTTCCCTCCCCAGTTACAAGTCCAGCGCTAGTACCTACGTTGCCAGCCGCGATGGACCTGATCCTTATAATGTCATGAATACTAGGACTCAGTCACAGAATTCGTACGACAACTATGACGCTTATAATGCCACTGCGGGTAAAACTCCTGATGTTGAGGGAGATCGGAACCGCAATGAACTGTTCGCTGGATATAAACCTCAGGGAAAGACAGGTTCTGGTCGATTACTTCGATGGCCCTACCCTAGGCAAAGAACCCTCTCCTGGAGAGGAGAATGAAGAGGATGTAGAAGGCATCAAACAGCAAACCAGATTCATGAAGCAAGAGAGCGTCAACTCTACCAGGAATGCACTGAGGCTTGCTCGGGAGGCCGAAGAGACTGCGGGGAACACCATCGGAAAACTCGGGGACCAGTCTGGTGAGATCTGGCTGAAGTCGTAGTTTTTTTTTTCTCATTGATCGTTTCACGATAGAGAAACTCGCCAATACTGAGCGTCACCTTGATGTTTCAAAGGGTCACACCTTACGCGCCGAAGATCAAATCGGTGAACTGAAGCAGCTTAATCGGTCAATCTTCCGTCCTGTCATTACTTGGAACAAGGATGCAAAACGCGCCGCTCAGGAAGAAAAAATTCAGCAGCGGTATGAAGACGAAAGGTTAGATCGCGAAAAGGCTATGCAAGACATCAGAGATACTCAGAACCGCTTGGGACGTGCCACTACATATGGCTATCAAGATGAGGAAAGTCTAACATCTGGAGGGTCAGGTAGATTACGCACTGAGGAACAGCTGGCCACTAGAAAGGAGCAGCGGAAGAGATACCAATTTGAGGCGGGTGCTTCTGATGACGAGATGGAAGATGAGTTGGACGACAACTTGAACGAGATCTCGGCTATCACCAAAAACTTGAAGGCACTGGGTACCGCTATGGGACAGGAGCTCGATCAGCAAAACTCGAGACTTGTCACCATCGAACAAAAGACGACGACCTTGGACAACAATGTATTCAGGAACACTGAAAGGGTGTGTTTGTCATGTTTTGCACGTCACAACATCATTTGTCTGATTTTCGAACAATAGCTCAAACGCATCAAATAAAAATGGTGCTTTATGTTGGCAACAAGATGGTGTCTTTCACTGCTCCTAGATCTGTATTTAATTCATGGACATTTTCGTAAATGCTGTAGCGGACCTATACCTGTACACGTTATATATTGAGTTGACACCAAGTTGGCATTTACATAAAGTCTGACGAAGGGATTTTGACGCTCCGCCTCTTACGTCGTCCTACCTGCAGGCCTGTTCCTTGGCATAATATTCGGAACTTGCTTTGCACTTCTCTCATGCTACCCAGCATCTTGCACTGGACTTCTTAGGACAATTCACAAAAAAAAACGAGTCAGCACTCCCAGAGCCAACGCTATGGAAGAATGCTCGACCTTAAATGACCTTCAGAAATGGTGAGAGGCGGCTTCTGCTGTCATATAGACCTATTTATATTAATATTGTGCCAAGGGAGCGCCTGGTCGAAGAACAGTCAAGTACGTGGCATTCTATCCCATGACAGAGAAGACTAACCCGTCATAAGGCCTCTTTCGTCTTACGCTCACCGACAATCAAACGCTACGCCTGCGGGCCGACGAACTGGAACGAGAACTATCGGTGTGGAAGCTGGCTTTCAAGGCTGCCGAAGATGAAAAATGCAATCTACAAAGACACATGCTCAAGTTGGAGAAAAATATTGGTTCATTAAAGGTTGGTCATCTAATATGTATTCCTCAATATTCGGTTCGAAATGATGTTGTATGCAGGATGATAACCCGCTTCTCCTTTGCCTCATTGACGGCGATGGCAACATTTTCTCCCAAGACTTACTCGCGTCAGGCCATACAGGTGGCCGGCAAGCAGCTATGCTACTAACCAAAGGGTTAACAGACTATATGGTGGATGTTGACGCTGGATCTTCCTGCCGTGGACAAGTTTGGCTGACTGTGTACTGCAATAAAACTGGCTTGATGGATACACTGGTAAACAACGGTATATGCAGTGCTTCCGAATTTGAAGCATTTGTGCTGGGTTTCAACTCAGCTTCACCGTTATTCTCTATTGTGGATGTGGGTGGGGGGAAAGAAGCAGCGGATGCGAAGATTAAAGGTGATGCGATAACGTTTAGTTTTGTGTAATTTCCTCTAACTTTCCGGTAGAATGTCTTCGTGTTTTCACCCGCTTTCCCCAGACTTCACGTGTATTCTTCGGAGGTGAAATTTCAACGCAAGTTTTTGTTCGGCTGACGCTGATGTGGTTCCAAGGCGGGCACGACAATGGATACACTTCCACATTAAGTACCCTTGAAAACGAGGGCTTGCTGGAAAAAATTGTCCTACTCCGTGGATACAAGACTCTCGCCGCCGAGCTTCAACACTTCGATTTGCCCCACCTCGATATTGGAGGTGTCTTCATGACAAAGAAACTTCCCTCGTCTTATACGCATAGGAGGTCGACGCCTCCAACAGGGGTCACTCCTCAAGAACATGACAGACAGAGGATAAACCCTAAAAACTTTCTCGTTGGAACGCAGAGTCCAATCATCTCTACGAGCACACAATTCTGCAGATATCTTGATCCTTCTTTGGTAGGACCTTGTTGCTTACTCCATTCAGTGTTGATAACGATTGTTTGTTGCGACCAGCCACTCAACAAGCGTAGGTCACTCATCATTGTTCATCGAGCGTGATGTCGATCTTTTCACAGAAAATCCACGACCATGCACATTTTTCTATTTGTCCGTGTGCAAGCAAGGTGATAAGTGCACCTATGGCCACGATTACTTTCTTACGGCAGACAACTACGCCGAGCTTCGTGCCAATGCGAAGAAAATCTCCTTGCCCCGTCTTTAATAAGAGTGCGCCGCGTGTGGTTGTTCTTCATGGATAGCAATCTCAGTCCTTTGTACATCTAGACCAACCTTGTCCTTACGGTGAAAGTTGCCCTTCTGGACACTACTGCCCCAGAGGGTCTAAATGCGGCTACAGGAAACAAGGCAAATGCAAATTCATCGGGAGTGAGCTCTTCGTATCATTCGCTAATTACGCTATTGACGCAATGTATGACATGTAGGAGAGATGCATACTCCACTGAATGACCGCATAAGCATAAGTGGACGACCTCCATCTAGAGCCCAGAGCAGCAACGTCAGCGGGCAGACAGATGGCACTCCGACTCCTCCGATGAGCCCGGTTGACATCAGTAATTTCGTCGGCTTATCTCCCTTTGTGCCTCAAGGCACTAGGTGATTCATGTGTAGATTCCACTACGCTGAATTGTAGTATGTCTATAAATTTAATGCTATCGCATGTAACTTAGCATACATATGAAACGCGGTCACGTGGGTGACACGATTTTATTCCAAGTGCAATATTTGCTTCCGCCCACTTTTGTCTCTGTTCAGTCAACCACCATGTCCTACGCAGAAGAGCGAGAGCAGAACATTGCACGCAACAGAGCTATTCTTGCCGACTTGGGAATCAATCCCCTCAGACCCAAATGCGAGCCGAAAGAGAACTTGAGGAAAAAAGTGGCGGTCAAGAAACGGAAGTCCCCCTTGCCCGAAAGCGACGTGCTTGAGGAACCGCCCAAAAAAGCTTCTCGTATAGCGGATGATAGTAATGAACAAGGGGGCGCGCGACGAAGCTCTCGTCTTGCTGGTAAGACAATCGACTACAAACAGGAACAAGATCGCGGGGTCCCGGAACCGATCACATTCAAACGGTCCCAAAAGCTCAAAGTTGGCCAGGTGAAATCAAAGAGGACATATGATCCGTCAGTAGCTCTGCTCTTGTTCTTCAAGCTAGTCGTGTAATTTTCTGTAGTCATATGTACGGTCACATACCCGACGTAGAGGTGGGGACATGGTGGGCAACAAGGTGAGGATGACTTGGTAATTCTTGCCACCAATATTGGCTTACTTGGTGTACTAGGGAAGATTGTTCAAACGCATCTGTCCATGGGTAAGACACTTCCCCCTTCTTTTCGAATGGGCACCCTCGAGCTAATCAAACTTTAGCCCTTGGGTCTCGGGTATTGCACCAGGTCCAGATGGTGCATACTCAATCGCACTTTCAGGAGGATATGATGATGATGTGGACCAAGGATACGCATTGTGAGTCGTGATGCAAGCGTGCAAAAAACAGCGACTCACAGTGATCCAGTACATTTACCGGTTCTGGTACGTGTGCTGCGGTGGAGTAGCGGAGATGTCCTCACCCTTATTAGGCGGCAGGGATTTGAAGGGAACAAAGACAGCACCCAAGAATGTAGGTATAATCACCAATTAGTGTGATCAGGCTAATCTTTGAAAAGCTCCGAACGGCTCCCCAAAGCAGTGATCAGACCTTTGAGGATAGAAACAACGCAGCCCTCCAGGTAAATGAGGAAGATGGGGCTCGAATATTTTTTGACTCATTCTTAACAGAGATCTGTTGACACTCAAAAACCTGTCCGTGTGATCCGGGGCTTCAAAGGGAAGGCCAGGTCAAAGTACGCACCGTCAGAGGGGTCTGTTTCATCTATATTTCATCAACTTCTCCGTTAATTGCAAATATATTCATAGGTATCGCTATGATGGCCTATACCTTGTCAAAAAAGTGCGTCGCTCGGTCGATGACCCTTATTTCCTTTTATTAATTTCGTAGGCGTGGATTGAAAAGGGACTCAATAAGGGGGGTTTCCTAGTATGCAAGTTTGCGTTCGTGGTAAGTCTTCTACAGTTCCAGTTATCAGTCCACACCTGATAGCAATTCACACCAGCGAATGAAAGGACAAGAAGATATCCCTGTGAACGACGGTGGTGATGATGAATCTGATGAATGAATATACCCCTGATGGCCTCTTCACAAGTATAATACTCACTTCTGATGTAGATAACCCATATTGTACTTACTACCTCCTGCATTGTCTCGTCAACTTGTTAATGTTACATCCTGCATTACAAGCATCTTCTGATGTAAATCGATAAAGACATAAAGTCGGCAATTTTCGTTCCTGAACTTGAAGGCCTGGAACGCCATAGTGTGTGACTTTATAATAAATCAAAAATTTAGTTAACAGGGTCATCTTTTGAAATTTCAACACCGTAGCTCTTCCACCTTCATGTTTTCGTGTTTTGCGGTTATAAACTAAACATTCATTGATAAAATGCACTCCTTTCATTACCTGTCTGTCGCTTTGTGTGTTCTTCCGTCACTTTTATTCTCCCAAGTAAACGGCTTTAGTGGGGTCCAGTCGTCCGCACATGATCGCTCGCGCAGGTTGGAGCACGTACGCGCCCTAAGCGGTAACCACCAGCCGCGGGCTCTCGATCTCTCCGTCAATCAGTCAAGAGACACGAAAATCTCGAAGAGAGACACATTTACTTATTTTCAAGATGGCTCGTTAGTAGATCCTGTAACCCATTAGACCCTTGCTCATTGTACAACCAGTGGTGCCTGTGGAGCTTTCAATCAACCTACCGACTTTGTATGTCCTCTATCCTCTGGTTACTGTTGATCATCGCTTGACATCCACTCAGATTGTTGCGCTCAGCACATGTGTAAATTCTACTGTCTTGTGACTGCATAACCTGAAACTTACATCCAACGAAGGACTATGATGGAGGTAGCCATTGCTTCCAAATGATGACTATCACCGTGAATGGCGTGTCGACGCAGGCCCAGGTTATGGACGAGGTATTTCTCGCCAATTACTGCTTTGCGGAGTGTGTAATTAACAAGGAATTATACAGTGCCTTGGATGTCCTTGCGGGGGACTTGACTTCAGTCAGGGTCTTTTTGAGTTCTTCGCGCCAACCAGCGTCGGGGAATTATCTGGATCGTGGAGTTATGTCAGTGCTTCCACCTCGTCCACGCCTCTGCCGTCTACGACGACAAAGCAGTCTTCCACTAGTACCACTAGTACTTGGACGCCACCCACTACCACCTCATCAAGTACTCCCACACCCACCCTCACAACTACGAGCACCTTCGCAGCTACAACCACATCTCTGCCGACTACCCGCCTCAACTCCCCCACCAACTACGACTTCGTCCACCGCATCTCCCCTCCCTACTTTTAGCCCCGATAATCCTCAAATCCTCGCACAAGCTAACCTTGGGCTGATTGAGCTCGGTTCACTTCTCCAAGCTTGCGCGGCATTGTCTTCAGAATCATAGACATCTTTACCCTCAAAACACACTCATTAAATACGTACAATGTTATTCTTGCATCAAATTTTTTAACGTTTATAGGTGGGATCTAGAAGTGCAATGATGTATATCATGCTCCTGTCAATAATACCAGCGTATAAACATGTAGCTCAACAACACCAAACCACTATCAGACTAATTTAGAGCCTCTCGGACGATGCGTAGGAATGCGTCACTGCTCCCTTCGTCTGGTTGGTTCAACTTCCTCGCCTTCCACAGGTAGTATATCCCCTTTATACTTTCAGTCACTGCCTTGTCCTCTTCCACAGCAAATTCCTCATCCTCATCGTTTGCGTGTCCGTTCCCTGCATGGCGCCCGTTAGAATATGACATGTCATTTAACGTGACTTTCACGGGTTGAGCAACGTGGGCATATTGACCCGGATTCCCAGATGCGGGGGTCTCGAGGTCCGAATTATCCAAAGTTGAGAGTGGTGACGGAGTATCACGGGCAATACTTGAGGATGGTTCATTTGACGTGGGTGTGTGTATGTCTTTGCGTGGGGAGATAATATTAAGGAGATGTGCCAATGCAGTAGGCGATGGCGGCCCAAACTTACTGTCGGGCAGTGGCAAAGAATGTATAGTGTCAGCTGGTATGGGTATGGCCTCTTCTTGCTGTGTATAATACGCCGGAAGCGCAGTTTCTAGTTTCCGGTGGTTCGGTAGAGGTGAGGGCACCGTGGAATCAGCAGATCCTAGGATAGGGAAGAGGTCAGGCAAGGTAAAAATATCAAGCTTGGAAAGGAAGAACCACCACCTTGTACTGATGAATATCGTGCCCAATAAGCATCTTCTGTTCTATCAGCCAAACCTTCCCGAAGTGTATTGCGCGGTGCTAAAGCGGAAAAAGCGGAAATGGACTCATAGAGCGGGGCATTGTATGCGTTCCAGTAGCGATCTTCATCATCTAGAAAACCACGGGCCACGGAGGGGTAACGTTCACGCGCCTGTTCCGCCGGAGTTGTTGGTGGGTGTAACGCAGAGCGTGATGTGGATGGGAAAGGCATCAGCTGACTGTCATGATACTTCCATCCGTCTTCATCATCCCACTCGAAGAGCAAGCGGACACCCTGCTCATGAGTGACGACCTGGACATGAGCATAAGTGTGCTCTGCATCTGAGGTGTACCGAACGTGATATTGGCCTGGCTGATCTCCGGGGGATGAGAAGATATTGAGGAGCTCGATGGCACGGGCACTTTGAGGAGCAGGCCAACATAGATATTCTATAGGATTATCAGGTGAGATCTGAAGGAAATGGTGTCGTTGAAGCAGTGATCTAGACAATAAATGGGGGTGGTAGGGGTTGAGTCAACTCAGAGGGAGGAGATATGTATTGCAGAACGAGGTGTACGGTATGCGATTGAATTGGGAACATGATCTTAATGCTCAATTGATGAATCGATGATGGCCGTCAATGGTGAGATGGAAATCACAATTTTGTTTTTGATCTCATTATAACAAAGAACATGAAAAACGACCCCCCTCGACCCCCCTTCAAACTTACTCAGCCAAACCAGGGCGGTACCCTGGTATTGCTTGTCACTCACAGTCTCTAAATTTCTCTCACCGTCTTGCACTATCGTCGCTCCTACCAATCTTCGTCCTTAAGCTTCAGCGATGTATCTACTTTCTTTTCTTCTGGCTTTACCTCTACTCGCACTTGCCCAGGTTCGTAGTTGCTTTTCGTTTTCCCTGTCAAGCTCACACCCCAGCATCAGTCATCATCACAGAGTGTTCAGCTCTCAACGTTTACCACCGTGGAAGAGACCCTTGGCTCGAATCGCCAAACTAGCACAATAACACAGATCACGGTGGTCACCATCACTCCCACTCCCACAGGGTCCGCCACAGTTTCTGCCTCTGGCAACTCTTCTTCAACAATAACTAGCGGTGCCAACAACGGGACCACCACATCAATCGCCTCTAGCAATCTACCCACTGCAGCATCTACCGTTGCTGGAGCGGATGGCGGTCCCAACGGTGCCCCCAGTCCAGGAGCATCAGCATCAGGTGGGATATATGGCCCTCCGGATGGCTATATTGCAGGCGCACAAGCCTTGCGCAGTGGAAACGCTCTCGGAGCTGTCGTCTTATTTGTCGGAGGGGCATTGGTTTTACTTTAAAACGGTTTCAAAGCTGTACACTGTTCGTATGTTTATAGACCCGCATGACGTGACGCTGGCACACTGCCAAACATACTTAGGATATTCCGTTTAGCTCTCTTTATTGGACATGGACAAACCAGTTTGCTTTTAGGGTTTGCTAATGGAACTGTACTTTCGCATATATCTTCGTTCATTGACACTTTATTATATCTACACCGTCTTGGACCGAGTACAGTACTAGTATACTGTAATGAGATCGGGTCTTTTGACTAATTCCATGGGACGAACACTAGTATATGGTGCCGAAATCGAGTTACGTATACTCTCTCTGCTCACTCCAATATTATGAGCTGGGCCAGGTCGAACAAGTTATCATACATATGCATACTTCTTACTGAGACCATAACCAATATGGCTAGTGTGTATACTCTGATAATTGGCAAATGGGAACTCCAATATTGAGACTTCGACAAGCGCTTAATGTTACGTAAGCATCGACTCGATTGCCAATCTCAAAGTATAACTTTTATGACCTTGGTAAACAAGGTCATCCGTAGCGTACGTTCGCCCACCATTACCTCGGCCTACTTATTTCGCCTGGATCGCAAGCTGAGTAGCAGGACAGTTATGTCACAAACAGGGCCCGCCACCAAAAAGCAGAGAATGGATGTCAAGGTTCGCCCGGTCACTCACAGAGGATGTATCTTTATCTCCAGCGCCTGGATAGACCATAGGCACTCATAATGGTACCTTCCATTGCGACGAAGCATTGGCAGTCTTTCTTTTGCGTCAGACGGATACCTATAAAGATGCAAGTGAGTATGTCAAGTTTTTCATCGGTACTCACCTTCACAAGTGATTATCAAGGCCTAAAACGCAGTAGAGATCCAGCTGTCCTCGATGATTGCGACATAGTAGTTGATGTGGGAGCCGTATACGACGAAAGCAAAAGCAGATTTGATCACCATCAACGTGGTTTTACGGAGGTGTTCGGACATGGCTTCAGCACCAAACTATCATCTGCAGGTCTTGTCTACAAGTATGGAATTTTTGGATTCTTCTGGAGGTAACTTACAGCTCCATAAAGGCATTTCGGAAAGGAGGTTGTTGCCAGTGTGACAGGGCTAGAACGGAGTGACAAGAAAGTTGACATACTATGGTTGAAAATGTACAAGGTATGCAGTCGCTCAAGGAGACTTGCATCTTCCTAACCATCTGCAGGAGTTTATCGAGGCCCTGGATGCAATTGACAATGGGATCTCGCAATACTCCTCCCAAGAACAACCGAAATATCGCAACCGGACCGATCTATCGAGTAGAGTTGGATGGCTTAATCCTCGCTGGAACGAGTCTTCTGAGTCTCAGAAAGTGGACGTGGGTGTCTGCGTCTTTGCTTGCGACACAACTCGCTGAACTGTCTAGGCCCTGTTCTTGAAAGCTTCGCAGCTGACCGGGGATGAGTTCCTCAGCAGGCTTGACTACTATGCCAATGCATGGTTGCCTGCGCGTGATTTGGTATTGGCTGGGCTCTCATCGCGCCAGAACGTCGATGGCAGCGGAAAGATCATATTATTTGAGCAATTTGCTCCATGGAAGGTTATATTGTTGTCGATCACGACCTTTCACTAGATTCTGAAACATCTGACAGGAGCATTTGTTTGAACTTGAGGCTGAGCAGGGTATCTCCGAAGATGAACTTCCATTCTATGTGATATACCCTGACGAGGCTGGGGGAAACTGGCGTATCCAGGCAGTCCCTGTCTCTCCTGAGAGCTTTGACAGTCGAAAGGCGCTGCCGGAGAAGTGGAGAGGCGTGCGTGATGATGAGCTGTCAAAAGTAAGCGGTGTCGACGGATGTATATTCGTGCACGCATCAGGGTTCATTGGAGGTAGGTGAAGCATCAATGATGTAGTTGCATCGGAGCTGATCTCTGGTGTTTGTTTCAGGGAACAAGACGAAAGAAGGCGCTTTGAACCTAGCAAATTTGGCACTTAAGATGTAATCGAGATCTCGCTTTCAAGGAATCTCCATCTCGGTAGTCCAGTTTTTATATGCCCCGCGAGTTTAAATTGCCGTTATACATGGCAGCTGATATGTAGACCAGATGAAATGTTCTTAGGTGAAAAGAGCGGAGACCATTTGGTGTTTGATACAGCTATCCGACCTACGTAATTGGAGTTGCCGTCGGTGCACCGGTGAATATTTCTCTCCATGTTACATCTAACTTGCTGCAGACACGTTTTGATCTACAGCCTACCCGAATAAGATGTGCGATATTTGAACATGTCCGGCAATACTCGCCCTCGTGTTCTTCGCATGTCTCGCAGCTGCATGGGGGCCACGAATGGAACGCGCGCAAAGGTCCAGGATGACTACTATTAGTTTGGTCTGCACTTCTCACTTCTAACCCGTATCTTACTATTCGGAAGCTTTGACTCTCTTTCATTTCTTTTGGTACCGTTGAACAATGCCTTACATCAAAACCCATTACCACCCTTTCCTTTTCATTCTCATCACTATATGTGCTATGGCTGAGCTGGGCCTCACTGCCTACCTTATCAGCGTTGGAAATGAGAGTCGTAATTGGCCTAGTGCTCGTTATCATTCACTGCAAGTCTGCTTTCCACCTCGAAAGGAAGTCCTGCTAACATAGGACGCATTCAGCTTAATACTCTTCGAGTTCAACGCCGTGTGGACCACGTTATTCGGGGCAGCTTATATGCTGTGGATTGTTGATGGTGCTGTGCACCTTCTTGCCAGCATAGCGAGTTCCATCATTTGGCTTGCTATCACTTCGGCACTTTGGGTAAGACATCTTACGGTATAAAAATGAACAGTTTAACCCGGGTGGACAGGGCGCAGCAGCTGGCATGATGCACAACACGCGGAGTGGGGGCGATTGTAATTGGATAGCCAGTAGCTCCGCATCCGTTAACGGGGTCCTGCCGTGCGATGCACCACAGGAGCTGAGTGTATCCAGCTGTCGAGAAACGCTAACAGTCGAAGCAGTCGGCTGGGTACTGTTCGGACTTTGCGTCCTCACGCTCTTTGCAACATGCATGTGGGTACGAACGAGCAAGCGAGGATATGTGAGTGCAGAGTATAAGCTGGGGATGTGACGAGTTGATAATCGGTGCTGCCCTTACCAGAACTCAAGCTTTTATGTCTAGGAGATTACTTGTAAGACAGGGAGTGGATTTTGGAAGTAGCTTGAAATAGTGTGTGGTGTGGTTCTGATGGATCTACTTACGCCCGTGCGTCTGGTACGCTCATAAGTTCATCGAGTCAGTCTAAGTGATTGATAAAATTTACGGTTACACATGGCGTGTCAAACTACGGCCCACGATGTGGATGTGAATATATAAGCTAAGCTGTACGTTGGCCGGACCACCATCGGGGCTCAGACAACAAACAACGGTCCTGGTTCTTTCCGTGACTTGGGCCTGCTCTAGATGTGTATGCTAACTTTATACGCGCTGAGACCGATACTTGCACAGAAACTGAAATCCAGTCGGGCGCTATGATAGTACAGTGCACAACACTAAGAATAGGCCTCTCTGTTGTGGACTCAATCTTGGTGCGATAAGGGAAATTTTTACATTTTTAGCATACAAGGATCCCCCTTCGGTCGGCTCTACGACAATACAGTGTTGGCAGTAACCACTCGGGAAATCCTATATTAGCATCGTCTGCAAATAGACAGTGTCTTTTCGCACTGTCCATAACGAACGGTTTGAATGGAATGCGGGGGATGCAGTGGCTTTCGAATGTATTGACTTTAAGGAAGCGACAATGCAGCGCGACGACGCGCACGCGCGCGTTTCTCACCAATCCCATTTCTACCGAGAGGTTACATACTCCAGGATTGGTTGACATTCAAGGTAGTCGAGTGTGTTTTGGTGTGCTCAATTGAGTCTGCTCAGCTTCTTTTAGGCTGTCTGAACTAAAATAAGATCCTACATAGTTTCGTCAGTGAAATGTGTGATTGATATCAGTTGTGATACTTACGAAAATCACCCAGCAATTTCTCTAGAATTTTGTCGTTGAAAATCCATCGACATAGACGTTGAGAGGGGAAAGGAATGCACGATCAAGACAGCTTTCAGGGTCTTCGAGAATTGGTGGGAAGAGGAAATCAATTGTGTCATTGAAGTTTGTGGTCCAACAACACCGTGAAATGAAGCAGAGGTCGCCATACTTAGTATGTGCATGAACGCGCAACAACACAGCATGACGCAGCAGACGGAAAGAGCCGTGAAGAAAAGACAGAATGCAACAACACAGCATGACGTGGTGGACGCCATCGCCGGCGGTATCTCGTGCTTATATGAGTTGTAGATTTTCCCTTTGTGCTTGCACTCCTCTGCCTCTGTATGGATTCTCTTAGCAGGTCTGGCGGCAGCGAAGTATGATGAACGGCAGTCTTTACAGGACCTGCATGAGGACCATTCAATGTCGACGTCGTGGAAAGTATGCATGACTGAGTCAGCGATGTCCCAGTTGACTGACTTGCAGAGGCTTATGTGGAGCTACAGCGTAGGGCACTGGTTTCCGCAGGCGCTATCGATGAAATATGTCCTTTTGACCCTCAGTTCTCCATGTCTGCATGGATTCTTTTAGCAGGTGTAGCATCTGGCAGCAGGAGAGTGTGGTGAGTCGTAAGCTTTGCAGGATCTGCACAGTGCATAACTGAGTGCTCCTCCGCAGCTGCACTTTGCCATGACAGCTGGATATACGCAGACACAATGATCATGTTTGATATCTCCTGGCTTCATAATATCGACGACAGGATGGATTATGACGATGGCGTTCAACAACAGGGAGACTGATGATTTATTGATGTTTATTATTGTTTATTATTGGCACATAGTCCGTCAGATTTCGTCGCACGCCATATGACCTTGCAAGCAAGGTGATATGCAGATGGCCCTATGCATATGAGCACGAGGAAAGGTACTGAATGGTAAGATGAAAAGAAGATGTATTCGCGTGACTCGGATGCGAAGAGTGTTACCCTTCGCACCAGTGAGTCACGCGGACGATTCCGAAGGTATGGTCTGTTCGAGCGTCTTACTTTTGGAGCGTAGTCGGGGCCTAAAGGTCCTTACAGGTCCTTGATTTACATCCTCGGGCGTGAACTCTACATAGTTTCTACCTTGGGAGGTAAGAGTGTGGTCTTAGAGACTTAGACTCGAAAAGGATGTAATATAATTTGAACTGGAACGCAGGATAACTACGCTCTGGAGAAGAAACTTTCCAATCTCTCAGGATGGATTGACCTCCCGCTAGAAGAGCGGCCGCAGCCTATTCTTGGTGCGCTCTTGCATCTGTTTCTTTCTCTGCCTCTGGACCATTATATCTGTTTCTTTTGCTCTAAGCGGTACCGGTGTTGTTTCTTCTGCTTGTCATTTCGTCCTCTTCAACTTCATGATTCTCCCTTGTGCCAGCTGACGTTGTTTCATAGGGTACGAACCGTCACTAGACCACGTTTGCCATGCAACAGAGCCGATGTCTAAGGCTGTTAATGTAAGTGTTGTGTCAATCCTATTAGTTGATCTGGTTATTTTCGTTTTCCAAACTTGCTACTTACTGCAGATGAGTCTCGCTGCTGTTGATCTTTTCGCTCAGAACCTAACCCAAGTACTAGGCGAGCGCAACCTCACACATAGTGACCACGGGATGGCGGACATCAGCCACCTAACTTGGGTATATGTTGATGAGATTGTTGGTCAGCCGTGGAAAGGTGTTACCAAGATGGATGGGTGGTTTCAACATATAGTCTTCTGCTTGCCGGAATGTTTTAGACTGAGTGGCGGATTGCTTACCATGCGCTGTTCAGGTTGGCCATCTATGTGCTTCTGTTTCGCTCCCAGTACAAACGTGACTGAGGCCCTTGAGCGTTTGTGCAAACGCACACTTACCCACCCGGATCAGTTTGATGTGTTCACGACTGAAAGCTTCTCTACCGACCTTGGCAGACCTCAACGCATTTAACTACGGTAAGATGTCTGCAGGCACAGTGGAACTTATGCCAGAACGATACCATTTCTCCCGCAACTACCGCATCGCTCCTGTGTGGATTGTCCCGCGCTACGGGCTGACTGACCGCACGGGCGGCGAAGATGCAATACCAGCTGGAGTGAGTTTACCTTACCGTACCTCATGTCGCTTGATTTCTCTGTTGCAAATCATTGAGCTGACGCGTCCCGCCTTCCTAGAACCACAGCTATGACAACGAGGACCCGTCGATGCATGCCATCTTTGTCGCACACGGGCCTTTCTCGCAGGGCATGAAGGCTGCTGTAGTCGCACGAGGAGAGGGCGATGGTACAGGAGCATACGTGATGCCAGGGTTCCAGAATGTCGAGATTTACAACCTCGTGATGCGATTGTTGGGCCTCGACGCTACAGATACAGCTATAACCAACGGAACCACTGGATTCTGTGATGAGTTTGTCTTGCCAGATACTTGAACCTCACACATACTTGAAGTCGACCTGCTTTACAGTCATTGATCGTCATTTGAGTTTGGAATTTTTGTCTGCCACAACACAACCAGACACAATCTCATGGTGCTATTTGTCGCCGGTCGGACCTGATGGACGGACCGGACAGACAGAGGAACGGACTTTCGAGAAACCAGGTGTCCTCGGTCCTGGGATGGTGGGCCGTTGTATTTGCAATTCAGATTAGACTTGTGACCAGTCGACGGCGTATCTATTAGACTCGTGACCAGTCAACAGACACCTCGCGGATGAGAATCGATTCTGCCACTGGTCACGAGTCTAAATTTAGATCTAGGGTTGGGTCGGAGTCAAGGTTACGTCATCCAACCTTATCAGATAAGAGCGTTGGTATTTTTATCTAACGTACAACTTCAACGCAAATGACTGGCCACCGTGAACTTGACATCTCGATTCCAAGTCGCAGCTACACAGAATCACATATAAACTCTGTCTCCACCAGACCGCGTGATGAGGAACTTATAGAGAGGGGTGATGCTATCTCTCCAACGAGGGCATCCATTGTTCGGATGTTGGCTCTCCTGTGTGCATGTTCTCTCAGCGTTGGTAGTCACTAGTGCGTTTTTCTTCCATTCTTCCGTTCCCTCCACATATTCCTAATATCTACTGTGCCCCATCTTACAGTGCGTCATACACACTAGGGCCACTGAAATCTCGACTGGCGCGAGAGATTAACACATCCAACACGGAATTTAGTCTGCTGATTTCTGCATTCAGTTTAAACAGTACATGGACACCTCTAGTCGGGGGTCTGATGGCGAGTAAACTTGGTACAACGCTCACTAGTATCATTGCTACTGGTGTTATTTTTTTTGGTATGTATTATTTGTTCATGCTACCCACTTTCTCATCCCTGTCTAGGTCAGGTTTTGCTACTGGTTGGTGACATAAAAGGAGATGTTCGATTGATGGCATTTGGGCTGTTCGTGTTTGGATTTGGAGTCAGTCCTCTTGCGGTTGTACAGGAGTCCATTATCGTGCGATTCTTTAAATCGCACGGGCTCGGTGTCTCAATGGCACTGGGTCTTGTAGCTGGCAAATTGGCGTCATTTATTTCAGCGCGAACTTCACTCCCGCTTGCGGAGCGTTTTGGGCGCCACGCACCATTCTACGCGTCCACATTCCTAGCTGCTCTTTCCCTTTTCATCAACCTGGTCTACATGGCATCCTCAAAGTGGCTTATACGGGGTTCTGGCACTGTCTTGCTAGAGGCTTCCGAGATTCGAAGTGAGGCCAGGCGCCGCTCACTGTATGATATCTCCGAGGCTCGTGCGCTGGAAAAAGTTGCAAAAAAACGCCACATCAGGTTCAAAGATATTCCAAAGCTTGGGGATATCTTCTGGGCGTGCGTGACGAGATTAGAACTCACGACTTATACTGATCTTTCGCAGCTACATAGGGCTAAACATCCTCTGTGGCACTATATGGGCCCCTTTCACCCATTTGGCAGCGTGAGTCTGCATACCAGGACATCTTTCGTGACTCATAACGTCCTTTGTGCGACTTTTCTTTAGCAACATTTTTGAAAAGAGATATGGATTGACGGAGAACGCTGCTAGTACACAAGCTTCCTACCTTCTGGCTGGGAGCATACTCTTGTATCCCGCCGTAAGCGCATTTCATATTGCTCCATAATCTTGACCGACACCAAGTTAGACCGGATTCATAGTAGACCGGATGAAGCATCCACAGGCTGTACTTCGCATGTTCATGCTGTCATCTGTATTGACGTTGCTTGGATACGCATGGCTTGTTCTTCCGCCAGCATGGACGGGAACGCCTTCCCCTGCAATTGCTGCCATTGCGACTGGCATTGGCTTCTCCCCTTGTAAGTTAGCGTTGCACTTTTTAACCATCATTCATGCGACGTGTTCTAGTACTCCTTGTGGTCTTGGTCCCTCAGCTGGTCCCGTTTAAGTTTGTATCAACTACTCTGGGTGTCCACAAAAGCGTAAGTGGTTTATTCTGTCTAGTGTCCTTATCTGAGCTACGAGCTTGACGTTTCAGATGGAACAAACAGGGGCGACGATTTTCCAAACCATAGCTGGCCTTGTTTTGGATGGTGCATCCCCCCATCAACGAGCCCCAAAAGGCGACCAGTACACAACCCAGCAGTTGTTGAACGTGTTTTTCGGTTTTAATGTTTTGCAACTACTAGGTATTATCGGTCTATCGCATCTTGATCATCGACGAAGGCAAGCAGCAGAGACTCTTGAGAACGCGGTCGGGGATGAAGAAGATGTCGAACGTGAATTAGAAGAAGAGTCGACCTTCACCGGGGGCGAAGGAGATATCCTGGCTTCTGAAATCGGACCATTGTCTTCTCCAGACCCAAGAAAGCCTCTACTCGGTCGCCGGCCCAGAGCAGATTCTAGGGCCAGTTATTTCCCTTCTTCTTGTCCTTCTCAAGGGGTTCGCGGATACTCGGAGATAAGGAGGGGTCGGATTTTTGTGTGTCTTTGCGCCATGCTTATTGGCAGTGCTTGGGTATTGTTTTTGAGCACTGCATGGTTGAGGCTCCGATCGAGATAGCAAAGATAGTTATAAGAGTTCACATGCACATGACTAGTGTTTAGATACTTGTTATCAGGAATAAGATTCTCCAGCGTCCTGAGCCACTATCTACGCGCACTCATTAACCAGTGTCCACAAGGCACTCCGACAGTTTCATCCGAGGTGTCTGATGTTGCAGAGTCATCAAGAAAATCAGGGAGTAGTGTGACAGACGTTGCGAAAGTTGGAGATGGGAAACTCTCGTTTTCGGCACGCTTGGCGGGTAATTTTTTCCTCCATAACTCGATCATTTCCCAGGTGAGGGCCGGATCCTTTGGCTTTTTAAAAAGAACATCTGGACCGTGTGGCTCGTCCACTCCCCTATCTGAAACATCGAGCGCTACCGCGCCCGCGGCTCCAGCCGAGGACGCCGGTTCTGCTCAACATGTGAGTTCAACTGATGAAGACACAACGTATTATATGTTTCACCATCACTCGTCCCGCTCCAGCTCGATAAGGAAGTAGCGATTTCTAGCTCTTTTTCCGGTTCGGCGATTGGTGGCTCGGATTCATCATCCGAGAAGATATTGTGAACAGGTTCCGCAACCTGTTGACTGGCTTAGCTCAGTTATTCCTAATAAGAATATTTCAACGCCAACCTCCACCGGTTGTACAAAACCACCAGGGGCGCGGAGAGCCGAGCCGAGCCAATATAACAACGCATGCATAACGGTCGGAGAGCGTGATTGGGCGTCTATAACGGGAGAAATGAATGCTGTCGTCCAACCTATCAAGCCATGATAAATCCCTTTCTTTGATCTCGCTTGGGGCAGATCTTACCGCGTGAAAACATACCAAAAGCCCACTGTTGGTATGAAGTCAGAATGAAGAATGGCGTTTGATTGTGAACGCAGGTGTCCCATAACTAAAGGATTTCTTCAGACTCTGGGAAATGTACATTATGTGCACTTACCTTCCCCCAAAGGCGTTCCTTTCCACGTAACGGGCGCGTAGTACCTTCAGGAAGCTACCAAATATGTTCCGTATTCACGGCTCAAGTATTCCAAGCACGTACCGATTTGAGTTGAGTGAATTGCCACATGAATTCGTCGGTCAATATCCAAGGAGGTTGGCAGGCGACAACTACAGATAAGTCATGTATATCGGGGTGATCTTGGTTGACATCCGTCCAGTGAAATTTCTTGAAATTATCGTCATCGCAGCTGTGATCATCAAGCGTCACAAACTTCCAATCTTTCGTTGCAGGAAACATGATATGAAAAACTCGTTGAACTGTTTGGAAGGGGAAATTGTCCAGCCAATCACACACTCTGATAATAACGAGGTTAAATAAACCTCGTGTTCCAGGTAATTGTTTACATACCGATTGAGATCCGATGCTGCAGGAAGCAGCAGTTCTGGAACATTGAATCTATGTGAGGAGCGTACTGTAAACCGCTCGCCTGTTTTCCGGTCCTCGTCGTACAGACAGAGCGAGCGATTTGGAACATGCTCCTCGATCCCTGTAGATGGTAAGGGTTTAGCTCACGAAGCTTCGTGTTAACGGCAAGCCTACAATCATTAACAAGTTCATCAAATGCGGAATCCAGGAAAACTATGTTAGCAAGGTTTCGATGTCGTCGGCGAACAGTAAGCGTTTTTCTGCGGCTCTTGTATCCCTGTTGAAACATCAACTCTGGTTTGTGCATGAGCTTCAGTCGGGGTAGAATAGCGTCCTTAAGGTAGCCTTGCAAGTCGTCTGTTGCTCTGTAAGACATATTGACCTCACAGCAAATATACGTGGGGGGGATGTTGGCACGGCCCTTTGAGGATAGCAAACATTATATATCAACACGTCGCTGAAAAACCTCGATACAGGCTGGAGTAATACAACGATTAACAACAACAAGAAGCGCATGAGGAAACAAGGAATCGCATAGCAATTGGCAAATCACCGCGTGAAGGGTCGCCTAAATCAGGCTGCTAGCATAATCCGATATACAACGGCAATACCCGAATACCATCCTCCAGTCGTCAAACAAGACGTCGTAGTCGCCCCCGAGTCAAGACCCTCAAGAGGTATGTTTCTGTGTTGTTGTTGTATGCAGCTATGCTGGAAGAGATCTGCATTGCTGTCAGAAACTCTAGTTTGGAGAAATTGGAATGGAAATCGATGGATGCTTTTGTCTTGATTGGATGTATGTTGACCTGCCGAGTCACTAATCATCTTGCATTGCAGCCTGCAACATGGGCGCATACAAATACATCAGCGAGTTGTACAGAAAAAAGCAGTCCGATGTGCTGCGTTTTCTCCTCCGTGTCCGGTGAGTCCTGATGCCTGTGATACATTAACGACGAAAGTTGCTGAATTCGTATTCTAGATGCTGGGAGTACCGCCAATTGAAAGTTGTTCATCGTGCATCTCGCCCTTCTCGCCCTGACAAGGCTCGTCGCTTGGGATACAAGGCCAAGCAGGGCTACGTTATCTACCGCATCCGCGTCCGTCGTGGTAACCGCAAAAAGCCAGTTCCAAAGGGTAAGCTACTGACCGACACGCCCCTTCGATATAAACCCAATTCATCTTTCAGGTGCCACCAATGGCAAGCCTGTCCGCCAGGGTGTCAACCACTTGAAGCCCCAGCGCAGTCTTAGGAGTACCGCCGAGGAACGTGTTGGAAGGCGTTGCGGAAACCTGCGAGTCCTGAACTCGTACTGGGTAAACCAGGACGGCGTTTACAAATATTTCGAAGTCATCCTTGTGGATCCCAACCACAAAGCTGTAAGCCCGAGGTTTTTTCTGTCTGTTATGTTTACGAGGACGAATTATGGTGTAGATTCGCCGGGATCCCCGTATCAACTGGATTGCCAAGCCAGTGCACAAACGCCGCGAAGCCCGTGGTCTCACCAGCGTTGGGAAACAGGTTCGTTCATCACTCATGGTCCTCGGGGTTTTTTCTGATGTTCGTTGCAGAACAGGGGATTGGGCAAGGGCCATCGTCACAACCACGCTCCTGCTCGCTCAACCTGGAAAAAGCACAACACTCTCTCTCTTCGTCGTTACCGCTGATTTACTTGCGTATTTTCTGTTGTTCTGCCATTACGTTACTTCATGCACGCTATGCTTTGTATGCCATGAAGCTTCGCCAAAAGGATATCATGTGCTCCTATATCACCACTGAAAGAAAGCCAGCAAGTATGATATGAAAACGTTCACCTTATAAGTTGAGCGAAATCTGACTTCCCCCCCGCCTTTTTGTATGCGATGCATTAGATGTAGGGATGCACGAACTGGTGGAATAGGATTTTGATGGATCGATGCAAATACCAGGCCATATCGACCGCCAAGCTATACCAGTGTTCCAGGTTCTAAACTGCATCTAAGTAAGATGATTGTGCTTATGTTGGTTGTTTTAAATTAGCTTGTTGTTGATAAATCATCATCACCCCATGTCAGATTATTATAAGTTAGTGATCTAGCATCTACCATGACAGTCTTCATTCACGGCGTCAACATCAACATCATTAATGGGCCCGGGCGATAAAAAAGGAAATAGCACCCAGTCTACTGTCTATCTCAGTACAGGTGGCAACAGTGATTCGTGCCTATGCTATCATTGCTTTCTGAGTACGAGGGTCTGGGACTCTGTATTGTGAGGTGCACATTGATAACTTCTGCTAGATATTACTGCACTGCTGATGAGTCGCATTGCAGTCACAGTTCCTACCATTTTCAGATTTCAAGGTTTGGGATTTAGCGCTTAGCAGCTGCGCAGCACTAGTGGCTTGGAATTGGTCTCATGATTCGTTTCGAGTTGTGTGTTCTCCGAATCTATGGAGGTCCCTTGCCTTCGCAATGGGGTCCTCTTTTTGCTGGTCAAATCCTCACCGTCCGCGTCCCCACGAGACCTGAGTGAGGACAAGTAGAGCCTACTTATTCTGCATTTGGCTTTTCTTCAAAGTGATACGATTGGCTTTTATTGTCCGCGACTGACACCGAAACTCACAGCCTGACATGATTCCGACCCTGCTCCATTCTTTGTTCCTATTCCAAAACAGTTTGAGTCTGTTTGACCACTGGATCTCAAAACGAATGTGGTACGCTGAACTCCCTTGGCAGAGGTCAAGATCTCGATTGCCGCTCGTCAAGCCTATCTTCGAAGTCATTGATAACTAAGGATCCGACTTTCTTTCTTTACAACCCCCACTAGCGCCTACTCAGCGCTCAGCCTCCAATCGCTCGTTAACTTCAAGTTTCTCGACAAGTCCCCGTCCAGAAAGTCGCACTGAACCATATGGTTTGGCAACAGGATATATCCCGTCATCGTCTATGTTTCTAGGAAGACTGGTCTTTGCTAAGCTTGATCCCTTTGTATCCTATATGTAGTACTGTCAAACTCCATCCTAAGTATACTCCATGTTGCACAGTGCAAATCCCCGCATACGGAAAATAGTAGCATTCAAGCCACCGCTACACCTTGCTCAAGCCGCTCACAGTAGATGATCCGTCGTGGTCACCCGTCTGTTATTGTTGCAAACAGTGTTGGCAATGAGATTTGGGTAGAGAATGAGTGTGGCATTGATGAACTACAGACTCGGAATTCGCGTGGACTTTCAGTGATGATGATCTTTTAAGGGAACTTTTGGGCTGTGTGAGCTCTGCATAATTAACCTTGAGGCCATCATGCCATCGTGCCGCATCCGCAATTGCCAACTGGCATCTCACGGCATGTAACTACTTAAGCCGGTCACCCGTTCGCGTTATCATTTGATGTGGAACAAAAAATTTAGTGATGTGAAAGACATTCGCCTCGTGCCACTGTGAGAGCCTCGTAGCTGCGGTAATTCATTTCGCTGGCACATCCAAGCCACATCTACAAATTTATTCGAGCTACGCAGTGGCAACTGCTAATGTTAATTGTGTTCGGACGCGCACCTTAAATCCCTGGCAGTTCGTCTTCTTTGAATTGCATTCTTCCTCCCGAGCATGCTGAAACTTCATTATGCAATTATTTGCCTATTATACGGACATCTTTCGGAGACCATGGCCTTCCCAAGCATTCTCAGTAACATTAATTGGATGGCCGGAGTTGAGTCGCCAGACAGCTTTGAATGGCCACAGATCACAATACCGACGAAGAGAGAAACCGCGCCCAATGGATCCACTATAATCTGGGTCATTCAAGATACCTATGAGGGCAGTACTTTTTTCGAGTAAGTGTCTCGTCCAGATCATCAATCGATACTGGTAACTGACGGGCTGCAGTACATTTGACTTCTACACTGGTCCAGATCCTACAAAGTAATGTTTGGTTTAATTTTCGGGGTACTCAACACTCACTGATAATTGTTCAGTGGTTTGGTGACGTGTGTGTCTATCTGTCGCACGGGATTCTTTCATTCTTAAGATTCAAAATAGTTTTGTTGACCAACAGACGGCATTCAACGACGGCTTAGCATATGTAACCTCCGACAATCAGGTCATCATGCGGGGCGACAATACAACTCAGCTAGCATATGGGGTTAACAGAAGCAGGTAAAAAAACACCAGTGCGCTGAGTGCGCCGAGACTAATCTGATCTCTTAGTGTCCGCATAGCAAGTCAGGCTCAGTACAATATGGGTCTCTTCATACTGGATCTAAACATGGCTCCATGGGGTTGCGGTGCGACAACTTTCTTCCAGTGCAGTGATGTCATTTAATTATTCCGATCAAGGTGTTTGGCCTGCATTCTGGCAAGTAATGCTACGCGAAGGTTGGATGATGAGTCTGACGATATAGCCAGGACGGTTGGGAATGGGCCATGGCCATATGTAAGCTTGGAATACCTTTGCGTTCCCACTCAATAATCTCTATTAAAGACCGGTGAAATAGACATCATTGAGGGTGTGCACGACAACGAATACAACCAAGTCACCTGGCATACTGCTCCTGGTAAGCGGATGTTCGCTAGCTACTTGCTCCACAACTCACGTAACTCTAGGTTGCAACTTAACCCAGAATACCAACTTCACTGGGACGATTGTGGTGCGTCCTGTCTTACCATGACGAGAGGTGGTGGATAATTGTTAAAGCAAACGAATGGCACGGATAACCTTCAATGCAATGCGTTCATCAACGACAACGCAGGGTGTGGCGTGACAGAATGGAGCCACGCATCATATGGCCCATTATTTGACGAGGCTAATGGCGGTGTCTTTGCTATGAAATGGGATGAAAACGGCATCGCAGTTTGTACGTTCGTGAACCTCACAGCACTGTGAGACTCTAGACCGTTTTATCCCACAGGGTCATTTTACCGCGCAGCTATTCCTCTGGACATTACACAAGGAGAACCAGATCCATCCAATTGGGGGTGAACCTGTTGCTGAACTGACCACCCAGTCGTGTAATATTACTAATTACTTCGTAAATCACTCGATCATATTTGGTGAGTATTTTGATGAAATTCATATCCTTATTGCTCACCGACAATGCAGACATCACGTTTTGTGGTGAGGCTTCATTACTGAGGTGCAGATTGAAGCAATTTATCAAAACTAACCAGGTGACTGGGCCGGCAACTCATACGCTACATCAAATTGTCCTGGCACGTGCGAGAGCATACTGATGGATCCGGCTAATTTTATTGTGAGATTCTATTGCTTTCTTGCATTTCTCTGTCTCAACTGGTCCTATAGAATGCCTCTTGGATCATCAACTCGCTCAGTGTCTACAAGCAGGCTTGGTGGCAAGACAGCGGCACGTCGAGTGCAACCCGAGCACATCCAATTACGAATTTAAAGACGATTGGTTGGATTATTTCCACAATAATATTCTTCCAAATCGTGCATGTCTCGCTTTAAGATGCTGGCTGTCCAAGCAGAGACGTTACGAACTATTAGACGAGCTATCGTGGACGATCAGCTGAGAGGAATACACTAGTGATACCACCTGTTGATAGATCTTGCACCCCTAAAATTTTCCTTATGACTCGCTTGCATTGATGATATGAGTGATATCAAAGAATCGGAGTACTCTAAAGTTTCAAGATCCTCAGAGATTCTGTCCCTATTGCCGCAGGGTCATGATCTACATGTGCAAAACATGCCCGTAGTGGAGTAATGCTCGCATGGCCTTTAGCGATGGCCCAACCATCTGAGCCAACTGGGAGAGAACCGACTGAAGGTGTAATGAGGGGTTGGAAATCAGGGGAGAATTTGAACACTAGCGTTGCAGGTTCATCTTTCGATATATCGCCTCCAGATTCGCTTTCTTGTGCGAGAAACTGTCCCGCCACGTCCGGGCCCTTGTTAGGGACGTCTTTCGTTGTGCTCGTAGCGTCAGGAGTCGATACTGCTTTAAAAAGTTGCCCGTATGAGTTACGCCACATGTGCGTCCAATGGACATCTATGCCCTTTGGATCAAGAAGTTCCTATTATCATGGGAACATTCACGTTATACATGTCGATTTCTCCGTTGCGCATTCCACCAACGTCTTTACCCCAGTTGTTCCATAGGTACTGGATGATCCGCCCAGAGAGGATATCTGCGGGTTCAAAAAGTTCGTTTGGGGTGGGATGGAGAACAGTGCCGTATGAAATTGCAATGGAACGGATCTGAGATAGCGCCGACGACATGGCGGCACCGATGGTTCCAGACGACATGGCGAAAGCGGCTGGGTAATCGTGATTTGTTCATAGAACGTTCAAACATAGCGAAGAGAAAGTACGAACCAGAGGAATTTCTGCCGAGGTTTGGCCCCGAGATCTTACATACCAATTTGGATTAGACTTCGAGAGTTATCACAAGGAGCAGTTGAAAGTACTGACCACAAGGTCTATTTTTCCGGGATATAGGTTATGAAGCGCGATGTTGGTGCAAGTCGCGGGGGTCTACGGAGTATACGCCATGAGCTTGCGTCAAGAATAGAAATCTTACTTACACCGCCCAGCAGTACCCACTCGGCAACTTCACCCTCATTTAAAGGACGCGAAGCTGATGATACCTCTCCCACCCCATCTTCAAGAGTCTTTCAATTACGGTGTAATTCTTATCACACCAAATCACTCACCGGGTTCCTTCGGATAGTAATACCTTCCTTTCGTGATTTCCTTGATGTGAAACGCTTTCCCTGCAAGAGGTGCATCAGCACGAGAGGTTGAACAGGAATGTTTAGGCTCACCGATCCACGATTTCTGGGAGCTTGGCACAACTACTTTCACTTCCCATCCTGGTTAAATGTTACTAAGTTGGACGCAAGCGTCTTCACGCATGTGGGTTTCACTGAAAGCTTACCGAGATTTGTCGTGAGATGACGATAAAGTCCATAGATGTATGGAGATTGTGGACCTGGTGGGCCGTCATCATTCTGTGGATTGACATAGGTTATAGTCAGTGAAAAATCTTGAGAAGGAAGAATAGGTACTTACGACGAGCAAAACTCTGGGAGACATGAGCTATGTAGTATATATATCAGGAATGATGATGAGATGACCCTTGTTGTCACCAGCGACGGCGATAGTGACGAGCGCCTGTGTGTAAGATCATCGATTCCCATAATTAAAATCCGTCCCCCATCTTGAACCACACAACTTTTTCTGTATCTTCGTTTTCGCTTCTGCTCCCGCCAGCCCTTCTTCAACGTTGGCCACAGCGATACTAGGCAACATCTTTAATCGAGGCTAATTCCTCAAGGGCTAGACTTAAGGCTAGGCTGAACTATCGTTATTTCCATTTACTAGACGTTGGCTCTACTGAGGCTCGCTTGAGCCGCTGTGTTCATGATTCACTGGTGATTCAGTACCTCTTAACGACTACCAGACATGACTACGCCAACGACGAACACAAGCCATTGTCTACCCGCCATACCATCCCTCCCACCAATTCAGATGCCCGGCGACACCGATAAAAATACTTACCTTGACCTGGGACATGATCCAATCGCACCTGTGTCTGCATCGTCCACATCCCCTCAGGCTCCTTTCTCCTCTACTTCATCTACTCTTGTTGTTCCTTGTAGAACTCCTTTCGATACAGGTTACTCCGGATTCTCATCCTCGACTTCAACCGACCCTTCGTCCCAATCCTTGCGCAAATCAGTCTCTGTTGACTCATTTGTTGGCTACGATAGGGAAACGTCACAGGGAACAAGTGGTTCACGAACTAATAGAGGCAACACTTACTCCACTTTCGAGGCGCCTAGGACACACAAACAGGACGGTCCATTACCCAGCGAGCCTACTCTTTCTCAACCGTCTATTCGCAGTCGCGGTGCGAGTGTGAGTGCGATGTGTCAGAGTCGTGATTCCGGCATAGAGCACGAGCGGGAGGCCGAGCGTTTCCAACGGCTGAAGCGACCAAGTGAAGGCAGACGGGGCTCTGTGAAAGGCAAAGATCACCTCCGAACAGCTCCCCGTCCAGGCGATCTCAATCTCCCTCCACGCATGCCCGTTCAGGTTATTGATGATACCCGCCGCTTGCATTCAACAACATCGCTTATTTCACTGCCTGTATGTAATCCTGCGCTGGCCAATCTTACGTCAGGGCGCGCAAGGAGTGACAGCCTTGGCTTGCAAACCACTACAGTTTCAGGTAGAAATCTATCGATTGATACCCTAAAGCCCTCTGTGAGCATTCGTCACACCCATTGAGCTCAATTTCTGATGTTGCGTGCCCAGCTTTTGTCCAAAGAAATAGCCATCGCAGTAGTCGGTTCATCCGGTTGTGGCAAGTCGACATTCATCTCGGAGGACGCTAAAGCCCACGGGGCATCGGACATCGAGGCACTATTTGCGTCGCCGAGTGGAACTTTTTCTTCCACTCCTTTCTGTTGTACGTTCATATTCAATACCCATCTCGTTTTATCTGACTGCAATCTCTCAAGACACGCGCCACTTTGACTGGGCGATACCACGCGATTTCCCCATGGTAATCTATGAGTTAGACATTGCAAAGGTCCTGCACGAATGCCTTCCACCCGTCAGTGGGGTTGTCGTGTGTTATGATGCTGCCAACAAGGCTTCGTTTTCTCCTGTGGAAGAGTTCCTCGGTATGTTGCATTTCTCGCCCCCGTGGTTTTTTTTTATCAATCATCTTCGAAAGGGCGGATACGACCGTTGAAGCTTTCGACTATAGCAGTGGCCTTGAAGACAGACTTGGATGTCGCTGTCGATCCGCGGGATTCTTCGAAACTGTTGGAAAACTACGAGGTCGGTCTGGTGCAGGTCGATCACTTGGGAGAAGCAGGGAGAGCTAGGATAAAGAAAGTGTTTAATTGGTTGACGGTATCTATCTTGCCAGGTCCTCGTGAGTCTACAGAGTGGTATCTGAGTGTGGTGTTAAACCTTGTCATTAACTTTCAGATGCTGATCTACGAAATCCCGCATCACCAGAAGTTCGCCACTCACCGTTTACTTGGGAAGCCCGAGCATCAGCATCATCAGCCACACCCACCGTCTCTTCCACAGCTTTTACGCAGACCGTGTCCCAAGACCATGGTAGCTCGTTGCGACATTCGCCCACTTCTACACTCCCATCATCTCCGCCGCCAATCGCCATCTCTCCAACGCGTGCCCGGTCAACTCCAGATCTCCTCTCGACACATGAGATGTCGAAATTACGAGAGTCGTCTGAGCGAAAGTTATCGAATGCTCGCAGTGTCACGAGCTTTGTTGGGTCGTCAAGCGCAAATTCCTCGTCGTTCAGCTCCTTTATTTCTGGGAGAGATGCTTCCTTGAATGTTACTGAGAACGGCCATTTTGATCATCCTGTAAGCAAAGAGAAGGAACCGTGGGTCGTTTGCAATCATCCGAAGTAGTGCTGCTAACTTCCTATTTACTTAGTCGCTCAGGGCAATATGCAACCCTGGAGGAGTTACTCGATAAATTACTATTCCTTGCTGTCAGCGGTGATGGTAAGCTTGCCCTTTTTGACTTGTTGGCACTACAAGATTCACAGCATCGATCGTAGATCCAACGTTTATCTCGCATTTCCTTCTTACATATCGAAGATTTGCAAGTCCTCGCAGTATTTTGTTGGCTATGCAGAAGCGAATGCGAGAACTCGACAATTTGACTGGGGATCCGATGTTTGCGAGCTACGCACAGATGAGGTATCATAATTTTGCGACATGAAAAGTTATCGTGCTAACATGCCGGCTGGTTTGAAGGATATGCCACCTACTTGAAACCTGGATCCGGACGTATCCACAAGACTTCGCCGTTCCAGGGGCCCCTGACGCCTTAAAAGCCCTGGTCAAATCGATCGTCGGGAAAACATATCTCCTACATTACGGTTCCGATTTCCTCCCGTTTGTTTCACATCTTCCTAACATCATAGACACGGATGCGGCCTGGGCGCTAAAATCCGAAAATCCTGTGGACGAGAGCGAGGACCCATACGTCATATCAGACGGAGAGGAGGAAACACTGGTTGTTGAGACCGAATCACCCTCTACGAGCCATTCGTCGGTGGCTCGCTCGAACGACAACCTTCCTAGTGCAGCGAGCGTCAGGGAACGCAAGTCAAGCTTGCCGCTTAGCGCGAAGATATTTTTACCAGTGAATTCGAGTCACAGCCAAGGAGACGCTCAAGATATGTCTCCGAAGGACCTCCTGGTCAAGCTAAGGAGTAATGCCCAGACTCTGGCTAACTTTGATTGCTCCGCGATTGCGGAGGAGATCACGCGAGTGGAAGCGAAGTTATTCATGGATATCGAGGTAAGCATTGGCTACTACTGCGATTGCCGTGATCGTGACGACCTTTTGCAGCCACGGCACTGGTTGCAATATACCCTCATACCCGGACGCAAAGACCCTGAGTTGGACTCAATATCTCGATTCAATGCTATCTCCAATCACCTCGCCGATTGGTAAGTCGCCGTGGGTGAGTGGCGCCAATGATAAAGATGGTTAATGGTTTCTCCAGGGTGGTATCCCTCATACTATGTCACGACAAACCGAGGCACCGCGCAAGACAAATAGAGCGATTCGTGGATATCGCGCACGAGCTCCGCGCATTAAACAATTACTCAGCACTGCGTGCTTTTGTCGCTGGAATCAACAACTCTACTTTCCAAGGCGATGAAACCATGGAGATTTTCAAAAACAAGACTCCGGATCACTACAAGAATCTCTTGTCTTGGGATGTTCTTCTTCAACATCGCGGAGCTCATCAGGCTTATCGTATGGCGCTCAAAAATACTAAAGGCGCTTGTATACCAGCACTGTAAGTGCGGTGATTTTCATGACAAATAGCTTGATTTTTACCTGTTATTAGGGAGGTCCATATGTCTGACCTTATCCGTGCCCATGAAGGAAACCCCAATGTCAATCTGGATGATCCTACAAAAATCCATTGGGGCAAATTTAATATGTTTGGTCGGTTTATTCAAACTACCACCCACTGCCAGATACAGTGCCAAACAAATCCGGATTATTGCCTACCGTCACGAGATCGATTACTGAAGGTCATATTTAACGAATATGTCATGTCGGAAGATGTGCGTCTTGATCCGAAAACTCCTACCCTCCCTTAATTAACTCTACGCAGATGCAAACATCTCGAATGGCGCCTCTTCCAGACTCAGATTTAGTTGAAGAACCCTTCCGCTCCACGCTGCCTCGAACAATGTCACGCGAACATTCAACATCCTCCCAGAGAGACGCAACAATTCTTCGCAGAATACTGCAACGGTGAAGATAGCCCCAGCATGTATCAGGATTTTCCTTTATGTATCTGCAGTTTGTTTCTATTCATCTGTCATTCTGATTCCATTTATTTGATACCCCGCCCTGTACGTATCATATTTGTTATTCGGCAAATGTACCCTTTCATGTTCAAGTTACGTCGCTACCCTCGCACTCATCCCATAGGCACAGTAGCAAATCTTAGCATCCATTGAACCAATTGAAGAACGTGTTACACCTATGGCCGATGTGTGTGTAGTCAAACTTGTTAGCTTCTCTTGAAATCTGAAGAGAAATTTCGAATCGAGCACGTGACAATTTTGTGTAAGTTTTGAAGTAAATGCCAGTGCGCATGCGTTACAGTTTACACTAACGGTAGGCCAGATCTTCATAACACAACTGCTCGTAGTATCGTTCAAGGAACTTCATAGCCTGCTAAAACTCTGTCGGACTCTGTCGGTTGGTCGCACTACGCTATATCCAGTATGGACTTCGTAATGACCATCGAATCTGACGATGAATCACCACCTCAACGCAGAAGTAGCAAGAAGCAGCAAGTGGACGATGCTGCCCACCTGGACCCCGATTTCCAGTTTGATGTCGCTGGCGATTCCTACACCGATTTTTTGGAGTTTGAAACGCAGCAGGAGGATATTGTAAAGAAGGTTTCTAAGCCAGTGAGCATCACTGCTACACGTGGTAGTCGGTTACTGAATCGGCGCATAGGATCCCGTCTCAGTAGATGAAATCATCGAAAGACGCAAACTCAAGACGCTCTCAAAAAGAAAGCGCGAGCCAGAGAGCGAGGATGAAGCTGAGGACGGTATGGAGGAAAGTGATGCTAGCGGTGCGGAGGACTTCCCTGAAACGGATGGTTCGGGCGACGAAGATGACCCCCTTTCCAGTTCCGGTGAGGAAAATGACGAAAGCGCCGAGTCCGTAGTTGAGGAGGACGAGGAGCAGAGTGATAATGTTGATGTGGAATCGAATTCTTCGGATGAATCAGAAGAAGAGACTCAAGTCGAAAAGGATCGCAAAGAAGCCTTCTTTGATTCGGAGGCAGCACCTACGGAGCATCATGCATCATTTCTGACCATGAACCTTTCTCGCCCAATTCACAAGGCGTTGGCCAATCTTGGATTTACTTCGCCGACACCCATTCAAGCCGCGACCATCCCTGTTGCTTTGCTGGGCAAAGATGTTGTCGGAAACGCTGTCACGGGTTCCGGAAAGACCGCTGCGTTTACTATCCCTATGCTGGAACGGCTGCTATATCGAGAAAAGGGGAAGCATGCGGCAGCAACTCGGTGTCTGGTGCTGGTCCCGACAAGAGAATTAGCTGTGCAGTGTTATGAGGTTGGTTCTAAACTTGCAGCACACACTGACATTCGCTTTTGCCTCATCGTTGGTTTGTTCCCTTCAAACTCCACAGCGGCCAGTTCTCATGCAAAATATCTAGGTGGACTTTCCCTCAAATCCCAAGAAGCAACTTTAAGGACTCGCCCAGACGTCATCATCGCAACTCCTGGACGGCTTATCGATCACTTGCGCAATTCCCCTTCCTTCGCGCTCGATGCACTGGATGTCCTTGTTCTTGACGAAGCGGATCGTATGCTTTCTGATGGATTTGCAGACGAGTTAGCCGAAATCATCAAAGCATGCCCTGTTTCCCGTCAGACAATGCTGTTTTCCGCTACAATGACAGACACTGTCGATGAACTGGTAAAGATGTCTTTGAACAAGCCTGTACGCCTGTTCGTGGACCCAAAGCGAAGCACGGCTCGAGGCCTTACCCAAGAATTCGTTCGTGTGCGAACGGAGAAAGAAGCAGATCGGACTGCCCTGCTTGTATCTTTATGCAAAAGAACGTTCAGACAGCGTGTTATCATATTCTACAAGAGCAAGAAGCTAGCACACCAGATGCGTATTGTTTTCGGTCTTCTTGATATGAAGGCCGAGGAGTTGCATGGCGACCTCACTCAAGAACAGGTTAGACAGCACTTGCCCACTCTCCTACATATCAGACGTTGATTCTTGGATAGCGTCTCAGAGCTTTGCAGCTATTTCGCGATTCACAAGTAGATTATTTAATGGCGACTGATCTTGCTTCTCGTGGGCTAGATATCAAGGGCATTGAGACCGTTATCAATTATGATATGCCTAACACATTGTCGCAATACCTTCACCGAGTGGGTCGGACGGCCCGCGCAGGGAAGTCTGGTCGGTAAGCTTCAATCTTCAACATATTCCCGTTGTTTGTGTTTTGATCATCATTGTAGCTCAGTTACTCTAGTAGGAGAAGGAGACAGGAAAATGCTCAAAGCAGCCATCAAGCACAGTGCGGGCGAAGATAATATTCGTCATCGGCTTGTCCCTGCTGATATTTTTCCCAAATGGGTGAAGAAGGTGGAGGCTCTAAGAGACGAGGTCGCGATAATTCTTCAAGAAGAGAAGGAGGAGAAGCAGGTAATTTGGGTTGTTGAATGTCGTGCAATCGCTTTTACTCATACATCATCCTAGATTCGGCAGGCGGAAATGGAACTCAAGAAGGGACAAAATATGATAGAGCATCAAGATGAGATTTTCTCTCGGCCTGCTCGAACTTGGTTTCAGAGCGAAAAGGAGAAGGCAAAGGCAGTTGGTGGGTGAAGGTTTATAAGGTTTGCGATCAGCAAGAGCTTCACGTCGTTATTCTAGCCACGAGCAAACAGCAGCACGAGAGTGGAATGGCACTCACGCCAAGGGGGAAACCCAAGGCTATTGACGAGCCCAAGGTAGGTTTGTTGCATTATTCACGACTCCTCTTTGAAGTGTCCCTTCAGCCAAAAAGAGATAAGTTTGCTGGTCTGACCAGGAAGGCAAAGCGACGGAAGATGGCATTAGAAGCCGACAAGGAATCAAATGAGACAGGTGCTGTGAACGCTGCCATTCGTTCCGCAAAGAAGGCTGCTCGTCCCGCCAAGATTGGGATTCCAGACAGCCGAAACGTACCCGCTTCAAAAAGAACGAAGGCGAGAAAAGGGGCATCAAGAACTGGTGGTAATATATTTGACAGGGATTTATCATCGAAGGTAGCAAGAGGTGAAGGGGTGCATGCCAAGAAGGGAGACGCAATCGGCGAGGATGGGCAAGCGGAAAGGGGGAAAACGGAGGGACAAATAGCAATTTGTTTAATCGCACAAAAGGCAACTGTAATGGTTGACGTTGAAACCTTCGATACTATCATATAGACTAGACCACATAGTCATGTGCAGAATGTAAGATCAACCAACAGTGCTGGTGAGACGTTGAAGTTTCTGAGAGGCTTTTTGCTACTCGCCCGACTTCATCGTAGCGGCGGCTAGCTGCCAATGCGCCAATCCCCGACTCCCTCGGATCTTTTTTCTTAGATAGTCTGCTTATACAGAGTTTGCATGTCTTCTACATGCGCAGTTTTCATACACAGACTATTGTACATACCCTACTTTTTCCCTTTGGCTTGCTGCACTCCCTTTAAACGCTCATTTTGGACACAGGACCGATCTGTCGACGGTTCCTACTGTGGCAGGCGTCATTGTCAACGGGCGCGTTCTGCCAGCTTCGGCCACACTTGTTTTGGGGCCGCAGTACTCGGATTGTGTCAATAGTATCTGCAATGTATATGCCTTTCTCTCCAAGTATGCGGTGACTGACTCAGACTGTGGCGGATCCAGATCTGTGCTAGTGCATCTTGGAGATGTTCCTGGTACGCGCGGGGTGGAACAATTTCGCCGGCGCAATCATATGCGGCGATTGGAGGTGCATAATCATGACGAAGTGTCATTGAGCGTGTCCAATGCCTCTCGCGCAGTCAAGGAGTGGACAGGTCACTCCTCTACGGAAAGGTGATACCTTCGTTACCATGGTACAGCTGCAATTGTGTTGTAAGTGAGGTGTTGTCGTGTGACTTGCTGCACCGCACCCTGAACAACTGGTGTTGAAACTTGAAATTGCAGCCTGAGCGAACAACCAACACGGGTGAGGAAGGTATCGAAAAGAATCATTCAAAACCGTGTAACACCGAACATTTAAATGGGATGGTGACTCGTCCTTGACAGAAGCGGAATTGGTCCAAACTGAGGCGTATGGGCCCCCGCAGACAACCAGAACAGTGCCCAAAGCAAATATTCAAAAGGCATCGGCATCGTAGGAACACAATGGATACCGGAAGAGAAAGCAAACTGGCCAAGGGGCATACAACTGCAAAGCTTGCAAGGTAGGATAGAGGAAAAGGTGCAGAAGGGACGATTATCTATAAAGGGAGACTAGACCGACAGAAAAAGGCAACCGTTTCACGCGGACATGAAAATACAGGTGCCTAGACGTTTACAGAATCCTCCCCACTTCGTGGAGTCGGGGACTGTGCTTTCGTACCATCAGAGACAGAACACATGGATCACGACGCGTTTGCGTCACTGGCTGTCTTGCAGCTCTCGTCTCCATGCCGTCTATTACCACCGGCTTGCTGCCCAGACAAGGACCTCGTTGTCCTGGTGTCCCGCCTTGGTGGAAGGGATAGGTTGACTCTATGGAAAATGCAAGGAACCAAAAAGTGGGACATCGAGGTAGAGTGTGACGAAAGCTCCATTGAAAGCGTATCTGCTTTAGCGTGGAGTCCTTGTGGTACTGTTAGATGCCGCAAGTTATGCGCCGTCATATCTAATATTACTTACTGCAGGCCAGACAATCGCTGTCTCTCATGGGTTCTCCCGCGTTACACTTCATTCTGTGCAAGATGGTCGCATTGAGCGTTCTCTCACTATCCCGGCATCATCGCGCAATTCTGAGCAACAGCATCGAATAACCGGAGCTTGGTGGTTCCCGGGCTGCCGCGATTTACCAAGAAGCACGATCCCAGATATCTTCAAGAGAAATGAAATCAATGTCTGTGGATTCGTTTATGCTAACACTACTTCCACTCTTATCATACTGAAGACAGGGTCTGCTCTCTCCATATTGAAAGTTCTTCCACTCCTTGATCCCCTTCGAGAAGAAGATCACAAGCTCACGTGAGTCTTCCGGGGCCACAAAATCTGGGACTCATTAAGGCTTGTTCAGTGCCACCGACCTCTTTGCTTTCCAAGGAACGCAGACAGGAGCCGCGCTGAAATTATCCTTACCTGAAGTCATCAGCAATTGGCCATCGTTGCTACCAGACCCATCTCTTGCTTCTCTATGTCCTCCGATCTTGATTGATGAACAAGGCAAGACGGCAAAAGAGACACAGATTTATGTTTCTGCGGAAGGCGAGAACAGTCTCCTCGTGATAGCTGATGACAATGGCAAGCTTCACTGTTTCTTGGACGGCAGCTATTACCTAGGGCCGATCAGTACACTTCCATCGACCGTGCCAACGGCAGTATTCAAGGATCCGAAGCAACCGCTACTTCTACTCCATCCTCGGGCCTCAGCTTCCGACCTCTTGTCTGCCACGTTTGCGCCTCTATCGGTCGACTTACCGTTGCTTGCCTCCCATAGAATTAGAGATTTCGCCAGGCTTTCCTCCGCCGCACGGGAGTTGACGTGGTATGTCATGCGGGTCATTGAAGACCTGCGTGAAGTCTGGTTCGGCTCTGGTTCACTTACTGGAGCACGAGAAGCTGGCCTAAAATGGATTCAGCTGCTAGAAACCAGACTTCGTGATCAATTTGGCCGTTAGTGATGCTGTCACTCGATGAAATTTTACTATTCTCAAGTTTCTTCAACAGAGAAGGAACCAAGTGCAATTCTCGAGCTCACTGGTCTCCTAGTCGCTGGTCTGTGTTCCGAGGGACTTTCGGATTTCTTATCGTCCAGCGAACAAATGAGTGAAAGGGTTGATTTATCCAACGATTTGTTGTTCAAAGCTGATTTTGCGTTCAGGCTCTCCAGAAATGGGAATCCACGGTGACCGATGCACTCATTAAGCTGCGCGACTTCTCTACGTTGCGACTTGTTCCTGCGCTTCAACGGTTACATATCATTTTCGAAGAAGTTCGAGGCTGGTCACTTATGTCAAGCAGGATTTTACTGGATTGCTCACCTTTGTGCTGACACCTTTCCAGTCCTCAATTCACTTTGTTTGGATTCAACACTGACGACATTACCCATTGTCTATCTTCGCTGAAGCAAGGCATCTTCATTGCAAATTTGTTGGCATTTCAAGCAAGAGGGGAACTCGGGTCATTCAAGCACTTCCTAAGTTTTCTTCGGTATGGTGAGTGAGTTACTGAGCTGCATAGGGCCGTAACCTATTTCCCGTGTTAGAAATTGCCTTGGCAGGTAACTCCCCCGAGACCCGCTCACCCCCTGAACATGATATCCTTGAAGTCAATCACTATTTAATGTCCGGGCTGAAAACAAGTCAAATAGACCGGTGGTTCACAGGACCAGCTCCCCAATTTGATACCGGGGATCTTGGCTTGCCTCGACATAACACGGATACTAACAAAGTTCTTGAAGAAGCATTGGAACAAGCCCACACCGCGTTGCAGGATCCTTCCCAAACATCATGGCAGCCGGTAGGTTTCTCACTTAATTGTAATGTATAGTCTACGACATTAGTTTGTATGTGTTTTAGAAAGTCTCCACGGCCGATAAATCACATCTGGACAGGAATCTGTGGGTACTCGTTCATGATTTGGCTGTCCGATGTCAGCGGGTATTCGCGCATGTTTCGAAAGCTACCGCTCGATCAGCCATCGTGTCAGGTAGTGGTGATGCTACGCCATTTCAGGCAGAGGCGAGTGAAACAGTTTCAAGCGGTGCTTGCCAATTTGTCCGCGAGAGAGTTGTTCGACGAAATGAGGTGAGTCATGCTTTTTACAGTGCAGTGAATTCAACCAAATTTGGATTTTTTAGCTTGACAACCACCTGCAGCATCTCGCGATCTATTTGGCCTCGGAAATGCGGCCCCTTTGTGAGTTACGCCTTTGGTTCCTTCGCCTTTTTTGTAATTCAATGTGTACAAATTAGTCTGCTTGACCCGGACGCCTTACGCAAAATGTGCCGCTGGGGTTCCGCTGCATATTGATGTCACTGTTATGGAGAGTTCCATAGTTGGACATGACCCTGGCGATGTTACGGATGTTCATCTTTGCAACGCTGAGTTTTTCGACGACGAGATCCTCGTCATAGTATACAAAGTCAGAGGAGTGGACGGTAAGCCGTGATTTATGTCCATTTGGCTCTCCATTAAATACGGTCAAAGGTCCGATGTTCGCAGCTACGGTTCACTACAGCGCCCTAGAGTATCAAACACAATCAGAAGAAGACGTAAACGGCCCCGCCCGGAAAGATATGATAGACAACGTGCTTCAAAGGTTGAACGAGGGGCATGTAAGTATCGTGCACCACCATGTTTTTGTCGAGACCTTGTGACCGGTACTTTTACTAACGGCACGATACAGGTCTCGTTGAAACCTATCCCGATCAAGAGACGCCGCCAATTAACCGCGTGCAGAGACGGATCAGTATCCCTGGCGGTCAACGGAAGAGTCGGAAGGAGAGTTGTTTGTATACTTGACGGTGATGGGACGACAATGGATATACTGGATATGGAAGGAGATGAAGATATGGAAACTGAGGATGAATCCGAGATGGATTCCACCGGGTAACGAGAGGGTGGGTGATTCGGTCCGTAGGTTTTGCATTCGCGGCATGGCACACGGCGTGTCTAAGCCGATGAGTATGTCCTTGGTGTGCCCCTTTAGGGTCGTGAAACTCCATTAGTGCGTTGATCGCGGTCACTGCGGTGAGTTGGAGTGAGAGAAGAGTGGAGAAGAGTTAGATCTATAGAGTGCAATCGGCCGTCAAAACGCGGCTTTGAGAGGAGTGAAATGAAGGATTGCATCGGGTGCACATGTGCCAAAACATCCTGAGGTTCCTGAGCTTTGAGCAGGGTTGGTACGTTGATTCGGGAATGAATGCAGATCACACAAGGGATCACAGGTGGATGATTGTAAAAGAGCCGGTCCATCACCTGAAGGTCAAACGTCTGGATTCTGAACATATTATGATTCCGAATTGCAATAACTTCCCCGTGAGGGCCCCACGGACAGTCTGAAATTGTAAACAGTTTCGCTTAACGTGATCACACCGCGGCCCTCTCCTCGTGCCCTTGATTCGAATTCTTTTTTTTCCATGCCATTTTAAACCGTCCTCTCTTCTGTGGATCGTCTCAAAGTCCCTCCTTTACATCCCAAGCTTGTCTTGCTGGGTTTGATAGAAGCCTTATTGTCCCTTCACTTTTTACTAACGTTTTCAACCTTTGTATTCACATGCCTAATAGAGCCGACACCGGCCATTCACCCTCAGACGATAAATCCGACTTCAAAGCAGACGTTGACGACGATCCTACCGCCCCCATGTCTGATATTGCTCTCCGAAAAAAGAAAAATGCGGATGCCCAAGCCGCTTTTCGCCAGAGGTGAGCTATACTTCTCCAACCCCTGCCTTAACCATGTTCAAATATTATGTTTTTGAGGCGGGCAAACTACATAGCGACCTTAGAAGAGACAGGTTAGGTGGTCTCTATTCATTGTACCTTCATCGCTCATTCTTGTCGTATTCGGCAGTCACTAGTCTTGAGTCTGTCGTCCTCCAGCTTCAGGATTCATGTCGCGAAGCGCGATCTGAATCTGGGGATCTACGACAAGACAATGCACGTCTTAAACATGAATTGCGTGAACGCGAGAAGTTCTGGAGAGCCCTTTGGCAAGCGAGGAAGACAGGACAGGCTCCTGAATCCGACGACTTGCCCCCGCTCCCTTCATCTTTTGCTTCTCATCCTCAACCAACCAACATCAACAATCGTACCCCCTCGTCGCATGGTCACTATAGTGATGATAGCATGGGATATCAGACCAGCGACGAGACCTCCAATTCCCTGTGCAGCAGCTCGTATACCGGCACGCCCAGTCACTCATACGCGACTCAGTCTCCTGCACTTTCTTATACTGGTGTGGAGACCGAGCAGATACCCTCCGGTGGAGCTGGGCACCATATAAACGCCCGTGTATCAAGATATGGTTCTTACCAGTATCCGATGCAACCCATCAACCGGGACGGTCCATGGACTCACAACGTGGCGCAGACGCAGTCTGCTAATGGTCAGTCAATGGTTCCATTGCCAATCTTATGACTTCTGATAGAGCTTATAGGTTCTCCTACCTTGACATCTTCTGATGTGTATGCAAACCGCCCTTTTGAAGAGCAGAAGACTCAGCTCAATCACTTGGAAACAACCCCATATCTCTTTCCCAGTAGCCGCTCCATTTCCCCCACGTCATCCACTCCCCCATCTTCGTCTAGCACGTCCTTGACGTCTCCATTTCAATTCACATTCCCTGCTGATGGCCCGATCACACAAGATCGCTCAGAATTTGATTATCGCAGGCACTCCAATACCCACGGTGCTGATTTAACCTTACACGGTGGCACTGCAGATATCTCGCTTACAAGCGCAGGCAGCGATGGCGTGCGTTACAGACTCGGGGCCCGCCGCGCGAACTCTGGTCCGAGTCCACTACTGCCCTCCCTTCCTCAGTTCTCTGGAAGCGAGAATGACTCCCATCACGAGCGGGGGAGTAGTGAAGGTGAAGCCACCCCCTATTCAAAACTCCGACCTCGTAGAGGACGTTCTCGAGAGTCGAGGTCACCTTCCCCCGGTGCACCCCCAATCTCGGGCACGCTAGCGGTCATCAAAGCTCAAGCTTTTGGAGCACTCCGTCGAACTCGTACCAGGACCAAAAAAACCTCTGAAGGGGCGGCTAAGGTTGCTATGGAAGTTCTCGAGGCCAGGGGCATCGGAATGGGCGTAGTGGCTGGCTCGAAGCGTCCCCGCCTTCACCACGACGATTCCGACATGCAAACATGATGCAAATATAAATGTACTCCGCAACGATTACCAGTTCACTCATTTGATCCCTAGGGATTGTATCATTCTTCTCGTCACCAGTGGACTATGTAACCACGATTATTTGTACAGCAATTTAAGATCCCAGTTACTTACTGTATTGCGCTTACTCCATAAAGGTCTGCTGCATAGTGTCGCATGTAATATGTCATGTACCTTCGTTGCACAATATATTTTATGATTAAAACACTCTATCTGATGGCTGTGCATGCGGTAATACCGCATTGCGGAAGTCGGTAACTCGCCGGCGGCTCACTTTATACAGGTCTGGAACTATTGGCTCGTGGCATTCGCCTGCGCGAAGACGGAAGGCTCGGCGGAGGACAAAGATAATTAGGAAGTACGTTGTGTGTTCCACGTGTTAAACAGTATCCAATTATCAATTAAGTCTCGGAACTGCGACATCCCACGGTCCTCTTATCTCACTGCGGAAAGACATGTTAGCAGTGATGGAAAAAAATTGACAAAGTGACGTACTTTTTGTATTTCTGTGCCCAGACTAGGACTCCCGGAGCAACGAACGTCACCGTGATCGAAATGCCCGCATAGATGTAGGCAACCGAAACGGACAAAGGCACCGTTAGAGCGAACGACAGTACGCAAAGGGTCAGGGTGAAGAGGATCTGTGCAACTTGTGGTGTGACCTATAATCAAAGTTTACACGATAATATAACAGGCAAAATTGCCGACCCCACCTGAAGCCGGTGACGCAGGATCGGGAAAAGAGCGAACAATTGCACAGCAAACAAGACAAGAGCAAAGACGGCCAAATCGTCAGGCAGTCGCGAGGCCAAGACAACCGATGACGAGATCGCGGCATTCATGGACAGTACAGATGTCAGTCTACATGGAAGATGAGATTTGACAACAGGGTCAATGTGGCGCTAACTCACCTTTCCTGTGGGACTGGTTTCATGGAGCTATAATCGGCGAGCAACGCGTTAAGAAGGAAGAGGCATGCTGAGAGCGCCCAAATGGAGTCCGAGGACGTTGCTGCAGTCAAAGTTCGCAAAACAGGTGACAATCCCATCAAAGCGAGGAAAACAAGAAGGGACGATTTGATCGTATTGGAGCCTGAATGATGCAACCAATCAATGAAGGGTCCAGGGGTGGATGTGCAGGGCGTACGGGTGAAAGCACCGCGAACAGGATTAGAACAGCTGAGGATCTCATACAGAACATATCCTCCAAAGAAACTAACTATCGAGACCCATAGTAGGACACGGGCATCAAGCCAGCGTTCCTTGAGCCTCACAAAAACTGCGAGGAATGTGAAGATTGTCGCTAAGTGCTGCGTGATCGCACAGCATAGCAGTACCAGTGGCCAATAGGTGTACGGCTTGAAGTTAGCTTTAGAGAATATTAAGTACCACGTTTTGGAGATAAATTATGCTTACCTACGGTTCCGCCTCAAGGAAGAGAGGAAAGAGTGAGGATGAATGTAATTATCAGGAAAAGGCTGTCTTTCCCACAACACTTTGTTCCACCCTTCAGCTTCGGATGACATTCATGCGTTCGATGATCGTAGAAAGGGCTACTATATGTATTTGGTAGACGTTGTGACGACGATCACAACCACGTGGTATATCGAATATCCGCCCTGCAATGAACCGAACCGGGGGATTCACACAACTTATATCATATCCTCCAGCAATCATCATTTACCCATTCGTATCTAAGATCTCAGGGAGTACATGGACAAGACGAAACAAGACGGCGTCACTTTCCTCGATCATGGGAACAGAAGAGATGACATATGAAAACAACGTGTCCGAACATCATGCTGTTCCACCGACGGCCCGCTGAGTTTGACGACGTGTAAGATAACAACGGGACATGAAGTACAAGAAGAAACATGCCCATGAAGCCTTGAGGGATCATTTCATGATTGAGCGGGTCCGAGGTAAATTGAAAATTATGGGAGGGATCGGCGATCAGGATCATGTATTAAACAGCACGAGAAAACCTGAAGGTCAGAATAAGAAGTCCGGAGCGAAGAACGACCCGCATGTTGTACTGGCGGTGAGGCGATACACACGCACAAAGTATTATTCAATCCCACTAGAAGTAGCGACAGTGAGGAACGGTAAATAATCAGTCATAGAGCTTGACATTACCACTAAGCGTTCTTCATCTCTTGGTGTAGGTACTAGTTTCGCCGCTTTCGCAGTCACGACCTGCTCGGAAAGTCGTCCCCGATTCGGATTCGAGGCATTAGTTCCTCGTGCATGTGCCTATGTTACCTGGTGAATCTTGTAAATGGATACTAATTCAGAGGCTTACCGTTTTCAACCTTCTCTCAGCGGCCTCTGCAGCTGCGGCGCGAGGATCAGAAGGCAGTGTCGCGGTGGTGCCATCATTTGACTGGGTAGCAGTGCTTCCCAACACCTGATGTCCCCCGGAATGTGCACTGGCCTTGGAGCACAATGAGCCCATGAAGCGCCTGCAGTTGACAGAACAAACGATCGATTGGTATAACGCTACACGAGTTCGTCACCCCTCAAGTGCGAAAGAGACTGAGGACGGGTATTATTACTAATACAATTAAGATGCTGTGGTCTGAACTCAAGAAGCGCAGCCTAGCGTGGCGCCTGAACGTGCTCTATAAGGGAAACATGTGGAAGCAAGGCATCACGGATCTACTGTAAATCTACTATACACAACATCGATAACAATGAACTACATGGGAAGTGTATTCGGTATCTCTCTGTAATTTCCCCCACTGTCATTGCCAGTGGGACGAACAGAACGCTCACGAAGGTTATGGTCTTCAGAATACCTACGCGGTAACCACTCCTGCAATTGTGACTGAGTATCATTCAAATTGAAAAAAAAAAAAACTATACGAACTTCCCACCAGCGCCTGCTGGCAGACCATGCCGTACCAGAATCCAAGCCTGCCTTGACCATGCGGTTTTTAATGCTGACACCAAGTAATAGTCCGAGGATAGTCAACAAAAAGAGGGTAACCACAAGTTGATCCCTAGGGGAATCTCGTTCTGGTAGGAGCAAATTAACGTTGGCAAACGCAAGGAAATTGAAGACACACGAAAACATCGCGCTTCAACATCTCCTTCTAGACCGGTCGCAGTGTCTGGATCTGTGTCGCCAATAGATGCACCGGTGCAGATACGTAGGTTCTGATCCAAGCACCACTGCTTAGTGCACGATAGACAAGGTTTGGATGGGTCGTCGGGCGTGTTCAGGGATATAATCGTATAGTTTACAGAGAAGCAGATGCCTAGATTGCGATTAGCTCCTGCAGCATGGATGATCAAGTTCAAGGGCCTACATTTGCAGAAGTTTGTCACCTCCCACTTATTGGTGGCAGCTTTGACTGACGCCTGCCAAAAACGTTAATTAAATGGTCCGATAAAGTTTAACTCGACGTACGATGCTGAGTATGAGCGTAATAAAGAGAAAGCTAATAAGTCGTGTGGAACCATGTTGTACCATGACGAGCGTTGAAGCCAGGAGCCAGCTGACGGACGTGACATTATGTGAGAAACACGCTCAAACGGTCAAACGCGTCTACTTTCGCCTACCAGTACAAGCACATTTGATCGCCAAACCCAATCTCTAGCCTTTCTTACCCAAAACTTTTTCTGTTCATTATCACTGCAGGGATGTCGGCAGAATTTGAGGATGTCCTCACAAATCAACCTGTCGTAATAGACAATGTAACGCTCATCTTCCAACTATGGCGTGTATGGGCTCAGCTTGGTTTTGACAGGGCTCAGGAACTATCAAAGCAGGTTTTGCGGGTCAAGATCATCCGAAATGCTTTTTCCCGTCATTGTACGTTTTTCAGCGCAATGCTGGTCAACGTGTAGTTCTAATCACATGAATTTCTAGCGTTGGGAGACCAAAGCATGTGCGCGTCATGGCCGGTGCTCTTGAAGGTGACGTCTTCATCGGTCGTCGCGCACAGGAGTTCCGCGGTCTTCTCAAGATCAAATACCCTATGGAACATGGCATTGTAACAGATTGGGATGACATGGAACGGATATGGAGTTGGATATATGCTGAAGAGCTTGGGACCCTCAGTGAAGAGGTATGTCCCTTTGTCTAATATAGATGCCAGGACGTTCCGATCAGAAATGCCTGAAAGCACCCAGTTCTCTTGACCGAAGCACCGCTCAATCCGAGGAGTAATCGTGATGTAGCCGCTCAGATATTCTTCGACACATTCAATGTTCCAGCTCTCTTCCTGTCCGTACAGGCCGTTCTTTCGCTGTAAGCTATGCACTCGTCATATTTATTTTAGCCCCTTCGAACTATCCATAGATATTCTTCAGGGCGGACGACTGGCATAGTACTCGATTCTGGGGATGGTGTTACACACGCTGTCCCAGTATTTGAGGGTTTCTCCATGCCTCACGCGATTCGAAGAGTGGATGTCGCCGGAAGGTATGATGCCCATCTTCTCGTCGATTAAAACCCTCACATGTCGCATTACACAGAGATATAACTGATCATCTACAGCTGCTGCTAAGAAAATCTGGCCATCATCTGCACACGACTGCGGAAAGAGAAGTTGTTCGGATAATAAAGGAAAAATGCTGTTATATTGCACTAAATCCTTCCAAAGAGGAGAAGGACACGGTGGGTCGGACTGAAGAGTTCCGTCTCCCGGATGGAAACGTAGTTCAAGTGAGTTTCCAGCCTCTAGTCCGGAGATGCTAAATCACATCTTTCTTGCAGTTGGGACCTGAGCGGTTCCGCGCTCCCGAAATATTGTTTAATCCAGAGCTTATTGGACAGGAATACGCCGGTGTTCATCAGGTTGTTGTAGATTCTATCAATCGAGTTGATTTGGATCTACGGAAGAGTCTCTTTTCGAATATTGTGCTCAGTGGAGGCAGCACGTTATGCAAAGGTCCGTAAGCTTTGGTAGGCAAGTCGCTCGCATTGATAGCATCTTATTGAAGGCTTTGGCGACCGTCTTCTCAACGAAATCAAGAAGTTGGCTTTGAAAGATGTCAAGATCAAGATTTACGCCCCTCCGGAGCGCAAATACTCGACGTGGATAGGTGGTTCTATTCTCGCAGGTCTCGGGACTTTCAAGAAGGTTGGTCTCAACCTATTCTATGTGGGCAGTCCTGAAACATATCCACAGATGTGGGTATCAGCAGAAGAATATCAAGAAGATCCGGATGTTATCCACAAGAAGCTCGGCTTTTAAAGCTTTTACTTTGTGTTTTATCCTCTCCTTGTAGAACTCTGCTCAACTATATTACCACTGCATTGATACCCAACATAATCAACTGGTCTTGTGATACTCTTAGAAAACGCGCAAATTCCAATGAAGATGCTCATGTGCATATGATTCATGAATGTGGTTGTGAGTGTGACATACGCCATAGGTACAGCTCGCTCGACTGGTTCTCAATGATAAGGGGGGCACTCGAGCAAGAAAGGGATATAGACTAATGCGAGAGGGTAGTGTTTACTTGCCCTTCTTAGCAGGCTCAGCAGCCTTAGTCTTCTTGGTACCACGGAACTGCAGACGAAGTGCATCAGTGCATCATGCGACAATGATTGAAGGAATTGTCATACCTTCTTCGCACGATTCTTTCTCTCGTGTCGCAGTTTACGTGAAGGCTTGTCAACCTTGGTCTCAAGGCCAGACTAATTAAATAGAGAATGAGACAGTAGTCGTGTGGTAAGGAGAACATAAGCTTACCTGGACCAGTCTGTGCTTAGGCTCGAACCTCTTCTGTGATGCCTCATCATCGTAAATCAGTGCAAATCCAGTGCTACGTCCACCACCGAACTGTGTTCGGAAACCGAAGCAGACTACGCGTGCCTTTTCCGTCTTGTACATGGTAGCCAACTTCTCCGCGAGTTCGGTTTTTGGTACGTTCGGCCGCGATGGGTGGAGGACATCGAGAACGAACTGACGGCGCGCCAAAAGGCGGTTTGTGATAAATTTACGGGCGCGGAGGGTGACGGGTGCTGCGTTGTCAGCCTATAGTCATAAACCGTAAGCTTAGTACATCCAATCTGCATGGGCACCATCCATCGCCTCCCGACCGCAGATCTCGCTCGGTTTCGACGATTTGACATGGTACAGCAACCTGCAGCATTCGACGGGAACTCTCACCATGATTTTTGTCGTCCTTGACGTTTTGCGACCTTTTCTTCCCGGGGTCTTGACGAGATCGTGTGTGTAGGCGTAAGGAGATCGAAGTCCGTTCGGCAGAGTCCGGGCACAGCCACCTGTAATTGCCCAAAAGGGGTTGGATAGCTCCTCAGCTTGAACTCCCTCGGGCTTGTGATATCATAGAGCTATGTCGTCCAGCTTTGCCTCTTCGTTCGCGCCCTATGTAAGTATTCTCTAGCCTTTATGAATAAATTGTACCCATGCGTGCAGACCCCTCCACCAGATAACTCTTCCTACCGATCAGCGCCATCTTCAAGCTCCAAAGCGCAGCCATGGTTTCCTGTTCATTCATCCTCACGTGGAACAGAGATATCTTATCAATCTGGTGGTCTCCCTACATTTAACAATTCAATAAGTGCGCATGAGGATATCCAGGAAGATGTTCAGCAGAATCAGTGGGAAACAAGTTATGGGATGCGTGTGGACGTTCTATCAGCCTTCGCATATATATTGGGTCCAATCTCAGGTAAGTTATACAAGTATGAGCGGTTATTCAGTGGTGTCATTATTTGCTTCAGCTTTGATATTACTTGTGCTGGAAACTCATAACGATTATGTTCGGTTTCACGGTGACCTTTTCCGCTTCCTTACTGACTTACCACTGAGCTCATCGTTAACAGCCTACCAATCTACCTTGCTAATAACACCTCTGCTATTGGTGCGCATATTTGCATCACTACTTGGTTTTCCTTCATGGATGCGGTCATTCCTCACTATTACATTCGCACTTTCCGCACTTTTTATGGCGTGAGTGATCCGTAACTTAGTTGACATGATTCCCGAGTTCACATATTTCAGCGTACGAGCGTACCTCGGAGCGTCGCACGAAGGTCTCACGCGTTATCATCTCCCAAGAATCGGGCCGCTCGCTGAGAGATGGGTGTTTGAGGAATGAGCTGCTCTCCTCCACGACATCATCATCCAATATCAACGTGCACCGGAATTCCACCCTCTATCCATGTAGCAACGAATACATAAATAATAATAACAAGCAATCCAGTGGGTGCAAGCTACTGTATACACACTCTCTATGTTCATGGAATCAAAGCTGGTTGATTCCGAGCGGACTCGAACACGCGCAGTGACTGCAGGTCAACGATTTTGTGAAGGACAGAAAAACGCTGGTCTGATCTGAAGCACCCGATGATGTACGGAGGACCCACGCGCAACTACAGGGCTGGTTCGAATTTTCTAATACTACTCATGCACATATGTGAAAGAGAGATGTAAAACAGGACAGACTGTGACAGCAAGAAAACGCGCAGCAACATAGCATGACGTGGTGGACGCAATAGCCACCGAGCCGCCCGTTATTCGTGCCAATATACTGTAGATAGATGTGCAGATTCGAGCTCACTTGCACCAACTCATATTTCATAGAGCATCATGCGAATTTAAGACATCCTTGTATACTCGAATCGAAGTCCACAATAATGGACTATTTCTTTTGTTCAAGGAGGTAGTCGAGCGAACAGCATAGATAGTTTAAAAAGCATGAGGAAGTCCGTGATAATACAGTGGCAAGGTAAGTACAAAACAAATTCGTACGCGCGCTCTAATAGAAGCGTGGGTTCTATAGATATATAGTCTGTGGTTATAGAAGAAATCGAGTCTAACCCGATGTTATATGCAAAGACCTACAACCTGGACGCCAGACGCGCATGTCGCCGTAACAGCCTTGCCGAGAACAGCCTGAAGGAGGGGTTGAATCGCGTTGACGATAGCATCGGTCAGATTCTCGACGATGTCCAGTAGGTCATCCAGAGTACATTTGAGATCGTATACGACTACAAAGACAATTGATTGCCGTTACGCACGCAATAAATGACTGAGACTTACTGGGACCCAAGATCGGACCGACGATGGGCAACGAGACGACAAGGTTGTAAGTAACCGTGAGGATGTCCTTGTTGGCGTTGATGATGCTCTCTAGCAAGGTCTCTAAGTTGTTGGTGGGATCCAGGTTTGCGACCCCCGTCGTCACCGCCAAGCTCTGCTAGAACAGAAGTGAAGCCCGCAAAGTTGGTGTTGAATCCAGAGAGCTCTGTTGACGCCTGCTGTTGGAATGCGGGATCGGAAGCGGACGCAGACGTTGCATTTGAGGCCAGGTTGTCTATGCGAGATCAATAAGTAAAGGTCATAAACAACCCCCATTTCACTAACGTACGATAGTTTGCGGCATGCTGCAAGGCCTGACGGTGATATCTGCGCAGACTGAGTAAGCTTGCCGCTCGACGCGTTCGAGCTTCCATGAGCATTAGCAGACGGTTCACGTGGCACGTGTGGAACACTCCTGGCGACTTTACGTTCTGCGTGCCCTGCCGTTATCCGTGATGGCGCCTTCGAGGACTTGGCTGGCATGGCTGTAGTATGGGAAGCTAGATGCTTAGATGTGGATAACCTGTCCGTTCTGCCAGCGATATTCGCAAAACCGCCAAAGACCCCTGGTGAAGATGGCATTGCGATTGGTTTGGCCAGGGCATGCTGCACTGCGAAAGGCGTGCTAAGCATCAACGTCATAGCGGCGGCGGGCAGGAAGACAAGAAGAGAGCGCATGACCGGCATATCGAAAAGGAGTGGTATTAAAAGGAGCGTGAAGAAGGGTTGTAGATATTAAGACAAGCGACTCGCGCTGAAGTTATAAGAGATATAGACTGGAGGAACAAATATGTAACCAACAAGTTCCCAGACTTGCGATAGTTGTGGTAGAAGGCAAAAGTGCAACTCTTCCAGCGAGACGCATTCTTATACCCTAATATTTAGGTCGCCAAACCTTATTAATCAAGCTCAAGCCTCGTTTCTGATTGGCCCCCCCCCCACCTCGCGCCCATATCACGTGATACAAAGCAATTCTCCACGAGATGGCGTGCAAGATTAAGTTCGAACCTGTTGGACCTTTCACATGAGATCTAGGCGACACTGCGAGGAATTTTATAACGCCTAATTATAATGGCTATTATTGATCTAAGAAATACAATACCACTTGACCTGTAGAATCGTGAGCAAGCTTCTCGAAGACACAACATCAATGCACGAATATCGCGAGCCCGATCATACGGGTACTACCAAATGCATTACGATTTCTATATAGTTTAAGGAAGACTGGGCATGCGTTGTGTGCGGCAGACCAACGACAGGATCTGCCAAGAAAGTCTTCGTCGATGTAATCAGATGCGCTGCGCGTTGGTACGAGGAGCATAATAGGCAGTGTTTTGTCTGCAGTTCATGATTCATTGAGCACAAAAGAAGGTACGGTACTATTTATTCTCTTGAAATGTTCGTGAGTGCGAGAAAAGACTCAAAGGGGTGAAAGGGGTATGTGCAGACTGCAAAGACCGCCTAATCAACCTGTGTTACATAGGTCAACGCCACGAATGATTTTATCGTGCTTTCAACACTTGCCTAACATATCCGCTGACGCTTTTTGAAGGGCCCGTGCGGCGAAGTAACGCACGTCTGCGTCGGAATCTGTTTTCTGCCGCTCTAGTACCGGAGCAATGCTTTGGCAGACAAAGTCGCGACCCTCCGTAGTATTTCCATATGTAGTGGCGAGAATTTCTAGAGACTTGGCGACGTTGAAGCGGATGTTCGGGATGGGGTCTTCAGCAAGCTGCAGGAGCGGCCCGATAATCTCAGCTTGAACGATTGCAAGATTCAGGGAAGGTGCGATAGTCTACAATTCGAAGATCTGCTCAGATCGCTGCGGTCTAGTAAAGATGTGCACATACTGTGATCGCTTGCACGGTGGTCATCCTGTAGAGGTAATTTGGATGTTGCCCCATACCCATGACCTTGGGGACAATCTGAACCTTCGCCCAATCGACGCCGAAGACTTCTGTCAGTTTCTTGAGGTTGATGGTTGCAGATTCGCGTATACTGAAGACCGTGTCACCCAACCAGGACATGCACAAGTTGCCGAGCTGTTCATCGAAGAAAGGTTTGCCGAGTTGTGTTGCGAGAAGGGGGATATATTCTATGATAGCCTGTCTGACGCGCCATGACTTATCCTCTGCAAGCTCAATGATGGCGGGGAGAAGACTATCAGACAGGAGTTCGATATCAATGACTAGCAATAGCATTTTCAGAGAGCCATTCACGTGAAAACGAGCAGGGAGCTTACCGCCATTCACAGTCTCGAGCTTACTGATGACGTTGAGTCGAACTTCGGGAAATTCGTCCTTTAATAGATGAAGGAACAAGGGTAAGAGATGCTCAATAGTAGCATCTCTGCCCAAGAGCGGTGCAAGGCCACTGATATGATTTGCAAGAGCGGCTCGCACGTGCTGAGACGCGTCGTGCGAGAGGTCACGCACGCAAGGCACGATGCGTGCAAGGATGACTTCCTTCTCGAGCAATTTCGAAAACCCTGAAAGTCAAGGGCGAAATCAACCAGTATCCCATGATTGTATTTATTACCATACCTGGGATCTGGCCCGCAGCCGCTGTGCGTACTTCTGCCTCATTATCTTTCAGAAGCTGCACATATTGTCCTATTAACTCCTCCCTGACCAGTTCTGTGCCGACGGCTTCTGCGAGCTAAATGCCAATATGAATTGTGTCACCAAGTTCAAGGTAGAATCCGGTATCGGGGACACACCTCATTGAAATGTGTTGCGGCCATATATCGCACTCGCCAGCTCTTATCAGCAATACTGTGTCTGATTTGCTTCAACAGCTGCTCCTTCACCTCAGGTGGCGTAAGTTGCTTCGCGATAACAATAAGATCTTCTACTGTGAGTAAGCGCACAGAATCCTGATCATCGGATTGGAGTCTGCGGTAAATAGGTAGCCCATCCGACAAGACATGTTGCTTTGACAGGTTTTTAACGAATGGCTACCAAAAAGTTAACGTTTCAATCGGCGCAGAGACAGAATATATACTACGCACCCCGAGCCACTTTGCTGCAGCACGTCTGACCATAGGTGTATCATCTGCACCCAGAGCGGCGAAGCCCTTCCGGAGATCCTCTTGGATTGACCACGATACTTTGGTGTAAACTGGAGGATACAGGGCAGCAGAAGAGGTGCGCGATGTAAACCATTCGCCCTGTGAGAGCCGTTTCAGGAGTGGAATGTAAAACTCTTCGATTTGCGGAGTAGATAGAACTTCAGCTATTTTGGCGATAGATTCTGCAGCCTGGTGGCAAAAACATAAGTTGTCAACCAATCAACCCAGTAACGTCTCTCAAGGACGCGTACCTTGTCCCGTACCAGGGTCTCTTCTACTGCGGATAAATTCTCCAGGGGGCCTAGCAGCACATGAGCGAATTGCTTTCCACCAATGTACTCCTCAAAATTCCTTCCAAGCTCTTTGGCCAAAGCCAGTAGTACTTCATCCTCATCATCGACGGAATCTTGCAAGAATGGAACAAGCTCGTCACGGGCGCGATCTGGCCCTAAAGCAAGTGCAATCGTGGGTATGCTGTGGATGGCGTTGAGGCGTAGTTGAACGTCTTCCGAGCGCAGCTCGTCCATTAGAACGGCAATAGGTGCAATCTGCAACAATAATGTGTTACTTTCATGCCATTCACCATAGAATTTTGATGATGAGACTCACGTCCTCCATGGTGTATCCGGGTTCCATCACAGTGGCGCTATATCAAGAGACGTTCAGTCGCAGTTGAGAAATCACGCAGGGGCTTCTTACTGTTTAACAAGTCAGATACTAGCCTGCAATACCTTTACAAGGACTGCAAGGCTGGAGATGGTTGTGTTGGAAGGTGTGGTGTCTAGCGATTAAACGTTGAGGGCAAGTGATCTGTTCTTGATTAAGCTTGATTAAGATGAAGGGTATCTTTGTTTAGCCTGAGGTACATTCGATTCAATCACCAAGTCAATATTATTGTTCAAGTCTGCAACTATAACTACAGAGCGCAGAATATCAGAAACATAATAATCGCGTTCACTCCATGCTACCAGTGCGGACCGTCACTGAAGCAAGTACTGAAGGATGCCCGACTGCGAGAGTCGGTACTCGTGAGACATTTTGACGGAATCGGAATTGGAAGTTGTCACTGGCAGTACTGACTAACTTAGTACTAACTCAGGTAGTACTGCTGGCCTTCCCTAACCAGGCCTTTGGAAGATAGTAGTTCCTTCCCGCCAGCCGTGGCGGAACGAGGCTGGTCACTGGTCAGTAGATCACCGAGGCTCCAACAAGCCCAGCCCCAAAGTCGGTCACCAAGAATAGTAGACAAATCAATCAGTCACCCGAGAGGAACTTTTATCACGGATCCTAAGCTCCGCAACGTTCAAATTTGATGGCGTGACTACGATGAATAATGGGTACATATAGAGGGTAAAGCAAGCAACCTCCGACCAGAAGATATTTGACCACTGGAAACCTCTTCACGAAGAAGAGAAATAGTAAAAAATTATGCGATAATCATCCACAGCATGCCCAATGGCTCAGCTGTTGAAGACGACAGACCCTGGCGCAAGCCATCAGATCTACCTCGCAATGACAGATGGGCACCATCGTCCAGGTTGCAAGTACCTGTGAGATCTCATCGTTAGCATCAGTGTGTCGGACAATAATATATATATAACAACTCACAACCGGGCAAACCATGAGTCACCACCCGCAAGGGCTCCATATAAATGTATAAAATCTTAACCAGTTCCACAGCATTCCCAACGGAAGGCATCCATAGTCTTTGACAAGTGCCGCAACCAGTACTAATCTCGGCAGAATATTCCCAACGGGCTTCCACTTCGCTGCGTGCCTGCACACAGAGATCTACACACACCCGAGACAACTCAGGGTAAAGCGAGATCTGGCTCGAAGCTAGCCTCATCGGATCGACAGTATGTAACAGCATTTTGACATCAAGACGGGTCTGGGTATGACAAGTTTGTGAGACCATAAATCCATGTCCTTGGTTATAAACCCAGCGAGGCTGAGTCACACCGCACAAAGTACGGAAGCACCGATAAACCCTATTTCAGATCGTCCTCGTATGCTTTGACCATGACTTGCCCCGCGAGCGACGCTTCATGTGACTCTTGCAATATAACACCAAAGTTGTAGCATGAGTGTTCCCTGCCCATGCGGGGTAGGCAGTGTCTATGATATGGTTGCGTGTTGCGCCTTTCTGTGCAGGTGCGCATAGACTATAGTATGGCGCAATATGCGCATATCGCACTTTTATGCATGGTCAAGGAGAGCAATGCTGCGCACGAGCGCACAAGTGCACCAATAAACCACACCCGAGGTGTCGAAGCGAGGAGGCCTCGCGTGCAACAAAGCAAGGCGGCTTGATCCTTTGATCACGAGTTTCGTGATAGCGCAACTCGTCAAGTGGGCAAGGACGATAATGCTGCGCACGAACGCACGGATGTACCGATCAACCACGTCCGAGGTGTCGAAGCGAAGAGTCCTCGCGTGCAACGAGACAAGGCGCCTTGACACTTGATATCACATGTCGTGATAGTAGCAATTCTCGACGAGCAGGTGATGTCATACAGTATGGCAGAAGTTCAGAAGATGGGGCTGCACCGATAGCAAGTGGAGCATCAAAAATATCGCCTGGACAGTGGAGACGCTGAACAAACGAGAAGTCAGTAGCGATTCAGGACAACCTTGGCCTGCGGTGAATGGAATGGCACATGTCATCTGCCTATTTGAATCACTGCCGCGCTGCGAACGCATCGCAGAGGAAGCCGATAAGAGGGCTTCTTTGCCGCTCCCTCGTACTTTCGACTCGAGACTGACCATAAACACAACCCCATCCAGGAGTCAGGAAGTGTGAGAGAAGTGTCAGCAGTGGGAGAGGTGTCATGAGTGACACTGTTAACAAAAGTGGAAGATACATAATAAGCGCGATTCCACCTAAGGGCAGGCTTTTACTCAGTCCGGGGGGTCGGGCCGCCAGCCCTCCCAGGTGATCCCAGGGGGGTAACATCTCATAGTTGCCAACTCAGCATCTCAAGCTTACCATCTACTTCGAAGATGCCAGTCAAACAGGCTTCTGGGCGAGTTACTTTGACTCACGCAAAGGTCCGTGATAGACTAGACCAAAAGCAGACAGCCAATGATCACTGATTATCCTGATTCCTGCAACAGGGTTCCTCTGTGGAACTACTCATGTACGGCGCGACAATCATTTCATGGAAGGCTGGAACCATCACCGAACCTCAACCAATTGAGCGGCTATTCGTCTCATCCAAAGCCGCTGTCGATGGCTCAAAGCCCGTGCGGGGAGGCATCCCGGTTATATTTCCTTGCTTTGGACCTCCTAGCCACCCAGAGCACATGAAACTTGCCCAGCATGGTTTCGCTAGAAATGAAGTGTGGAAATTCGATAGCATTGTGATGGACAACGACGAGGGCGTATCGGTGAGACTCAGTGAGTGCCGCCTCACTGGATTTGTGTCGTTTGTTATATTTTCTCCCAGCGCTTGAGCCAACCGCGGGTATCATAGCAAAATATGACAAACCATTCCATCTGGCTTATGTCGTTACTCTGGCTGAGCATCAGATTAGTACTGATTTGCACGTCACGAATACGTCGACCTCCACGGCTTACCCACCAGACAACCTCGAATTCCAGGCTTTGTTCCACAACTATATTAGGGCCCCTGCAAATGACGTCCTTGTTTTCCCATTGCAAAACAAAAACTATTTTGACAAAACAGAGGCATCTGAAGAAGCCAGAAACAAGTCGAAAGTCGAAACCAGAGCAGGAGTTGACGTTCGCCAGTTCACCGACTCTGTGTACGAAGATGCAGGGGGGAAATATGAAGTCACATGGCCAGGAGGTGGCGTAGAGATCACGGTTCGGGAGCTAAAGGACGTTGTCGTCTGGAACCCTCAGCAGGTTGCAGGTGCGAAAATGGGAGATATGGAAGATGGAGGATGGTGAGCATTTATACTGGATCATGTACTTGGATGCTAACACTCCGTAGGGAAAGGTATGTTTGTGTTGAGCCAGGTCATGTGAGGGGATTTGCGAAGATAGAGCCAGGCAAGACGTGGATTGGACAGCAAGTTATATCTGTCATTCACCACGAAAGGAGGATCAATCAGTTGTAATTAGTCTTTATGAATCGCACTTACTCAATACCATTAGACCAGATTATTAGTAGATTTGCCAAGAGATTTATCAATAAAATTTTTATTACATAACTTACGGGCCGTCGATTTTACACCTAGTAAGTAGAACAACTGGAGCCCGGAGAAATAACTTAGAATTTGCCGAACTCCGATCGAGTGACGAACTAGAATTTGATACCTATGTGTTGTGTAGTTGATACTTATACTGCACCGAGTGGAGCGGCGCTTCACATCGTAAAAGTCACTTAGCAAAACTTCCTATTTTGTAGCTGTAACTCTGGCAAGCTTACGGCAGCATTAAAACTTGAACATGTGACTTGACTTCCATGTGAAAGTGACTGACAAGCGCGTCGACGTCCAACTTGAGTCACCCCCTCGCTAGTACTCGCATTCAGTGCATGCGCTGAGCGACATTTCATCCACGCTGTTCATACTGTACAACAATTAGTTTCATGGAGCAGGAGGCTACACTTCGAGTACTCATTAACCAAATTGACTATACTGTGGCCTCCCCTGGCGCTCTCGACAACACATCTCTCCCTCGAGTGCCTGTAATCCGCATTTATGGAGCGTCGTCCACAGGAACGAAAGCATGTGTGCATGTACATCAAGTGTACCCTTATTTTTTTGTGGAGTATGGGGGCAAATTGAGTCCTGAAAATGGTGTGTGTATTCGGTTTCAGGATGTTTTCTTGCTGACTCCAGTCAGTGAACCAGTACATTGCAAAGTTATCTCGTTCTTTGAACCATGCTATCGCCATCTCGATGAAGCGCAACCCACATTCGCGTAAATCACAATTTGTTCGGGGTGTACTTCTCGTGCAAGGCGTTCACTTCTATGGATTCCACTCGTCATATACGCCGTTCTTGAAGATTCTTATCGCAGACCCCACATTTGTCAATCGTGCTGTCACCATATTGCAGTCTGGAACTGTCATGCGAACACGCTTTCGCGTTTACGAAAGCCATTTGAGCTACATTCTACAGTTCATGTGCGATTTTGGGCTCTATGGATGTGGCTGGATCAATCTCGCGGAAGTCTGGCAGCGAGGACACGAAGAAAACGATACTGAAATGACGGACTCAGCAACATTCAAGGTATCACCATACTTTCGTCAATCCCGCATGCCGCTTGAAGTTGATGTCGCTGCTCATCAAATTCTAAACCGTCGTCTCCTGTCCGCACGCAACATTCACCACAAATTGGCAATACCCTCACCGTCTTTACCTTCTGAACCATTCGTTCTGAGTGTCCGTGAACTGTGGGATGATGAAAGACGTCGAAGGCTTGCCAAGGGCCTCTCTCCAACCCCTGTGCTTCCTATTGATCCAAGCAAGACGTCTAGAGGCCATGGAGGCGAGTGGGTCGCGGAAGCGAGGTGGTGGGAGGAAGTCAGAAAACGCATTGAAAAAGAAAGAGACCCTGAGCCTACTTTCACAGACAGTACGGAACTTTGGGAGAAATGGGTGATGACCACGTTTGAGAGCGTGGAAGCCCTCTGGGAGGCTGAGTGGAGAACTTGGAAGCCAGTTCGTAAAGAGGCTACTGGTCATGATGAACAGAGCACTCATACTTCAGAAGCCGAGGACAGGGAAAATCCTTTTGCACAGGCGACGCAGGATGGGTCTTCGATAAATCGGCAAGGACCACCGCAAAGTACGGATGTCGATGTCGACGAGATGTTGCTTTCCACACAGGAGATGGGTCAGATGATGGACCACGAAGATCAAGAGTGGGCAGACTTGCAGGCGGGGGACACCATTGCAGAGCCTGACGCTGCTGCTGATGATCAGTTGGGTGAAGAAGAGCCTCCTCCGGACTTTGGGATGGATGTGCCCAGTCCCTCTGGCGAGGCCGAAGCTGCCACTGATGGGAACGAAAGGTTCAATCACTCATTTTCCCTGGCTCTTGTACTCATGCTTGCCTCAGCAGACTCGTCTCTCATATGCGAGATCTTTCTCGAACAAATTCATTCCGACACTCATGGCGCGATCTGGAAATGTAGGCAACCCCTTCTTTTTGAAAGCCATCATTGAAGTAAGAACAGCCGCAAACGAGCGAGGAGTCTTTCAGCATCTTTAGAGCTTCCAGCAACTCCTACCAAGTGAGCACACTTACTTTCGTGGAAGGGTTTTTCATTCGTATATATTTAGGAGAATGCGGTGCATGACTGACGAGGCCGCCTACGATGCGATTACATCCACAATGTAATTGTTGAAGTTACCGCATATCGATCAGTATTGAAAGGTTGCAAACAGGAATGCGCTACCATTGATGGTTCCTCCAGAGCCCTTGACACAGTGGGGATTATCCCCTGACTCATCTGATTCATCTGACAATAGTGCCGGATGCGATAACGAAGAAAATCCATTCCTACTTCGAGATGAGCAGTTGATTGATGTATCGGGAACGCCGAAGGGTTCGCAGGGCCCTACGAATAGCTCAACGTCAATAGAAACAAGAGAGGGACGACGAGACGACTCCATTGAACGGAATGAAAGTCTTTTGCAGCTGACCTTACCAAGAGCTTCATTTTCAAGATATATACCACCTACCTCAAGCCCAACTACGGCATTCGTGTTCGCTGTACCACCGCCATCCTCCTCTGAACTTCTCAGGACGATTGAGACGTATGATGTCCCCCGAAGGCTTTACCGTAATCCTTATTACTCCAAGCGCGCAGATGCTCCAGAGTACCCGAGAGAATACGCTGGTCTCCTGTATCACCTTAAAGGCGGGGAAGGACTAGACACCCTAGACCAGTGGAAGTCTCATGGAAGTCAGCTTCATATGGGAAGAAATGCCCGTCGTTTGAAAGGCACATATCTGTCATGGGGATGGGAGTATGCAGCCCTACCTCCCAGTAAAACTCAAGTGAAAAAGTGGCTGAAAAAAAACCCAGTTCAGCTGACCACAAGGGCCAAGATGTATTCTCAGGTAAGTCGAGTTTACTATGCGTAATCTACATCTCCTGAAAGGGTATATAGATCGAGGGCAGTACCCAAATGAACCCCTATGGTGTGAAGTCAACGCCGCGTGTTCGATCTGACTCCAACACCAGAGCAGCCCAGCACATGTCCTTGTTTTCCCTGGAAATATTTGGTGAGCTCCCAAATTACCATTTGCCGTGCGCTTACTTTCGTTGCTAGCTCCTTCACGTGGTAATAAAGTACCTGATGCGAATGTTGACGGGATTGTTGCAATCTTCTTTGCTCTCGGGGATGATGATATTCATTCAGTGTTTCACGAACGAGGCATCCTGGCGGTTAAGAATGCGCAACTGGATCCTCGTCGAATACGCGATTTCCCGTTGGAGATTGTCGTTGACGAACTGGAGTTACTCAATCGGATGGTTGACATAGTAGTTGAGTTTGATCCAGATATCATTGTTGGCTGGGATGTTCAATCAGCATCTTGGGGCTATCTCAATGCTCGAGGAAATCACTATGGTTCGTGCAAGGTCTTTTCCAGTTTTTGGTGGTTAATACATGTGAAGGTTTCGACATTGGCGAGCTTATATCTCGAGCCCCTAGCAAGAATGCTGCTGCAGAAAACGATCAATGGAGTCAGAAGACGACCACCACGTTTAAGGTCACTGGTAGGCATGTGTTCAACGTCTGGAGAATCATGCGAGTCGAGCAGACACTTTCCATGTATTCCTTCGAGAATGTGGCCTTCCAGTTGCTGCGTAGAAGGTGTGCTAACCAATCCACCACCACTGTTTATCCACTCATCTGCACAGGGTCCCTCGTTATACCCCCGAGGTCCTAACTACTTGGTATAATAGTACAGATCCCGTACACACCTCCCGTGCCCTTCGCTACTTCCTTGAACGGACGATCATGACACTAGAAATCCTCCAAGAAGCCGAAACAACCACAAAAAACGCGTGAGTCTCCAATCAGATACAATTCGAGTCCTCATATACGGCGCCGACAGAGAGTTTGCGCGCGTCTTTGGAGTCGACTTTTACTCCGTAATTAGTCGAGGCTCGCAGTTTAAAGTGGAGTCATTCATGTTCCGCATCGCGAAGCCGGAGAGCTTCGTTCTCCTGTCTCCTAGCAAACATGATGTGAGCTCGAGTTATCCATTTGAAATCAGTTGACACCGTCTCCTAGGTTGGAAAACAAAATGCTGCAGAATGCATGCCTTTAATTATGGAACCTCTCTCCGCCTTTTACAATGGACCCCTCGTCGTACTCGACTTCCAATCGCTTTATCCATCAATTATGATTGCCTACAATTATTGCTATTCAACCTGCCTCGGGAGAATAGTCGACTTCCAGGGTCGTAACAAGTTCGGTGTCGTGGATCTCAAAAGACCACGTGGACTCTTGGAAAATTTGCAAGACCACATAACAGGTTAGTTATCTCTTTTGTAGGCTTCGTGCTCGTTTTGAGCTCTCGACTATAGTTGCGCCGAATGGCATTATGTACGTGAAGCCTGAAGTGAGGAAGGGTTTACTTGCGCGCATGCTCACGGAGTTGTTGGACACCCGAGTAATGGTCAAACAGGCGATGAAGGATTCGAAAACTGACAAGGTAACGCGTATGTCGTCAATTCTGACTGCAATAACCACGGTCACAGGCGCTCAGTCGAGTTCTGGACGCGCGCCAGCTCAGTCTGAAATACATTGCTAATGTCACCTATGGATATACAAGCGCAACATACTCTGGTCGCATGCCTGCTGTTGAAATCGCAGACAGTATTGTACAAAGCGGCAGAGAAACCTTGGAAAAGGTCGGTATTTTCGCCATGTAGTTTCGCATGAGCCTGACAATGGAGTTAGGCTATAGAAGTCATCAACAGCAATGCTAAATGGGGAGCTAAAGTTGTTTACGGGGATACAGACTCTCTTTTCATATATCTTCAAGGAAAAACAAAGGAGCAAGCTTTCCACATCGGCTATGATATTGCGGATACGGTTACGGCGATGAATCCAGCACCCATCAAATTGAAATTCGAAAAGGTCTATACATTCCGAGATGAACGAGTCGACTACTAATGTTTAGACTAGGTGTATTTGCCCTGTCTGTTGATGGCGAAGAAAAGATATGTTGGATTCAAGTTTGAGAATCCGGACGAGGCTGTCCCCGCATTCGATGCAAAGGGGATCGAAACTGTCCGCCGCGATGGGGTACCTGCTCAGTCAAAAATGACAGAAACGTGTTTAAAGTGAGCAAATTTTCGTATTCTCGTGGCATGAATCCTTGCCTAAATTTGCGGCAAGAATTTTATTCCGTACCCAGGATCTTAGTCAAGTAAAGGACTATTGCTACCAGTCATGGACTAAGATTCTTCAAAACCAAGCGTCAATACAAGATTTCGTATTTGCAAAGGAAGTCAAAATGGGGACATATTCGTGCGTGAAAGTATATTGATGCGTTATATGTACTGGATCAAGGTTGCATCAGTGAAAAGGCACCACCTCCACCTGGTGTAGCTGTTGCCGCTCGAAGAATGATGGAAGACGAGAACGACGAGGTTCAATATGGCGACCGAATTCCGTACGTGATCATAAGAGGTGATCCCCAGACACGGCTTGTGGACAGGGCGGTGTCCCCTGAAGAATTATTGCAAAATAAGTGCGCCTTTTGTCTTGCTCTTGCCGTGCATCCGAACCGCTACTATCCACGATATAGGCACATGCAATTAGACGCTTCGTATTACATATCCCGCGTCCTGATCCCACCACTTGAACGTATTTTCAACTTGGTAGGTGCTGACGTTAGAGCTTGGTTTGACGATATGCCGAAGGCTATCCGAATCAATCATCCAAATCCTCTTGCAATGTCTCCCCAAAAAAAGAGGATCACGGCAAACAGGTTAAAGATAGATGAACATTTTCAGAGCTCCCAGTGTCTTGCATGCGGTGGCTTGTCTTCAGACGGTAGGCACTCGTATCTTTTCGCCTCTATTAAGTTTAATGAATTCACGACAGGAATATGTGATAGGTGTCGGAGAATGCCCTGGAAAACAATGCCCACCCTCCTTGATCAAATACGAAAAGGAGAAGCCCGGCTCCTGGACGCACAACGAGTGTGCTCATCGTGTGCGTCCACCGCAAATGCCGAGCCAATTGAGTGCATTAACATTGACTGCCCGTGGTTGTTTGACCGAAAAAAAGCAGAAAGAAGGGCGGAGTTTCTCGAGGGGTTACAGGAAATTCTGGAGGACCTTGAAATTTCAGAGGATCACTATGATGATGTACCAGACTGAGACGGCTAACTTATCCGTGCTGATAGTTATAATACCCTGATCCGTCTATTGTGTCGATTTGTATTATTGTAAGATAGCTGGTCTTTTGGTGCGTTTAGACCTGACCAGCTGCTAATTTAGTGTTGTGGGCAGAACTACTTGAGGTTAGTTTTGCCGGCAGAACCGGCAGAATAACCGGTTCTGCCGTGCTCAAAGTTATCGTTGATTAGGGATGGCACTGGGCAGCCACCAGCATGGACCATACTTATTCTGGGACGAAGGATCAGCCGAGAGTGTCTGTGACTCTGTTTTCACATTTTTATGGTTATACACAGTGTACATATTATTATGGACTAGTTCACTGCCAACCCTGAGTTCTGCCAGCAAATTTCGCAGAGTTCTGCCATCTGCCAGGCACAACCAGTTCTGCCCACAACACTGGCTGCTATTGATAATGGCGGACGCGAATTTGTTGCGGTCATGTGATGTACGCGTTGTTGATGCATTGTTTGGTGCTAGCTAGCCGTACAACCACAGTGCGAAACGGCCAGTACCCCCTTCGATTGCTCATAGTTTACACCAGTAACACGAAGGTAATTATGGCGCACCCAGCGCCCGGAATCGTAGCATGGACAACTTCTATTCGCACGTCCATGGCGAAGGATCCATGTCGGCAATTATTCGAGGACCAAGTCCAAACACACGGCTTCATCTTCTTAGACGATTACCTCGAAAACATCTTGGCTGGTCCAAAACAAGAGTGCGTAAATTGATACATCCTTTTCTCTATTCTGAGCATCAGTAGAGCCATTATCGACCTCGTCAAGACACCTGCTCGAAAGAAGACCGCGCCCAAGCGAACCAGAGCAGCCACTTCGGCAGCTGCGAAGGCGCAAAACTCAACTCTTCTGTCTCTTGAGGTATTTTATTTCTTTGAAGACTGATATATTGAGAATCATGTCTGGTCTGTAGGAGGAGGACATCAGCAAGGAGAACCAGCCACCTGTCAATAACTTTCATAAAGCCCTTCTTCACGCCAAGCAGAACGCGGAGTCCACGCGTTCTCATACAAACAGCGACTGTACTGAGCAAGTCCTTCCGCAGGCTAAGCCCGCGGGCGCGATTGTTGGCGAGCATGTCAGTCATGATCCGGATCTAGTAGAGGATGATCTAGTCCCAGAGGTAGAGGACACGATAGTATCACCACTCGACCCCTTGCATTCTGTTCCCCTTGACTCCCAGAAACATACCCGCGCTCGAGAGGCACGCACTGGCAATCACACTCAACCACTTCCTCAGATACCAGTAGCCAGCTCTCCGATCACGCATGCCAGGGATGCATTGACGGCTCCGCTGCCTATTCTACCTGAATCCAATTCCGCTCCTGCGTTACCTACTATGGCAGTACCACTTAATGTCTCGCCGTCTCGGATTCTTGCGCACAAGAGCAGCGCACTGCAATTTCCAACACTTCGGGCTCCATCTCCGCTACGTAAGTCAATGCGTGTCGTAGTAGAACCATCTACGGGTGCTGGGATTCTTGCTTCAGCTGCTCCAGTACCAGCGCAACCTTCCGCACTGGGAAAACGTACATCATGGCTAATGAAGGCCAGAGAGGTGAAAGCCTTGGAGGGTATCGTTCATAACAAGACAAGCATTTTTGGCCCTGGTGCCGGCACACTGGGACCCTCTAGCAACACTGCCGCTCCTTTGAAGCGGAAAAAGCAGCGATATGCTTGCTGCTGCACCTTTGGGTTCAGACAAGACCGACGAGGGGCGTAGGGCGAAGGTGGCCAAGGCTTCCAAGTCTGATTCTGCTCCGCAAAATTCAGAGGACCTACCTCTGAACCAGGGGACAGCTATGCCGACTCAGACTCCTTCATCCATCCTGGTGTCGACTAGAGCTGTGCATCTCCCTGAGGAGCACTGGGAACCACTGAACGACAAGGAGGAAGAGGCTAGTTTCATTGGGGTGTTTAAACGTACAGTTGAAGGTCTTGGTGCCCGCGCGGGTAAAAGCATGGGGAAGTCCCTTGGTGGTGGTGCAGCAGCCGCTGCACTTGCTGAAGCTCGTGCTGCCGCAGAAGCAAGAGTAGCGGAGAGGAACAAGATCAATGAAGAACAGGTCACGGAGTCAGAGGACTCTTCCGCACCAGACGCTGAAGAACCCCAACCAGCAACTGAATATGTTCACTCAAGAGAATCAGAACGCAGACTCAGTATCTCTGACATGGTCTCTACTAATGAAGGTTCGGTAGCCCTTCAGTCTTCGTCTGCAGCGGATGAGAGCATCTCAACAACCCCGCCCAACTCCCCACCTCCTACTCGTACTTCTGGCTCCAGCTTCGCTCCTCCTCCTGGTCCAGTATTTAACAGGCAACCTCCTCCTGTGTTCATGCCTCCCACCTCGAAGCAGATTGCACCACTCGCCAAAGAATTCTCTTTCAATTTGCCAACGGCAACCTTTACGCTTCCTCCGCCAATATCTCTGGGTCTACCAGCACGACCTACATTTTCTCCTTCTTCCTCGCGTCCTCCTCCACTGGCATGCGGTACACAACAATCTTCACAAGCAAGCACATTGTCGGATGCTGTCTTTGATCAAGTGGAGGACATTCCAGCCTGGATGCCTTCTACACAAGATACCGAATGCATAGACGGTTCAGAGTCCCAGATTCATCGGGAAACATTCGCTACACTTGAAGATGACGATGATGATAGTTGGCCCCTTGAGGAGAAGTTGGCCGCAAGCGAACAGGGATGGACTCCTTTCAACTTCAATAACAAGGAGGATAGCATGACATGGAGTACACTTCCTACTGAATCTCAGGGACTCACCAGAACCAGAAGTGACCTGACCGGTAATTCAGCGAAGAATGCGGTGCAGCAAAATGAGGGGCCCGTAATCCCCAGTCCCTCCGCCATGGATATAGATGGCGATGTCGCTCAGATTCAGGACAATGAATCCAATGTCTCCGAACCAGAAGCCGGCCACGAGTCAGTTATGTATACGAGCGATCTGGGTGATGTCCTCAAGGCTGGCCAGCCTACTGTTACTCTTATTGAGGTATGCACAATTTTGATCGTCAGTATTCTTAATACTCACCGTGAAAACCGAAGTCTGGTGGCATTCCGCGGAGCGAGAGCCAATTATCCATGGCTTCGACGTCTTCGTCTTCGCAGCAGTCACAGGTTGGATTCTTCAGTCAAGCCACAAAACTCGTCAATAGCATGCTTGGCACAGGCAAAAAGGCCAAGCCAGAGGTCAAGAGCCTTCAGCTTGCAGCTGCCGCAGCGAAGAAGGTATTTCGTTTACTCTTACCTCGACTGTTTTGCGAGACTCAAGAGTATTATATAGCAAGAAGAAGAAGCCAACAAAAAGGCCACCCGTCTCAAGGAGATGGAGGCGAGGCGCCAGGCAGCGCTTGCTCGCAAGGCAGATGAAGAGAAGTCACGCGCTGTTGAGGAAGAGAAGAAGATCAAGGAGGAATCTGAGAAGCGCAAACGTGAGCGCGACGAGACCACGGAAAAGCGACCTCTCAAGACCCCTGCTGTGCTTAAGAAGACGGAGGAAGACGTGACGAAGAAGCGGAAGATTACTATCGACGATAAGAAACCCGATGTTAAAAAGCCGCCTTCAAAAGACAAGAAGGATACTCTTCTTTTGTCCAAGTTGGCGAAATCCAGTTTGGTTACCCCTGCAGCGAAAGTTGCTTCTGCTTCCAAGAACACCAAGGTCCCCGCGTCGTCTGCGCTTGTGTCTTCTGCGACCTACAATGCTTCACAGAATGCCGCTGGGTCATCTGCGGTTAAAACCGCAGCTACCGAAGTGAAATCAACCAAAGTTGGTCCTCCCAAGGGAAAAGCTAAGGCTGTACCGCAGGAGAACGAGGATAAGCTTCCCTCCGCCATGGTGCAGAATCAGATGGCAGCGCGTGCAATGGCCCAGATACGGGCAGCTAAGCAGCAGTTACCTGAAGTTCCCAGCGAGAGTATTGAACTTCCTGACATCAACAGCGAATACTCTGACTCGGAAGATGAAGACCGGCCACGGACCTTTGATCCTCCTGATTGGGCTCAGTCACCGGAGCTCCGACAGGCGTTGCAAATGCAGAGCACAGTTGATCCGGATGACATATTCGGAGCGATCCGGCCGCTGCGAATGGAGGAGTTGTTCAGGACGAGGCAGAGCCGGTTTAGAGCACGGACGAGTTCAGCAAATTGGTCAGGTTCGGACAGGCTGACGGTTGAAGAGGAACGGGAATATGCCCGTCGCATGGGATTTACTAAACATGCGTCCTGACCTGGATCAATGCCTGTCTCTTGTTTTTAACATGCATGTGTATCACATCCTTGGTTTCGCGCAGCATATTTATTTATTTCCTTGCTGCAGCAACAAAACAAACGAGTGTGACGAAACTTGGCTTGAATTCGACAGTCAAGAGACAAGTACAAATGTATGAGCACGGACTAGGCCAGCGATATATCTGGTTAGGATGTACAAAACTACAGGGGGTATTGCGACGAGACCAAGGATGACACCGGAACTAGTACTGTAGATTCGAGTATGAGAGAGTGACGAAGAGAAAGATATCGAGAGTGGTCAAACGGATGATAGCAATTATTGTAGTGCGGTAGCAAAATGTAATGAACGACGAGAATGACAATGGTTCACGTCAAACTCATTGAAACCCGCAGTCAAAAAAGACAGACACAAAAAAGATGTCTCGAAAGTAAAGGACCTAAGGCAAGGAATAAGTGCAGGAGAAAAGGAGAAGGCAAGGAATAAATGCAGGAGAAAAGGCGAAGGCGTGCCAAAAAGAGGAGAGTGGGCGTAGCATATACACTATGGCGTTGATGACAAGCAATATATATGATGCAGGGTGGGGTTATAGCAGAGATATAGTGGCGTAATCATCTATAGCCAGCATTGACGGAAGCTGGTGCCGGTGCATGTTTATTACCGTTTAAGAGTGAAAGTAGCTGGGCGCCGTTGGTAACAGGGGTCCGCGAAGTGATTGGCGGGGGGAAAGTTGGTTGTAAATTATGGGCTGATGGTGGGACAGCAGAGAATCGAGCAGGTGGGATTTGAGCACTGACTGGGGGCATCGTAGTAGAGAAACCAGTTACCATATGAGGACCCGCGGTCTGATGAGCGGGGGGGAAGTGTGCGGAAAGATGTGCTTGATAATTATGAACTGGAGGGTAGCCTTGCAAGTAGGAGGGATGTGGATGAGAAGTGTGAGGCATTCCAACAGGAATGGGTGGGGGCCCCGTCAGGAGCGACAACAACTGACTTCGCTGGGCATTCCTAGGAGGATAGTCGTGGGCAACAAACTGACTGGAGCGTGGTCGCACTTGAAAAATGTCATCAACTAGCGGCGGCTGAGAATACCCGATGCTGGGATGCTGAGAAGTAGGAGGGAGATGATATCCAGCTGGCATTGATGGCATATGTCCAAATAGCGGGCGTATGTCAGCTTGTGGATAGTGCGTAGATGGTGGAACGGAAGCCGACGATCCTGGATGACGGACACCAGGTGTATTGCCAACATTAGTCACAGAGGGCAACTCCCTACTGGGCAGAGTAGGGGTCATGCGTGAAGACTCGTCAGCCACTGATTCCAGTAGGGCAAGCTGCCTCAACATCTTGCCTGAGGCAGGCACCTCAGTAAGGCGCGGAAGGTAGGGTGATATGTCGGCAGTGCTCGAGGTACGTCTTGACGACAATGAGACCTTTCGAGAGGAAGTCAAGGATGAGGTGGACGATGCGGCAGACGCGGCGGATAATGAGGTGGTGGAAAGGGCTCCTGATGAAGGAGTTCCAGGAACATGAGAAGGTGAAGTTGGTAGTGTGGATGATTCGACAAAGGAAACCTGCATGCTCAAAGATTGGGGAACCCGAAGCGAATGAGCAGAGGATGACACGTTTGAAAGCCTTTGTTTCGGAGCCGGAGAAGACATCACACCAGACGTTTCTGACTGAGCAGAAACACGAGAAGACCAATCAACGATATTCTGCTTAGCTAGCGGTGTCGCGTTGTGAGCGAATACCGAGAGAGGCGATTTAACTGGCGGAAGACCGAGCTGAGGCTTTGAATCGTCTTGCTTGACAGCCGAAAGCGTCAGAGAACTAAGCAGACGGGCAAAGTGCGGATCCATGTGTTCAGGATCGACAGCTTGCTCGTCATCGGATTCGTGGGTAGCTACGCGATGGCTGGTCACAGGAAGTGCCTCGCTGTACTGAGGAGATGGCGTCTGGGGTTCGCCATTATCTGCCGAGGATGAACTGGACTCATGTGTGCCATTATCCGTACTTGTGTACCCTCCAATCTTCCGAGCTCGCCCTTCCATTGCTCGAGGCTTGTTGTCAGTGATGAATGCCTTCAACGATCTACTCGAAGTTGACGACAACTGATATACACATGATAAAAGGAGACTCACGCGATGAAGGGGGAAATTAAATAAAACTTTCCTGGGGCGGCTTTGTTCCGTCTCCAAGTTGGAAGATCAGTTAACTTGAACCACTCGATCCGCTGCAAGAAAAAATTACGACAAGAAAGGAGAAGCGCAATTAAATGAACGTACACTTATCTCCTTGCGGGTCCGAGTTTTAAAAGGAAAGTCTTCCGGGACTCCGGGTACCACAAAGAGAGAGATCCATTGCTCCTTGATCGACATTTCAATTACGTTTGCAGGATCCAGTTGACCCGCCAGATTATAACCGGTCTCCTCAAGCACCTAGCGGAGAATCTCAGGTCGCAGAACAGAAATATGGACAATACGACGCACTTCTCGAATAGCACACTCATGGGTAGGCTCGCTTTCATTTATCTTGCCCTTTGGAAAACCCCAACCAGAAGATGACTTCCACCCCTTGACAAGGATACACTAGACAAATCCGAGTAAGTTGTGTTCGCTCCTGAGCATCAAGAGCACCATACCTTTTCCCAGGTGTCGTTTAACATAATTGCACCACATACAGGGACTCTAGTCTTGTATTGCATGAAGGTATTGAAGGCTTGTTCATGATCGTGACTCCACTGGTGTAGCAGAGGACAGGCTTGGAAAAGCATTGCGGAGAATTTCTTCAGCGGTAGTGATGGAAATTTGGGATTTTGTTCCCGAATGAAGTCTTCATAGAACCAATGCCTATATGAAAAACGTGAGCCGGAAGGGAATCGCAACCACTGCGGGTGGCTTACGCTTGCTCCACCTGGAAACATATCCGCTCAAGAGACGATAGTTCTTCCTCTGGGAGATTTAAAAGAAAGCGACTTTTTGGCGTAAGAAGAAGATTGAACATAGTTGAAGTGAACATACCTGGATAGATCTTCAAGGACCTCCTCATGTGTTGCAAGTTTGTAGGAAAAGCGTTCAGCGGAGTCCACTGGAGGAGCAGGGTGCATTTCTGGTGATGAGGACGAGGAAGAAGTCATGTTTAAGTGAGAGAGAGAAAGAAAAGAAATAAGTAAAGAGAGTTCAGGAAGCCAGTCTTGGAATTGATCGTTGTATACACAGTTGGATGGAAAGACGATTGATGCACTTGTTGTTAGCGGTGAGTGATAGCGTATGATTCCACTTTAGCCACGTAACAAACACGACACAACACATATCCTTTGTCACGCTGAATAAGAGAAACGAGATTATCTCTCATCCGCGACCCGGTCACTTCTAATTCGACTCTGAATTTTTAAAAAAAATCAAGTCTACGTCCTCTATAGACGAGGCAATTATACCGGTTCAAAGCGTCTTCAACTGCGTGTCCTTAGCACAGTCACTGTCACAATGACCTTGGAGAACTCTACATCAAGATGGGCAGATTTGCAGATGCGGAAGAGCGGCTCAAGAAGGCTGCCTCTGTCCACATGAGGATAGCATCTCGAGAACTTCGATCAGGTGCACGAAGCAAAGAGTGACTTTGACTCGGAGGAAGTGAGGAAGGTAAGACGGTCCCACTCTGGAAGCATTATGGTCTGCGGAAACTATAACTGGTATGTACCACCCGTTGTTTTTGATGCAAGGTGCGCAACTTCAGGCCGAATATATAAACGGATAATTGAACGTTTTTGAGCCTGTCGGTCCGCGTTCTACTGTGGAGAAGCCTGTCAGGTGAGCGTTTGAACGAAATTAATGTCGCCTACCATGATGCTCGACAAATCTTAGGCGAAGGACGAGTGCATTCGCCACACAAAGCGTACACAAATACCGACCACTGATCTTATCAAGGCTTGATAGCTTTGCATCTCATGGAACTTTGAGGAGACCTTTGAAGCTCCTCCAGTCTGAATGAGGTAAAAAGATGTTCCTGCACTGTTGTCACAACAGCCGGCAGGCATGTAATACAGTCTATCAAAGCATAAAAGTATCACTGGTCTGGGTATCCGTGTTAACTAGGCCCAATATAACATGTTATTCACTTCGATCAAAGCTAATGCTAAAGTTAATGGCTTAGGTTCTGATATATCTTGCTTGCAAGATTCTTGTTCTCCGACAATTGAAGCTATTTTGTTTCTTTCAATAAAAACAGGCCGCCGCATCTGTGGATCGTTTGTGCATCGATCGTGCACGCTACGCTGGTCAGACAGGGGCGGGATTCGGAAGTCGGCACTTCCCGACAAAGCAAGCTGAACAATAAATATCGAAAAAGACCTCATCTCAGTACCTTTACCATCTCATCGCACTCACTGTATCGCTTTCAAATGTCTGGTCTCACAATGCACTTCCATTCCAACCCGGCCTCTGGGATGGCCGTTATACAGGCGGCTGAAATAAACTAACCAAGCCCTCGACCTCTCTAGACAAGGCAATTATGCCGGTGCAGAGGATCTCTACCTGCAAGCACTCCATCTTAAACTTGGTGCAGTTGGTGAGAATCACCCGACCATTGCCATAACTCGTAATGCACTTGGAGAACTCTACCTCAAAATGGGCAAAATCACGGATGCTGAAGAGCAGCTCAAGAAGGCTATTTCTGTCCACATGAGGAATAGTCCTGGATACGATGCGGCAGTCTCTGTCGAGAATCTTGGGCAGGTGCATGAAGTGAAGGGTGACCTCGAGGAAGCGAGGAGAGTTAGACTGTCCCATCCCGCAGACATCATGGTCTGTGGAAACTATGACGTGAGGTAGTTTCGTGACATCTTCATAACACTTGCTAATCGCACTATCAGTGTCCTGGTGAGACGTTTGATCGGAGCCAGCTTTTAGCTTGTTCTGGGTGCAAGGTACGCAATCTCAGGCAGCTTCAGGCTGAATAGACGCTCGGGAGAACTGAGTGACTTTGTTCCACAGTCCGTCTTCTACTGTGGAAGAGCCTGTCAGGTGAGCTGCGAACTTCATGTTATCTACCTGGCGCTTAATTATAACGCTACTTAACAATGCTTGGGCGAAGGATTGGCGTGCTCGCCACAAGACATTCTGCAAAAAGCGTGCGTAAACGAGTCAGATCACTCTCGCGCCTTGAGAATTTCGCGTCTTGTGGAGATCTACTAGCCTTCCTCCCGTTTGTATGAGGTAAATATGTTTATGCACTTTTGTCGCAATGGGACGGCATGTATGTAATCTAGTGAAGTCCGTCTTCCTCTCCCATGTCAAGCTCGCTGCTCGGTCCTAGATTACTTCGGCCAAAGTTGTAATACGTGATGTAATTATACAAGAAATCCTGTTTTTGTGATCCCTCAGCAGACTCCGAAGAATTACACACATCAAGTTGCCCATCTATTTCAGTTGCCTCGGAGTCCCACAAACGCAGACCCCTTTGGCTATTCGTATTATCCCTTAACTTATATTCGGTACATTAACCCCCAGGACAGCCCACAAGGCCCCGCGTCTTAACAGTCTTAGTTGTTTGTTGTGGTATATAAGTAAAGAAATTCTCTATCTCGATTCTCAGTTGCCTCTCAGCCGCACTGCGCCTTGCCTGCACAGCCATCACCTTATCGTCACGCGGTCACAGGATCTGTTACACTGTAACGCCTGTGAGACGTGATAACTCTGGGCTATTTTTTTGTCTTTCCTTTTTTTGTCTTTCTTACAATATATCTCTCTTGTAAATTAATATCATGCTGAACGGAACTGGAGTTAAAATCTTCACTGGTTCGTCTTTGGATTTTGACTTTTGCGACCTTCTCTTATGGAGTGACACTTGCCCTAACAGGCACCAGCCATCCTGAGCTGGCGGAAATCATTGCTCGACGGTAAATACAAATGAACTCGCGAGCGCGCTGTTCACCCATGCACTCTCTAGCCTTGGTCTACCTCTTGCAAAAGCTGATGTGACCAAGAGCGGCATCGGCGAGACAAGCGTCCGCATCGCAGAGAGCGTTCGCGAGAACGATGTGTATATTATCAATACTGGCTGCGGGGCAGTCAACACATCCCTCATGGAGCTGTGTATCATGATCCATGCCTGCAAGATTGCAAGTGCTAAACGTATAACGGCCGTCGTCCCTCTTTTCCCATACGCACGACAAGACAAGAAGGATAAGAGCCGCGCCCCAATCACAGCGAAGCTCGTAGCGAACATGATACAAAAAGCAGGTTGTGATCACGTCATTGTAAGTGTCTGTCCTGCTCCAAGGAACATTCCTGTGTTTGCGCTTTTTTTTTTCCTTGAGCCCTTTGTCAACCCAATGCTGATAGCCATGGATATAGACCATGGACCTTCATGCATCACAAATTCAAGGATTCTTTGATGTGCCAGTAGATAAGTGAGTCTAACGTTTGATCCTGTTTCCAAGTGTGGGTCACTCATGTTCGTCCACTTTCGTCGTGCGCAGTGTAAGTGCTGTGGCGTTTCATAGATTGGGTAATAATTTGACACGTGACCACTCCAGCTTTTCGCCGAGCCATCATCAATCCTGTACATACGCACCCATTTCGACCTTCAAAATGTCGTAATCGTTTCCCCCCGATGCGGGCGGTGCCAAGAGGTAACAGTTTACTGACAGGAGGTTTATGATAGGCCCTCATTATGTCTCAGGGCTACTTCCATTGCAGATCGCCTGGGGGTCGATTTCGCTCTTTTTCACAAGGAACGGAAAAAGGCCAACTCCGTATCCCGGATGGTTCTCGTTGGGCATGTCAAGGACAAAGTTGCCATCCTTATCGACGATATGGCCGACACTTCCGGAACGCTATGCCTTGCAGCACATCATCTCACCGAAGCCGGTGTAGCCAAGGTTTACGCAATCGTGACACATGGAATATTGAGCGGCGATGCTCTAGAAAATATTGAGAAAAGCGTGCTGGAGAAACTGATCGTGACAAATACGTTACCTCAGAAAGAGAATCAGGCCAAGTGTTCTAAGATCGAAGTTATCGACATCGGACCTGTCCTCGGGGAGGTTATCCGGCGAAGTCATTATGGGGAGAGCGTGTCGAAGCTCTTCCATGAGGTTCCCTACTAGAAGGAATAAACGAGAGAGGATATTATTGTATGACTGTATTCGCGTACAGTGCAGGATCCGATCATCATGTAACCGATCTGCGAGAAGGATATATAGATATATAGAGGATAGGCTTGTGTCTAGACCTGGCCATGGCGCTCGGATCAATATCAGAGCATCAGATGAAAAAGCATGTCAATCTCCAGCTAATTATAGACAGGGATCAAATTCGTGAGACAAAGTTTTTAAACCAAACTCAATCTATCATATGACAGAAGATTTGAATTCCAAATTAAGTGTGAGATCGTACTAGTATCGCTTAGTTCAAGCGGAAGGACCATTCTTTTACGGGGCGTCCCCGGAGTGGATGCACAAGGCAGTGGCTGGTATATCATGAACATCTAGATGCGGCTACATCATGGGCAGGATCAAGAAGGAGAGGCCAAGCGGTTCATGAGAGATAATTATGGTGCCGTTGGGGTGTCAGTAAAAAATTGCCACGGTGTGGTTCTGAGAAGTTCTGGAGTACATAACAAGAAGGTGATTGCGTAGGGTCCAAGGCTGATAGCCGGGCAGACAACCTCACTGAGTAGTGCGCAGGATGGACGAGAACGGGACCGAATATTTGGGTAACATAGCGGAATCCGGTTGTACCCGCGGAAAGCTGGGAAGACATGTGTTAGTAGGAGGAGAGCAGACTGGGACTCACAGAAAATTCCTACAGGCTATATAACTATACGATTGAAAGTTTTTAGCGTGAGTATGAGTTATTGAACGTACCGGTGGTGTAATCTGTAGCCCACGGTACGAAATTAATGTACTCACCATCAACGTTGAGAGAGAGCCGGTAGTACGAGTTCAAGTTCTCGGTTGTTGTAGCACAGCTTTAGTAGTGTTCCCTAGTCTGGCGATGAAGATGCTTCTTTCCACTAAACCTCCTCGCTTTACCTTTTTCCGCTTTCTCGTCTTCAACACTTGTCTGTTTTTTTCGAGTTCGTCGTCGCCGTAGTCGTCGTATAGCTAATTGCGAGCATTCGGTACATTTCTTATCATCACTTATTATCTCTTTCGTCGTATGTTCCCTTAGCTTCAGCATTCGTGCTGGCCCTCTCGTTAAACTCTCCTTCCCACTTCCCATCGCCAGGCAATGCTCTGCGTATCATGTTCACATCCTCGAATCATGCCCACCAGAGCAATGGTCACTCAAATATGCACAACGACTCGCACAACAATCACCAGACAAACGGACATACTATCCACCAGACAAATGGTCACTTTCACCCACCACCACCTTCCCAATCTCATAAATCGGCGGCTTCCTCTCAACCAAAGGAGACAGTTTCTGTCATTGGTATACCCTCTGTTTCTATACAGAATGGAAAACTCCAAGTCGGAGACTCTCGTTCCAGTCAGTCCTTTCGAGCATCTCAATCTCTTTCGTTCTCTCATATTCACAATTTGACCTAAAGGCTCACATCGCTCTTATACACCAATCAAGACCCTGGGCGACGGTTCTTTTGGAACAGTCTTGCTGTGTGATTGGCATGGGACGCTACCGCCCAATACACCACTCTCTCCTATGCAATGCGGTGGCGGCGCTAGACCAGAATGGGCTGAAAAGCGTCTCGTCGCCGTCAAGAGGATGAAAAAGAAGTGGGAAGGGGGTTGGGACGAATGTAAAAGGCTAAAGGAGCTCGAAGTACGTCAACTAACATTATTCACCACCTCCCATTCTCACCAAGCCTTTCAGTCATTACGCGCAATACCATTTCACCCTTGCATTATTCCACTCTATGATTTCTTTCTCCTCCCCGATACTAAGGAGCTCTATTTCGTCTTCGAGTCCATGGAAGGGAATTTATATCATCTGATAAAGGCGCGAAAAGGCCGTACTCTTGCTGGCGGCCTTGTTGCTTCTATTTTTCGCCAGATCGTTTCGGGTTTACACCACATTCATTCTTCAGGTTATTTCCATCGTGATATGAAGCCCGAGAATGTCCTCGTTACGACAACGGGTCTCTTCGAATATCGTTCACTATCTCCGGTAGCCCCTCCCAATGCACCTACGGAGAAGGATGTCGTCGCGATCATCAAGCTAGCCGACTTCGGGCTTGCGAGGGAGACACTCAGTGCACCGCCATATACGGAATACGTTTCAACCCGTTGGTATCGAGCTCCAGAGGTGTTGCTTCTCAGTCGAGATTACTCGAATCCAGTGGATATGTGGGCTCTTGGTACGATCATGGCTGAGTTAGTCAACCTTCGACCGTTATTTCCAGGATCCGGCCAAATAGACCAAATTCATCGCATATGCGAGGTTCTCGGAGATCCTGCAGACCATGGAACGGATGTCCGCGGTAGATCCATCGGTGGTGGCAAATGGAGCAGAGGACTCAAGATGGCAAAACAATTTAATTTCGCTTTTCCAAAGGTCGGTTGCTGCAATATTATGTACTTACAAACATGGCTGACATGACATACCAGAGCACTCCTCGGGACTTCTCTTCAGATTTCGACCGCAGTATCCCTCGCAAACTTATTGATTGTATATCGGACTTACTAAAGTATGATCCTGATAATCGTCTTACGAGTCGACAGTGTCTCGAACACCCATACCTTATTGAGGCTCTTCCAGGGAATGTCCCCCCAATGCCTCCTGCTCTTCACACACAGACTCTGCCACCAACGTCATCGAGATCAGCTCCGAATGGCATATATCATATCACTCCCTCTGCTTCACCGCGCAGCATTCCTCCGTCACATTCACATCACTCCGCCCCGAAATCACCCTACCATCAACCCCCAAGCCTGCACCCGTCACATATACCCGATGCTTCCTCCTCCCATCGCTCCGCATTCGTCCCCTCCTTCGTTACGTCGACTATCCACACACCTACCTCACATAAAACAGCAGAATATGCCGTTGATCCACGCATACATTCGCATTCGCATTACTCGGACATTCCAGAAGAAGTACGCGCTCAAGGCACGTCCTCCCCATGGGCTAGTCACGCACGGAGTGACTCGGATCAGATGGAGGTATCTTCTCCACAGGCAGAGACCCTTCTCGATGCTTACCACGCGGGCTATCCGATGGAAGTACAATCTTCACCGATGGTACCGGAGTACCAGAGTCGGCCCCGCGTCGAACCCGACCATCCGATGCCTGCCCACGATGCCACCCAATCGCCGAGTATCAAACTCAGCAGCAAACTACACTTCAGCCTTGGCAAGAAGCCCTCTAAATGGGGTCTTTCCATGTTTGGGCACGGAGAGAAAGTCCATCAGCAACTTCCTCCCGTCGACGAAGTACCGGGTGCGTCTTCCAACTCAACGCCGTCGCTCAAGCGTACGCAATCTACAAGCTCGGATAGTCCGTCATTGGCAGAGTTACAGCCTATGAACGGCTCAGCTCGTAAAAATGCCAAAGCTATCAAGAAGGAGGCCGAGCGACAATTACGCGAAGCGGAAAAGCAGCGCCGCGCAATGGCAGAACGCACACAGAGGGAGCAGGCTCGCGCGGTCATGCAGAAGCGCAGCCAGATGTACATGCAAACTACTTCACGGAACGAGTTGGAGTGGATGTGGCAAACACATGCCAGTTTGCTGAATTCCCATCAGCGAGGAACGCCCTTCGACGAGATGGAGAAGAGCAAGGTGTCTGCTTCTGGTCCTATTCGACAGAAGGAGACCCAAGGAAGTGCGAAGGTGTCATCGCCGACGTTGAACGCTGCTTCAGGTCGATATATCAACCCTATTGACGGCACGCTGGCTCCCAATGACCGATGGGGGTTACGGGATGAGCGTTTGTCGAAAGTTCGACGAAGAGACTTTGATGACGATCATTCCATGTCTTCATCAGACGTTCACAGCTTAAGCCGAATGTCTGCCATCTCGTTCGCTACAGTCGATAGCGACCCTGGCCCATCACGGACGCGAAGACCAACGTTGTATGGGATCAACCGAATGACGTCCGCTTCCTCACTGCGCACGGGCACGACGTCCTTTGATGATTTCCCTACCTCTGCTCGGTCATCGAACTCAATCTCTCTGGACCACCAGTTCAATGACTTCTGCATACGTGCCTCTGTTGATACCACATCTTCTGCATCGGGAGCTTCCTCACCTCCGCCTCTAAATCTCCTTTCCCTATCACCATCACCACGGCCGTGGATCCGTACCGATTCTACCAGTCCACAACACTCGTCATATATGGTTCCTCCGATGATACGATATCCTTCGTCTTCTCATAAGTCATACGAATGTAACGGACAGTTGTATGGTCACCCTCCAAGTCCGGGGATAGACCCTCAATCTGTCATAAATCCGATATTCAAAGTGGTAAGCCAAGCTCTAGTTATACACCTCAAGTAGAGCTGACTTATATCTTAAGACTCCATTACCAACATCGCCCAGTGATCATTTATCATCACCACATTCTCTCCCCCCATTTTCTCAACTGGAGGCAGTTGCAGAAGGGGAATACCCTCCATTATCGCCCATGTCCTTCCATTCGCCGGAAGATGACTGACGCTGCTGGCATCACCACTCTCCTTTTGGTTTTATTTATTAGGTCTTGTGAGATTAGGAACGTTCAACCAGTTGACATACAAATCATTCATTGCTACATCTGCTCGTTCTTACTCGCCCATGTGCGCCCTCTAAACTGTATCTCACCGAACCCAGGAGGTCGATCGGGCACATCGCCCAGATTCATTGTGACTCTAGTATTTCCTCCTGGTTTATCTTACCATACTTATCCCATTCTAGTAGCATATTTAGTTTGGTTGGGCGTTGTAGAGCGCCGCTGTACTTTTACCCACATTTGCAATAGGCGGCAATCAGAAACATGCAAAGCATTGTTTGACGCGGGATGACAATATTGAATGCAGTCTTATGCGGAACTCCGGTGGACAGCCCGTACTAATTAATAGTTTCGCATCCTACTTAGTGGTCATGTGGAGCTTGTTCAAAGCGGAGGCCGCTGGAAGCCGTACGTGTGAGCTCGAAGTCTGGCCAGAAAAAAAATAATCACATACCAGTAGCTAAAGGCAAAGTACAAACAATAAATTGGTTAGCAGTGACACGCCAAGCCATGACGATACTTACCCGCATGGCCGAGCACCAGGTTTGTCCTGCAAAAGAATGTCAATCATGGTACAGCGTCCAGAAGTACCGATACAAACCAGGTTGATAAATATCTTGGGGTGACCAAGAGGTCCTCCTCCTGTAACAAATCGTCACGCCGACACTTAAGTTGAGAAGAAAAAGTATCACTGACCACCATCACAAACAGCTTTCCGCCCATGCACGACACGGATAGGCTCATTGTTGATCATCTCCATTGCGCTCAATGGGTTGGGCTGGAGTTCGAGAATAGTTTGTTCAAAACGTGGACCTGACTGGGCGACCGCGCGTGGTCTCTGGTTGGTTGACCATGTCGTTGGATAATTTGGTGCTTGGTTCGCGACGGGTGATGGAGACGCGGGAATGGGTGTTACAGCATTTGCGGAAGATGAAGAAGAGCGACTTAGAACCTTCAGCTGAGAGGCGCGACGCACCAGACGACGGCTGAGCATGGTTGCGGACATCGAGAGATTCGAGACGGCGGCCGAGCCCGAAAGCGAGAAATGTTGCGGAACTTTCGCCAAAAAAGGAAAGTCGGCTAATCTCCAGGAAGACTCCTCCCTACAACATTTACTGAGCTATAGAGGCTGTAGCTAGCCCGTCATGCAAATTATGATACAGTGTTTGGGTACGATTTAATACAGAAGCGTACACGCGAGGTGCCTTACAGTTATTTATACGCCTGAAATGAAGACCTTAATCCATCTCCTCTATCTCAATGTCATCGGCTTCATTCCAATCTTCATCCATTGCATCAACATCGGCCTGGCCTTCATGATTGGGTACGATAACAAGTTTGTTGCGGGGACCGTCGAACCGAATATTCACAGTCTCCCCGTCGCGAATGCGGTCAGAAAGTAACATCACCGACAAAGGATTCAGAAGCTCGCTCTGGATAGCGCGGTTCAATGGTCTTGCTCCGTATGTCGTCGAGTACCCGATAGACACTAAGTATCTTTTTGACTCGCCATCGATATCAAGTACTATCTTCTTCTCGGCTAGGCGGTCTTGGATCTCCTTAAGCCTCAGGTCCACGATCTTGAGCATATTGCTTCTGGAAAGTGCGCGCTGCACCATAGTGTAAAAACTTTAGAACTTAAAATGCATGCTATGTCGTGACTTACGAAGACGACGATCTCATCTATACGGTTGATGAACTCGGGTGGGAAGTGGCCCACTATTGCCCCCATGACTAGCTGCTTGGTCTGCGGAGTTACTGGACCTTGACCTGCGTCGTTCAAGTATGCAGCACCTAGATTTGACGTCATGATGATAACAGTGTTTCGGAAGTCGACGAAGCGACCCTGTCCATCAGTGAGTCGGCCGTCGTCGAGAACCTGAAGGAAGAGCGTGACGAATTCTCGCGAAGCCTTCTCAATCTCGTCGATGAGGATAATGGAATAGGGTTTGCGCCGAACATATTCGGTGAGTTGTCCTCCAGCGTCATAACCAACATAGCCAGGTGGGGCGCCGATAAGACGTGCGATAGAATGCTTCTCAGAATATTCGGAACCATCGATGCGAATCATAGCATCAGGGGTGTCAAAGAGAATAGTAGCGAGCTGCAAAGATTTCGGTTAGTGACTGTAGTTACGATGAAGTTACACCAACTTACTGTCTTGCTGAGTAGCGTTTTTCCTGTGCCAGAAGGACCGGCCATCAAGAAACTGGCAATAGGTCGCTGAGCATTAGCCAGTCCACTCCTCGAGAGCCGGATCGCGTTGGCGACAGCTTTCACAGCTTCCGGCTGACCGACAACGTAATCGGCGAGGATACGTTCCATGCGAAGGAGTTTCTCCTTTTCGGTTGACATCAAACGTGTAACTGGAATAGCCGTCCACCGTCCAACAATTTCCGCGATCTGTTCAGGAGTGACGGTATCTGTACCTCCACCGATCTTGGCGTCCTCTTCGACCTTTTTGGCTTGAAGAGCTTCTAGGCGATTCTGCAGATCTGGCAGGGCATAATAGCGAAGGTCAGATGCAGTTGCAAGGTCATATCTAATATGCGCTGTGGTTAGGAGATACTCGATTGATCCAGAATGGCACGCGTACCTTCTCTCCGCCTCATCGGCCTTAGCACGTAGATCGTCGATCTTCCTCCGCACTTCGTTGATTTCGTCACCTTTGCGCTTTTCAGCCTCGTAGGCAGCCCGAAGCGGTTGTAATTCGTCGTCAACATCGGCGATACCTTTTCGAGCCACGCTTAGACGCTCCTGACTGGCCTGATCCTTCTCCCGTTCCAAAGCATGAATTTCAACCTCCAGTTCGAGCTTACGACGTTGAAGCTTGTCAATGGCTTCGGGTGCTGTCTCTCGAGTAACACGGACACTAACACAAATCGTAAGATGGTTGCATGGAAGATATTAAGAAAACACACCTTGCACAAGCTTCGTCGACGAGATCAATTGCGGAATCGGGAAGACGTCTCGAAGTCAAATAACGATGGGCCAGAGTTGCAGCAGAGATCAAGGCACCATCCAAAATTCGAACACCATGATGAACCTCGTACTTCTCTCGAATGCCTCTGAGAATACTAATCGTCTCAGGAACACTGGGTTCGTTCACCAAAACTTGTGCGAATCTTCGTTCCAGAGCAGCGTCTGTCTCGATATACTTGCGGTACTCGCTAAGCGTGGTAGCCCCAATGCAACGCAGCTTGCCTCTAGCCAGAAGCGGCTTGAAGAGGTTGCCTGCATCCATGCCACCGCCTTCGGCACCTCGACCAGCCATGATGAGGTGAAGCTCATCCACAAACAGGATGATAGTTTTGCCATCCTCGGATGATTTCTCCACTTCGCTCAAAACTGATTTGATTCGTTCCTCGTACTCGCCTTTGTACTTCGCACCAGCCATTAATGCGCCCATATCAAGCGAAAACAGGCGCCCAATGAGGCTGGCTGGCACATCCCGGTTGACAATGCGTTGAGCAAGACCCTCTGCTATTGATGTCTTTCCAACACCAGGCTCGCCAATGAGCACAGGATTGTTCTTTGTTCTGCACAAGGTGAGCTTAAGGGTGACTACCAACCAAAAAAAAAGAATTCTACCTTCTGCAAAGAATACGGATAATTCTCCTGATCTCATTATCTCTACCAATAACGGGGTCGATCTTCCCTTCTTCGGCAAGAGCAGTCAAGTCGACCGCATATCTCTGCAGGGCATCGAATCCTGCTTCTGCATTCTTGCTTTCCACTCGACGATTTCCTCTGGTCTGCTCGATAGCTGTCTTCAAGGCAGCCTCGGTGAGACCAGCCTCCTTGATGACAGAGGATAACGATGGGTCCTTCAAGAGTGCGAGAAGTATATGGTCCTGCGCGATGTAGGAGTCGTGCATGGTTTTCTGGAGTGACTGGGCCTCGCGCAAAACCTTCAACGCACTGGCGCTCATGGAAATCTCCTCCGGAGGTGGAGATTGTGAGGGTATTCTGACAATTATCTTCGAAAGTCCACGCTTTACAATGACCTGTCGTGAGGCGGGTGAGCGTTGCACATGATACCGGCATACGTAGATACGTACTGGATCACCACCAGCCTTCTGTATAACAGAAGAGAATAGGGAGCTTCCACCATGGTTTGACAGACCACCTAGTGAATCATCTCCCGCACCCTCATTCAGAAGAGCTGCAGCGATGTGGGCAGGATGAACTTTGGAGAACAAGTGAGCATCAATTAATTATCAGTGGAGTATGAAGACATACGTTGGGCATTGGAGTAATCCTTTGCGAGTTGAATAGCAGCCGAGAAAGATTGTTGAGTTTTGTCTGTGAATTCAAAGCTCATGGTGAATGGGAAATGCGAACTTGAAGAAATGAGCTTAGTCGGACAACGATACCTCCTTTTTATCGACCTTGGTTAGTCGTAGTACGATCCAGAAGCATGGAGAGGAGTACACTCCTTTATCGAACATTGCAGAACTTGCTGGTGATATCATCGCACGTGGCAGTGCAATGGAACCGACCTGGGTCAGCCTGGGTCCTGACAGCTTCATCTGGCTGCTGACTCCGGTGCACATACTAGTAGCATTTCCTCTTCTCCAATGGTCGCATTGGACACCGTCTGGCCTGCAGATTCGATCGAGTTCTGCCCTCATGAGAGTGCTTCTGAGATTTTTGTTTGCGGAACCTATCGATTAGAACAGCCCCCCGCCGACTCGGATGCTCGAGTGCAAACCGCATTAGATGATGGTAAAGGAGATTTCGAACCTACGACAAGAAAACAAAGTCAAGTCCGTCGTGGCAAGTGTCTTGTGTTGCAAGTGACAGAAGACAGAGAAATGTAAGCAAGCTAATATTCCCGCGAATCACTGGTTCAACGTCTATCATCAAGTTCCCAGATTCAGGAAATCAGTCTCCCAGCTGTCCTCGACCAGAAATGGTGAGATTCGCGTCACATACTCGCGACTAATCGTACTAAATGACGATATCTGAACAACCGTAGGTGTCATACATCTCAAACGGCCTCTCCAGTACTCGGAATTGCAGACTCGGAAGGGAACATCACACTTCATGAGTGGCACAAAGAAGAGGTGACTTCTAATGTGTTTGTAATCGCATAAGTCGTGACTTTGTGATTTTAGCGCCGGCTCAAGTCGTTTCAGAGCGTATCCTGCGCACCCTCAAATGTTCTGTGCCTTTCCTTAGACTGGTCTACCCGAAGATACCCCACGAAGTACGCTAGCCCAAGCGTCTGCAGGCAATTCTGACCCAAGATTCTGAGACAGCAGTTATGGTTCTCTGGTGGTTTCCCTATCAAGCGGCTCGCTATGTGTTCTAAATCCTGATTCAACTGGCAATTTGGCTGTCGTCAACCAGTGGCATGCGCACGATTACGAACCTTGGATTGCTGCTTGGAACTATTGGGATACCTCCATCGTTTATTCGGGCGGAGACGACTTAACCATGAAGGGCTGGGATGTCCGACAGAATTTTGACCAGCCCATCTTTACAAATAAGCGGCATGTAATTATCTCCACATATTTTGTTTATTTCTCATACCCTCGAAGATTTAATGCGGGTGTCACAACTATCCAGAGCCATCCACACATCGAATATCTCATAGCCGTCGGAAGGTAGGTCTTTGCTTTGCCATCAACATCACGGCTTTTGAAGTCGCGCACAGCTACGATAATAACGTTTGCATTTTTGACACTCGGAAGCCGCTAGTACCGCTCGTCCAAGGAGACGTTGGAGGGGGCGCGTGGCGTGTCAAGTGGCATCCGTCACCCAGTCGTAAGGAGGATCTCCTCGTTGCAAGCATGCACGACGGTTTTAAGGTGGCGAAGGCCCACCATCGAGAAGATGTAACATGGGAAATTGTGAAGCGGTTTGATGACCACAAGTCGCTAGCATACGGCGCAGACTGGTCGTTCGCTCCTCCAGGTGCAGATGGGGAGACACTGATCGCGAGTTGCTCCTTCTACGATCACACGTTACACCTCTGGAATGGCTAGTCAGGAGAATATAAGTGAGACATGAGAGATACGTAAGGATATCGACTGGGAAATGTTTTTACGGTATATTCAGTATATATCTGGGCGAAGATAATAAAGTACGCAGAAACAAGAGCATGACCTAAATCGGAGCATTGACCGCAACGTGCGAGAACTCTCCCACAATACTCCAGTCCCAGAGCCGGACTATCACGGGTTAAGTTAGCATTGCGAAACGTCTCACAAATGATCCACGCTCCGCGTGGAGATTGAGTTGGAGGATGGAGAAATAGGCGTCTGAGGACAAGTCTCAATCCGTTCTTTGCGTCTCTTCCAGAACTCAGCATTTGGCCCCTTCATGACAAACGCAAGGGTCCATCGCGACAGACCTCTCAAAGATTCTGGTTCATGGACTGCAAAAGTGAGCAGTGAAGCCAGTGACAGAACAAACACGATTCTATTGCATCCCGTCAGCATCACAAAGAACATACTCTTTAAGAATACTAACCGCTCAGCCAGCCTCGCACCAGCATGATTACCTCCAATCCACCTGGCCGGTAAAGATGCTTTAACGGCTCTGGGCAACACATACAAGGCCATCTCTCCCCTTCTCCGCGTGTTCTCGAAAAGGATACTCCAACCACACGTGAGTGATCCCGCGAGAACACAGCCATATGGCCCATCCCACACATCATGAGGGATCCATGGGAACAGTTTTGCCAGCACCAAGGTACGTGTGAAACAGACAGCGAAGAAATATGACGACAGGAAAGTGGAGAGGAATGTCGCACTGCGGATCGCAGCTAGGAGCGCAGGAATGGCGCGATGACGCTGAAGGATGGAGCTAGGGCGAGTAAACAGGAGAGGAAGGAAGTGAACCTTCAAAATGATTAGCGGTGCAGTGCAGTGCACTCCAAGCCATACACTTACAGGCAGGTATAGAGCCATAGCCTCAATGAACGCTAGGCAAAATCTCATCCCAACATTTGTTAGGCAGCTGTTGTCGAGACCCCACCGCGTTGTAACGCCGGAATGCAGAAGCTCACAGGGCAATCCACCCACACCGCCCCGGCCAGGCACGCCAAGCGCCTTCCAGACCACATCTGCATCTGTACCACCACATGCAGGCAAGACCTGTGGATCGCCCCAAGATAAAGGGTACCCGCGGTCCTTGGCATAAGATGTCATGAGGTGAGAATGGGTAGAACTGTGCCCATAAACCCATTCTTTAGAACGCATAGCACGCAAGGCATCTAACAGCCGTTTGTCTACGTTGGCCAGGGATGATATCCTGACAAGTAAATCATGATGAGCGAGAGCTTCCTAACATGACGGTTGAATTGTGTCCAACCATTTCACATAAGAGGGGGGAAGTCTGAAAAAAAAACTGGATTTAGACATCAATGCAATTTATTTTATTGCTAAGCACCTATGCGGCTGGTAGAAGAAACACCACATAATTCTGGTATTGCACGAAGGGTTTGAATTGACATCAAGCATGCTACATGACACGCACCTAGCACTGCAGGCCCAAAATACAACGGCGTCCAACCATGCAGCTGTACTTTGATGCCACTTCTTGGCTTTGCCATCGCCTTCAGCAGGCATCGGTACATCAGCGGATGGTTTATTTGAGTTCGATCGATTTGCGGAAATGTTGGATAGGTTAGCTTTCCGGGTTGATTCCACAGACAGAAAATGCTGCATGATTGCGTCGGTTGCACGACAGAAAAATAAGAGCGTAAATCCAAAGGTTGTGAACGGTCGATGCGACCCTGCTTTGGACTGTCGAGCCCTTTGGAGCAAGAACAGCGCGATTGTCGAAGACAAAATATTTGACAGGAACGCTTTCTGGGAGCCTGAGGGTGTTGAGTTGGACATGCCTGAGCATGCCTGAGCTGTGAGCGAGAGGACTGTTGGACGTCGTTGGGATGTGGAAGCCACCACTGGCTGTCGTCGAACTTCCGGATCGTCTTGTTTATCGACTGTGACATGGTGGACACCTATTGCTTCCCAGAAGTGCTTCAATGTAATTCCGCCACAAACGGCTACTGTGATGGCGAACGGAAATCCTGTAAGGCCTACCTCGCGCCTCAACACGCGTCTGAATGAACCCAGACGAGTTTCCAGACTGGACGAACGATTGACGAGGGTAAGAGCAACTGGAAGTAGCACGGGACCAAGAGAGAGAGATAAGCTGAGAAAATATGTGCGAAGGGCGACCTTCACCGGATGACTTGGGTCATCTGGCCAGAGATTCTTCGGATTAACAATATTTCTCCTTGATGTCTTGCTGTGGTCCGAATCTGGTTCAGTATGTTCAATGACCCGAGGAGACGGCGCTGACATCAAAGTTGCAGAAGAGCTCAGGTTCGACACTTACAAAAGGTGTTGCAATCACATGCAACCTCACTGCTGTACAGTATTTACATAAATTGTACATATTACTATTGGCATAATGATATGATCGATCATCCGTAAGTATAGTGATCCCCATGGAAAAGTCTTGCGATGACTCTGTATGGTAGTACCCTGTTGTTTAGGCCCAAAACATTTTGCCACGACATCTTCATCAGAGATATTTTCCTTCTAGTCCTCGGCTCCCCGACCCCGCTTTGCTTATTCATATTTGTCAAGTACTTTGCCCAAGCCCTTCGAGTAGCTCCAGAAGTCAACCTCAGTGGAAGAGAACCCGTCTCCGAGACTTCGTCCTAATTCACGAGCCAGACCGGCACGTTTTACAAGATTGACGAATTGTGCTCTTGAATCTGGGAAGACAAATGATCGGAGTACTGCATCTCCCTACAAAAGGATATCAAATGATGATACACTTGTCAATGGAAATGCATACGTGGTTCTGGAGAAGTGCTCCCAAGTATTCCAGAGGTGGAATTTGGATGTTGGAGCCATCATATTCCAATCTCATAGATGGGGAGGAATCAGGTTCAGGGAGCTTTCCTTGGTCCACCAGTTCGGTATTAGAAACATCAGAGAGGTATGGCAAAAGCCACAAGCGCCAAAGTTCCAGTTTGCGTCCATCTCGACCGAGCCTTCGCATCAGGCGGTGACAGCGCACCCAGTCTTGTTCACTTCCTTCCCATTTCAGGTCGACCGAGCGAGCGAGCTCGTCAAGCGCAATCTCTGATTGGGGGTGAACGAGAGAGACAAAATTTGTGTCCAAAGGCCGGTCAGACAGCCTGCTCTTGCTAGTAGATGGACTTGGACTTCCTTCCGAGTGTGCTATTGTATGCTGTGTTGGACGCATCATCAGTCTTACCCATCGTCTTCTCCGTACCCAGGCACCAGTGCTTAGTTTGCCGATCTCTGCGTGCCAGTGTTTCTCCCGAAAAAACCAGTTGTACTCGAAACCGTCATATTGAACTTCTCCTGAGTCTGTGCGCATATCAATCATCCATGATCTGGAGACCCAGCGCCAAGTCCCATCGGGCAGGGCATAATTGGAGAGAGAGATGTTCGGTTGCCGAGATCGTTTCAGAGAATCGGACGGAATAGTAAATTGTGGAGGATCGATAGGAAGTAGTGATAGGTGTGAGTAATACGGGGACGAGAGTACGGTGAGGCTTGGGAGGATAGTTGGGGTCTGCCACACATAAGGGAGTAAATGGAGTACGTACCCCCTTTGATTTTCATACACAACAGCCCAACGATACACGTCCTTATCAATGCCAGGGATATCTGAGATACCTGAGAGGTCCAAAGTGATTGTGGCGGTATTATCACTGGTTTGTTCGAGGGGTGGTAGTTGCTCTATGGACTTGTTTGAGCCGTCTGCCTTGGATTCTGAATCCGTTGGTTGTGGTTTGCGATGCCTGGAGCCACAGCAGGAGAAAGGGTTTGGAAGGAAAGAAAATACACGAAAACGAGTCTTCGTAGCCAACCGACGACGTGCTGGTTCTACGGCTGAGGGATCATCAGGCGTTAATACTGCCTGGGGAGGAGTAGGCCACTGAGTACCGGCCAGCGAGCACGAGTCTTGGATTCGGAGCTCACCGACACTAGTACTGCTCGACATTGTGATTATGTTCTCGCCCAATATGCCTCGACGCCGTATGTGGTGCTGGCCGCCGTCATGGTCAACCTTCTTCTAGTACTTATAAGTCCTATATAAACAATGACGATATTGTTCCAAAAAGGAAATTTACATGCATTTCATTTCCGTTTCCTGTGCTTAGTAAACAAGTGACCCCTCATCCGAATATTAATGTTCCGTCCTTTCCTTGCCCGTGTGGTCGTTACTGCTCAAGCAACTCATCGACCGTTGGCGGTGTCGAACGGATATTATGCAAGAGCATTCACCGACAAAGCTAATTCATCTTCCTTGAAGCACTCCGTGGTCACTTCATTAACCAAGACGTGTCCATCATGTGGGACTATTCTTCCAACTGCGTTGCCTGTCTGTCCAAACTGCAATTATATTGCAAGGATTCACGACTCAATATCATATCATGATATACTGGGTCTTCCTTACGAGCCAAACCCGTTTGTGGTGGATGCTGCACTCCTTAAACGCCGCTTTATTGAAGGACAAAGAGTATCACATCCAGACGCTTGGGCAACTAAGAGTGAAGTGAGTGATTCCACTTGCAGTATCAGCAGAGACTTATTCAGCAGCTCCAACGAGATATCGCACTTGACGTGTCGAATACGCTGAACGCTGCGTACAAAGCATTGTCGTCACCCTTGCACCGTATAGAATATATTTTACAGCGGAATGGCCTCATGGTTGCAGAAGCAGATCCCTTAGAGGATCTGGAACTCATTAGCGAAATCATGGAAGTCCGGGAGGAGATTGAAGCTGGGGACGTCGAACGAATTCGTACCTTAGAGGAGGATAATGATAGTGAGTTTTGTCATTTGCCAATGTTTAGCAGGTAATAACACTTCTGGTGAAAGACAAAATTCGCGAGGTTGTGAACACAGTCATAAAATCCGTAGCTGAAAAGAACTGGGAGGAAACTAAAGTTGCGGCAGTGCGACTGAAATACTTGAATGGAATCGCAGAGGCTATCAAGCAGCGATTAGATGACATGTAAATAGAAAAATAGATTATACACCATATCCTTGTTGATTTTTGTAATATGAGCGCACACTAGTTACAGCGTTCAGAGGTACTGGTCAGTGTCGAACGTTTGAACTTTTAATTAAGAACAGGCTCGCTAATTTGCTGGTAAGTCAACACGAAAGTAAATATTCGGCGAATGCCGAGGCTATATTTTTCAGTAAGAAATCAGTGAAGAAGTTTCTTTACCGTCAAGGTCGCCGTCGTCTTGAACGTCTGCGCGGAACAAAAAATACAGAGGGAGGTTTAGAGATCCAGAGGATGTGAGTGATTCAGGCGGGTTTCGGTTGATGTGCTAAATGAGGGTCTCATGACTTTTCATCATTAGTCCCTCAAGTTATGAGTTGGGCCTTCACTATTCGAGAATTCGGGCGTCGCCTCATGCCATTGGATACATTGAAGCGTTCTCCTTCTGTTGCTGCCTCTCTCAAACGACCCTTTGCCAATCACGCGACAGCAAGCGTGCAGAAGCACCGCACTGCAGATGTCAGTCATCCTCGGTCACCTAGCCCGCCTCAATTCTCAGAGCAACGGCCGGCTAAAGCTCCCAAGCTAGCGGGAGCTTTCACGGCTATTCCTGCAATGTCTGCATCCTCAAAAGGGACGCAACAGAACCCTACTGTATCACCTCCATTCGAGATGCCGTCTTCATCCAAAAGTCGTGGCTCGCTTGGGTCGCGTATCTCTGGTTCGTCGTCCCAGAAAGATTCATCGAAGCGTCGAATGGGATGGAGTAAGGGCAAGAATAAAGGACAGCCCTCGAAACTGAGACTTCCAGACCTTGACGGCCCTATCCGTGACGCGGTTTTTATTGAACAGGAGCACAGGAAGAATCTTGGTTCCCGCCCTGACATAAAATCCGTGTTTGTAGATAACCCAAAGTCTCCGGTCGCTAATTTTGCCATTAATCACCTGGACAAGCAACCGGTGTATGAATCAGTTGAGGGCATTGTTTTTGGTACATCTGAGAGGGTATCTAGGTTGGTGACGATTTCTTAGCGATAATATTTGGCTTGTGCTTATAGCCGTACGAAGGGTGACCGTTGCCCTCGATGCGACTCCTCCAGTGCTTGGTATTGGTGACCATAGAGTAAGGAGAGATGCTGAGAGGCTCGCGGCGCTTTCAGCTCTCTACCAACTTCATGATACAGGTCAGGTGCGTGTCACAAATTGCAAAACACCCAAATAGTCCTGATGAATGTGGTTAGCTCGACAAGCCTAAGCCTTCAGCATCCTCGAGTTCTGCTCCACAAGTTATCGAACTGAGCGATGGTTCAGTTGTTGACTACGAGCGCGCGCGAAGCTTTATGGACTACTACTGTCGCAGATATGGATTTGGCAAGCCGGACATCGAGCTGGAAGAACAGCGTCAGGGGCGCACGAAGTCATCCTGGGAAGCCGTTATGACCGTGGGTGACAAAAAGATCGGCATGGGCTCCAGCACAACCAAGAAAGCAGCCCAAATACAGTGCTACTTGGACGTCGCGCAGTATCTGCAGCAATGTGATCCTGGCCTATGGACAACTTTTGTGGAGGCGTCCAAGACTGGAAAGGACCTTGGTCTAGCCCCGAAGGTTTACTTCCAGATCAGCTCAAAACTTGAGGATGAGATACACAAGTTAAGCGGTGATATCAAAAAGAGTACTCTATACAGGAACAGACCTGATATTGGGTCCGGGTCAGATACTCCGAGATCCCAACCTGTCTCTGTTGCTGCCCCACGACCATCATATGCCCGCAGGTTTCCTCGGGATTTCTTGGCACAAAGGTCGGAAGAACTCAAGGAACGGAGAAAAGCATACCTGACAGATCCAGCGATGGAAAAGATGCGGAACACAAGAGCTGTGTTGCCCATCTATACTCGATCGGAGGAGCTTGTGTCGCACATACGTGAGAATGATATCACGATTTGCATGGCTGCGACGGGTTCAGGCAAAACCACGCAGATACCACAGCTACTCCTGGACGACCATATTGACAAGGGTGAGGGTGCTCGCTGCAACCTCATTTGCACTCAGCCACGTCGGCTAGCTGCACTCAGTGTAGCTGACCGTGTCGCCAGGGAGAGAGGGGAAGTTGTCGGTGAAGGATCCATTGGCTACAGCGTCCGTTTCGAGTCGAAATTGCCAGAAGAGCATGGCTCTATCACTTTCTGCACTACGGGAGTGCTACTCAAAAAACTTCAGTCTGCAATGGCTGAAGGCGGGCTATCGGCTGCCAGGATGGACGAGGTGACGCACATCGTCGTAGATGAAGTCCACGAGCGGGATGTTGATACCGACCTCCTCCTCGTTGTTCTCAAGCGTCTCATGGATGATCGCAAGGCTCGGAATATTCCATTGAAGATCGTCCTCATGAGTGCCACTATTGATCCCACGCTGTTCCAAGAGTACTTTCCTGACGAGCGAGGCGAACCGGCAAAAGTAATCGAGATTCCAGGCCGCACTTACCCCGTCACAAAACACTTCATGGAGGATTTCATCCCTGCGCTGAGAAACCATCGCGCGTTAAACTGGGTGTTCCAAGACGACTTGGTCTCTAAATACCTCGCTCGTGAGGAAGCTTATGTGCGGTCTTGTGGGCGCTCAATAACAGAGGGAGACTCCCGCGTGCTGAGCGGTGGGGATGAAGAGCTGGATCTGCCATGTCCCTTGGTCGCAGCTAGCATTTCATATGTCTTGCAGCAGTCTGACTCGGGACATGTTTTGGTTTTCCTGCCCGGGTGGGACGAGATATCTGCAGTTCAGAAGATTCTCCTTGGTGGAAGTATGGATGTCAACTTCAATGATCCCTCGAAGTACAGCATTCACCTTCTCCACTCTACCATTCCTCTGGCCGAACAGCAAGTCATTTTCGAGCCTCCTCCAGAGGGCGTTCGTAGAATCATTCTGGCAACTAATATTGCCGAGACCTCCATAACGATTCCCGACGTTGTTTATGTCGTTGATGCTGCGAGGATCAAGGAGCAGCGATACGATCCTGATCGCCACATGTCGTCCCTCATCTCCGCCTGGGTTGGTTCTTCCAACTTGAACCAAAGAGCAGGGCGGGCGGGTAGACATCGACCTGGAGAGTATTTTGGTATTCTCAGTAAGGCTCGCGCAGCCAACCTTCATCCTCATCCAACCGTGGAAATGAAACGCGTCGACCTAAGCAATGTCGTCATGCACGTTAAGGCTCTCAGGTTCCCCGGGATGGACATCGAAGAAGTTCTCGCTGCCGCTATCGAACCCCCTGAGCCTGACCGCGTCGCCGCCGCCATGAAGAACCTACAGATGGTAGGTGCGCTGGATCATGACAAGAACCTCACGTCACTGGGAAGGGTTCTACTACAACTACCTGTGGAGGTCCAAATGGGAAGGCTCGTCCTTTACGGAAGCTTTTTCAGGTGTCTCGACCAGGCTCTTACTCTCGCCGCCATTCTGACCAATCGGGATCCGTTTTTCTCTCCTATGCATCTCAAGGCTCAGGCTGCTGCTGCTAAGATCAAATGGTCGCCCAGCGGGTTCAGGTCAGATCCGCTTACCATATTGAACGCTTATAACGCATGGTACGAGATGCAACGTCGCGGCGAGTATATGTCAGCCAATCGCTTCTGTAACGACAACTTCCTCTCGAAGCCAACGCTACTTTTGATTACCAAGATCCGCGGGCACTTATTGCAGTCTCTGTACCAAGCAGGAGTCATTGATGTTTCTGCGGGTGGGAACGTCGCATCAACTGAGCCTAGAAGTCGGGACTTGACCGTACCACCCGACCTGAACGTTAATAGCAAATCCCTTCCTCTCCTGGCTGCTCTGATAGCAATAGCTTCCCAGCCAAAGTATGCCGTTAGGACTGGCGAGATGACTTATCGTACTCAGTTGGACAAGGTAAGCTTCGTCCGGTACATTCACCTCACTCCATAAGCTAATTATACGTAGGCGACATTTATACATCCAGGCAGCGTAAACCATCGCAAGCACGTCGTTGAGAATGATCAGGCCATGGAAAAACAGCTTTACGCTTTTTCTGAAAAACGACAGAATTTGTCGATGGTCGGTTCCAGTCCTCAAACGTATCTGATTACCACAACTCGCCTGGACCCTATGACCTACATGCTCTTTGGCGCTTACGAGATCCAAGTCACTGAACGAGGACTGGAGTGTGATGGCTGGCTGCCAATCGTTGGGAATGTCGATGTATTGGATGACATACAACGTTTGAAGACCGTCATGGAGTCTTGTATGCTTCGAGTATTTGAGGGTATTGTGATGGCTCGACGGAAGAGACGTCAAGCACCGACTCCCCATATTTTGTCCTCGGAGGAGAGCGAGAGCGAATCTGAGGATGAAGGTACACTCAACAAAGACTACACCCTCTCTACCACAGAGATCAAAGAATTAGATTTCATGACAACAGATATAGTACGGATCCTCAACCGCTGCAGTGACGAGCGCATTGCATATCAATCCTGGTCCAAACCTCGCACTGCGACTCCTATGGCTTCTCCCAGCCCATCCCCCACACGGTTTCCCCCCTTTGAACCCAGGTCTGGGTTCTCCACTCCGTACGGTGTCGGGTCAGCCTACAGCTCAAGGCCCGGTACATCTAGCTATCGTCCATCTAGTTCACGCAGATTTTAGACCCTACTATATATTATTATCATCGTGTCCTTGTCTGATTACATTTCTAGATCCATCCCTCCTCATTTACGCATTTTCTGTACGCTCAATATCACTAATGTACCCTCGCATTGCATAATACTATCGAAACAGTTACTCTGCATCTAGGGTCGTGCAAGTCTGCTTAAGAGGAGATAACGTAAGTACTACTAACAGTACTCGTCTGAAATTCAATTAAGGCGTTTCCCATGGTTTCCTATACAGTGTGAGCAACGTCACCGGTGACCCAAACGCAGCGCTTGTCACCAAGCGTCGAGTACGCGGACGTGCGCCTCCATTTTCTCGCCGTGCGGAGTTCCTTCGTTGTCAAAAGAGCCCAGCTTGTTCTACTCATTAATTTCTACTGACTACTTTCCAGAAGCCTCATCTACCAAAGATGGCTGCCAATATGCGAGGGCTAACCCAGGTGCGTCCCTCCAAAATCATAACAACCATTTAATCATAATCTTTCTAGTTTATCGCAGATATCCGAGGTGCAAGAGTGCGTGAACTGGAAGAGAAGCGTATCAACAAGGAGATGGCGAATATCCGAAAGAAATTCAAAGGTCTAATGCATCCTAGTCGCTCGTTTAGCTTGATGCTCATGGTATGCTGCAGATGGAAATTTGGACGGATATCAGAAGAAGAAGTGAGTGTGTCACTGTCAAATTCATGCACGTCTTCAACAATGGTACAGATATGTCGCGAAGATCATCTTCACGTATATCCTTGGGTACAAGGTCGATGTGGGGCACATGGAAGCTGTCAACCTCATATCGAGTTCCAAGTACAGTGAGAAACAGATAGTAAGGTCAATGAACGAGTTCATTGGATGTATCATTAACAAGACACATGTAGGGTTACCTTGCTGTTACTCTACTGATGCACGAGAACTCGGATTTCCTTCGACTGGTTGTCAACTCCATTCGGAAGGACTTGGATGAGAATAACGAAGTCAGCAACTGCCTTGCCTTGCATGCCATAGCAAATGTGGGTAGCAGCGAGATGGCGGAGGCGCTGTCAGAAGATGTGCATAGGCTTCTGATATCCCCGTGAGTGACCAAAGTCTACGATTCAAGTATGTGAAAACTCATTCATACTTGCAGAACCTCGCAAACTTTTGTGAAGAAGAAAGCTGCTCTAACGCTACTGCGACTCTACCGCAAACATCCCACTGTAATACCTGCCGCTGAATGGGCTTTGCGTCTAGTATCTATCATGGACGATCAAGATCTAGTAGGTTGTCATTTACACTACCGCTCGGTGTTGAAACATTTCGTAGGGCGTCGTAATATGTGTTACCAGCTTGATCATGGCTCTGGCCCAAGACCACCTCGATGCCTACGCTGTTTGCTACACTAAAGCTGTGGATCGCCTACACCGAGTAAGTGTGTAGCATCAAAGTTGGGATCCGATTGTGGCTGAGTATCCCCAGTTAGTCATAGAGGGCGAGTATTCCGCCACGTACGCATATTATAAAGTCCCTTCGCCATGGCTACAAGTCAAACTACTCCGATTGTTGCAGTACTATCCTCCTTCTGGTATGCGCGTGTTTTAAGCGACCCATAACATCTCTCACATTACTGCTCTTAGAGGACGCAACTTTACGATCCGTACTCCATGAGGTGCTACAAACAATCATGAACAATAGTGCAGAGCCCTCGAGGAACGTTCAACACAACAATGCACAACACGCTGTGCTCTTCGAAGCAATCAGCCTTGCGATTCATCTAGACGCAAGTTCGCCACTTGTGGGAACCTCTGCAGTTTTGTTGGCTCGGTTCATATCCTCAAAGGAGACAAATGTACGATATCTTGGTCTGGACACCATGGCTCATCTTGCTGCTCGTGCAGATTCTCTGGAACCCCTTAAGAAGCACCAAGGCACCATCATCCTATCTCTTCGCGACAAGGATATCTCTGTGCGAAGGCGTGCTCTTGATTTGCTATACAGCATGTGCGATACAGACAATTCAGAGCTGATTGTCGGGGAGTTGCTACGCTACCTCAAAGTTGCAGATTATGCTCTGCGGGAGGAGATGGTGCTCAAAATTGCTATCTTGACGGAGAAGTACGCGAACTCATACAAGTGGTATGTCGACACGATCCTGCAGCTCATCAGCGCTGCTGGTGATCATGTTGGGGATGAAGTTTGGTATCGTGTCGTGCAGATAGTTACAAATACGGAGGATCTGCAGGAATATGCTGCAAAAGTTGTCTTCGAGCACCTGAAGTCCCCATCCACACATGAAAGCCTTGTCAAGGTTGGAGGTAAGAAAGACCCATGTTCGAATTCAGTTTAGTGACCGTGACCGCACAGGATACATCCTGGGAGAATATGGACATCTTATCGCGAATGACACTGGCTACAGTCCTCTTGAACAATTCCAAATCCTTCACTCCAAATCTCAATTCTGTGTCGCTTCCACTCGCTCCCTTCTCCTATCGACGTACATCAAATGGGTTAATGTCTTTCCCGAGATCAAGCCTCAGCTCATCAACATCTTCGAACGATATAGACATGTTCTGGATGCAGAGCTCCAGCAGCGGGCCTGTGAATTCTACTCGCTCGCATCTAGGCCTGATGACGATGAGGTGTTGCAGAACGTTTGCGAAGAGATGCCGCCATTCCCTCCTCGCGTCAGCGCTCTGATTGGTAGACTCAACCGTAAACTCGGAGACACAGAGGACAAGCGGACCTGGATACACGGAGGAAAGGAAATGAACCTCGAGCGACACGTAAATTCACGGAAAGCGACACTAGGACCGGGATCATCTGCCACTGGGACAGCTACTGTCACCGATACTGCAGATGCACAAGACGTCATGGGCTCTTTGGCAGGATTGAATTTATCTAGCTCAGGTGATCAGTCAGACTTGTCCCGTGTGGACGGTTCCGTAGTCGCCCCTCGAGTCGCCGTCGGACCCAACGTTGAAAAGTGGTTTAACAAGCTCACCTACAGCGCGGATGGCCTCCTCTACGAGGACGTACAGATCCAAATTGGTATCAAATCAAGGTACCAGGGGCATCTCGGCCAGCTAGCCATCTACTTGGGAAATAAAATATCAGTACCGTTGACGTCGTTCACTTCCACCATCCATGTCAATGACTCGGAGGCTTTATCGGCTACGTTTGCTAAAATCCCACCAAATACTCTCGTTCCTCGCACACAAAGCCAACAACTTCTGCATGTTGAATGTAAAAAGGCATTTAGCTCTTTCCCCATCCTCACGGTGTCATTTTTAGCTGGCGCACATCAGTCTATATCAGTTCGACTACCAATCAGCGTTACGAAGTTCATCGAGGGTGTCAAATTGGGACAAGGTGACTTCTTCGAGCGCTGGAAGGTCATCGGTGGTCCTCCACGCGAGGCACAGGCAGTTTTTCCTATTCCACTTGATGGTACTGGTCAGCTTGATCTTGTACGATACCGTCAAGTGGTCTCAGGAAACCATCTGGAGATATTGGAAGATGTTGATCCCAACCCAAGCAACCTAGTGGCAGCTGGAGTTTTGCATACGTCGGTAGATGGCAAGGTCGGTTGCCTGCTTCGCTTAGAACCAAATCGTGAGGCAAAGGTGAGTCTCTCCATGTCCTCATGATATCATAGATTGACGTGAACTAGTTGTGCCGACTAACAGTCCGCAGCACCTCTGAGGATGTGGCCATGGAAGTGCTTAGGCTGATTGAAAAACTGCTCAGATCGGACTCTTCTTGATAATACATGCATTGGTGGACATTCGTGTGGCTCGATTTCATGTTTTGTTCTTCGAGGATTCCAGGATTGTATATCTGATTCTTCATACAGTACGCAAAACGTAATATAATAGGAGGAAAGAAACAAGACCATAAATATGATGGGTAGTTCATCGTTTCGTAAGTATACCCTGCAGCACATTCTTCCTCTTCCTGTTAGCTTCAAGATCTTGAAACTCAGGTGGACTACGTAGAGATTGTGCACCTGTAGGGGATGCGAGTGACGAGATCGAGTCGGCCGATATTGATTTAGGTCGCAGAAAGCGCGGACGATTCATTGCCCGTACAGGTCGCTCTTCAGGGACCTGTGGGCTTGTAGGAATATCGGAAACAGAACCTCTACGTAGATTGGACAGGTCATGGGGGGCGGGACTTAAAGGTATCTTGTTGTCGGATGATGCTTTTTGGTGATCCGCTGCAGACAAATCAGACAGCGATGGTGCGGTATATGGCCTTGACACCTTCCGCGACTCAACGAATTTCGAGGGCGAGGCTGGGGATGGAGGAACAGCGGAGGATGTCATTCGAGGTGCGTCCCATTGAAGGGCAATAGGGTATGATTCCACACTGGCTAGCTGGCTGACACGAGCCAAACTCTGGTCCTCCAGGTCGAAGCATTGAGCACAAAGACCCGACAGATACTGATTGTTTCCTTCGGAGGATTTGCCCTTCGTGTCAGCGGACCGTGCATTTCGGAGAACCGAGGAAGTGATACGAGCTAGATGCCTTGGAATATCAAGCACATGAGGTAGCAATGGAATCGACTCTCTTTCTAGGACGGGCATCGTAGTACTTCTCTCGTGCAATGAACTGACCACATTAAGCCGTTGGTGGCTGTGAGCTGGATGACCAGAGTGTGGACTATATGGATCTAGTGGGACAGGAGTTGAGACAACCAGGATGTAATCTACCATTGAAGGTAGATTTTGTTTGAGGAAGTCCTTAATCCCACGCATAAACTCCTCCTTCTGTACATTCTGCTCGAGAGGTGATGAGCGACAGTACAAACGAGAAAGCGATGTGTCTCACAGGATTAAGATTCGCAAGGCTTTGTATGACCTTTGCGATGAGTGTGAGACTTCGTTGAATGCGAGCACTGGGAAGACCTGGGGTGGATCAGATTTAAGAAAGGCATCATGGGAATATTCAATACCTGGGTGCAATCCAAATAGGTGAGGGTGCAAGATGCCTGGGACGATAAATCTCAGGAAGCAGAAGGCGGAAACGCTTTGGCAGGGGAGTTCCCGGTTATGGGGGTCTTGAGAATCCTTCGTGTGATAATGTTTCTCAACGAGTTTTCTCACGTGTTCGAACAGACGTCGCAACTCGCTACATTCGACTCAGTCTGAGTCAAATCTGAATAACGTAGTACTCACTGCGGACACTGGTTCCTTACAGCATATATCTGGTTCCACACTTCTTGGCTCCAATATATTAGTTGGTCCACACCACGTTCAACCTCTTTTGCACCTTTGCCGCTCCTCACAGGATCAACCTCGATAGCAATTTTTTCGGAGCAAATGCGCCGGATGGTGCTTCCGATGCTGGACTCAAGAAACGCTTTCCCATAAAATGCCATTGCGAGCTCCATCGTCTTTGTAAAAGTGGTATTCCCGCGGAAAATGGTATTGTGAGCTGCAGAGCGGTCAGTAAGGTAATTTATGGCACAAGATAATGGTTCACTGACAGCTAGGTGTGCCGTCAACTTCACGGTCGGCATATTCCATGATATGCTCAACAAGAATGTTCTTGGCAATCGCAATGCACATCAACTGATAGGAAGTAGTCCGCAAGTGGGGCCTGCGCTCGAAGTCACTCATCCACTCTAGGACATTCCTGTCGCGGAGTACCTGACAATCAAATACGATTACATATCAGTAGGAGCGGTGTTTGAGACGACTTACGGTCAGAAGACCCAAGTAACTGGCATGAGGCAATATTATCTCCCTTGAACAAATTTCAGTCAGTCAGTTTGTGCTAGTCTATGGATGTACTGAACACTCACTCGTCAACTGTAAGTTTCATTTGTATTTCCCCGACTTGAATACTGCTGCTCACTCCGCCAGCTTGTATGATCGGAAACCATCCTTCTACCGCTTCACTTCGGCGAAAGTTCGTCAGTGCAATGCGGACCGAGCCAAGTAACATGGGTTTCAGAAGTCTCTTCTCTCTCCAGACTGTGACCTCGAGGGTCTCAAAAGGGGGCAAGTCAGAAAATGAGAAATTTTCAAACCAGTCAGGAGAGCCGATCCCCTTCTTGACCGTTGTGCGAGCACATATATTGTCGTTGAGATGAATTTCGCAAAAGGCATCCAAATCGACGGGGTCTGCCTCTCGCGGGTCGCCTTCGCTGAGCGTAGCAGAGCTAGCATTCGTGTCTAATTGGGGTTTGAAGTGATTCCCTAGGTTGCGTCCTTGCAAAATTGACAGCTCTACCTGCCGCCACATGCGGTAAAGCCCACCATCTCGTGAGACGAAGGTTTGGCCATATATCTCCGGTTTAGAATATGATCGTAACAGGACCAGCCAAGTATTGCACGTATCGGCGTCTTCAAATTGGAAATAGATGGGCTCTGTGTTAGCTGAAGAGCCCCACCGCTGCCCTCTTTAATACCAGTCTCATTAGCAGTGCCGTAAACAGGATAAGAAATAACTTACCCAGCAGATGTAAGCGCCATACAATTCTTGCGAAGGAATAAGGAGGAGTCAGCATGTCGAATGTCGAAGTGGTTGAGCATATGGATGTAGATGGTCTGGTACAGAATAGTCTCCTGTGGAGGCATTCAGAAGATTGTAAGACATCTGTCTTCCTGAGACCCACGTCGACATAGATGTTAAGCGAACAGCTCTCGTCCTCGTCCGTCAGCTTACATGTTGCAGGTCGCCACTGTCCAGCGCCTGCGGGAGTCCGAGATACCGATATCCAGCTAGACTTCTCTGGAGACACATAAATAGTCATGTGGCAGAATAGAAGCATTCTCACCTTTGAGTGACCTAGGGGTTTCCTCCGTCTTGCTAGTGTCAGCTTTACGGCGAGGGACCACCGGCTACGAGCGGTTAGATGTATCAAATAAGACATGTACGTGAGACTCACCTTCCGAAGCCCAAAACTTGCCACAGTGGGGACATACAATTCTACGGACACCAAGAACTCTCGAGGGCAACCGGAGGTCCCGGTGGACTGAGTTGAGTCTGATATTTCAGACATTGGACAGGCTTCTAAGCCGCACAGCACGATTGGCTGAGTTTCGTTGGTAAGGCAGTCTCTGTCGTCGGCCTTGAATCATTCAAGGTAGCCGTTGCAAATTGATTCCCTGCGCTCTACAGTGTGAATGTCTCCCTGCACTGCGATGTGTGTACACTCCTCGATCGTGGTGTATAAGTTAATGCAGAGATAGTGATGATGATGGGAAGAAACAAAGATATTCGTGTGTATCAGAGCTGGTGGACGGGTGATAGTCACAGTTCTCAGGAATTCGGCTTCGAGTACTGGTGGCAGATTTTTCGGAGCTGCAAAATGCAAGTTAACCTAGTTAGCTGATTGTAGTCTTTAGTACAAGCTTGGAGCCAAAGAAAAGCCAATCAGTGATATATGTAGTGACACAGTGACACTGAGCCTTGGATGATACATCGATGATGATGGAATTGCCGCAGCCGAGCCTTACGGCACAGCAAGATGATTATGCAGCAGATAGCAAATTGGGGACGTAGCTAGATTCCATAGGCAAGACAGACAAGTGACTCTAAGATTGCATCATGGAGAAGTAGTGGCATTTCGTTTGGGTATTAGTACTACGGTATCTCTTGTTCGTGAAATGTCCTTCGCGTTTCAACACAGCTCCAAGCACACCCGTATACTAACATGCATGCCCGCAACCAAAGCAAGGCCCGAAAGGAAACAAATATGCAAAAGAAATACTACTTGACCATGAAAAAATAAGGTGATGGGGAATATCTAAATAGACACAAGAACGACAGGTTGTATGAAAAGATTGGGCAGGTGATCTGGAGGTGAACTCGTTGATGCATTCTGTATATTAGTGTTCCGCGTGGTGCTAGATAAGTATACGTAATCGCTTGGCCATAGGCACATCGTCATGAAGCCGTGAATTGCGCGCTCAGTCCTTTTTGTAGCTATCAGGAATTTGAACATCAACGTGCAATATGGTAAGAGGGAGGGGTTTGCGCACCTGTTTCCACTGTGCGCATGACCATTGGCAATACCGTTGGCTGTAGGCCGCTTGCCCTTGGCAGATTTCTTGTACGTTTGGATGTAAAAGTTGATGAACAAGCCAAGGTAGGTGGTGAGAAGGCCACATCCGAAAAGAGCAGCAGTTTCAGTGCCAGCACAATTCGACCAATGAGGGAGGTGATGGTAGTGAGTAGCTGCGTAATGTTGATAGGCTTGCGCCGGATTTAGCATTAATATCGGGCTATAGATTGATAAACTTACTGCCGAAGTAAACGATGACAATGTCGATGATGAACTGGATAATCTGCATGGACGTGAGGTATTTCTTCCACTGATTGCGGGAACGTCTCAGTGAAACATGGGTAGATATTGTAGAGCGCGTACATACCCATATTTTGGCGCCACCAGCAGTCGCAAAGTAGTAATAATCTTCATGGTTCAATAAGCGCATGCACATTGTAGGAAATAGGGACCTTACACATGATGACGTGGACTGCCAGGTTCAGAGAGATCACAACCCATGACTAAAGTTGGAGATCAAGCAACCGCTAGCAAAGATGACAATGTGGACATACCACACTCGTTTTGCCATTAAGTTGCACAAAGCATAACAGAGCAGTGGCGGAATGATGGAATACATGAAGGAAAGCTAAATATGACCGGTCAGCGCGTGAATGCCACGAAAGACATGACAACACATACCAAGGGGTTTCTTTTTGAGAGCGAGGAACACAGTGTCAAAAAGTTCGATATACTTGAAGTAATAGTTGATCATGTAGTAAAATTCCAGCCTCTGGGATGATGGATGAGTCTCAAAAAGATAAAGATTCGATAAACGTATCCGAACGTACCTCCGTCCAAGAGGTCTCGTCACACATTGTTCCATAGGTCGTATTTGTGAGCCGTATCGAGCCAACTTCTTCCATCATAAGGACAAGAAGGATGAGACTTCCAACACTGAGGAAAATGTTGTGTATGCGAAAGACGGTGTTGAGCTGTTGTGGAGATCTATCCTTCATGATCTCACGAATACCAAATATTATAGCGAGGTACGACACAAGGGCTGTGGTGACGACGGGCAATGTCGACAAGGGCGTCTCGCCTGGGATGTAGGTTTTAAGATAAATAGGTATGGAGTCCGTTGGGACGACGGTGAGGAGGAAGTCGGCGAGAAAAGTCATAGCAGACGTGGAAACAAAGTCAAAGACTAAAGTTGAAAAATTCGAGCGCGAAAGGTAAGTTACCAAGTAAAAGCTTTACGGCAAGTGACATCTGTCACGTTTCTTCTCAGTACTGTAATCACATTCACTAGATTGGGTACGAGCCTGGAAGAGCTAGGAGACGGACCAGGAACGTTGCAACGATGAACGTTCACTAGGCTAGACTTGGGTTTTCCATCTCGGAATGTAGAGCCCAACCATGCAAAATATGATATTGCTTTATTTATTTAATGGTACAGATAGCAATGCAAAGGTGTAAATGTATATTATACGATGCATAGAAGTTTAGAAGTTAGGAAATGATCAATGCGGGGCCGCATTCCAGGTCAGCCAATAAAACTTTCTCCCTGCATTGCGGTGAGATACAGCTTGAGATATTCAAATTTGCCACACCTTGCATGTATGTTCGCATTCTGCAGAATTTCGACTGCAGCTGACCTCACCTTTGGAGCACTGAGCTCAGTCGGTAATGCACAGATGAAACAGAGCGAGGAGTTTGAGGGAGCAAGTCGGTAGGATGCGGGAATCTGGTACATCTATCAGAGAGGTGATACAGGTCAAACGTGTTGACTAACCCCGGCTGAACGCAACAACTCTAAGAGATCATGAACGAAGAGAAGAATTCGTGAGCGTAAGTCGTGAAGGTCGTGTAAATCAAGGCCTGTTTTTCGAGTTGGTTAAACAACTTTGAATTCATACATAAGAACAACATACATGTATCAGAAGGAGATGACCACATGGGGACAGAGCAATGCAGCCTCACGGAACGACCAGTTTGGCTCAGGAGCCTGAGCAAGATCGCATTGATTATTTGAATGAGCGGCCAAAATAAGATATGTCAATGAATAATACCTTGCGAATGGCTCCACAGCATCGGTAAGGCTGCCCAGCTTAACACAAAGGACGCCGAATAAGTACCGCGGAAGCACCTTGGATCCGAAGACGACTGACCTCGTTCAGCTGCAGCTCCTGCTTGGCACTCGGAGAAGGCATAGAGAAGGATCTGGGAACGACAGACACCATGATATACTCTTATATGCTTGCAGAGAGAGGGCTGAATGTTGAAAGGAAAACGAGCATCAAGTGCTCACACGACACTCAAATACTAAGTATCCAGAAGTCACGCGGATAGACCCGGACTAGTAGCGGAATTGAACGGGACCAACGGCATAAATGCACTATCAGAAATGAGAGAAAATAGCTGGAATAATTCGAAAAGTTAACTGCAAAAGGAACAATCTCATGCCTCGAGGTGCCTCGAGGTGCACTACCACATGTATTTCAGGAGGTATATACATATGTAGAAGTACCATATCCTATGACCGGCCGACCAGCTTTAACACCGATATTTGCTTCCGCTCTCCGGCCGCGATTAACGGGTGATGTAATATTTCCCCGATTTAGTAAGTTCGCCCCCTACCCTCTCCTTCCGAGCTGTGGTGAAGTCACAAACAACCTCCATCACTCACTACTTACCTCAGGTCCAACTTACAACAACCTTCCAATTTCTCTTTCTTCAGTTGTACTTTAAAAGGATAAGTCGATACCATCAACCATCCCCACAATGTGGTGGTTGGACCCCGGAAAAGAAGTCCTGAATGTGGTGCGTCATCAAGAAATTTCAGCCCCACATATCCCTGAATATGGTTGCGTCTCGTCTAGTTGTTCAATAGGATACTCGCCCCGTATGTTGAGAACCTTGATATGAACCAAGTAAACTATGGCATTGGGCAAGGTAGTGTTGACTTGTCGCTCATCCATGTGGTGATTTTGACCCTCAACTCCAGGTCAATTAACCCTACGCAACTTGCGCCTCAAGAAGGGCGCATTGGATAAATTCAGACTCCCAGTTGATGTTCTCGAAGGTACTATTACACGTCAGTGGCGTCGCGTGAGCTCACCCGAGCCTCTCTTCAGGCCACCTCGGGACATTCACGCTGTCTCTCCATTGGATGAACCTCGGCAACCTGCCTGTCGAGATATTGATTGAAGATGTGTATCTACTTGTAGTACCATCTCCACAAGCAAACGTCGATCCGGAGGAGGAAAGACAGCGAGCACAGGCCGCCAAACTTGAGCGGTTGGAAAATGCAGAACTTTTGCATATGCGTGGTGTGGGAGTCTCCTTAGGTTTGCTATCATGCTATTGGTATAGCGTGAGCGTCAGATGACCATCCATGTTTCAGAGGAATCTCCGCAGTCGCAGGGTCTTTGGGCTTCATTAACAGCTAAAATAATCAACAACCTGCAGGTGACCGTGAAGAACATTCACGTACGGTACGAAGACAATCTGAGCGTTCCTGGCGTACGTAGGACACTCATACATCAAAATTCATTATATGACGTACAATATTAGCATCCTTTTGCCACGGGCATCACGTTGGCGGGTTTCACAGCGGTGTCGGTCGACGAAGAATGGCAACCGGCTTTCATAGAAAGCACCGCCGGTGCAATACACAAGGTGAGCAGCTAGATAAAGTGAAGGGGAGCACCAACGAGCTTGGATTCTTTAGTTGGCCAGGTTGGAATCACTGGCAGTGTATTTTGATACAGACTCGCAAAGTATGGCAGGGCTGCCCCTGTCTGCGGCCAAAGAGAAGTTTATTGCCATGGTCAGTTTGATTCTATCGCACACCATCAGGTTTAACCTCCTGGTCAGATATCACAAAAGGATCACCAGTCATCCCATCAATTCATTCTCAGCCCGGTATCGGGTGAGGGAAGAGTGAGTTGCTAATAGCTACTGGGCGCGTTTGATATATAACCATCCATCAGATTGTTATGAATCACAAACTGGATAAGAACACACCACACTTCGACGTACAACTGCTGTTTGATGAAATCGGTGTCGCCTTAGATGACAACCAATATCGAGATGCCATATCTTTGGCTGATATGTATCACGTCTATATCCGTCAGCATCAGGTAAAAACTTTTTGAACTAGGCGATGTTGATCTTAAATTTATGTTCTCCGCCCAGTACAGAAAACTTCGTCCAAGCGACGAGGAGTTCAAAGCGAACCGAGCAAGGGCATTGCTACGCTTTGCTGCCCGAGCGATTTTGGATGGTGTGCACGACCGACGTCGTAAATGGACTTGGGCATACTTTGCGGAACGTCGAGACGACCGTAACAAATATGTCGAGTTATTCGAGAAAAAGACAGTGAATTCATTGCGCGAATCTGTACGTTTTGTTTTGTTCCACGCTATGAGACGTACAATCATGCTTTTCAGGATACTGTGTTGCTCAATGCGTTGGAATGTAAGTTGTCATACGAGGACATCCGCTTCTACAGGTCGATTGCACGTTCCCGTCTGCGAAAAGACATGGAGCTAAGGAAAAGGCTTGAGGAAGACCGCGCTACGCAACAGCAACAACATTCTAGTGGTTGGATGTCCTGGCTCTGGGGGTCCCAGGCAGATCAGCCGAAAGACGACCCTGCTTTTGGGGGTGAAATGACAGAGGAGCAACGAAGGCAGCTCTATGATGTGCTTGATTACGACGAGAAATCCGCCATTGTCGATTCGTTCGAGGCGCCCCGGGATGCCCTCAAAGCTCGCGTGGTTGCGGAACTCAAAAGGGGGTCATTTGCACTGAAGGTTGATCCGAGCGGGAAAGCTACCGAGGTTATCTCCACGGTTTTCGACTCGTTTCGTGCCGAAGTCATCCAAAGACCGGATAATTTTGAGGCATCTGTATCTTTGAGAGGATTTAGTGTTTTTGATGGGACGACCAAGAACACGCTGTATCGACAGATAGTTCGAGTCAAGACCCCGGTAGCAGAAGGTGCCGAGGCTATTGAGCACGGGGAAACTGAAGACCCGTTCTTCTTCGTGAAGTTTGAGAGCAATCCTCTCGACGAGCGCGCCGATACTGCGCTCACAGCCCGCATGCGTCACATGGAAATAATTTACCACAGGGGGTATGTCGAAGCCATTTTCAAGTTCTTTCGCCCACCCGAGAGCCAGTTGGAATCAGTCGAAGCCTTATTAGTAGGTGCTCTCCCGGATCACTCAAACAAAAGATCTTACGCTTTCACTTTAAGAATGTAGCAAGCCAGACACTGGAGGGCTTACGAAAGGAAACTCGGGCTGGTTTAGAGTATGCTTTGCAAACTCATAAACCATTGATCTTCAACTGGATATGAACGCACCCATCATCATCATTCCAGAAGAGTGCGTTCCCCAAATCCGTAATTGTCGAAGTTACCAGACTGACTATTTAATTTAGCGTTACCACACACCAATGCAGTCATCTCGTTATCGATGCTGGTCACATAGCTGTCGAGAGCGACTTGGCCGATAAAGGTGCTCTGCGAGAGATAAATGCAAAGCGAAACAAGCAGTACAACGAGGATGACTACAAGAGATTAGAGTCCCTAATGTATGATAAGATGTTGCTCAAGCTCCAGGCAGCTCAGGTTAGTCCACTCCCGGACAGCATAGACAAGTCTAATGCTATCGTTCAGTTTGTCTTAGGCAACGACCTGCAAGCTTGTCGTGATGCTCTCACTTCTGAGAAGAGCGACACTCTCCATCTACTGGAACGCATAAACATCAATTTACTGGTGCAGAACTCCATTGTACCATCTGCTGTCAATCTCGCTCGATTCAAAATTTCCGGAAAATTGCCAAGTCTTCAAGTGAACATCTCCGACGCCAAGTACAAGTCTTTAATGCGCATTATAGATGTTGCGATCCCAAACTTCGATGAGGGTGGCGACCAGAAGCCCCAGATGCACATCGACACTCCACCGCTCGTGTTGCCTTTGTCAACTGGTCTGTTTGGACCTGTTGGCACAGAATACAATGTAGATGATCATGATGGGGTCGACAGCGAAGCTGCATCGTCACACAGAGATGATCTGTTCTTTGAAGCAAGCGATGGTTCGCTCGAGGTAGATCATATTCATGCTCCACCTCCCGTATTTTTACCTATTTTACAGCATCCTGAAATCCGACAACATATCTTTGAGCTTGATTTTGAGGTTGACACCCTTCGTGGGGCTATCTCGAAGTCTAGTAGTAACGGCAGTGAGAAACCACTTGGGGAAGTCATCTTCCAGCAGTTCCGACTCACGTTCTCGCTTCTCAAATTCAATATGAATGTGGACATTAATTTGAGGTACGCCGTACAACCTTTCTGAGCTCGGGTCAATAACACGTATTCAGATCACTGGCAATGAACGTCGTGCAAGCTGCTGGAGATCCCATTCAGCTGATGTCTTCAGAAAGCACGGGTTCGGTCATTAAAGATCTCATGAAGATATCGTACAAACGGGTCCAGAAGAATTCACCCGAATTTGCAACCGTCTACGAAAGCATCGACCAAAGTGTTGATGTCCAACTATCTACGTTCATATTCCACGCTGCACCAGAACCGGTCGTGTCACTTTACGATTTTATCATGACAACGTTTGTTCCTCAAAGCCCAGAGCAACCCGCGAGCACAACTCCAAGTGCAATCGTTATCTCAGACGGAGAGTTAGCTCCGCCTGCTGGCGACACGGGAACCATCAGAGTATCTGTCAGACTTGATAGTGTACAAGGTCTGTCTTTTATTCAGATCTACCAACAGCGCCCTCACAGCCACGTGTAGTCATGCTTCTCAACGACGTCAATAGCTTGGCTACTCTCTCTTTATCTACAGCAGACGTTCAGTTACTCCTCCGGGCGAACACCATGGGAATTACCGGCCGCTTAGGAAGCCTTGCGTTAAGTGACGATCGCTCAAAGGAACTTGCCAGGCCGCAATTTAAACAAATCTTGTCGATCGAAGGCAAAAACTTTGCGGAATTCCGTTATCAAACTCTTGATCCCGCAGAAACCTCGACCTTGGGCTTTAACTCGACTTTTTCTCTGAATGTCGGCTCTCTGAAGGTCCACTTTTTGGAGCAGCCTCTGCACGACATTTATCTCTTCGTCACCAAGCTAGCAAAACTCAAGGTTCTTTATGATGCTGCCCGTGACGCTGCAGTCCAGAGAGCTTCAGAGATTGAGAGAATGCAATTTGACGTCTCCGTCAAGACACCAATCATCGTTTTCCCTTCGGATCCTAGCCGTTTGCAAGATGTCTTGGTCATGCGACTGGGAGAGATTAGCGCTCGTAATTCACACGAGGCTGATGCTAGTAAAATCACCGCCAGTTTATGTGGTATCCAGCTGGTGTCCGACATCTCTTATGATGGAACATCATCTACGCTCAAAATGGTTGATGACATTGATATCATTGCGGATGTGATTCAAACTAGCGGAATCGATCGATCGCAGGAGAGTGAACTTCCAGACACCCAGGTAACGCATCATTATCGCCGTGATAGCATTTCTAACAACGAGAAAACATCAGATTGCAGTGAAGATATCTGATGTCAAGCTGTACTTGACACAGACTCAATACATTCTTCTCATGAAGCTCGTGCAGTCCATACCCAAGGTTTTGGTCGCTTCACCGGAAGGAAATGCCCAGGCACTGGAGTTAGCATCGCCCGTGAGTAGCAGCGACAGCAGCGGTGCTACCAGCCATCATGTAGTGGACCTCGAGCCCGAACTCCACGTAGCTGACGGAATCCGCGCGTGGACGACCGTAGATCTGGTCGCTTCTGTCAAGACGGTGAAGTTACATTTATACGATAGTTTGGCGACCCGTGAAGAAAATCTCGAAGATCATGGCATAGCGCGCTTTGCCCTCAACGATAGCAGCTTGCGTTACAAATCAATATCTGATGGTGCTGCGGAGGCTCAAGTTGTGCTGAAGTCATTCACAATGAGCAATACCCGCCCAGGAGGGTCCAAGTTCCGTGAAATTATACCTGCGGCGGATCATGACCGTAACCAATTCATGGTTCTCTACACGATGTCTGGCAGCTCTTCAGTGGCCATTCTGACTGTGGATTCACCGCACGTTATTCTGGCTATTGAGCCCGTCATTGCATTATTGGAGTTCTTCACGAGCGCGTTTCAGCAGGACGTCCCGGTCGACATTGACCACGCATCCGCGGCTGAGTCTCAGCGCGAGTCACCGCAGTCTCGACTTGATTTCCGACTTGATCTGCACGATGTTTCGATCAGTGTACTCGAGAATGATGAAGACGCGAACTCCCAGGCTCTCAGGTTGTACATTGACCAAATTCTGCTGTCGCAACAAGTGCGTCCTTTTTCTCTTTGTCTCACCACAGTGCTAAGAATGGCGGTACAGGGGATTATTGCGTTGACTATCAATCGACTCGGAATGTCGCTTATCCGCATGGGCGCGGATGCCGACACTGTACGCTTCTTGGATGATGTTGATCTGACCTTTTCAATAGATAGTCGATCATCAACACGAGAACAGATGTCGAGCATGGAACTTGCTGCCAAACCCATTGTGTTCCGAGCCTCCTACCGAGATATCATGCTGATCACCACCATCGCTAGCAAAGCAGTGGACCTTTATGGCAAATCTGAAAACAACTCTTCCATGACCAACACCGCTAGCATGAAGGCCGCACAACCATACGAGGGGCCTAGCCAAGCATCACAGTCTAATGCCACAAGAAGCCATAGACATACTATCGGGGAAGCCCGTGTTTTGGTATCGAAAGAACAGGTACGTCAAGATAAGATTCACTGGCTTCGTTATTCACATATTTTCTCAGCTAAAAGCATCGTTTGATGGATTCCGTCTGATTCTCATAGGCGACATGCATGAGCAGCCCATGCTTCACCTGAAGGTCAAACCATTTATCGTTGGTGCTCGGGATTGGTCTGCAGATGTGCGTAAAACAACAGCCCTCGTGCTGGTCTCATAATTTAATTATCCACTACTAGCTTCGCGCCACTGCTACCCTTGCGACCCAAATCAGCTACTGGAATTTATCAAATTCACATTGGGAACCTTGTAAGTGGCATCATTTCATATGTCTTTCTGTGCTGAGTAAAACATGCAGTAATCGACCCATGGACCTTCACTCTCGCGGTGAGTCTATTAAAATCAGGAATTAGGATAATATTTATTTATTCTAGGTTGGCCGAGATCAACGCTCGAGTGAATTCAAGGTGTCGGTGTCAGCGCAAGAACGTTTAGACCTCAACGTCAGTACTACTTTTGTGGAGCTTGCTGTCACTTCTGCCAATATGTGGGGTAAGGAAGGACAAGTCTTGCTACAGAAGGCCCGTGGGAGCTTTGCACCATACCGTATCAGGAACCGCACTGGATCCCCTCTCTTTGTGTGGTCTGACGACGATGCCAGTCGCGACTCAAAGGATGCCAGTGCAATCAAAATTGCAAATGATCAAACTGTAGACTGGAGGTTTGATGACTGGAAGACAATGCGCGAGGCAAGTAAAATTGTGCGTTCCAGTGGTACTATTTTCACTTTGCCCTTGCAGCATGTTTCAATCTCCGAACAACACAACATTGGCATACAGATTGTTGGCAAGCCATGGGAAGCGCTGAGAGGTATACCAGTGGACAGAGAAGGAGAATTTACGTTCTCCCTACGCCCTCGAATGGAGAAATACGCTGATCGCCTGTTGTGCGCTGTATCGGTTGAAGACAACGTAAAAATCGTGACGCTCCGTTCCACGTATCTGGTTGAGAATCAGACCTTCTATCCACTAGAACTTATGCTGGTAGATCACACGGGACATCCAGTTTACTCGTTAGAAAAGATAGGTCGGTACTGAAAAGCTCTTGTGATTCGGTGGTTAATACGTCCTCAGCCCCTGGCCAGGATTACGCTCTGCCCATAGAAGCAGTAACCCAGAACAGGATCCGGCTGCAGCCAGATCGTGCGTATCCATTCACTCGAAACTTACGCAGCATAATCATTTAATCCTTCAAAGAAGGGTTTGGGTATAGATGGTGCTCCTCCATACGCTTTGAGGACCTTATTGCCAAGAAGAGTCTCACAATAAGTTGCCTTCACAATGACCAGCGAGAAGCTCCCTTCCGATTTCAAGCGTGGGCACAAAGTGACTCGAACGAGCCTGGAACACGGTAAAACTACCTTCACATTTCTGTGCATCCCTACCACTAACTATGTTCCTTTTTCCGGTTCAGGAAACCACCAAAAATTAAACTCAAACTCCGCGCGCCAATCGAGCTTGAGAACCTACTGCCTTACAATATCCAGTATCGAATATATGACAAGGACGCTGATCAAAACTGGAAGAGCTACCTCAGAAAGGGTGGCGTCATGCCTGTGCATTCTGTGGAACTAGGTCATTTGATCCTATTGAATGCTGAAGTCCAGGATACGAGTAAGTCCAATGGCTCATCCGAGTACGCTCCCTCACGCAGAAACTAGTTTTCAAGCCCAGCGACTTCGCCATCATCAACACTGACCGGAATTCGGACTTTGAAGTAGAGTCTCGTTTAAGTCTGCGGGACCAGAGTAATCGCAAACTTGATCTACGCTTAAACTACGTGTTCGTCCTACCCTCCTACCATTTCGCTTTTGCAACTCACATATTCCTAGACGCTATCCTGAGTCCGGTGGTGCCTTCAAAGTGCAGATATATTGCCCGTATCTCGTCGTTAACAAGACCGGGTTACCTTTGAGTGTGAAGGCTGCACGCTCTCATCGAGCGACATCCCCTGTTGAGATTGCCGCTGATAGTAGACTCGGTAAATCCCGTCGACGATTTACCATGGCTTACTAACTGTGTTTGCTAGATGTCATTTCCAAGCCAGTTCCATTCTGTGGGTTTTTACATACCTTTCTTCTTACGATGGACTTATCATTTCACTAGTGTTATCACACCCCAATGACAACGGTCAAGCATTTGTGTTCAAAGTCGGTGAATCTGGCTGGTCTAAGGTACAGTCAAACGACGGGAAGTTGTGTTTATTAGATTCAAATGTTGCCCTTTAGGTCTTCAGTCTGGAGGCCCCTTCTGCGGAAACTGAGATGGTTATGCCGTCCTCAAGGCAAAAATCGGAGGAGTTTCACATTGGATTGTCATGGACTGAGGGGTTGGGGAAATATAAACTTACCAAGGTTATAACCCTCGCCCCAAGGTTCCTCATCAAGAACAACCTGCCTGATACCATATGCTTCCGCGAGCATGGCGCACCGCCCAGAGGACGCGCAATGCTTGACCCGGGTGAATGTTGTCCAATGCAGATCATGCGTGTCAGCCGCGAAAAAATGCTCACCATTGCGTACCCTGGACTCAATTCTCAGTGGTAATATCCCAGTCATGTTGTCTCTGGTATCTTCCTGATAATACTTCAGGTCTGCACCCATAAACATTGAAGACATAGGTTCTGTTCACCTTCGCGTTCGACTCTCAGACGGCGACATGCGTGTAGTGAAGGCTGACGCCATGATTGATGGATCCACGATATTCGTAATACTGTCTGCTATGGAAAAATGGCCCTTCGTTATAGAGAACGACAGCGATTTCTCTGTCTCCATGATACAATGGGTATGGGTTTCCCAACTCCCTTACACCTGAAAATATGCCCTGACTGTTGACTCCGTAGGATCCCAAACGTGGAGATGCTGACGCAGTGAAATCGTCGACCCCACGATACAAGTTAGCGCCTCGCTCAAGCATGCCATATGCCTGGGACCAGCCTGCTGCCAGGGAAAAGAAGATCGCGCTTACGATAAACGATGCTTCCCGCGTTGTGGACATCATGGAAATCGGTGTTCTCGTGCCATTCAAGTTCTATGTACCTTCATTTCTCCTCAAGTTCGATTAGTTACTGACATGCAACCTAGGATCGCAAAAGGACCCGTGCTGTTTCGTTGGATGTAAGAGCAGATGGACACCAACAGATATTACGCATCACACCATATGTTGCTGAGAATAGCCTCTACAAGCCAAAACTCCACAGTTCGGGCTCCCTGTCACGGTCTGACACCATGACCAGCAGCTCAGAAGGTTTTGAAGCGATCATGGAAGACGTCTCTCCGACATTGTCATTCAACGTGGAGTTTGCAGGAATAGCAATATCGTTGGTTAACCGCAAGATGGTCGAAGTTGTTTATACATCCATCGAGTCTTTGAAGTTCGAGTACAGCAACAGCCCTGTTGCACAGTCTTTGAACCTGTCCTGTGGCTCACTACAGATAGACAACCAGCTGCACGATGCGCTGTACCCAGTCATTCTCCAGCCTAGTCCAATATCCAAGGAGGCTAGTGGTGTTGCAGCTCTCCCGACAATACAGGGTTCAGTGATTTGGCTCAAAGACCAAGGTCAGACAACTTCTTTGTTTAGCTCCAAAACTGCACTCAGGCTGTAAATTCAGAACACGGCGTCTTATTCGTCAAGTATTGTTCTATCCTCCTCCAGGCGTTGACCATTGAAGCAGACGAAGATCTACTTTTCGCCCTATATGATCTTACACAAATCCAGGGCGTCTCATGGCAAGAGAACGCTGAGGAGTGAGTGTAGAATTTGATCCCATGACCTTTCTTCCGGCTTACATGTGGGATCAGTGTTTTGATACAGCATCCAGAAGAAATACCAGAACCTCATATTTGTGCCGCCGGACAAGTTGTCTACTTTGAAGTTTTGGAACTTCAACCAATACAACTGTCTCTCTCATTCATGCGCACAGAAAGAGTTAGCAGTGAGGAAAAGTACGAATTGCGCTTCGACTTTGCCTGTAAACTATGCATGCACTAATTGTTTCCCTTCAGGCTCAGCATTCGCAACCCTCTAGCTGTTGTCGTCAATGCATTGACAATGACCTTGGGTAACATTAATGACGCACCGTTGGAGCTGAACGCACTGGCCATCAAAGACATGCGACTGACGATACCTGAACTGCAAGCTAGAATCACTTACCATTACCGTCAGGATGTTCTTCGTCAGCTTTACCGCATTCTCGGATCAGCCGATTTTATTGGAAATCCTGTTGGGCTTTTCACGAACGTCAGCTCTGGCGTGTCAGATATTTTCTATGCCCCATACAACGGGGTTGTTATGCATGGTAACAGGGAGCTAGGGATTGGAATTGCCAAGGTACGAGACGAAGAATATTCTTAGAGCATTTCAATTAATCCTCTCCAGGGTGCCGCTAGCTTTGTGAAGAAAACAGTGTTTGGGTTATCAGATAGTATGACCAAGTTCACCAGCAGTGTTGGCAAAGGTCCACATTTGAATTAGGCCATATGATCGTCACTTATGATATCTTCTAGGGTTATCTGCAGCAACCTTTGATTCTGAGTATCAGGCTCAACGTAGAATGAGTCAGCGGCGCAATCGCCCACGCCATGCTATGTGAGAGTAGATTTTGTCGAGTAAACGTAACCGACTGACCCTGAATGGCCAGCTACGGAGTTGCGGCAGGGGGCGAAGCCTTTGCCAGTAGCGTTGTTAGCGCAATGGAAGGGATCGTTGTAGGCCTTTTCCACTCAATCTTTCTGTCGCTGTGCCTGATCGAGTCCTGCCAGACAAAACCTTTACAAGGCGCCGAAACAGAAGGTGCACTCGGCTTCTTTAAGGGCGTTGGAAAAGGCCTTGTGGGGTAAGTCAAGCAAACCACACAGCATGTTTTTTTAATCTTGTTCGTGTATAGCGTTGTTACCAAACCGGCCGTTGGGGTGTTTGACCTCGCATCCAACTTATCCGAAGGTCAGTCATGTCATATTTGCCACTCAAGGACAGCTTATCGTGCGTCTCTCAGGGATCCGAAATACAACAACTGTATTTGACAAACCAGAGCGAGATCGCGTTCGTCTGGTAAGTAATCGCATTTTCCACGCGATTTGCCCTTTATACCACCATGTTTACAGCCAAGACATGTCCCATCGGATGGCATTTTGGTGGCAAGTAACCTTCTTGAGCGTTGCGTCTCATACACTAAGCTCCGTTTACCAGCCGTTCTCTGCTCGTGAAGCCTTGGGTCAGTATTGGATGAATGATCTCGACAATGGCGCATATCGCAAAGAGGCCTACGTTGCACACATAGGTATGTTGGTATTTTGTTTATTGAGCATAGCTAATTGGGTGATAGATTCTCCCGGTAGTGACAACGTCATATTACTGACTTCGACACGAGTTCTTTCCTTTTGGTCGAAAAAGCTCCGCCTTGATTGGGATCTCCCCCTGGCCATGGTGCAGGGTATTGCAGTGGAAGACACTGGCATCCGCTTCACTCACAAATCTGGAAAAGACCATGACAAATTCGTATTCATACCGGATAAAACATCTCAAGCTTGGTTCTTTGGCCAAATCGCTTCTGTAGTCAAAGCCTTCAACAATCGTCGTAGAATGGACTCATGATTAGATCACAAAGATTTCTGGATTCAATGTAAGGACTGTATTCTTTAGCATCTGTACTATGCACAAGTAGATCTTTATATATGCAATGAAGTTGTAACGTATGGAATCCAATGGAACAAATACGACGGATGATCAGAAAGCAACGAGCGTGGTGGGAAGAACGGGCAACCCAAAATAACGATGATGGTAATGCAAAGGTGGGTATCGGCCATAGGTATAAAATTTGACTGCTGATTCAAGCGTGCTGTTTAGGGACCCGCCCTTTCGGCACGACTGTATCTTCGCTAAGAGACAGTTCGAGTTTGAAGAATTGCCGTCGCTGTACTAGAGACTCGCTCTCTAACAGGCACATTTATGAGCTGAGCAGTAACCTGTTTCCCGTAATGGCAGCTTTGATCGGTGAATTCAATGGAATCGTCAGAATCGTGATAGAGAGGAGTTTGGCGGCCATCAAAGCTGACGTAGCTATCCCGAGGACTTGTAGAATAAGCACTCTGGAAGTCAGTGTCCGAGTCATCTGTGATGGAGCTGATAGCAGGTGTAAGAGCAGGAGTGGAGGGTGTTGCTGTTTCGGAGGGAGAAAGCGCAGATAGAGATGCCCCAGAGGCAATCTTACGCAGTGGTTGATTGGAACCAGCAATAGTGCCCTCATCAGCACTACTCTCTACCTGGGATTCCACCTGCGGGATTCTCTGATCCGCCCGAGGAGAAGCTGCCCGGCGAGGGGTAGCCGAAGTAGATATGGTATCCATTGAGCGACGGGTGTTGGTACTGGTTTGCGTCGAGGATGCGGTGTTACTACGAGTTCTCTTTCTCGCTTTGCCAGGAGGGTTATTCACTAGCTTCGTTCCTTTGGCTAGACGTGCACGAACAGGGACGGCATCGGAGTCGTTGCTTCGTTCATCCTCTGTAGAACTATGGACCGCAGCAGACCTGTTCTTCCATTCTTGAACCCGTTCTGAGGCCAGTGCAGTCTCAAGCTGAAAACTCACTTAGCTCTAGCGTCGCAGAGATCAATTCGAGAGACTTCACCTTCTGCTGGATCTGTAATACTTTCTGTGCGATTCTATCGCTCCTTTCGCTGATACCCTCGTCCACAGCCATCATACCATCTTGCACTAACTCAGCCTGAGTTGCGGAGAAGCGTTTTGTCTTTGGTGACGCTGGTGTCTCGTCTTCTTCCGCAATCGTGTCAGTCTCACGATCACTTTTGCTGTGCACAAGAGTCTCATCACCGTTCTCGTATTGTTCCGCAAGAGTGGATTCTGTCCCGAAGCTGCGTAATCTGGATCCACTACTGACCGAACCGTCCTTGATTGGGTCACTGGCTCTCCGCGAGCGTGAGCCACTGGCGGTAGACCTCGCTGCTGACATACGTGACCCCGGACGGGATGCGAGGTCCCCTTCATATTCAGACTCGTCGACGTCGACAGCCATGGAAGCAAGTGCACGTTCGATCTGGGCCTCGACCTCAGCAACCATCTCCGCACGTTCTTCCTCCATCCTTTCCATGGTCTCGCGCATGCGTTCCAGCTCAACAAGAGCTTCCTTGTGTGCAACCTCCGTATCATACAGCTCTACAAAGCTTTGTTAGTATCGCTGTGTGCAGTTCTCAATTGATACTTACGTGTCTGCAATTTCGCCTTCTCGGCAGCTGTGAGGTGGACCAAACCACTTAGCCGCTTTGTCTCTCTTTGCTCCTTTCCAATCTTGCTACGCAGCTGGCCAGCCTCGGCACTCAAGCGCTCCGCGTATTGCTCGAACGTAACAAACTTATCCCGCCATAAATCTGCTTCCGTCATGAGGAAGTTGAGACGACGAGAAAGACGACCGATCTTTGTCTCAAGGTCATCACGAGCATCGACAAACGCAGTCGCACGTTTGCGAATGGATAGCTGAATGTGCTGCTCGGCAGGAGTGAGCTTGGGGATGCGCCGAGCTGCGCCGAAAGAGGAGAGGCGCTTGAGAAACGAAGGCTTCTTAAACTGGGCCAACGTTATTATTATATAAAGTCGGTCAGACGCAAGATAACCGACCTTATCCTGTAGCACACTATCAAATGCTTGGATAATCCGCGTGGAATGCCACCACTCAGGTGCCTTGATTGTGTCTGCGACAGCAGCAGTTTCACCACCGCGTTTCGCCTGAATCTTGCAGACAGGGCGGAATCGACCCGCAGGGAAAGCTTCTTTGAATTCGCTAAAAATAACGCGCATATACTCGGTCTTCGCATTCAGAACAAAAGAAGCAATAGAACTCACGAAGGCACACTATGATCGGGATGATAGTGCGGCTCGAATGCAATAAGAAGACGCTGCCTATATTTGTCCCGTTGCTGCTTAGTAGACACTACACCAGGAGGGGGAGATGGACAACTCAGGTAGTTGATGTCTCTGTTTATGGTGAGCTCCTCTGGTACTTGGCAGTCAATGAGATAACTTACAGATCAACTACGCAAACCTCGGGACCCGGACGTACGCTGTATCTCGTTTCAGTGGCAAGGCCGAGGATCCATGGTCCGGGGTCGTCGATATAGATCTTAGCGTCACGGGCGTGGACAGCAGGCAGGGCGATCCCCGACCAACCCCGCAACTCGACAAGGTACTTGATCGTGCATACTGCGATCTACATTAGAAATTCGTCAGTTTCACAATAGAGCGTTCTCCGATATCAAGAACGCACTCCGAGCATGGCGGGATGCCTAGAGTAAAATAGAATACGACCTGTCGGCGCCAGGGCAATCTGAAATAACGTCAGTACGGAACAGGTACGAGGTGCCCACAAACGTGACGGACTTCGCATATAGTAAGAATGTTATCGATGTTCAAGCACTTGAACAAGGGCCACATTGTAAAATTGATGTCCACGAGACCGCGGCCAAAGTCCAAGCCACCAGGGAAGCGGGCAATAACCTCGAGGTTTGTGTCATCGGTTTGTGGGGGAGTAGAGCTCGTCGAGGGGATGGGCGTGGAAGAAGCATCGAGCTTGATGAGATCACCGGCGCGTGGAGCAGGATGGGCCAGGATTTTGGAGATCTGCAAGGTGTGCGACTGCACATCTTTAGAGAAACGAGCCCAAGAAAGGGTTAGGTAGTCACGCATGAGATCGTAGATCGGGTGACGCGACACCAGCGCTAGATAAACTAATCAAAATCTTTCGCATGAAGCTCAAAAGATATACGTACTGAGTGCATAGGGGAGCCAAAATACGGTATCACCAGGCAAGAACAGGGTACTCTCACCAGGACCGTGGCCACCTACGGTACTTGCCACGTCATAATCACTCTCGCTGATAGCACCAGCGTCAGTTTCAGCACCCTCGCCGTCGGTCTCACCGTCGGTACCCGACCAAGGCCCCTTAAAACTCTTTTTATTCACTCTCCTAGCTGGATCTCCAGGGGACTGTGAAGACCCTGGAGGGTTTGAAGAACGCAGCGCTCTCAGCCGCGTAGCCACTAGTGATTGCGCACTCTCCTTGCGCGCACGACCTGCCTCGAGAGTGCGGCGAATTGCCGAACTTCTCTCAGCATCAGCGTGACTCCATACGGTCAGACAGACACCATGGTAGGTAACTGTTGCTCCATTTCCACCTGACGCTTGTTTTTCGAACATGGGAGATGTCGGGGATGCTGGAGGAAGTTGGAGGGCGCTCGGCGGACCAAGGTATGCTGATGAAGGACGGGCATTGAGGAATGGGTCATCAGTGTAAGGGAAGGAGAATGTGGGGGCTGCAGAAGAACGATCCGTTCCGGTGAGGACAGATGCGCGAAGTAAACCCACTTCAGAAGGTGCAGGCGCGAGGGGAGTGGAAGGCGCAGGAAGGGTAAACGTAAAAGTATGGATTGTGCTCGCCGGCTGAAGCGTTGACGCGATGATCTCAACTTCACGCGTGAACGAGAGCTATACGAGAAGGGAATTAGCAGCGATAGGACCACACGACAGGAACATACCTTGAGCGCTTTTGATAACATTTTTCCTACTTCAGCTTTCGACAGAGCACCTGCGCCCTTGAGGATCTCAGTACTCTCCCCCTTATTTGCTTTCTTCTTTTTCTTGCCCCCACCAGCACCAGGGCTCACGGTACTGCCGAGAACCTCGGGCCTCCACCAGCGGGCGACTGCACCCTCTGAGTGAGATAAACCGAGAACAGCATCGGGGTCGGCAAGAGTCCATGTATGAGGACTCTTTGGAAGCCCTGAGACGACGTAAAGAGAAGTGAGAGGAAGGGTTGGGGCATGTTGTGTTGGGGATGATGGTGCCGAACGAGTTGATACGACAGACGTGCGGGTAGAGGCTGGAATAGGCTCCATGGACTTGCGATGAGCAATTCCTAGTATACGAGAGGCCTTATCCACCGGACGGGGAGAACGAGGATGTTGGGAATGAGATTCTTGTGGAGCTGATACAGTAATATAGTCGAGCTCGTCGGCGAGAGCGGCGTCTGGGGAAGAGGAAGAAAAAGGAGATGAGGAAAGAATAATATTAGAAGATTTGATATTGGAATGGTTGTTACCGGAATGGTTCGTATTCGAAATGTTTACGATTGTGTTGTTTTGAGCCGCGTTAGTGCACGCGCTCGAACTAGACTTGATCGACGTTTTGTGGCACCGATTAAAAGAAATATCAGAGTAACGCGACTTGAGCACCTTTTCAGTGATACCAATTGGTAAAAAAGTAATAGGGCTCGCTGCTATAGCAGGCGCCTGGATGTTTGGCCGGCGAGCCGGAAGCAAAGACATTTTACAATATTAGACCGGTCACCACCGGATTGAAACGAATAGCGAAAGGAGCGACAAAAAAACGAATGAATGGGATGCACACCAAGTGCAAAATTTTAGATGGAAGTACAGGTTAAAAATGAAGCTGAAGCGGGGACTAGTTCAACCTTGCCTCGAGTAGACGTTACTTACGTCGGCGTGTGCCGTCCACTTTAGAGTTGCTGTTATAAACTGCGAGGCATCTTGTCTTTCGCCTCAACTCAACCTCATGTCACACGTCGACGTCGGTAAAGAGATCGTGCACTGGCAAGCAAGCTGCACCTGCTAGTATGTACACATTGTCAACCTGGAGTCAACTTCATAAACGGGAGCACAAACAGGATCGACATAGATCTAGATGCCATTCACACACTCATCTTCCCATTTTACGAAAGCTCCTGATGGAAATTCCTAAATTGCGTTGTCAAGGGACGCACAGGTCGTAAGTGACCTCAGTATTAGCCCCATCTCTTCAGAAGAACAAGGTACATTACCTGCCAAGACCCTCCAAGCCCGAAGGTTCACCCATGCACCGTAGTAATGTTTGAGCAGCCCTGAGTAGCCTCGCTTATTTCAGTCAAAAGTCAACAACGTTCGCTTGCAGAAAACTCAGATGTCTATTTTCAAACGTCATACAACATATGATCCACAGCACCAAACCACCTCAGTACGAAGTTTCCAAGTAATTTTCAAACGGACTGGTATGCGCCAGACTGGTTGGCAGGCTGGGGCGCTGGAACAGAGCTAACTTTTGAGGGAGCACGCGGGGTGTCGTCATCCACGGTCTGGTAGCCGTCGCGGCCGCCAGAGGTGAAACCCCCAGGCATGGACCAAACTATGACAGCATGAACTAACTAAGGGCGATTACTTTGTAAGGTTAACTTACCCGTAGGACCATTGATATCAGTTCCGAGGCCCGGGAACTGTCCCCCGCGTTGACGCATGGCGATCAAAAAGGCACCAGCGGTTGGTATCTTGATGGGAGTCAATTCAAACGGAAATGAGAGTATTTTAATTACTCACCTTCAAAAGTAAAAGGATAATAGTAAGGAACCTAAGGAAGCCACCTTGTTCATTCTTGATCATCCACAGTACGTCATAGAATATCGACAACGGTAACAAGCCCGCGAACTGGCTCTGTGTTGAGGTCATGAAGGAGGATAAGAGTCGCAATGCGTACCAAGGTCAGCGACTGTGCCGCGTCGCTGCTCTCCTGTACATACGAACCGAAGAGGAAGATGGGCAGGTTGTATGCTGGGACAGTAAAAGGACTGATTATGAAGGCCAGCGCCTGCGCAACGCGTAATGAGTGATCTTTCCCATCAGAATGACTGAAGATGAACGTCTACTTACAGTCTCTGCAAGTAGTAGTTTCGCTGGGTCAAGTGCCTGAATAAAGTCTGCCATCTTTGTTCGAATGTAGTTGTGGATGTCTTGGAACTTGAAAGAGGTTTCAAAAAAGGGACTGCGGGGACTTGGCGGGGACTTCCTTTTTGGTGGCAGTATTACGCCTTGTTCAATTTCTTCTAGTCCGGTCGCAAACTGAATTCAACACTTCACTAGTCTCGTCAGCGTCTGCATGTCCCAGCCTGGTCTCAGCTAACATACTAGTAGCAGGCGTTTCGCGCGTTTATTGGGCAACTTAAATTCACCAAGCGTTTGCTCATGCCGCAGCCCCAGTGCAAAATAATTGAGGAGCTGCTCCGAAAGCCTTTTGGTCCATATCGCGACGAAGAAGTGCTCAGTGCAGAATGCCAAAGCAAGCCAGGAAAGACACTGGTACTGAATTCATTTCAGCTGGCTTACAACGACGAGATTATTGGGTACTGTTCCTGCCCCTTTGTTCCCCGTGCATCTTGCTAAGTCTTCTTGACAAGTCTCGATGAATCCGAGCAACCTCTAGGTACCGAAGAGGTAGACGCTCGACAGTACCGCTTTCGTGGAATTCTTAGCATACATTCGCCCGTTTGGCTATCTCAAGTCGGCGTCAAACGAGTGGAAGCAGAGCTCAACCTGCGTGCCAACACGCGCAGCATGCGTGAAGGGGAACGTCCTACCCCCACAATAACGATCGAAGGACTATTTAATAAGAAAACAGGATATCTTGGGCGTACACCCGTACCAGGTGACAACGAGCTCAGGTTAAAAATCCAGGGTTTCAAGAACTTCCCAGCTGTCTATATGACATGTGAGTTCGGATGCCCCTACGTTACAATTCCGAAGGACTAAGGTCCAACATATTCAGCCAAGCTAGTTCCGGATGGATTATTCTGGCACTCCAAAGACTGGTGGGTATCATGTTATGTGTGATTCTAGACACGTCTTCACTCTCCTTTAGTAACCGTACCTACGAAGTTGCAACAATGGACGTCTACACCTTCCAGCTCTCTGAGAACTTCTTCTGGCGCTACCGTCTCCTTGCCCTCATGATAAAGATCGTTAGAGAGGAACAAACGCCGCTTGAAAAGCGAACCCCTGAGTGGTTTGTGTCCAAATACCTCGAACGGTTCGCTCATCCTGCCAGTGATGAACACGAGCGACTCATCTACGACTCTACCGATTCTGATATTATTGATGTCGACGAAGGCAGGACCCACTTGCCCCGTCACCCAAGGCGAATACACAGGCGCGATATTCTAGGGCTATTTGCTGCCCAGTCGGAATGGTTCGTTACTGATAACGCAGTAAAGCGCAATCAGATATTCCCCTTCAAACCATGGAATGCATTTAGAAAGGAAGTCAGAAAAGCAAGATGGCAAGCTGCACGCAATAACGTCGTCTGGGGCTGGCCAATTGGTCGTGAGCATCAGCCGGACCTGGAGTCAAACCCAGACAGCGAAGAGGGAGATGATGAGGACGACGAAGATAGTGAGGACACAAGAAATGTGGTGGAGCGGAATCCCGTTATTGGCAAGACAAATGAAATCGTGCGCCGTAAAATCGACAGAGCCAAGACCAGACGAACCCCGCCGTCTGGCCGGCATGTCAACGAACCCAGTTCGTCGTCATCCTCAGATGAACTCGATCCTGCTAGGGCACATGCATATATGTCGGATTTCTCTCGGGAATCATCTAGTACTGCTTCTGATTCTTCGCACGAATCCGTGGACGAGCGCCTGCCCGAGTTCGGAGAGCTCATCCCACGCCAGTTGTCTCAGGTCCCGGAGTTTCCAGGCCCCGATAACCGCTGGTGGTGTCCTGTGCCAGATTGCGGACACATGGTTGACTTGCAACATCTCACACGAGATGATATAAAAGCCCTCTCAGCAACCACCGTCTTCTATCTCATGGAGAAGAAATGGCGGAGTATTCGAGAAGATGAGAGAGCTAAAAAATGTTTTTTTGAAATGGTGTCTAAGCATTACGAGGATCATTTTGCAGACCTTGGCTTAAGGTTTATTCAGACTAGGGGAAAGGTAAGCAGGTCAAGGCCAGTCTTTTATAATCGTTAACATTTTTCCAGGTCGGAATAGACTTGATCAGAGATAAACGACGTGGTCAGCAGGCGGTGGCTATCGTGAAGGAGGAACTTACTTAAGAGGCCCCCCTGATCCCAGTCTGGGGCCCTATGCACATAAACTGTAATATAGGTAGCAGCCTGTTAATAACATCACACGGGACTTATTGTGTAGTCAGTAACCTTGGCAGCCCCAATATCTTCAAGGAATGACAGGATAATCATGATTACAGAGATATAGTCCGTGTGGTATAAATCATCTAGGTCTAGCATTCCGTCCCAGGAAAATGTCTCTGAGCCGCATCCATCGCCTTCCCGTTCTATGTATTTCACCGGCAGTGCCACCGCCCTCTTCCATGTCCTGCTGCGAGAGCTCAGCGCGAGGGCCGCTCAACACTCCCCTGTCCCGAGCGTCTCCCGAGCGTCTCCCCTGTCCCTCGCTCACAGTCCGCCTCCGGCCACCCGCAGTACCAGCCAAAGACATACTCTCATTGACGACAGCTGCAAAGCCTAGCCCTATTCCACCGATACGCCTGGAAGTTCTTCTTGGCAAAGGGAGAAGCCCGAATCCAGGGCTGACAGGTGAGAGACCGATTGTCAACCCCGTTGGAGACAATATGCTCGACGATTGCTGCTGACGTAAAGATGAGGCCATAGTACGCATAGATGCAGATGGATCGATGACGGTAGGGCGCTGACGTGATGAGCGGGAGCTGTCTGGTAGGGGTGGTGAGATATCCGTCTGGTGGGCTGTGAAGGGAGGTGAAAGCTGTGAAGACGTTGTACAGAGGGTGTGCAATGAGACGGAACTCTGGGGTAAAACAGCACCCTCCGACCGCACCCGGCGGTCCATAGGAGGCGCAATTGGCCCAGAGAGAGATGAACCCCGGGGACTAACGCCAGTACTTGCATATGCAGGGTAATGTGGCGGGGGGTTTGTTTCGGGAGTGGCGCTTCCGCTGTTAGATACTGCTTGGTCTTCAATGTCAGATTCAGTTGCTGTATCACTTTCATCGACGTTGGCTTGGGCACTGACTGCCCAAACCCCAGCAAGCAGAACGAACATGCCGACTATGACGAGAATAAGGTGCCACCCTGGGAGTTGTCCGAGCTGGTCGAAGTAAACCAGACCATTGATAATCGATGAAAAGTTATAAAAGCAAAAGGCAGCTAGGCAGTTTCTATGTTAACGGCACTATCAGGAAAAATACAAAGGAATGGGACACACATGGGCAGACAAACGCAGGATCTGCAAGCCTCAGACCACGATTAAGGTACCAGAGTTGTCCCAGAGCAAAAACAATGAGTCCACCAACAAGAATCCATGCCTCCCATCTGAAAAATTGATTGACGCCGCTGAATGTGAGGACAAGAAGTTCAACACCAGACTTTGCGAAGATCAAACAAAGCCCAGACAACGTCCCTGAAGCTGCAGCATATGCTAAGGCAAGGAGAAGCGGGGTTCGGCTTGGGAGTGGCACATGTAATGGTGATGGAGATTTTGAATTGTTTAGATTAGATTTAGTAGATGGAAGGCGGCCACATTTTGGATCGAGCAGTGGTGTCGCCTCAGATGCGAAGCTACCGTTGACTAGTTCACCAGTGAGACCGGTAGATGAATTAGATGGTTGTTGTGCGCGCGTGGGAGGCAGCGGTGTGGGAGAGTTTAGAGGAGAATCATGTGCGGAGGTGCAAGAAGACGACAGGGGTGAGTCACGGTTAGCCTGCAACAATGAATAGGCTGCAGCTTCTAGTTGTCTCTTGTAAGAATATTCAACACTGTGCGTCTGCAGGAATGTCATATGTACAATTAAAACGCTATATTGCGGCTGGCACGCACCACGATAAGGCATACGAGCAGGATGAAACCCTCGGCACAGAACCAGACTATAAACGCAGGACGCGCAAAAAGTGCCATTAATTCGTCTAGACTCCGCGTAGTTTCAGGAACGATCCCGTAAATAGCAATCAAGGCAGCGCCACCAGCGATGAGAGCTGTTCCCAGGAGCATTCGTGGGCGGAGGAGGAGATGAGCGAAGAAGGCATTCCAAAGGAGAGAAACAGCACCCAGGGGTGCCAATATGACAACCGGAAGGGATGCTATTTGTATGAAAGATCCAAATACATTAGATATCAAAAAGATGGCTGCCAGACGTTGTGTTGGTCGGTGGAACGAATATAAGCAAAGGTTGAGTGCACTCACCAAATCCTATCAACCATAATCTAATAAATGTGAGCGGAGACTGAGTTATAGAAAACATACATGACTCACGGTCGGCGGTGTTCTACTTTCTGGTCTTGTTCTGGAAGCTGTGAGTTATGAACATGGCTACGACGCTGAACCGCAAGACCAAGGCTTTGGACGAAAGATGCGAGCAGCCCGATAAAAATTCCCAGAGGTATGGATATGTGTTGGTTTAAATCTGTGTCGACAAAGAGTGAAGTGGGTGCTGCAGCGACATGGGTTATAGAGGATGTGATGTGCGCGACCATAGGAGGGAATGAGATAAAACTGAGTGAGAACGTCAGTGTCTCCTGCAGCTTGTCATTCAGGTGCCAATTTGGTGTACGCAAGCACTGGCAGTACTAGGAACTAGAAATATAATAATCTTCGGGCAAGAAGCGTAGACGTTGTGGTAGGTTGTAGTAACCGAAGTGGGAAGGTACACACGTGATCGACTCACAGCATTAAGCTTAAGTACTCATGGAATGTAATAAGGCCGTTCTATCATAACTTCCTCTACTACTTGTTGAAAAAATAATAAGCTGACCGCGGGATCTGCACAAGCTACCATACGCAAGACACTAGAAACTCTGAGAACGTCAACATGAAAACATGTTCAAGCTGACGACTGAGTAATACAATTAGGAGGATCAAATTGATATCAAGAAGTTCGAGATTCTTGCTGGAAACTTCAGGTATTGTGTAGCTCAGGCTACGCTAAGTTGCAGACAAAGGAAGATGCGGGAACCTCGATGGTCTTGGAGGCATGAGATACTTTGTTGCAGAAGTAGCCAAACTTGAAACTAGATTGTGCCAACTTAGAAGGAGGAAGTCCAACCTTCTTGTCTTCTGAGGTAGCCTTTTCGCTTCTGTCGTCTCCTTGATATTCTTATCGTCCTCACTAGTGCATGCCCTCTCTTTGTCTGTTTTGCAAGCAAGCGCTGCTTCCCGGCTTCCGTCTCCTTAACACTAGTTGCTACATAAGTTTTGCGAAACACTCAAAGTAAGGCTGGATGGAATACCTTCTTCGCGCACCAAGTAGTAGCTAGCGCTGACCTCCGACGTGGCCTCTATGCTATTGACATGATATATGGCCTAACCAAAGAACCCGGTTTATGGTGGCTGTAAATTGAAAGACGTCGATGTCATGAATGGCTGGCCGTAGCTCCGCGGGGTGCTATCAGACTTCAGTCGTGACTGAGACATCACGGACACTATCGATGATGATACGCGCCCATGCCCCGGGAAGATTAATAATGAACCAACCAGCCTTGAGAGCACCATAATCGGATTCGAAGGCCTTGGTCAGTGACCTCACTACGTAACGTCCGTATGGTGCGAAAAGTGCAGCAGCAAGGCGTCGGCATTCTTCCGTTCAAGGGAGTTGTTGCTAGAGGTACCTTGATGCGGTCGAGGAACATGTTGGAAATTTCAAGTGCACTGTCATGTAACTAATTATTTAAGTTCGACCGCAGCATTTGTGGCTGTGTGCTCGAATTCACATTCCCTGGCGTGCTCTGATATGGCCTTCTTCAACTTCTTCAACTTTAGCGCCGCTGGTTATTGTACATGTCTACCGAGCATTGTTCCGAACAATCACTACCATAAGACCAACCTGACAACTCCTGGTTCAAATTCAATCCAAGATACTCACTTTTCAAGGCCATGTCATCTCCTAGCAATTCCAACGCTCAATCTAGCGATGCGTCTTCGACGTCCACTTCGGACCCTTCCGAGTCATCTCTTCGTGGACGAGGAGTCTATGAAGCGTCCGGCGACGATGACTCTTCTGTCTTTACTATGATAGGAGATTGGGACACCACTCGTAGCCCTATGGGTTCTCAAACAGACTTGTCAGGTTCTTTAGAACAAGATATGTCTGAGGCCCGTCTTCGTCAACTGTACGACGAGGAAGAAATTGAACGTTATCTCCACCTTTTTTCTGCTGTAAGTTCTTGCCGTACTCGATGGGTGGTCTATCCTGAGGTACAACAAGTATGTGACGGAAGTGAGATTACCAGGTGTTTTGCGTAGCATCAAAGCCAAGCCATCAAGTAGCTCCCTCCACCTTCCCCGGCCAAAACCGCCGCCACTCCCTCCACGACCATTTGTTCGTCGTACCTCCGAACAAGCAGAGCCGCCTACACTTTTTCCATCCGCCATTCCTCCAATCTCAGTAGATCCCTCCTGGTCCGAGCAGATCGCCATTGTGAGTGCCGCCGCCATCACAGTAATTAAATCTAAACTCCTTCCAGAAATATATACTACCAGGTCTTCCACCGACGCCTCATCCGCCGCCACCCTTCGCTTTAAAGCGCCTGAAACTCACTAGCCAGCGTTTTTTCCTCGCAGTAGTTCCCCCTTACCAGACTTTCTTTCTTTCCATAGCAAACTTGGCATTATGGAGGGACCCACAACGTAGTGGACTATGTTGCGCGGTAGGTAGGCTGTTACTTTTTGAGATTGATATATTCACCAGCATCCAGGCATACTGGGGACTATGGCTGTATGACCTTCTTCTCCCGGCACTGATGTTTCGAATCCTGTGGGAGATGCTCAGCCGGAGGCTTCTCCCCTATCCCACTCTAGAATCTTTACACATGCGGCGGAAAGATTCCGAACGAGCCAGGGAGTTCGGAGACGAAGTTCATGATCGCCTATCGGCGCCTTCGATGGGGCCCAAGGATATATTTCAGCTTTTCAAATCTTACAGATCCGCAGCAAAAAGCAAAATCAAGCCCCTTGCGAAGGACACAGGGGTACTTCAAACGAGTCTAACTGACGATGGTGGCGAGGATGAAGCGGCTACTGTTCTTGATGACGATACTCAAGAAGAGCAGGACACCAAACGAGAACTCCTGCACCTTCTCAATATTGTCGCTGATATTCACGAACGTGTTAAAAAGTACGTACTCCGTGATTCGTGATGGGCGGTTAACTAATCGAATATTTGTCGTTGTTAGCATTTTCATCTGGAGACGACCAGCAGTCTCCCAAAGATATGCAATCGTAAGTAAGTTTTAGGGACTACTTCGGCACGTGCTTGACTTCTAGCAAGATTTTGGCTGTTGTGGCCTGCTGCACCTTGATTATTCCTGCGCATTACTTGGCAAAACTTATATATGGCGGCTGCGGGATATTGTTCTGGCATGTCATTCCTGTGTTAGCTGCTCTGCCACCAGGCGCTCGAGCGAGGTTCGTGTTCAATATATGTTTGCATCATATTTTGATAAGTGGCGAGATAGACTGCCCGGTCCGTTGGCTGATGTCCCCACCGATGCCGACTATGCTATAGAAATAATTACACAGAGAATTGCCAGGGGCGAGGAAATCAAGCCTCCACGCAAGCCTCGCTCTTCGAGTGCTCGTGTTAATAGCGCAAACGAAGGCGATCTTTCTGCGATCCCGTTACCCGACACATCACTCAGAAGCCAAATGCAAACTAATGATGGTGTTGATTGGAAGAAATGGGGATCGCGTGTCGCGCACGGCAAGTTATTGCTTAGTGAAGGCAAACGACGCCTTTCTTCTGGACAAGTGAATACGGTCGGCCTGACGTCCGCAACTTTACGAGACGAAGAAACACATAGTACGCCTATAATAAATCAGATTGTGATACAACAACAACTGATCCACTTTCAGCATATCCTGCACACCACACTTCAGCACCTGGTCTAATCACACTGACCGCTACCACAGTATACTTCACAACACTCACATCACAACAAGCAAAATTAATTATACCTCGCGAGAACCTCTGCGGCGTGAAGAAAACTGGTTTGATGAAAGGGCTTCTAATGTCTTGGGTTGACGACGAGGAAGGGCAAATAGAAGAGAAGTTCCACTGGGTCGGCAATCGAGATGAGCTTTTCGCGCGCCTTCTTGGTCCAGATGGTGCCCGATGGATGCGAATCTGAAGGCTTGACGCGTCGGTGGCTGAATTAAAACTCAGAGAGCTCCGCGCAAAGGACCATGCCCTCAGCGGCATACGCACTTGTATGCTTCCCCCCCTCCCTCATAATTTATTCGGTCTCTTTGCCTTTACCCGTCTTTCGTATGTTCATTGTATGCACTCTGCCCATTGATATCTTGCTATTACTGTAACCTATTTGCTAACGCGATTTTGTCTTTTATCTGCCACCGCTCGCTCATTCTCCAAGGACATCAAACTGCAGAATGTTTTTCTCTACCGAACTGTTGTCCAAGAGGGATAACGGATTCGGCCTTCTTTGGTGCTGTTATTGTATGCTTCATTGACGATGGAATCATATCTCATTGCTTGATGTCCCAAATACTAGGCTAGCCGCAACTCTTGGCTCGAAGTCAGCCTTTAAGAAATTACCCAAGCGCTCCGTGTTGAGTGCAGATATCTCTCAATTGTGTGATCTGATTGCCTCTCCTTCGGAACCTCTGGCTCTTCGCCTCTCAAGTAACTTGATGGTCGGGGCTGCACGGTAGGCAGATCAAATTCGTTAGGGCCCTTCATGCTCACTAAGTTGCACAGTGTATATAAAGGTTTTATAATCCATGGCTGTATAACCAAACCTTGTACATTTATCGTTACTTCTAGTCAAGCAAGAACTTTTTCTTTCTGATGTCACGACTTGCTTTAACTCCCTCAAGCGAGTTGTGCAAGAGTTCCGTTCGATGGCTGCGTCCGAAGCCCAGCTTCAGATGGCTCAGCCAAGCGTGAGGTAAGTTAGCTCAAACGATGCGAGCCTCCTCTGACACCTCTTGTCAAGGCCATCAGCTGTTACACTCGCTGCTGATCCTGGTGCTGCATTCGCCATGGATTTTGACGCAATGGTCGCTGTACGTTCCTACCTCCCTTTCTGTTCGTCTCTAAGCCAACGACGTGGCTAGGACTGGGACGAATACTTGAACATTGGAAGTACGTTAATTTACTGTGCTTCAACTCGTGCGTATTCATCCCAAATGTAGACAACAAGGGAGGAGCGGAAGAGGGTTCATCCGATGGTGATGAGTACAACCCAAAAGCCAGGAGACCAAAAGGAAAGGGTAAGCAGTCCGCAGTTGCACCGGCTTCCACTGCGGAAAACGCCCGCGCCAATGCACATACACTCGATGAAAATCACGATATCTTCCTCGCCAACTCTTTCGATGCCTCATTTGGCGGCAGCGGCGCCAACATGATTCCATCTTCCCAGAATGATACCTTCGGCTTCGACGATAGTTTCTTTGGCGCTTTTGATGGCCTGGATATTGGGGAGGGCGTCGGTGATGACGTCGTAAGGGAACTTGGTGAAGGTTGGGGAGGAGTAGCCCTGGAGAATCAAGTCGAGTATGTGTCCTTTTTCGTTAGGCTGAAATTTTGCTGAAATATCCTAGCCATGATATGCAAGTGGATGAACCGATTGACTTCGGGTTCAACGATGGAGATAACCTGTATTTCGAGCACGATCCCATTGACGATGCCGGTACATTAGAGCAGAATGCCTTGCCGCTTCCTCCGTCGGCCTTTGCTACACCTCAGGGCACACAACGGGGCTCAGCAGGTATGATGCATTGCTCCATATTGACCATCCTTATGTATGAAAATTTAAAGCTGCCCTTCCTCCCTCTTCCTCCCTCACCGGACACTCCCTCGAATCCCCCTCTGGTCCTTTGGCTGTAATTGTCCCGCAGGTCGAAGAGATTGATCCTGTTGCACCTGGCGATCATCCGGCCGAACCCGCACCTAGGAAGATCAAGCGTGCCAGGCTTATTTTAGATGTGCGAACGGAGTTGACGGATGATGAATTAAAGGTGGGTGATAACGCCGCTCGTGACCTGCGACTGTAGCCTGTCTTTCTGTATAGGCTGCACGTCTGTATTATCTGGAAGAGCAGAATGCCATTCATCGACAACTCACGCGGAAGAATTTCGAGAAGGACCAAGGCAGGCTCGTCGATGGTTTGCTTTGGGGTATTCCAGAACACAGTGAGCTTCGATTTTTTGCTTGTGCTCATCATGAGCTTACACTTTGAAGTGCAAGCCAAAGAATTAGTAGACTTTTGGCTGGATCATTTCAAAGCACAATTAGACGCTCGATCTGCATTGATGATCGAACCCCATGGTCAGTATTACAACACTTTGAGTGTGCCTTACTAAATACACATGATCTTCAGACGACTCTCCTCCGCCAAAACGGAGGAAGACCAAGACCAATGCTGAAATCTCCGGTGAAGTTGAGCATGTTCAAGTCCGCCCTGAAAGTCCTGCGTTTGGTGTAGGCCAGGCAAGCCCAGATAACATGAATTTTGATGCGGGTGGAGCGGATATTGACATGAATTTCGACATGAATTTTGACATGGGTGGTAAGTTGTATTAATCACCGTGATGACTATCACCCAATATCCTTATCAGATGGCTGGGGTGGCGTAGACGACGCGGAACCAGAATTGAATAATCTTCGCTCGTCCGAGGTAGATTAGCTGTCAACGCTTTCCATACTCTCTCTGACAAGGTTTTAGGAACCGGGACAAGCACGTCACGCCCCTCGCCCGATGTCCGTGTTGGGCGATGAATTCGGCTTGGATATCGTGCATAACTCCGTCTCTCAGCGTAGCGCGCTCTTCCCTTGGGACAATGCGGGTGGAAGTTCCTCGGTTTCTGGTGTAATACTCCTTGGTCGCCAGAGCAGTGACGAAATCAGTGTTGACCACGCCGAGATTCGCCTGAGGGGCAGCTCACTGAGCCGACGAGGAAGTTCTATTCCAAGTCAACAAGGCGACGTATTTGGTGGTGCTGCGGGTTTACCTGCGAGCCCCCAAATAATCGACGACGAGTTTGTATTCAACGGTACGTCGATAAATTCTAGACTTGCCAGGCAATCTAGCTCATGGAGTCGATAAGTCCCAGCAGGCAATTCTGTGGCCGAATCTCAATTGTCCGAGGTCAATCCGGCCACGCTTGAGAGAAATTCCTTCAACTTCCTTGAGTAAACATTTTCACTATCTGCCATTCAAACTTGGTGTACTCATACATTGTGCCGAAAGATACGCAAAGATGCAATATAAATCTTTGTCTGGGTCGGCTCGATTTCTCGCTTTTGACGATGTTGTGCCGCAGGCCACGAGCACCGCACACGTTGCAGCAGCAGCTCTCTACCACTGTCTTGGTGCGTGTCCGTTGATCACGGTACTCTTCCCCTTTCACGGGGCGGCTATTTCATACAAGCCGGAGCATATCCGAGTATGCAATGCAGTTCACTGATGCTGATTTGACCAGTGTTGGGCACGAAGGACCTCATCCAACTTCGTCAAGATGAGGCATATAGAACCATTGAGATCCGTATCAAGTAATACGTTGGCGCCCCCTTATCGGCCGAAGTGCATTGCGATCGATTACATTAAGTTCTTGTAGATAATTATGGGTCTCCATAGACGACTCGACGATTACTGTTGTACTGTTACACTAGTCGGACTCATTAGTGGTTCTTAGAAGTGACCTGTCATTGTAATTGAAATTTGACACCCAATACTCGGCTCTTGCAATTTTCCGTTTAGGACCATGATCAGGCCACCAGACAAAATCTTGATCGTGCCATTTTCCACCCGAATATCTCTCCGAAGCGAAGCGGATGTTAAAGCTAAAGGTCCATCGTTTCACGCACCTATTATTTGCTCATAAACTTTGGTATGTACATACTACGTGCCAGCCTCACCTCGTCTCACCTTACTCGCAGTTTTAGATCACATTTCGCTCAACGTACCATGTCCTCGCCAGCAGTTCTTGCCGCACGCGCTGTACTTGCCAGCATTGATCTCACCAGTTATGACCCTGAACAGTCGAGACTGATGGATGAGAAATGCATCTTGGTCGACGAGCAGGACAACGCGATCGGTGCGATGGACAAGAAAACTTGTGAGTCTATTTGCTGTGTATTATATGTCGTTTTGATAGCAGGCATCAATAGGCCATCTCATGGAAAATATCGACAAGGGTCTCCTGCACCGAGCCTTCTCTGCATTCGTTTTCCGTCCTTCCGATGGCAAGCTCCTCTTGCAGCAGCGTGCTTCGGAGAAGATTACCTTCCCGGACATGTGGACGAATACGTGCTGTTCGCACCCGCTGGACGATTTCGAGGAGGAGAAGATCGAGAAGGGTCAGCTTGGTGTGCGGAACGCAGCTTCCAGGAAACTGGAGCATGAGCTCGGTATTCCGCAAAGCCAGACACCGGTTGACGAGTTCCAGTACCTGACGAAGATTCATTACCTTGCACCATCGAACGGTATGTGGGGTGAGCATGAAGGTGCGTTGACAACATGAAAATACGGGTACATGTCTTCACCCGCCCTGCATAGTCGACTACATCTTGTTTCTGACGGCGGATGTTACGGTGACACCGAATAAGAACGAGATTCAGGACTACAAATACGTGGACAAGGCGGAACTACAGGCGATGTTCAACGACTCATGTGCGTGTTCACTGCTATATGTCGGATGCGAGCTTACTCGGCACTTGCAGCAAATTCTTTTACACCTTGGTTCAAGCTGATTGCGCGTGACTTTTTGTTCGGCTGGTGGGATACCCTTCTAGAGCGCCAGGGCTTTGATGGTCGTGTCTACGCCAAGACTCTGACGGGTGTAGCTGATGGTTCAAAGGTTGTCAAGATGGATGTAATATATGTTCTCTTATTGTATCTGTAGATGTAGTGCAAAAGCAACCTTGTATTGCAGGAAGACATGATAGATGCCCGTTTGCTTGTAATACATTTTAGTTTCGGACAACTGTACGGCGTACATAGGATTATCACTTCAAAACTGTAGCCATCACGTACACAATAATATAATTTTTTATTCCAATATATAGTATCAAATTCTGTTTGCCAAGCACCATGCATAGTCAAGAGACTACGGAGTAGTTACTGAGCAAAGAGAAGATGGGATCCGAAAAAAGGAATCCCCCGACGACACAAGCCAGTAGTGCAGCAGCAAGGTCATCATGTCTTCCGAGTTGCAAGCAGAGCTCAGAGGAACAAGGGCGGCAAAAATTTGATAACCAAAGAATGAGGGCGGTGCCCTCATAATAGTGGTTAAACTATTAAGAACAGATACTACACTTGATCTAAGCCAAAAGGCCAGAGTGGTAAAGATTCAAATCGTTCAGACTGCCACTTTATACCTTCTTCACTAACGCACGGACCATTCCCGTTTGGGCCCAGAGTCTTCGAGATCCGTGCAATTACTTGATCTGTGTTCTTATATTTCAAAATACAGCATCTTCTTTTTGCGCCTCTTTTGCGTTCATGTCGGTTTTCATTGGGCCCCGTCCTGTTAGCGCCTATTTCCTCGTGCCCTCGTGTCTTCTGATACCGGACGAAGTTCCGTCAATCATGGTGAATGATTTGCACTGTGGGTAAATTATGACAAGTCAACTTGACAGGGACTGTGCATTGTGCAAACGAGTGCATGGGGAGCATGTCACCGGCTGGCCGAAGGAATGAGGCTGAGCCGACATGCTCCAGCATCCTCTGCTCCAGTTATCAGATACATCTCACTATGGACAGCAACCTGATCAGTGAACCGGTGGGTTCTTGCTGGGATGTATCTAGCAAGGTGAAAATCGAACTTCATTCCCGCAACAAAAGTTGGAGGTGCCACGTCAGCTGGCCTTCCTACTTATTTTTAACCTTTGCCACTAGTGTCTGGATCTCACATCCTTGAGGCTAGCGCGATAAGGTGGAGTTTATGTGGATCAAAAAGAAGCACATTCCTCTGTATTACAGACTGTACATAGTAGTAATAGCATGTATGTAAAAGGATACACCAGTACAATATATATCCTTCCGGCCCGTGCTGCACAGATGAGCAGAATTAAAACTATAAATACATACGCTAGTCTTACATCATGAGCGCGTCGTTTGCAGTCTTATCGTTACACCCCGTCGTTGGGGTAGTCAGTATATGGACTCCGTCGTTCCTTGGCGCGTCCAGCCTCTTAGTGATCAACGTTCTGGCCAGCACGTGAACCACTACGTGAACCAGCCCGCGAATTCGCACGCGAACGCATCCTTGTCCCGCGAAAAATCCAGATCTCCTTCTTATTCCCAAACCCAAGCATCCCTGTGCGCGCAAGGGGAACCGTGGCTTCAAGCTTGTAGCCCATCGTACTGATTTCCTTTAGTGCAGACGCTGCAAACACGTCTTTGCTTAAATCAGAGGCTAGTATAAGACCACGTCAGTAAGGAAAATTTCATGTGCAGAGGAGACAAACCGCCAATTGCAGTCCTTTTGAGCTCAATTGTGTAGATCTCGTCTTCACTTGTTCGATCTCCAGCGATTTTAAATGGCCATGCTGCACGGAGACGGGGACCAATCTGCTCGCCGACACGGCGTGGGGGCCGGACGAGTGTCATCCTGTGTCCTGAGCGCGAGATATGCGCGGCAAAGAAGTCACAGTGTTCATCGGGACCGCTATCCTGAAACACCAGCTGTGGATACTTAACACGTGGTTCAATATGCTTGTATGACGTTCAGGGCAATTAAAGACATACGGAATAGCCTGTACTGAGAGAGGTACGGTACTGATAGCCGTTGTGTGCGAGGCAGGTGAAGAGTTCGCATATCATTTTTTGTGCGCTAGATTTGATCAGCACGTGACACAAAATCAGTGATTGGATGATTGGACCTACATGACGCCCTCACTCCCGCTGGCCGTCCAAGGATTCCTGTTAAAAAGAATACGAAATGCGTGATGAACGGGGATTGCTGTAGATACGCCGTGTGGCCACATGGGGATGATATTCTCCTTTATATCTTCTATGGTATCTTGGAAGGCCACATTACCCATCCGGAGCTCGTTTGTGCCGTGAAAAGAGACAAACAAGTGTTCTGAAGTGACATACAGCGTGGGAGTGACGATAATAGGACAGTTTGTGACTTACCTGGAAGATAGGACGGGTTGGAATTCATGCCGTTGGAGCGTGTCATGGGCACGAGGCGCTGACGTGCACTGGAAGAAGTTCGAGTACGCTCGAGAGGGGGTGGGGCGGCACTAATGGTCTCTGAGCGGCGAAGGCCGCCGTTCTTCTTCATTGCGGACTTGAGTTGGGCCTTCTCTGGGTTATACGAGGGTTTTGGACGTGTTGTGCTAGCGCGCTTGACTCGTGGTGGGTGTGGAGCTGGCTCAGAACTTGGTGGGATGAATGGAGTGTTTGGATCCAGATGGCCTTGTGGGTATTGAGTAGTCTGATAATTTTCGCGAGGCCATGGTGGAGAATTGTATGTATCCGATGGAGGAAACGGTTGTCGCTGCTGCTGCTGCTGTTGCTGCTGATAGCCAGGAGGGTAGTATGTATGGTATGGCTGACCATAGTAAGGGAAATTAGACTTTGGGTAAGCGGAATGCATTGGTGGTCAGGGAAAGAGATAGGAAAGATGATCGTAGTAGAGTTTGGCAGTCGATATCATATAATGGCCTCGTGTTAGGTGAAAAGAACAAACATGAGGATTCCCATTCTAGGCCGCGGAAAGTACTTGTCATTCCATTTCGCAGTAGGAGCGCTCAATATTAATATTAGAGTTCATGATTCAGACTTCGGTCTGCTTTCGGGCCTATAGATCACGTGAGTGTTTTATAGTTCCACTCGTGCTTCCGAGTCCGAGTTTCTCTCCGCAAACGCCCAAGACTCAAGAGTCATACAAATACTGGTCCTCTAGGCAGTGATGGCATCAACATTCTTTACATGGCTCAGATCTCCTGCTGCTCGCGAGTACTTCTTCAGTATGCTTTTCATCAATCATCTTTTGCTTGAAACGTGTCTCATTGTACTCTTCACAGGCACACACTTCTGGGGACCTGTCAGTTGTTTCGACCTTGTACAAGTTGCATAACTCACTCATTCCAGGTTGCAAACTGGGGTCTTCCCCTCGCTGCCCTCGCTGACCTTAGCAAAGATGAAGAGGTCATCTCAGGTTCTATGACCACTGCACTTGCTGCTTATTCGTACGTCCCATTTCACTCTCACGCAGCTGCCTGCTGACCCATGCACCTAGAATGGTTTTTATGCGCTTCGGTGCGTTCTGTGATGTTGTTGTAAAGCGCGTAGCTGACTTTGCGTTATAGCCTGGAAAGTACAACCCCGGAATTACTTGCTCTTTGCCTGTCACTTGACAAACGGGACAGCGCAGTCAATCCAGGAAGCCCGCTTCGTAAACTACTGGTATTACGGTGGTCGTGAGAAGAAGTTCGGTCTTGACAAGGGTCCAGTCACCCAAGCCATCGAGGAATCACAAGCAGAAGCAAAGAAGGTTGTGGACGCAAAATAATAATATCACCCTATGCAACGCTGGAATACACTGCGCATTTGACTAACCAAAGTCTGAACTCAGCATCTAGATACTGATACGTAATTTTCACCAAAATTCATCATCCCCATCACCTTTGCTTTTCTTCCCGCCCTTGCTCTGCGCAAGTGCCTGTCGCTCATACATCTCAGAGATCTGCCATACAATCATATGAGTACCTGCTATCTCATTGAATCTCAATATGTAGCGAAACACTCACCTGCTCGGGTCCAGTAGCATCATCTGCTGACTTGTCATCGCGTATTCGGATGAATCTGGGAAAGCGCAACGAGATCCCGCGTTCCTCCACCAAGCCCTGTGCCGCTGTGTACACCGGGCTCAAACTCAGATCTGCCGCAAGCACCTCCCATACAATCTTTGGCTCAAACCACACGTCAGGCTTCGCACCACCAGGTTTGATGTCCCCGCGTGGTTTTGTGATCTCGAGCGGTCGTAGAGTGTCCCAGTGCGTCTGCAGCATCTCCTCGCTGAACCCGGTGCCGATCTTGCAGATCGTCTGATACTCTTCGGCATCGGCGTCAAAGCAGGCTAGGAGGAAAGCCCCGTAAACGTTTGTGCGCTTCCCTTTGCCGTAGTACCCGCCAACGACAACGAGGTCCAGAGAATCACCAACACCAGCGAGGTAGTCTTTCTTGAGCTGTGTATAGGTTAATCAATATCAGTCGAATTTCGACGGGGTAAAAGTTGAAAGTACCTTGAGCCAGTTGACGCTCCGCCGGCTGGGTTCATAGTAACTTGCATCTGACTCCAGCATCTTGACCATAAGTCCTTCGCAGCCATCCTTCACACTCTCTTCGAGGAACGCCTGGATCTCATCTGTTGTCGATCCATCTGAAGACTTCGCAAAATCGAACTCTCCAGGCACGATCTGGAAGTGCTCCCTCAACAACTCTCGGCGCTCGCTGAGTGATTTTTGAAGAAGTGGCTACGCGTACGACAATCAGCGCAATACCCTAATGTCGTTAAAGATGGGTAACAAACCTCGCCATTGAGATAAATAAGGTCGAATGCAAAAAGGCAGACTTTGACCTGGATATCTTCGACTTTTACGTCCTTGCGCTTTCGCCTGCTCAGCTCTTGGAAGGGCATGAGCTTGCCTGATGTCTTGTCAATCGCAACGGCCTCGGCATCAAGCACGAATGACTTTGTCTTCTCCATTACGCACTATCGTTCCATCAGCCCAATCCGTACAGCCAAGTGTATAAAGATCATCACCCACCCTCGGTAGCTGCTCCACCAAATCTGGGTACTTGGCCTTCATGTCCTCTGAATTTCTACTAAAGACGCTGACGCTGCCATCATCCAACATGTGTACCTGGGCGCGTTCCCCGTCGTACTTGTACTCACACGTGAATTGCCGTCCCTCGAAACGGTCGAGTACTTCGCCGATCGCTTTTGTTGGCTTGGCGAGCATTGGCTTGAGTGGAACCCCCGGCGTAAGCTTGCAATGTGTGCGCAAGCCTGATAGGCCGTGCGTGAGTAGCGCGGGGATCACAAGTTCGTACGTGGGGAGCTCGCTGAAAAATGTGTCAATGAGCGTAGGTGGCGAGGCGAGGGGGACCGACCTGTACACAGATTTCATGACACTAGTACCCTCTTCGAGGCGAGACGCCAGCTTCTCTTTGCTCCATCGCTTTCCGACTTGTACAAATGAATCAGGTTCATCAGCGAGGTTAGGGGGAAACACACCATGTTCTTTAGCCAGAACAGCAGCATGTGCGAGGGCCACGAGAACCGTCCGCTCAGCATTACCGATCCGGAGCTTGCCTTCCAGACTGCGCACAATGTACTTCGCCTCGAAGTCCTGACAAGCGGCGAGGAGCTTTGTGATGATCGATACCTTCTTTGCCTGGGACTGTGGCGGGAGGAATGGTGCTAAGTCTTTGAGAACTTGTACAAGCATGAAGAACAAACCGAATGACCAGATGACAACGCGATCTCCCGTAAGTTTGAGAAGACGAAAGGAACTGTAAGGGCCTTGGGTTTGAAGAGAGTCTTCTGACTGTTTTTAGAGTTCTACCAATGAAGTAAGCTCGTGTGGTCAGGGTTAAGGCAAGTAACAGCAGAGCACCATTGCCACGAGCCCGAGATCGCCTTCTTTCTTGAGGTCTGCTTTAACTGTTGCAAGACTCCGTCCTGTGGACTCGCTGATAGCTTTGATGAGTAGACTCTCGCCGATACCCAGTTCGACACCGACATAATCTGGGCTTAGCTACGTCTCTTAGTACACAAAAATACCATCATTGAACAGTGAAATCTTACGCGGTTTATGCACAGATATACACATTGCAGAAGGGAGTTGGAATCATCCTTCTTGCTGCGTTGGATGACGAGAAGGAAGAATGAGGTTAGGAGGGCGGTCTTTTCGAGCCTCTTGGTGGTGGCTTCAATGAGTGAGAAGGTCTTCGTTAATGCAGCGTAGGGCACTCTACCAAGTCACTGGGTGAGGAAAACATCAAAGATTGTAACACGACGTACGGGTCTCCGATTTTCCACCCGCCCTTGACGTCTACCTCTGCGGCTCGGGATAGTGCTTCTTGGGCGCTGTGTGTCCAAATCAACTTGATCCTTCTGAAGCCCCGCTAGAGGAGTTATACGTACGTTTGTGTTGCCGTATCCTCGTTGTCATCCTCCAGCTCGCTTTCGTCAGGAATCTCATCCTCGCCCTCGTCGGCACTTGCTGAGGACTTGACTAGTTGCTTTTCTACAGGCTCAGATTGGGGGACTGCTTTGGCTTTCCCTTTTCTTTTGGAAGAAGGTTGTGGCGAGGAGCGCCCATTTAGACTGGTGAGAGCTAGTGCGGTGGTCGTGGAGTCCTCGTCATCTGACTCGACCACACGTCTCCGTTTGGATTTTGAAGGCCCAGGTGATGCTAGAGCGTGGTCAAGTCCAGCTTCAACTTTCAAGGCTGGGTGGCACTCACCAGCGAGTTTTGGGGACGTGACATCCTTCCGTTTTGTTTTGGACTTCACCGGTGCTGTTCGTCATTATAACCTGTCAGCTGTGCAGAGCGGTGGAGCACTCACATGCTGGTGTTTCATCGACTTCCATTCGGTCTCCCTTTTCTGTTGGCTGTCTGCCATTTGAGACGGGCGATACTAAGAGTTCGCGAGGATTAAACTCCACAGTTCAGATAGTCCCAAATTCTCACTGATTTCAGACTTCACTGATGCATCCGCCTTCGACTCATCCGCCTTCCCGTTGATGATGCCCTCTTCCTTCACACTCTCCTCGTTCGTGTTGGGCTGTCGCTTCTTCCCTCCCCACATTTCCGCCAGGTTCGATTGCTGTGGTGGCGCTGGTTTGCTGTTCTTTGGCATTTCAAAGAATTTACCTGGAAAAAGTGGTGGTGGTAGGTGGTCAGAAAGAGGAAGACCCCACGCCACGTACCGAGTGTTTGTTGTCTTCCCATAAATCTTGTGTGAGCTGCGACGCGATAGAATGAGCGCGTGACAGACATAGGCGCGTATTACTTAAACGCGTCGCGTTGACCCGTGTGAACTGGTTTATGCCCCCTATTCCGCGATAGCTCGAATCATAAATTGTTGGTAAAATTAAAATAACCAGCTAAGTAATAGGCCAGCTCATCCAAATGAGATCCGGCAAGTACTAACTAACCGGCCTTGTCACTGTCAATCGCCACACATGCTGTTCCCATATTCTCGAACATTGCCAGGCTTGTTACACGTGCGCACGTTCAAAATTTCGAGGAGTCTAGACTCTCCGCAACTAGACTCAGCTCACGTGATTTCGGCTCTGTCGCGAAACTCTACTCATTTGTCCATCAATATTCAATTTTGATGGTTCAACCTCGCAGACTTCATAGTAAAACCGCACGATGAAGATATTGGGATGGATTGTGGTAGAGTGAAAGTGAATTTGTGTAAAATATTGGCAATGACTGAAGTGGTGGGAATATCAATGGCAAATGCCGGAATCTGTACAGTTTTAATTATGTGGCTTCTTTCCCACGCAAGCAAGCACAGAGCCGGAAATTGAGCTCCTCATCGTCCTCATCATTCATCATGGCTGACCAGGTACGAGCTGCTACGTTGCTGAATCTACCCTTCTTGTTTGACTTGTCATCATTTTTAGATCGAGAAGGCGTACCAGAAGCAGCATTTATTCCAAAACGCCAAAGCCCGCGGTATGAGACTTTTAACCCGTGAAATCGGAGCAGGAACTTATGTGATTGCGATCGCTGTGGTAAAGGTGGCAAGAAGGTTGCGACCAAGGATAAGCGGTGGTACAAGGATGTTGGTCTTGGATTCAAGACACCTGCAGAGGCTATCCAAGGCACTTATATCGGTACGTCCCCATACTTGTTACACGTGGTTTGGATGGTTCATTGTTATGTTTGTTCTCAGACAAGAAGTGCCCCTTCACCGGTGACGTCTCGATTCGTGGCCGTATCTTGACCGGCAAGGTTGTTTCAACCAAAATGACGCGGACAATTGTGATCCGCAGGGATTACCTCCACTACATTCCTAAATACAGTACGTCAGGAAACAAGCTGATTGTTCATTCACGCTTATCTTTATTTGACAGATCGTTACGAGAAGAGACACAAGAACATGGCCGTACATGTATCGCCCGCTTTCCGTGTAGAAGTCGGTGATACTGTCACTGTCGGTTAGTGTTCCTCTTAGTTGGTGCTATTCGGAATTGAATACAGGATATAGGGCAATGTCGACCACTATCAAAAACGGTACGATTCAACGTTCTGCGGGTTTCGAAGAGCAAGGCAGCAGCCAAGGCCTTCGGCAAGTTCTGAGAGTGCCATCGAGATTCTATTTACGTTGTTGACATTGCATGATTTCTACTACCCACTGCGCTATGCCCGCATGAAAAATTCATTGCTGCATTATGACAAGCACTTGATATCTGTGTGGCAAAACACAGGAATGCTAATCAATCAGAATCAAACCTAAGCAATGTGGGTGCACTTAAGGAGCGCTTGACGGAACAGGAAGTAAACAATGGAACAAATAAGGACAGCGCAAGCAAGTTGTCGCTAGAACGATTGACTGGTCCTCGTTGGAGAGGACTCGACTCAACTTATTCCTCGTCTTCTTTCGCTTTACAAGCTGGCTCCAACACTTATTTCCATCTTAACTTCCAAGTTAACTTCAAGGTCGCGCTCCCGGTCTTCAGCAACACAGCCAGGCTCGCCTTCACGCGAATCACAGGTCTTACCACCAATGGGCCAACAGCAATCTAAAAAGGCAAAGAAAGGAGGAAAGGAGAAGGACGTGGACCCCGTGCACGATGATTCTATAGAGGAATCGAATGGTCAAATGCCCCATGGCAGTTTGAATCGTGCAACGGGGAGTCATCCAAACCACTCCCAAAGTGTCGCCCACGAGTATGATGCAGTCCGAAATAGTGCACCCTCTCTTAACGTACCAAGTTCCGGAGAGCCCAATGGAAGCAGCTCAAAACCACCAAGTTCGCCAGGTGCTTCACCGGCTATCCTCAGTTCTTCCCCGAGTGACCTCTCTACTCCCTCCCTACTCGCGTCAACTTCGACGCCACAAGCTTCGGCTTTATCAACGAAACCCTCTCCCGCTCCTCTCGACATTCCACTCACTCAGACAATCCTCTCAACTTCTATGCCGTCGTCGTCCTTTACGCCGGGTTCAGCGGCTAGCTTCCCCTTGAGTGACTCTGCGGGAGGAAAGGCCGGACAGTTCGACATCGACGGTATGATCCAACGGCTTCTTGATGTGGGCTATACGGGTAAAGTCAGCAAATCTCTGTGTCTCAAAAATACGGAGATTGCTGCTATTTGCCAAGCAGCGCGGGAGGTGTTCCTCAGCCAACCAACTCTCATCGAGTTGTCACCACCAGTAAAGATTGTCGGCGACGTGCATGGGCAATATTCAGATCTTATCCGCCTTTTCGAGATGTGCGGTTTCCCTCCAGCCGCCAACTACCTATTCCTGGGTGACTATGTCGATCGCGGGAAGCAGAGTTTGGAGACAATCTTACTACTCTTGTGCTACAAGATAAAGTACCCGGAGAACTTCTTCCTCTTACGTGGCAATCATGAATGTGCAAATGTCACAAGAGGTCAGTTACTTGGCGCCTTCTGTTCGGTGATGGTATTCTGACATTTTCCAGTGTACGGCTTCTATGACGAGTGCAAAAGACGATGTAACATAAAGACATGGAAGACATTCATAGACGTCTTCAATTGCCTGCCCATTGCGGCTATTGTCGCCTCCAAGATATTCTGCGTACACGGCGGACTATCACCTTCACTTCACTCCATGGAAGATATCAAACGCATACAAAGACCGACCGACGTGCCGGACTACGGGCTACTAAACGATTTGCTATGGTCCGATCCTTCTGATACGGCATTGGATTGGGAGGATAATGAGAGGGGGGTAAGCTACTGTTTCGGGAAAGGCATTATCAATGACTTCCTGGTACGGTATGACATGGACCTGATATGCAGGGCTCATATGGTCGTCGAGGACGGGTATGAGTTCTGGAACGACCGGACACTTGTGACGGTCTTCAGTGCTCCGAATTATTGCGGAGGTCAGCATAACTCTTATCTTTCTATTCATCCAGCACTGAAGCGATGTTCCAGAATTCGACAATTATGGTGCTTGCATGAGGTATTTTTGCGCCTTTCGGCATCTGGGGATTTTAATTGATTTGTATTGTTTCAGTGTCTCAGAGGACCTTCTGTGCGCTTTCGAACTCCTCAAACCTTTGGACGGGCCGGCGCTCCGGAAAGAGATGACGAAGGCTAAGCGGAAGAGGTGGGTCATCTCACTCATATTCAATATCACGTATTGACCTCACGCCTAGTCTAATGGCGACTGCAACGTGATCATGACATGCCACGCGTAGTACACCAGTGTCACAGGGTCAAGGGTGTGGGAACCTGTTAATGAACACTGTATGTTGAGGCGTAGACGCTTGTTGAAATATCCGGGGCCTATGCCTGACCCACACTACAAACATCATACTACCTCTACCTCTACCTCATTCCGTCTAGTCCTGATTTGTTCACCTTGATATCCGAGCGATTTGCCTCACGCAAGCACATTCCTTCCTGTCCAAAGCACAAGCCATGTACTTCGCATCTCTCCTCCTTACCCTTCTGTCTCTCCCTGCCCTTTCTTCAGTTTCGCATTTTCTCGCTCCTCTAGCTTTCTCCTTTTGGGCCTATTTAAGACGTCGCATATTTTCTTTGTGTTTGTGCTATATAATGACATTGCAGCTAAAAATACTGGCCGTGGTTTCCAGGAGTTGTCATGCCGCATCTCGCTACTTACTAGTATGATGTATTGGCGGGTTGTATATATCCTTCCATAGAATGAGACACGCATATCCTCCCTGGGCTTCGAAAATGTGCTGCCGCACCTCCGATTTGACAGTGTGCGGGTGAGATAGCTTACATGCACGGGCGTCCCATCACACGAAAGATCTAATTTAGCGTGACTGTGACCAACGCGACATGTCCAAGTGAACGGTTATATATGCTTGATGTTCCCTTGACGAAGAGCACCCAGCTGGATACAGGGATGCACTGCGACTTGCAAACTGTGTTCGTCAAATGATGCAAAGGGACAACTAAGATTGAAAAGTATTAACAAAGCTCGCTCAACTCTACTGCCAACTCTAGAACATATCATAAGCAAGCACCGCAAAAGCCCCTACAATCATGCCTGCTCCCAGAATCCCCCCAGCAGTCAACCCAACGGAGCCTAACATTAGATCCGAGATGAGTGTGAGGACGATTGTAAGTAGACTCCCAACGGAAGTAACAATCGGGCCCCAGACTCCCAACAAAATCTAAAAGACATTGATTAGGTAGGGGACATCGTGCGTCTATCATACGCACCATGTAGCCTGCATTAAATATAACGCCTGTTGCACAGATTCCTGCAATTGCAGCGAAGGTCGTCATGTCGGATGGAAGCGCAAACTCTTCAATACCGTAATAATGTAACACAATTAAGGGTATCCAAAGCACGAACAAAGTGCACAAGCCGATGGATGCGGTGAGAAAATTTGGATGAAGGCCGAATGGAAGAGATTGTGTAACTTGATTACTGGCGACGAGTGGTGAAGATGCTAACTCCTCATCGCTAGCCTGTTCCGCTGATGCTGGAATATGGGTATATTGTGTAGGCTCTGCAGCTGGCTCCAGCTCTGATGGCAGTGCTACATACTTCTTGTAAAGAACTTGATACAGACCGTATGTCACGGATGCAACCAGAGTTATAATGACGCCAAATAAAGGAGCGGGAGTTTGGGTGACAGTCATACCACGAGCTACGGCTGCGGTTGTACTTACCGGTGTGCTGTCGCCATATACGATAGTGAGCACTCCAACAATGGCGAGGCAAACAGCACACATCCGAATAAGATTCCATTTCAGGTTCAGCAACTTGACACTGAAGACGTAAGCGAAGAAGGCATTGGTATTCCAAATGGCCGTGACATCAGTAACACTGCAGGATGCTTGAGATCAAAAGCGTGAAAGGCAATTAGCGACGTACGGGGCATATACGACAGCAATAAACCACAATAGGGCAGGTATACTGTAGACAGCAGTCATGACGAAAATCACGACCAGAAATCGAGACAAGGGAAATTGTGAAGAGTGGATGAATCTTGGATCGCGTGATGTCAACTGAGCGGTGATAATGCTGGACAACCCAGATATCAAAGCACGAGGGGAATGGTGGGTCGTCAGGAGGAGATACCCTAGGTGCAATGGAAAGGATAGCACAAATGATGAATGCACGACGTAACTGCGAACTCTGAGTTCGCATCGACATGCCGCGGAGTCATTTGTCTACTCACAATAGAAAGAATGAGTGATGGTAACCCAGTGTTGTTTGGACATACTAATTTGATAAGTCAGTAGTTGATTCATCCACAGTAGCTGCCTTGAACCGAAGCTAATCACCTGTGTGAGTTGGGTCTCTCCAACAAAAGCAAAAATGACTGCAACAAATGTTACAAGCGCAGTCTTTCCACCTAGGCGTGGCGTAACGGAGCTCTCTCTCTCGCCAGCCATGATAAGCCTAAAGTAGGAGTACAGAGATTCAGGAAGTTTTCAAGAAAGTAAACAGATGGATGTCCCGATTAATGGAAATTCTCACTGCTCCATCTCGCGAACAAGAAGTGGTTATCAGCTTCAACGATAGGCTCAATGTTCAAGCTTGCGACTTTGGCGCCAAGCCGTAAGTTCAAAGCTTGCCAAAGAAGACGATGAACGTTCGATGAACCCAACCTAGAATTTCAAGTCACGAAATATCTGGCACGTGACCACAGCACAAAACTTTAACTTGTCTCTGGTCTGCACAGACTGCATTTCACCATGTTGAGAGCCTTACTAGCCTCAAGCAGGCCATTACTAGCGCGTTTGCGCATCCCTACTCTTCCTCACGTACATAATTTCACACCTGCAATCTCATCACTTGGTACGAATGCAATACCGTCCACAGCGCGTGGAATGAAAGTGAGGTCATCTGTGAAGGTCATGTGTGACGGGTGCAGCGTTGTGAAGCGAAAAGGCAGAGTGTATGTCGTGTGTTCGAAAAATCCGAAACACAAGCAGGTGTGCTATTGATCCTATCCTCATCTCGACCTTGGTTGACTCTCGTATAGCGTCAAGGATAATCATCATCGAACCTGTGTTTTTGATTCCCGCAAACGGTTTTGGTAGAATGCATGTAGGGGAAGAGAGATCATTTTTGTCGATATAATGCACAGCTCTCGAAATATTCTACCACCAATGTTATCGACTAAGCCACATCTGGAACTCGTAGCTAACTCCCTTTTCCTCCTGAACCCCTGCTGGCACGTCGAATCCCGTCCATTGCACGAGTTCATCATGAGTTGCTTGCTTCCATTCTGTTTTCCCTTCCCCACTTGCTCCCAAGAAGTCTGGCATAAAAACGTCACATTGGGGGAAATCAGGTGCGAGGATCCGTGTCAAAAGGACACGGTCAGCGATACAAGACGTCGGACTCGAAGATGTAGGGTTTAGTGTCTCCGAGATCAAGGATACTCCACCGATAATAAATCGTCGGTGTATGTCAGCCTGAGACGCCAATTCAACTGCCGAAGTTAAGTTCGAGCAAAGGTGAACTGGAGCTGACAGGTTGGAGGATGTCCTGATTGTCGCTCTATCAATATATGACGAAAAAGATAGAGAAAAGTCATACAGTTCGTAGTCCTTGTTGTGACTGATGACTACGTTGAGGCGTTTAGAAAGAGGCCTGAAATTGGTTGGTATGCTCTCCCATGTCTTCCGCCCCATGATGACCGCGTTCTTCCGTCCTTCAGGCGCGGTAGACGTGACCCGAGCAAAATAGGTCATCTCTTTCGACAGCCGCCATGGAAGTTTACCATGTTGCCCGATACCATTTGATTTCGTGGCGGCAACGATGATCGTAAGATGTGACATGGTCTCTAGCGAAGACAACGTTGACATGGACCAGTACCCTTGTAAGTACTTACCAAGTAAAGGTTTATACCTGTCGGCAATACCTATCACGACCAAATGTCACGGTTATACTACGGCAACTCTTCAATTTTCGCGTATTTTCATGATCCCTCTACCGTAATCGAGGTTTTATTTATGCACAACGAGCAGCAGTGGGAGGTCTTGAGCTATGCCTCACTATCTAATCTATCCCTGAACATCATAGGCCGCATTAAACTTCTTTCTGACAAGAAAGAAATGTGTGTTTTAATGTGCTGACAGGATCCCAAGTTAACAATTTCGATGCGAGACAAGGTTCCATTTTGAAAGCGTCGACAACATGTAAAATAACTAGTAATACAAGCCAGTGATCAAGTTCAATTCCACTTCTTCCACTCACTACCTGTTGGAGGCTTCACTTCGACGGTACCCTTGCTAACTTCCTCCCAGTTTGTGCTAAGGGTAGTTCCTCCACTCTCCTGGAAGCTCTTCATCATTGCGCGTTTGGCGTCATCATCTGCATCTCCGAAGATCTTTTGGAAGAAGGAGTTGACCGTGCTGTCACCGCCAACGTTAGGATCCTCATCTATACCCGCCTCCTTTTCGGATGTGAGAATTTTGGTAGTAAGTTCCTCCCAGTTCTTCTTGGGCTTAGCCCTCGCCTCGGCCACTGCCGGAGAAGTAGTTGGTCCGATAGGGGCGGTCTGGAGAACTAGTAAGCATTAGTACGCATTGAAGAATTGAGGTACGTGGAAAACACGAACGATCAGGAGCGTCACCAGTAATACCTCCCCAACGACCTTGAGCCATTTTCACAAGGCGAAGTTCAACCTTGACTTTGCCAACTGTGAAATCGCACCTCTCCGGATCAATCTGCCCTTTCAAACGGTTCTAAGGATAGTGTCTTCTCGCCATTTGCGTAGCTAACCTATAGCTTCTCTGAGGACTGTGTCTCCCAGAATGAGTGTGGTTGCTCACCTTGCTCGGCTCAAACGTAATGGATACCTGTGCAGGATCAGCCCCTCGGTCGAAGATGGAGATCGTCAATTTTTCGTCTGTCTCATAAAATTCGTGCCTTTATGATATTAGACGAACATCAAGCACCTATTAATGTTGGCCTGACCTTAAGGATGCCATGGTTTGGGCGAAAAATGCAAAAAAAACCGATGCCTAAAGTGATGAAGTTACGCGACTCAATGAAAGCAGAACTTTCCAGCACAATTTGAGGGTCACGTGAACTGTCATGAGGGAAAAGATTCACAAAAAACTGAGACTTGACATTTCAAGAATCTGAACTTGTGTATCAATCGACAACGATGTTTGAAGATCATGAAGTCACGCCTACGTGGATAGCACCTCTGCGATCAAACAGATGATGCATCGACGATGAATGTTTCGTGCATACGGTTGCGTGCTAGCTAGCCCTAACTGGAAATCAAAAGAAGGACAAACAGGTGGGGGTCCAGACGTCATCATCTTCCCTGACTGCTGTCAGGCAACCTACGATGACCACGTCGTCTGCGATACCTAAGGCCGTCTTGTACTACAGCCCACAATCTGTGTGGTCCTCTGCGAGTAAGTATCGGTCTTTACATTCATGAATCAGTGTTGTTCAGTGCTCTTACCTCACTGTATCACTAGTACTTCTTGCACTGTGAGGTCATCGCGAAGCATTGTATCATGCTATTAATCTACAATTCATCTGCAGACACGAAAAGGGATACGGAGAGGATGAAGTTGATCTCAGGGTTGTCGACATCGGTACGTCTTAAGTGCATTGAAGTGGCTTGAGCATTGGCTAACGTATGTTTGCATCAGACAAAGGAGAAGAATTTTCCCCGACCTTCCTCAGGTTGAGCCCAAAAGGTGGTATTGGACCCATTCTGTATTACTGATCATTGACCGCCCCCTCAGGAATGGTGCCAACTCTTGTTGTACCCCTCCGCGGCTCTCTCGCATCTGATATTGCAAGCCGCTTCAAGGCTATCTCTGATACGAAAGTCAGCTGGCCATCGTTTTGCAGTTTCCTTTCTGCTAACGGAAAGAACAGGCACTGATCGAGTTCCTGGATAAATCTCGGTCCGCATCATCTCACACGCACACTACATCGAGCGCTCCGGCCCCATCATTATCCCCTGCGACGGTTGCATTCGCCAGTGCATCCAGCAAGATTATCGACTCTATTCATGCTGATGAGGTCTCTCCCGATCATTTGCAGTACTTGAATGCCCGCGATCAAGCCTCACTTCAAGAACTTGGAAAGTCTCTGGTCCCTATCCTCCAATCTAGACGAGCGGCAATCGTGGGATATCTCATCGATTGTGAACGTGAAACCATGCGGATGTCTGAAAAAACCAAGGCATTCTGGCGAGAGAAACAAGCTGAGACGGAGACGGAACTGAGCGTGTTTAACGGGAATGATGTCGACGGATACTTGTCACGCTCCAGGAATATGTGGGAAATCACAATTCCTGGTGTTCTCACTCGAGTGAACGAGGAGTTGATCGGGCCCTACGCGTTAGGTTCGTCGGGAAGCCACTTTGCTCGACTCATAATAACATAATGTGAAACATAGGTGATCAGGTCTCTATCGCAGATATTCACTTAAGTGCTTGGCTATCTCGCCTTGTCAGATTGGCTGGCGGAAGCCCTTCTGATGATGGAGATGTCGCTATAAAAAGGGTGGAAAAACATATTGGAAATGGGTTTGTCTTTCCCGAGGACTTTTTGTCTTCGGCTTTTAGCCCATTCGCTGAAGAAAAAGCAGTCGCGAGGAGCAAGCTCGCAGCATTTTGGGATGCAATGAAATCACGGTCCAGCTGGAAGAAAGTTTATGCTTCATGACACCTTCAATTTGTATACATATCAATTTACTCTCGATAATCTCTACTTAGTGGCCAATGGAGTCTCTTTGCATTCCAGCCAATTATCTCACACGCAACTTGCAAAGTAAAAATGACTTTACAGCCACTTGACAGTTTTTTTGATCGCAGCTGGTCCCAGTGGCAGTGTCCTACCACGCCTCTATAGGTATCATACCCGACTCAGGACTGTTTGCTTTGACTTTTAAGGACGCTCATATCATTTCATACCAAGAAAAAACCAACACGGGCAGTAACACGACGCTCAGGCTAGCGTTTAGTTTTGACACCGAATTCTAGCTATCGCACGTTATCAACGATACACTGGTCAATTTTGCAGGCCGCCATTTTCTGAGGCTTGGCTTCCACGCTCTTTTCCAATGCCATGGCGGGCATTGTGGATTTCCCTGGTTCTTCCCATTTATTTCGAGCACCCAATGAGGAGCACCGCGACATTCTTGGAATTGATTATAGGGAGGGTGGTTCGTCTAACACTCCCTTATCCGAGCGCTGTTCCTTCACGGACACTGGATACCCTGATGTAATGCCTGGAAGGTCGTCTTCGGATTCTTCATCGTCTACAACACCCACACCATCTCGCGCTTCTTCGCCTCTCCCGTTTTCTCTCCATTCTTCATCTTCATCAGAAACCGAGTCCAACGCACCTCTACTCGGCCTTGGAAGATATACCTCCTCGGGAGAGAGCCGCTGGATCTGGCGTAACTTAGGTTCAAGTTCTCCAAGGAGGCGTAAACGAGATGGAAGAAGGTGGAGAACCTTCAAGAGTATTTTGAGACGTATTGTCAGACACCCGTTATTCCCTCGTCAACCGCTAACCATCGTATGTTTTTTTATCTGCACTACGTTCCACGTCTGACAATTCGATAAGATACTTGCCCTCCTAGTGTTCACCGTCTTCGCCATTTCTCTCACATTAATTCTGCTTTATGTCTTGAACCCCGACAAGGAAGCTTTACCTTGGAGGGCATACTGTACCATCCCGCCAACAACATCTGTTCCTCCGCGCTACCGTAATGCACTGCCATACCCGTACATCAACCCCCTTCCCAAAGTGATGCCGCCATCGTTTCCACCGGATGATCTTGATACACTGCCCCCTGCAGGGCTGTTCTTAGCTGTCTTCTCGATGGATTCGTCACTAGAACGCAGAATGTTGATTCGAACAACATGGGCGGCACATCCCCGTAGTCGTAATGGCGCAGGAGAAGGGGACGGCGGGATGGGCACCTCGAGAACTGTGGTGCGTTTTGTTCTCGGACAGCCCCGCAAAGGATGGGAAAGACGTATTCAATCAGAGATGGAAAGTAAGTGTATCATGTTGGTCCGTTGCATCACTCTGATGCATGCTCTTGCGTAGTGTACAATGATATGATAATCTTGCCCTGCTCAGAAAACATGAATTCCGGCAAATCGCATGCCTACTTCACGTGGGCAGCATCGAACGCTTGGGTCCCGCCAGTCTACTTCAATACCACGCACCCTGTACCGGAGTTCTCTTACTCGAATCAATATACCCCTGCCCCCCGTCTAGCCCCCCATGATCCCTACCTCGCTTGGAAAGACAGTGCCTCGGGTCATCCAAGGCCTTGGGTGCGGCCCGATTATGTGGCTAAAGTCGATGACGATGCTTTCGTTATGTTGGCTGAGCTGGAGGCGCGTATGAGGCTAGAGCTGTACGCTACAGGGCAGAGACCATACGGCATGCCCTACACTTCGCCAGGCTCGACATCCCTCAGAGTCGAGGCACCAAAGGTGGAACCACAGACCGGTGCTCCTGCCGATACCCCTATATCATTGATGGTTGAACGGGAGATGCCGCGCGACGGATCAGCGAACGACCCATTGGTTTACTGGGGCTACCTTGTTAAAGAAAAGTTTATGGCTGGCGAATTGTATGGCTTGAGCTGGAGTCTTGTCGATTGGGTTTCCAAGGATCCAAGCGTCAAAGGTCTTACCAAGGGCGCAGAGGACAAGCAGACGGCCAGATGGATGGGACTACACCCACTTGCAGCAGAGATCCGCTGGTCAAGCGACCGTTGCTGGATATATGATCATCCCCGGTCAGGGACTGTGTGAGTCAACACACATGTCCGTCTAATATTCTTGTGCTAATTTTCTCATAGATACTCCCATGGCTTCCTGTTTCCCTCTGAAGTCTCTCGTGTTAAGAATTCTGTTTTGGCACTTCTCGACAAGGTGTCCCGTAATTCATCGACCAAGACGACTTCTGTATCAAATACAGCTATTGAGACTTCGACACTTTTATCTTTATCACACTCAAGTGTTTCGGCATTTGGTACCCGGTACCAGCAGCCCTTACAAGAGATGGACTTGGCTCATAGTGTTGAGGCACTAGTTGAAGGTAGCTATATGTCCGAGCTGCAGGAAGGTGCGATATCAATTGTCCTCGATAAGCGTATGTTAAACGTTAGCGGCTGCAGGGAAGTCTATGGGCACAGAGAAAGCATGGCGCATCCGCGAGGGACGCATCACGCGATACGAGAACAAGCGCGTTGGTGGAACTGTCGTAGTGCACTTCATCAAAAAGCACATGTGGTTCTTAGAGACTGCGCTCGCTTTCTTGGAAGGCGATAATTATTCTCAGGCTGAACTCGAGAGTCTCGATGCGGACGAGGGCAGGCTCGACGTGGGCTTGACGTCAGTATGGACAGACAGTTCAGTTTTCAAGCCGACGAATGCAAGTGCTGCATTGTAATGGCTATGTGTATTTGGACTGTTTTAGCAGACCTCTTGTATTTATCTTTGGGGGAAGCCCGGGACTATCATATACCATTGCTTGGAGACTAGTTGACATCATCGCTACTCCGACATCGAATTTATCGCATACAATATTATCAAGAAAAATGGGAAGGGTGATGGGTCTGTATTGCCCCAATCCTTCATCCCTCGGGGGTGTTCAATACCCATCCAACACCAATGCCTGATGCGTAGGGTGATCATCAGGCATTGTCAAGGGTTGTTTGTCCTGCAGCCTGTTTTGCACCGCTCTCCTGATGGTTCCTTCCCATTGCCTAAACCACTCTCCTTCTCGCATGCCAACGACTTTTGTCCGTCGGCCCGGAGGGTCAGGGAGGGAAGATCCTTGGGCGGTGGCATCCACGGCCTCAAACACATCACGGAAAGGACTCTCCGCATGTACATCCGGACCAGATTGCTTTGCAGTTTGTTCGACGCGCTTCAGCGCATATGCGCCGCCGCAGACATCCCAGCGCCCACCACCGCGTGAGTGGAAACGTTTAAATAGCCATATAAACGGGTATATGAGGGTAAGAAAGAGCAGAAACTTGATCCAGCGGTTCGAAAGAGCGCGGGAGAGCCGGTTATGTGACCGGACAGATACGACGTTTTGAGATGTTTCAAACTGGACGGACAAGTCACCCCGATAGTGGGTAGAATTGACGACGGATATAGTAGCAACCCTCATGGCCTCAAAATTCCAACCATAAGCAATCTGCAGATCGAGGATGAGAACTATGCGTATTATGTCACTGGAATATCTACTGACCTTGTGGTAATTAAATTCTTTCAGGTACTTGCGGCTGGCACAATAGTCGTCTGCCCACTGACGCAATGTCCACGATGATCTGAGGACACCGTTCGTTTGCATGACGACTGGTTGGTCCTCTCTCCATGCGTAGTCGCTACCGATCCACGGAGGGAACCCCCTGCGAGTGCGCTCGGTGTCCCACGCTTTTGCCGCCTTTCTTTCCGACTTACGTGCCTTCCGTTTCTCATCTGAAATACCCACTTCTTGAAACATGCGCCCCCTATATGCAGGGGTGGAATCGGCATATGACCAGTGGGTTGGGTCTCCGAAAATGTGCTGTCCGACGTCTATGCAAAAGTCGAAGTCTGTTATGCGTTCGGTATACTGCTCTGTCTTCATCTTGGTATGCCCATTGTGATGTGAGTGGACCATCCGCGTGTGAGTCTCGTTGTGTGATCCTTGGCATCGCAATATGACGGTGGGTGGCGTTGAGGCCTGTGAGAGTAAGAAGCGGTATAGGGCTTCGCCTGGAAGAATTGAGAATGTTAAGGCGTCAGAAACCGGAAGGCAGTCAACGTACCGTCATCGTTGAGATGAGAATCATGAGAGATGATGTCACCAGAACGGGAAGTAAAGAAGTGGGCGTCGTAAGGGGCAAAGGCAGGCGGTTCTTCACCGCCTTCCTGTGGAAAATTCAAACTGTCGCCCTGAGGAAAATGCAGAACATGGTCTGCAACACTTTCCTCGAATGTTGGAGGAGGCTGCTGCAAAGATGATGATGCAAGTGAAGGGTTGCTGTCTCTGACAGAATCTTGCTTGGAATTGACTGGATCTGCGTCTATAATGAGCATTTTATCGTCGTCGTTGTCGAAGGTGTAGCTGTGTGAGACGGCCTAGAACAAGTCTGCATTTTGACGGGCCTGGGTGTAAACGTTGATGCACAGCTTAGGGCGCATAGCAGGTGTTGTTACGTAATGACATACTTAATGCTGCGTGGTGTGTAATCTGCTCCAGGTTAACCCTTACAAGGTGGGTCAAGTACTGTTAGGCTTCCGTCCCAACGCTGACCGGTTTTTACTTGTTATCAGCTTCTATCGCGTTGCATGCGATGATCCTAGAAGCTTCGTTTATTAAGCCACGACTTTAAGGTCGGCCCTGCAGTGTGAGTCTTTTCTTCCTAATTGTCTTCTTCATACTTTCTTCATTTTACTTGTGTATGGCAACTCTTAGCTTGCCTTTGTTCCTAGAGTCTTGTTAGGATCCTTGTATGATCAGTTAGGAAAGACGCTCAAGGTCTTGATTAGGGTCTTACTGTTTTTTTTAATACCATTTCCTGCTGAGCCTGCTGCGGGGTCTGGCTTCCAGTGGTGCAAGTCTCCCTTGGCATCGTGCACCTTTTTTTTTTGGCTCATTCTCCTCCAAGCATTGTTTCTGATAAATCATCCCTTTATTCCACCCCGGTTCGTTCTCACAATTTGCTAACGACACGCCTTGGGAAACCCGACGACATTGACGCCATATCCCACCCCTGTAACTGCAACTCTTCCACTGCACTCATCCGCTACGCCCACAACTTTTGAAACCTGTGTCACATCTACATTTGGTTCGCTTACATCATATCTCTGTTGTGTCTCCACCCATAACTTCTGTAACGTCGATGTCTTCGAATGCATCTTCATCGTAAGTTTCTTCGTTATCATCCAGGCACTGTTTCTTGACCTATTGCGCAGCGTCGCGCCCACAACCGCAGCGCCCAGCAGTGTGCCGCCATCGACTAGTGATTCTTTACTGCCCACAAGCTCTTCTACGCGCCTAACGACGAGCCCTACTTCGTCCCCAACGTCTACTATGTCTTCCAGTATAGCATCATCGACAACCCCTGTATCATCGCAGTCCACGACCAGTGCAGATCCAAGTACAGTCATAACGACGACGAGTTCTTCGACAACTAGTCAGTCAGCGACAACGACAGCCACTAGCTCATCACCAGCGACTTCCTCGTCACTCACGACAACTTCTTCATCACTCACGACATCCGCTTCATCATCGACGACTTCCTCACCACCGACAACTTCCTCACCACCGACAACTTCCTCATCACCAACGACTTCCTCGCCATCGCCCACTACAAGTACACTAACGACCACTTCCAGTGCGCCTCTGCAGACATCAACCTCATCGTCATCTCAACCTTCATCGACGTTACCTGGCACACCGTCATCGTCGGTCACACCGGTGCCGGTCGTGTTTGTGTGCTCCTTGCATTTACACGTCGTTTACTGACGCATCTTGTTCATACATTGCAGTACAACGTTGGAAAGTACCTTATATATCACCACAACGAATGCTCAAGGACAGCCAACAACGACTGCGCCCTCTATTATCACAGAAGTTACCACTTCCACAAACAGCGCGGGAGCTGCTACCACTATCACAGTAGCAGCTGCAAACCCCACCCTTGCCCCCGACAATGTGACATCATCGGGTTCCGCGTTAGCTCCCCTGCTTATCAGTCATCATTCATACTTATAATATAACAGGTTCTTCAGGGACACGGGCGCCGTGGTCGGTGTCTTCCTTGTGGTTGGTTTGGCCGTTACATCCATTGTGCTCTGGATCTTCTTTTTCATCCGACGTAAGCGTCGTATCAATCGAATTGACCATGACACCGAAATCGAGGCAGCTGTTGCTGCCTCGGGCTTTGGTCGATCTCCTTTGGATGATGACAATGATTACCGAGGTGCCCGATCGCTACAATCACATTCTCTGTCTTCGGCACAGATGGTGCAGCGTGGGAGCCCCGTTGGCTATATTCCTGACGGTTCTGGCTTACCCACTTCCGGTCAGCCAGTTTCAGGTGGGCCATTTGATGATGACAATGTCGCATTCAATCCCTACGCGGACTATGTAGTTGAAGGTCTACCAACAAGTGGAGGGTATATTCAAACTCGCAGTGCTAGCCCTCCTCCGGAAGTTGAGCAGCAAGGGCCTTCTAGTAGTGGAGGATTGCATGACATCGGTGATTCCTCTCGGGATCGGAAAAGCTCCTATGGCCATACCCCCACGTACAGCGTTGCAAGCTATGAGCCGCTACTGGCCGCATATACGCAAGGATCCTCTGCGGAGCGAGGTGTCAGCTCACCGCCCACACCGCCCCCGAGGAATCCAGCACGACGTGTGCACCTCGACAGTGCAGCTTCCCGCCCTGCGAATAATTCATTAGATGGAGGTGCCGATGATAGGTTAGATCCTGAGATTCGGAGGCGGACCAGGTCGGATAGCCTCGGCTCAGACGACCTCAAAGATGAAGAAGACTACAGCCGACCGGTGCTCACCGTAAGAGCTTCAATTTTCTTTCTTGACGCTATACTCAGATACCACAGGTCCGCAATATGCCTGATGGTCGCAGTATAAATTCTGCGCTGTGACGAACATTGTGTTTGCGTCTGGGTTTTACTTCCTTCCGAAAAGAAATTTGACTGTCGTGTCATTAATGTTGTGTCCGAAATAATCTGGACTATTTACTGATTTGTTGAGCAGATCATCCTCATCCTTTCTGACCCTCGTACATACTGCAACCGCATTCTGTATATCACCACAAACCATGGACACACACGGACGAATGTTCCACTCACAGACTTCATACTTAGTCTTCAATCTACTCCCGTTCAATGTTTGTGTCACGTCGTTCCATCACGTGGTGCTACACCTCCGGCATACTTTCCGTGACACCCTAAGACCCCATGTATCCCGTGGTACATCTATTTGCAGACACTTATCGTACCTTATCATTATCTCGTGTCACAAGGCAGAGTTCTCTCAGGCTGCTATCACCTATACTGCTTGACGTCTCTCGGAACTCCTATGGATCATGATGTATGAGGTACAACTCTTCGATTACCTCTTACTCCGTTGTACTTACTTGCCCACACATGAGTCAGGTCCCTATACACGATACCCCAATACTCGGCATGGCTACGCGTCCCAGAGTTTCAAAGGCTATCGAATATGGGAACATAGCCAACTTCTGGGTTGAATATCCCTCCGGTCTTATGGACCTCACGCGTTCGCAGCATCTCACGACTGACGGGGTGGAACCATCCTTGGTGAGCTCGACACAGCTCGACATCCCTGTAACTGGCGACCGTACCATTCGCGTCGACAAGTCCAAGACAGCTGTAGTGATAATTGATATGCAGAAGTAATTCACTGTCCCACTAATTGCTTGAATGACGAATTGATGGTGGACAGCTTCTTCCTGCATCCCGAACTCAGAGTGCATAAAACCGGCTTGGCTTGTGTTGACCCGCTTTTGAAGGTTATCGGCCCTCTTCGAAAGCAAGGAGTGAAGATACTATGGGTGTACGTCATATCATTTTTGCATCGGTTACTGTTTACCCAACCGTAAAACAGGAATTGGGGCCTCACTGATCAAGAGGTGAAGACTCTTCCCCCTGCTGTGGCCAGGGGATTTAGGAAAGGAGGGTTCGGAGGGTTCGGCACTGAAATGCCTGGCAACTTCGGCAGATTGCTCATGCGAGACGCTCGCAATTCAGAGTTATATGGCCCTCTGCAACAAGAGTACTTAAGAGGAGAGAAAGCGGGAACCGACGTTTGGATTCACAAGAATAGGTCCGTTTCCTCGAACATACTCCCATTTGCACTGAGTTCTGACTGAAAGTGCAGGATGAGTGGGATATGGGGACATCAAACAGCATTGGACCTCTATCTGAAGGAGAATGGAATCACAACATTATTATTTGGAGGTGTGAATGCCGACCAGGTGGGACCTCAGCTTAGCTTGTTGCTTTCTTCCTACTGAAGTTGACGCAGTGCGTTTCGGGCACCTTCATCGACGCTTACTTCCAAGGCTATGATTGCGTGATGGTCGAGGACATCACAGCAACAACTTCTCCAGCTGGTGGTCTTGAGAACGTCTTGTACAATGCTGCAAACGTGAGCGTTCGGTTTTACATGCGTGACAGATTCGGAACTAATCGAATGGAGGGCAGTCTCAAGGTTTCGTTACCAATACATCCAACATCATCAATGCGAGTGGCTGATTTTTTTCCATCGCCCACTTTGTTGAGCTCTGTGATCAAACTATCCGATGTATCATGTTATCTACCTATCATACAAGGTCAATGCACACAAATTCAAGCCCTTCCTGTCTTCACAATGTGTCCACACGCATGAATCGCAGTCTTTCACCGGCAAAGGACAGAACTGCCAAAGACGATAACCACAATGTGTACTTGAGGCAATAGTTCCAAGTGAGTATCCGCCGAACACTGAACACCAATGGCAAAATGAAATAAGAATATGATATCTGAATCGTATTACGAAGCTATATATGTCTAAATGTTCAAATCAATATGACCTCCCTGTCATCAAAGCCTACATCCACTCGCAGCACGCCTCTCTCGAACAGTCTATCCAGTTTTTGATTGACAATCCCGCTCATCCTTCCGTCGTCTTCAGTTGCTACCACAACTTGTACATCCTCCAGGGTTGTCCAAGGCTTTCCGTCCAATACGTGAGCTAGCCCTTCAAAGTCCATTGATGAAAGGGCGCGCGTATCAGCGGGGTACAACGCGAGCGAGAGAGCTCGTAATGGCGCACGCACACCATCGAAGAGGGTAGTAGAGTGGCATCAACTGCGGTGGCGGTGGGGGAGGATCGAGGCTTGATAGATCTGGAGGTGGCAAGGAAGGAATAATGAGTCCATACACATGCATCTCTCTCAAAACATTGTTATAGCCGAGGTCAATGTGGGATACAACCTCGTCTGCACTGAGTGAGCCCTAGTCTGTCGTCGTTAGAAGCAAGTTCTCACCTCCATCGTCTATGAATGCAGCATCGAACCCGAGATGAAGCTCTTTCAAGTTTGTGCCCAGCATCTTCAAGAACTTCCCCACTGCTGGGGCACTCTTGAGACCCAACGCTCCGAGTCTCAGCACTTCCACTGTCACCCGCCCTCCATCGTCCTTCATCGCCGCCCCCATCCACTTCAACACATGTCTGGTACATGCTCCCCGCATCGCGAGCTCCCTAAGTTTTCTTGGCGGCTTAGGAATCGCTCTATCATTTGCTCTAGATACAAATACCTCTGAGTCCACAGGTATATCATCCCACTCACAGCGCACCCCGTCCAGTGCGAGCACTTCTACATCTTCAAACTCTCCGATAACCCTGATCATATCCAGCGTCGTCCTGAACTCGCATACTCGCAGCGCAAGCTTCCGCACACCCTTGAATCCTTTCATAAAAGCATCCCGAGATTTGGACGACAGATACTCCCAGGTGATACGCTCAGCTTCGAGAGAGTGAAGATTGACGAGCGCACCAGCTAGGGTTGGCAAGACTGCGTTAAGCCATTTCGGGTCCCACGACATACCTCCCCGCGATTCACGGATGAAGAGGTGCTTGACATGCGGAACGAAACTCGGAAGGGTGGATTCATGCCCTGAGTTGTAATGTTGCAATAACTCGACGAAATCATTCCCTCTTTGTCCGCTTCCAAGTCGCACATGTCTCCATAAATGATCCCGGGCAGCGTATAGCCAAAATCTGCTCACGAGAGAGCAATTACAGATTTCTGCGAGATTGGACTGGCCGTATATACTCGTTATGGTGGGTGTGTCTGGCACAGCAATGAACGAGATGATGTCCAGGAAAAGCTCTGGTGGAATGCGCGGCAAAGGAGTTACACGAGATGCACCCTTCGTGGAGACGCGGTGTTGGAAGGCGGGTGATAGTGGGGTCGGGAGGGGGAGTATTGGAGAAAGATCTGGAAACGCAGGTGAATATGGGGACTTCCAAGAATGCACCAGCGTGGTCGGGGAAGTGATTATTGACAATGAAGGGGACTGCAGGTGCAATCCAGGGACGGTGGTGATCAGTGTAATGGCCATGGTCGAAATATCGAAGCTAGATAGCGAAGTTTACAGATGAGCCCGGCGTCTAATGGGCGGCTGATTAGAACCAGGGGGTATCTGTGCGTAAGTACTGTTGTGGACCAGCCAAGCAACCCAATCCTGGTGAGAAGCTTCTCTGGGGAAAAACACGAGGCACGATAACAGAGACAGAAACAAGGAGCATGTTTATATCGTTAAGCCGGCAGACAAAAAAAATCCTTCACAAACAGACTTTTCTATATTGGTTCGCGCTCCGAGTCCTGTTTGATAGTACAAGCTAGCAGCTTGGTTACAGCCAAGCGTTTTATGGTAGTAGCTGAATTTTTTTACCCACTTCCGGATGCTTACATCCGCCCCCTCCATATCGGGTTACACCTGTTGCGCCAGGTTGCGCCTTCCTTAGCACGGGTACCCACAAGCTCATGTTGATAAGGGAGGGTATCAACATTAGGAAAATGCATTGTCAGGTTGAAGTGTGTCTGTTGGAAATAGGACCGCGTCAGCATAGTCATCATCCCAGCAACTTGAAATGGACGTCGCCGAATAAGACGGGTAACTCAGCTTCTACACAACAACAGCGATGTACACTGCCAAGGCGTCATGGTGGACAGTGCAGGGAAAGCAGGAGTCGCAAGTGCAGCATTGTGATTCATATGTTTTTGCTAGAGAGGCGGTGCGTGCCAAGTTCTAACTCCGAAGTTCATAGCCACTATCGCAACAGGAGACGTGACTTATCCACAAGGAGAGAGAGACATGAGAATGGACCATAGAGGTAGCGAGTACTCAAGTACTCACGTCCGGTTCGCGATCATTATCTACGACATGTTCGAAGCAAATCGTGTTGCCGCACTCTAGCTGCAATAAGTACATACGAGCGGAGACGAGACACCCAAGATCTGTAAACCCTGAAGATTGAAACTTCGGTGGCACTTGAAAGGGCTTCTGGAATCGAATTCAGCACTTGTGCGAACGGACCGCGTACTGCGGTAGGAATGCAGCTTACCAAAGTTACTGTAAGACAAACCATACCATGATATAACATAGCATGTAACTTACTTTGTCAAATTTGCCACCTACATCCCAATCAAAATTGAAATCGCTGTGCAAGGCCGGCAGAAGCACTGCCGAGTCCCGAGTACGAGGACCAGATGAGGAGTGGACTGGCGGCTACTGGCGGTGATCTGAAGGCGGCTGTCGTTACGGTGATACTAATAACTTGGTCGTACATAGTCTACGGACACAGGCGGTCACGCGCATGCGCTGTGAGTCGCACCGCACGATGAAGCTCGGAATAAAAATAAATTGTTCCACTCCCTGCAGAGTATCCAAGAAGTGTTAACCACATCGGGCGTTTCTCGTGTTACACGCTACTGCTAGTTGACACATGCAGGCGTTCCTAGAAAACAGCTGAACTCATGGTGGTTCCCACATCGGAGTCGGCCACGAGCTTAGCGTGATCCCGACTGTAACACAATCATCTGGATGACCGTAAAAATTTCGAGAACGCCAACAGAAACATGAATTTTAAGTCCCATAGAATGGTGAGCTGTGGTCAGTTACACATGTTGCAGGAGTCAGTGACAGATCGGCATACCGCTGACAGCACCGAAGACAAATAAATGAGAACAAAGCTGGTATGCGCGGAACTTCAGCAGGTCCCTGGGTGAGAACTGCGTTCACGTTATGAGTTCACCTTGCGAAGTAAGCCATGTGATTCTTCATCAACGCCGTGAAACAGTCCCCGATAATCGATGGTCGTTGCATTTTACGAAACAGCAATCCAAACTGCGACACATGGCACATGCAGTTGTGGTCATGGAAACCAGAGGTAACAGTGCACTTATAGGTACCGGAAAATATGAGCACCTCTAGTAAGCCCGTCGATGAGCCTGATGGGCACTGAAGTCTTTCATCCATGAATAAAGCTTACCCTTTTAAATGAGTGCGCTGATCACGCCGGTGACCAATCCGCCACACGATGTCCTTTATGTAACTCCACACGCGTGGGGTGAAACCCAGAAATGTCCGGGCAGGTTCTGGTCAAGAACTACAACAGAGCACAAGATGTTCAATAATCTCATTCACCCCTGCATGGATAGAAATGCTGGGCGTCGGTACAGAATAAGTATTGACGCATGTGCCAACTATAACGTCGACAAGAAAACCTCCTTTGGTAGGTCTTAGTAGGTATTACTTGTGGACAAACATGCTGTAAAGCCTGGGGTATCGAACCTTCTATATGAAACCTAACTATCCATGAGATAACAACGGTGGGAATATATGAGAGATATCACATGAAGCATTAGATACTGTGAATCAGTAAAGTGCAAGGGTGAAATGATGTACAGCGTTTGAGTAGAATATGTGATCGAAAACAGTACTAGTGGTATACAAAGAGATGGCACGAGGCGCATGGCCATATACGAGGGATTGTGACAAGGCAGAAGCGGCACACTAACTCAATACTCACCAGCCGTCAATTATCACTACTTAACAACATTTGGAGGTCCAATTTTTCAATCGAAACTTGTCCGAGCGTCGCCTTCGAGCTCCACTAAGACTCCCAAAGCTTAGATGGCTAGAGCTCGTCACTCTTCGGAGGGCACGGTCCCCATAGCTAACACCGCTCCCGGCTTTCTCGGGATCTAATATTCCTGACTCTATGGAAAGTAGGATAGACCTTGCAGCAAGCAGAAATGGAGCTTCAACGTTGTCGCCGCTTAATGAAGAAACCTCGAGAAAGTGAACATCTTTTAATAACGTCAGTACATTTAAGGTCAGAAGAACGTCAGATTACCATTCAGCGCTGCCCATCTACTAGCTTCAGCCCACTCCACTTCACGGTCCTCCTCCCTGTCGGACTTGTTTCCAACCAGGATCGCAACTAAGTGCGGGCTTGCCAAAGCTCTGGCATCAGTGAGCCACTGGGACATATTCAAAAAAGAATCGCGGCTGCCAGTAAAAGCTATGAGGACCAAGATAATGAATAAGTATGAATGTACCAACTTCGTGATATCGTATACAAGAATTACGCCAGCTGCACCACGGTAGTAGCTACGTGTTACAGATCTGTTCCCCGTGCTGCTGTCAGGATTGGAGCAAGTCACATCAAACGCGCGACGAACCGGAAGCGCTCCTGACCAGCAGTATCCCATAGCTGTAAAGACTGTAAGCGATGCGTGAGTTATTGAAGGACGTGACATACTTGAAGCTTTATCCTCTTCTCCCCTAACTTTACTGTTCTACTAGAGAACTCCACTCCGATGGTATGTTGAGAGTGGTCCTTGACTGTGAGGAGGCCTGAGACTGACACCCGGTAGAGAAACAGACGACAAACATGCGTTGTGGGTAAAGTGATGCAACAAACATGATTTGCCTGTCCCTGCCTCTCCTGCAAGCGGAATGAATCTTGTTCCGAAACGACTGTTCCCGGTAAGCGCAACACACCGATAATAATGTACTTCATTAAGAAGTCTGGAAGTTGATGAGCATGAATCCAATTCAATAAATCACCAAAAACAAACCGTAAGTTTCCAGAAGTTCTGTAGCATCTACATCATACTCGTCTAGCGCCATAGGGTAAGGAATAGGGTGTTGGTTGAGGTGCCGATTCACGAAGCTTCCGTCAACTGCTGCAGAGAGGCTTACAAAGTTCCCACGGAACCAAACCTATATCTTCAATTACATAATACATGTGTGTAGTAGTAAGTCTAGTACTACTACCAGCCCTTCCATGGGACCCAAATGTCAACCACTTTATCACTTCCTTCATCCGAATCGATGATGTAGTACCACGGATAAGCAGCGGCTATCAAACATGCGTGCTGCCCAACAATCTCGACAGTATCTCCGATCTTCAACGTAGGATCTGTGCGACCTAACTCTGGGTCTGGGGGAACTTGTATCAGTATCCCGTGCTCCTGCGAAATTCTTCCTAGCTTCCATGACTTTCCAACAACCTCGCCGAAGCCTGGAATACGACCCGTGTCTTTGCTCATAGCTATGGCACCAGCATCACACATGGCTTCGTCTTGCCCATCACTTCCTCTTCCAGGGTAGTATGAAATGACAGTGGCTAAAACCTTCTGGGAAATTTGTGGACGGCCGATCAAGGTTGTGTGTACCTGCTGGAGATCGAGCATGGTATAATTTCCTGTACGAATTGGTTTATACCAAAATCCCTTCTTGATGAAGTTCGCTTACCTGTATGGAGCTCCAGTGTTCCATTGAGTGTAGATGTCATCTTCAGCTTTGCTTCCGCGGTTGCGCTAAGAGCAGTCGGAGTAGATCCCACGGAGAGGACGAATGGCTGATTGTTGACCTCTCTGTTATCTGACTCTGCCAGAACTTCCATGGCCATGCCTGCTGCATCATTGGTAAGACGCACTTCCCCTGTTAAATATGAGGTAGCTTGCTCCAGTGATGTCGATCCATACGAGTTTCCGGCATGGGTGTAAAATCCAAACACCGAAATTGCCGAAGATGCAAACACCCTCCTCATGAATGCTTTGAAAGACACGGGCTCTGGAAGTATTCCGGCTCGCCTATGTTTGTAAGTAATATATCACTGTGGTATTCCAGGAACATACTTTAGACCGCCATTCATTTTGATAAATGCAGACCATTTCTTCGGGTGCTCTTGCGCCCTCTCGTATTCCTCCAGAAATTTCACTTGATCTAAATGATCTAAGAGAATACGAACAGTTCCTCCGTATCTTGTCATCTCAGCATGCAGAGCAGACAGATCATCCAACTTGTTCAATCCAACTGGAAGCCCGTACAGAATCTGAAAAATAGGTGAGAATCGGAACAACTTTTACATGCCTTTTGACTAACATCTTTGACTGTACCGTCGGCTACGAGACCACCTTGCACCACTCCCCAAGCTTCCATGAGTGTCGATACAACGACCGCAGAAGTTCTACCGACATCTGAAACTAGCTGCAATTTCGTTCCTTCGACTGTCTGATGAAAGTCATCGCAGTGAATTTCGTTTGTGCTTGACCTCTCCTACCTTGTGTGTCTTCAAGTGTCCTCTAAAAGTTGCTCCACAGTCTCTGGCATTCTCGTGCATCTTCCTGCAGTTCTCTGCGAACACCGCGCGGTCCACGACAAAGGCGGGTGTTCTCAGCGCATTGAGTGGCTTGCCCACAAATTCAGCAACCAATGCATCTTTATTGGGATCAAGAAAGTGCAATGGCGTTTTAGTCTGTAGTATGTGTGTCATAATCTTTGCGGTGGGAGTTGGCTGTCAATATTGCGCCAATAGCATCTGCTTATAACGCTACAATGTAAGCTGCTTCTCTAATATCTATATCGACGTGTCCACCTCGTCATAATGGCGTTGCAGCTGCCTTTTGTATCCATCATGTGGTATGTCTTGTGCACACTACGTGGCAAGCTTTTCATTCCCTTTCAATAGAGGCTTTGCAAGCTCCACGGTATCTACGATTATCGAATGCTATTAACAGCTCTTCGTATCTACGGAATTCCGTCATATGTCCTGGTGACCCTACGAGATCGGTCCGCTCTGACCGAGGTGAATCGTCCAACCTCTACATAGAGAATATGGTTTGGAAGATACCTGCTTATCACTCTTGAAGGCAGCCAGCTCCGAATCCATTGTTTCAGTTGAAATGGCAGCTCCGCAACCCGAAGCTATTAAACCGCAAGCCATTGACCCAGACATCCTTCCACGTCTCGATCTCGAGTATGTCGCCTTTCACAATAAACATGTCGCCCATCTCGTTCCCCCTCACGCCCTACCTTGGAACCCCGCCATCCGTAATGGTGACACCGTACCGGGAAGCGCAGAGGTCTTGTCAGTCGGCAGTGTCCAAGACTATGATTTGAGCCACTGTAAAGTACGTGTCTTTACGCCGGAGGGCACTCCTCCCCCTGACGGCTGGCCCGCATATGTCTGGTACCACGGTGGTGAGTTTGAGGCACCTTTCAATATCAATGATATTGAAGCAGTATTATAAGGCGGATGGACCCTCGGAAACATTAACACAGAAAACGCTTTCTGCTCTCGACTTTGCAAAGGTAAAATTACGAGGCATAAAAACACACCGAGCGTTGTGTGCTTATCGCTAGCTTGCAGGAGCGAGGTGTGTTGTAGCATCGCCAGATTATCGTCTTGCGCCAGAACATCCTTACCCCGCTGCGGTGGAAGATTCATTCGAAACACTGCAATGGGTCTTTGAGAAGGGAAACTCCCTCTTGGGAGTCGATCCTACGAGACTGGCGATTGGTGGTTCATCTGCGTAGGTGATTACCGTCCGATGTATCGAAATTGTTTTGACCACCCTTCTTTTAGTGGCGGTAATCTTGCTGCCATAATCTCCATGAAGGCTGCCGAGCTTAAACCACCTATCCCTCTGAAACTTGCACAGCTCATTGTTCCAGTGACTGATAATACTGCTCTTCACACGGACGATCGGTACCCATCTTGGAAGGAGAACGCAAATACAGTCTGGCTTAATACAGGGAGGATGCTCTGGTTCCGGAATTTCTACGTTCCAAAGGAGGCAGAGAGGACCGAGTGGGACAACTCGCCAATCTTTGCGCCTGATGAGCTGCTAGCCAAGTCTCCAAAAACCTGGATCGCGGTGATGGAGCTTGACATTCTTAGAGATGAAGGCCTGGTATACGGCGAACGACTCAAGAAAGTTGGCGTGCCAGTCTCACACAAACTGTATGAGAAGGCACCCCATCAGATTTTGGCTATGGATGGTATGACTCCTCGTACTGTTATTGCACGATTGATAAGCTGATCATGTCTACCTGCTTTTTGTCTATAAGGGTAAGTCACAAGAGCTCATTCTCATTGAATGCTTTTCTCATCCAATCTTCAGTGTTCTAAGTGTCGGTCGCGAGCTCGTGAGTGATGCCGTCGAGAACCTTGCCGAGGCCTTTGGTACATCGTGAATCATTGGAGTTACGAGTACCAAATAAAGTCGAGCTGAATGTGACAACGAGGATGTGGACGCTTTTTTCGTTCAAGTCTGCTATGAGTACTGACGTCATCTATGCCTTTTTACTGCTCGGGACGAATGTTATTGGTGTGGAATTGATAGGCTCTACCTCTGTTCGAACGGAGTCTTATCCGTCGGAATCAAGCAGTAAGTAACTTATGTTGACAAGCCTGAAAATAATTCTTGGAAAATCGCGAGTATAACAATCAAACTGCAGCAATCGCCTCGATCTCTACGTCCACATCGTGAGGTAACCCCCCAGCTTGGATACATGTACGAGCTGGCTTAGGGTCTGGGAGAAGCTGAAAATATTGTTGATGAGCTAATCCCAATCAGAAGGAATGATTATGACAAGCCTTAATATACACCTCGTTCATGGCTGCGAAGTCACCCATGCTCTTGAGGTAAATGTTCACTTTCACCACTTTGTCCCATGACGAACCAGCGGCTTTCAACACGTCAGTCAAGTTAGAGATGCATTGAGCCTGCAGAGTCCGAGTGTCAGGTAACAGGTAGCAGGTTCATCATCATCATGAACTTGCAGTGTGGACTTTGATGTCCCCTGGGACCAAGGTGCCTGTACTGTCCATAGGGGTTTGCCCGCTGCAGAAGATAAGGCCAGGAATCTTCACTGCATGTGCTGAGGCCCGTTGGTTAGTGTCTATCATCGACTCGTTTAAAGTTGAACTCATACAATACATAGGTGCTTGCGGCCTGTCCGGGCTGTTGATTTTTTGAACGGACATGTTGAATATCAATGGCAGAAAGAAAGCAGATTCAACGGAATTAGAAAAATGAACTTGATATCGAGCTACATAATATGGGGACGAGTCCTATCCTGAGTAAGTTGTTCAGGTGACCACATCTTATCTTAGACCGTTACGCCCTACGTGGCATAGATATCGCCAAACCACATGAGCTGCAGGATGGTGTCACAAGATAGCGGAGAAGACACATTCGCACTTACGGATTCCGTTTTTCCGAAGCGCCACCAACAATGCCAAATCGCCATATATCGTTGCCGCAAGATCTGGTCACCATTCATCCGAGGCTTGTGCACTGCATACCACAACCTGGCCTGGCGACCACTCTGAAGAAATCCCACGTTCCTGGAGTGCAGGCTTGTCAGGCTCACCACCAGGATAAAGGCAATCAATGACTGGATTTAGACAGTACGAGAATCTACGGCAAGAAAAAGCTCTCTGAGAAAATGAAACTCGTCATGAGATGGACAAGAATCGGCGATCAACCTGCCTGCGCTTGTGATCATTTCTCCGGAAGACTATGCACAGCATAAGTTTGGGAATACCAATCGAATCGACCAATAGACCTGTAGCATACAAGCATCAATATCTTCAAACCGTCATCACTTCAGCATAGAATAAGTCGAGAAACGGTCAGTCAAGTGGCGACCGCAGTCGGTAGAGATATCACTCATTGATGCGCAGCCATTATCGCATCGGAGATAAATATCGCAGACACTTGTTTGCCACCGAACCACCGAGCGTTGAGACCTTGTACAGCTTTCTTGGCTGATTCGATTGTGTCAAACTTGACGTAGATCTCACCCTGCAGTTGCGTTCAAGAATTAAATCAAGAACTAAATGTGGATAAAATGCGAACCTGTGTCTCCCTTTCCACCTTGATGGCCTCTACTCTGCCGTATTTTTCTTCACACTCGCCTTTGACGTCGTCGCCAAGCTCTTTATCCCAGTCACGTTCAGTTTCCCTATAGCACGAGAAAGTTTGTTAGAACAAAATCGATTGCTTGGATGTGAACCCACTCCTCTGGGTCAAACATATTCTTCAATAAGACAGAACGGGACTGCATAGCTTGTGGAATGTTCGGTTTGTTGCTGCAAATAATTGTAAAATAAGTTGTCGGTATAGTTAAATTTTACATACACAAGCTGCGGCTTCGGAGCAGGCTCGATTCTAGCAAGTTTCTGCATTAGTGCTTGACGTGATGCTGCGTTCAAATTACCGCCTGATAAAAATATCAGTAAATACTTTGAAACGTTGATTAAAACGCACCGCCAGCTTCGTCTAACGAATCCTGCTGGGCGTATCGCACAGTGCCCTTCTCGTGGACTGTGTTGACTCTCAGCTGTAGCTGAAATTGAATGACAATCTATGAGTTTGCGATTTGGGATGCCATACCGTTCTACCAGCAAGCTCGAAGCCTTCCATCTGTTCAAGAGCCATTCTGGCATCCTCGGCACGTTTATATCTACTAAATTTAGCGGATGCCCAAAAGGCAAGGCAAACATTTACTTACTGCACAAACGCGTAACCTTTGCTGCGCCCAGTCATAGGGTCCCTGTGCAAATCAACAAATTCCAATTCCCCGAAGGGTTCAAAGACCTGCTTGATATCGGATTCGGTAAGGTTGAAATGCAAGGAACCAACGTAAAGTCTGAAAAGCAACACGTCACAACTTTGGAGCGAGGAGCTGAGGAGTTTGCTCACTGCATAGCTCCATGAGGCGCATGAACGCCAGGCGGAAGATTTAGGTTCCTCGATGAACTATCAGAAGATAGAAATACGTGACACCTGCAAAACTCACCCGTCTCCTGGATGAAGCCTATTCCTTTCTGACTCAGTCAATTGAACCATGATAGGGAGACCCATTACGACTGTTCCGCTCAATGACATAGCTTTCTCTACCAAATCGATCGCCCGGAACTCGACATATCCAATACTACCAAAGGCATGAGCATCTCAGAAATAATCTCAGGAAGTGATGGAACACACCCTTTAGAGCGGCGTGATAGCCGGTCCGTGACAATCCTAGAATCCATTACGGTCCCTTCACCGAGTTTATCCTCGAAAAAGTACCCAAGGTCACGCGCCGTGAGACGAGCGGCAAGCTGAGAAACAAAGACCGACCGAGCTTCCGAATCGTCTTCTTTAGGTTCATCGGGATTGTAGTCTTCTTGGGCCTCGTAAGTAGGTGAGGGCCGTCTAAATATTATGAGTAACAAGTCGTGGTAATACGAAGGTAGCGTACTTGATTGGCGGGGGACTCATCTTGATTGAGCCCTTGTCTGGCTCCTCCTCGTTAAGCGGAGTGTCATCAATTGGGGGACGTTTGTCGGGCACACGATCCCTTTCCCTCCGGAACCGAGGGGGGTCATCAAACTCGTCTCGTGGGTCACGATACCTACGTTCACGTGAGCGATCTCTACGGTCATGACCCCTTCGAGGACTGTCCTTGGGCGGAAGTCCAGCAGAAGACTCGTCCATGTCATCGAATTTCTTCTTTTTCAAACGCTCATCTGGGGGCTCGTCGGTTTCTTCCCTCTTGCGGCGCCTGTCACGGTCTCCCCCATCACGGTCACGGCGATGAATGTCTCCCCGCTCCCGTCTGTCGTCATCACGATGGCGCCTGTCTTTGTCTTTTTCACGATCACGGTCCCGGTGGGACTTCTCGCGCGAGCGATCACGATAATCTCGTTCACTTCCTCGGTCGCGACTGCGTCGTCGTTTGTCGTCATAATCTCTTTCTCTGCGCTTTTCACGACGGTCACGGTCTCGCTCGTGCGAGCCAGAACGAAGAGACCGCCTCGTGCGATGGGTATCAGTGGAATGGTTGCGAGACCTCATGTGGATATCAGTAGGTAAGTTGAAAAATAAAACGCTGAGTGTGGAAGACGTACGATTTTCGATTGGGAGATATGTCTACATCCATTTTGCTTGGTAGTGGACTTGGTGGACGGTGTTTGAGTTGCTTGCAGTGATGAAACAAACATGCGAAAACTTCGTGTGGCAACACAGCCACACGTATAAATGCGATTTTTAGAAGGAAATTCACTACGCATGTAAGTACTTAAATGTGGCCGTACATAGGGCCAGGTGCTTGGTCGATGAAAAATAAGTCGTGGAGGGCCACATCCGTGGCAGGGCCCGCTACCTGTTTTGGTTGGTCTAAGTCCGATCGTCTCTCTATGCTTGCTTTCTTTCCTTGCTTGTTGGGGTTGCGGATGCACAATATCGGGACTATCAGAACCACGGTACAACATTCGAGTACAAGTAATAAAGTAGCTAGCAGTAATCTTAGCTACAACAAGATCTGCCAATAAACAATTCGCTTGGGCAGCTACACCATGGTCCTGATTCTGAAAACAGAGTTCAGAACCCATGGATCAAAAGAACCAATAATGCACCCAGATATTCCGTCGAGGTCCACTCGCACAATGGGAACTACACTCCTGACGATGGCAGAGTCGAAGCGAAGAAAAGAGGATACGGCAAGGGGTAAGGACAGTGGCGAAGTTCGATGTCCCTTATCGTCTTTGAGCGTAATTAGCTGAGAAGTAGCATGTGGGTCGGTTGAACAACTGGCAATCAATGCCCCAATGTCTTGAATGTCTAGCGCGTGCAGTCTGGACTGGCCGGTAAGAGATTGGTTACAGACGTGCAACTCCACTTGAGCCTGGACAAGATCAGTTGAATCACACTCGATACGCAACAAGGGAGGGCAAGTGCTGACCTGGTTCATTAGTCCAGACAACGCGTCCTTGATGGCCTTGAAATTTATAAGACACCACATGTTGTCCCGTGATAACCAATCTCTTCTCATCTTCTCCAGGTCAATCAGCAGGCTACAGCAACGTTAGATTAAATAATGAAGATAGGTCATGCATGTACTTCGGCTTGGCGGGGGCAGACATTAAGGTGCGTAAACACATGCGCGTACAGTGCCTATCCGTAGACGCTGTCAAACCCCCTGTGTAGTTTCACAACGAATATCCCACTGACCGGGAAAATGGGCATGCACCGCATCCCTTTGATGCATGCCTGTCTCGCTGCTGCATCCACGCCCTCAAATTCATCTACCAAATCCTGGACCTGAAATCTCACTGAGTTGCGAAGATGCTGTGTAGAAATCTTGGGAGAGTCCGTTCGATGATTACGAGATAGCGCAATATCGTCAATGGTCGTTGGTGCGCGAGGTCGAACGGGATTCTGCTGCAGCCAAACAGAAAACCGTGTGCTTGAAATTGTACTCAGCGTAAGATCGGATTCTGTGCTCAGTGTATTGGTGGATTCAGAAGGAGTGCTCGTCAAGTTGCCTGTGGACGATTGAGGAGAAGCTGCCGGTCGGTGCGGACCACCATGATAACCAGAGTTCCTGGCATACAACGCCTGGAAATCTCTCGCGAGATTGTGCTTCTCTCGAATATGGAGATTTAGCTCCCGAGCCGCCATAACTTTGTGACAGTGGAGGCATTATATCGAAGACACGAATCGTGTCACCGGCATAATACGGAAGGTACGACTATCTTCCTTCTATATGGTCTGATCACGGGAGACTGAAGAAAGACGGGGAAGTTTGACAGAGTCCAGTTGCACCTTGAAATGCTTTATATGGTTGTGAAGGCAAGCTGAGGCTGCCTGAGCGTCAATTACTTGGACAATAATAGGTATAAGCAGGTACCTCAGAATGACTGTGCAGAATATCGCGACAAAACGCGAACCAATCACGTCCCAAGACAACCGTGGCCGGCAAAGTATCGCGGACAGTAAACGGAAATTCAGTAGACAGCCGCAGTGCCGCACGTCGCCTTTGAGCAAAGTTACGAGCGCCCGAAACACGCCGTCTCGAGAACGATCGAGCGACACAAACGACATAGCAACCAGCGAATGAGAAGAAGAGTCGTCCCGCACAACTGATACATTTCGACCATCGAGCATAAACGACATGATGACAGCAAATAAAACAATCAATTTCACGCGTCACATACAGACATGCACCCAGATAAATCGTGAGAAAAGAATACTCCATCGAACCAGGATGACAAATTATTGCCGCTTGTGTGCGAGTGAATTTCAATATGCGCAAATCCTGTGTTATTTTCGAAAAAAAAACGATCCACACAAACCCAGCTACCTAAAGGTAGCGGGAAGATCTACAAAAGCCCAGCCAACCTTGCTCTGACGCGCTTCTCAGCCTTGATGAGCTCCATCTCCTCCGATCGTTTATACAGTTCATTCAGGGGGTTCGCATCACCTTCCTCGTCGAGATCATCCTCGATTTGGCTGAAAGCCTTGCAGAACTTGCCGCTCAATATCTGCATGGGGGAATTCAGCAGAGCTTTGGAATTAAAAAAGAGAAATCATGCCTGGTTGTACAGGATGTCCTTGAAGTGTTCCCGCATGGCTCCTCCTTCGAGCTTAAGTGAACCACTTAGTTGACCATACTGAGAGACAGTAGAGTGGTGCTTGAGCTAAAAAAAATTTACCATGCATCAGTATCATTTTTCATTTTTCTTCGTACGTATTCTTACCTGTGCGACGAAACCATCATCTGCGGCTCGCTCGAAGATCTCTGCGGGTTCTTTCGACATCCACCTGGGAGCGGATTCATTACAAATAAAGTCTGTTAGAAAACAACTCACATTTCGTAGCAAAGAGCCTCGTCCGAGCACCCAGCATCCTTGAGGACATTGAAAGCTTCCCTAACGGCAACTATGTCATTTACGGTGGCGTTTGAAACTGGTGGTATTCAAACCTGAACATCATGATGATGTTGGGCCAGAGAGCCTGTTCAGCGAAGAGATCCATCGCAGTCTCTTCCCGGACTGACGAAAGCAATGGCTCCCTGTTTGGTTGCACCAATGGCACGGGATAGTGCAAGAGCTGCATCCAAGCCTTTACCGGTTCCGTTCTGCTCGACGGAAACAAAGCAAGGGAAACCACGACCCTTCTCGTGGAGAGAGCGCACTGAAGAGCCGATCATCCTGTAAAAAAGCGTCAACCAGGGATCGTGTGACTCGACGAAATGGAGACTTACCGTGGAGCAACCATCACGACATCTTGTCCTGGCTGGAATTTTAACAAGTTGAAGAAAACGTTATACCCAGAAGCAACGACAATGGTGGCATTACTCTTCAACTTGGGTGAGAATTGCTCATTAAAGACGCGGGGCTGAACCTGGTCTGGTATCAGGATAAAAAGCACTGGGGATTCCTGCAATTAGTTAGAGTTGGACGGTATGAATTCATGCATACCGTCAGCAACTTCGGCAGCCTTTGCGAAGTCGTGTTCGACGCGAAAGCCCTTGGCTTTCGCAGTCTCAGCATATGAATCCACCCGGTTGGCAATCAGTATTTGATCATTAGGGATGCCACTGTCGCGTAAGTTCTGCGCTTGTGCAGACCCCTGATTTCCAAAGCTAAGAAATAAAATGAACGGGGTTCGAAGGCATAAGCGGACTCGAGGACTTGCCCGAGGAACACAATCTTCTTGTTGCTCAGAACACCTAGGTCCGCGTCAGAGTCATAGTAGCTGCAACATATTTTAAGATCCTTGTAGCGTTCTAAGACAATCAGACACGCACATCTTGGCTTGTCCCATAATGAATTCAAGTCTAGAGAGGAGAGCACGCTTGTAGAATACCCAGTTCCCTTTATCATGGGTCCTTATAAATCCCCAGCGGGAAGCAGTAGCCGAATAACAGTCCCAATGGCCCTTGGTTCGAGTCACGTTGCACGATTATCGATATCAAAATGAGTTTGTGCGAAAGTCATGAGGAGTACAAGATGACAGAAGACCCAGTTCGCGGACCGGTCGACACCGTCCACCCGCACTTTATCCCGGGATTCCGGATGGCGCTGTATATAGAGAGATAGATTCCTTGAGTCGTTTGACTATGGCTTTGCTGGCAAACAAGATCGTGTGCATAACTGGATCGTCTCGAGGTATTGGCCGAGCATGCGCGGTCGAATCAGCTAAACATGGAGCAATTGGTTTAATATTGCATTACCTTGGAGACCAGGAAACCGAAGCGGAGCTTCAGTCTCTGAAAGAAGAGATATATGCGACGACTTACAATCACTGTCAAATTGTTGGTGTGCCCGGCGATATTGCGGATTCGGAGACTTCACAAAAGGTGCGTGCTGTCAGGCAAACGACCAGCTGTTCAAGTTCTCACGACATCCGAAATAGATCGTCGAAGCAGGTGTCAAAGCGTTCGGACGAATCGGTAGGCCGTAGGACTTGTAAAACAAGAGGTATTTTAACTGATGCTCAGACCAGATGTGCTCGTCAGTAATGCGGGAATTTGTCCATTCGCCGAGTTCTTGACGATGCCCCATGCTATATGGGAACGTACCCGACAAGTAAATTTGGATGGCTCCTTTTACGTGGTGCAAGGTTTGTACCATCGTGATTGTGATAATATGACTCTGAGGTGATATCGCGTTCCGTGTAGCGGTAGCAAATCAAATGAAGAGCCAGGTCCCCCAAGGCGGGTCTATCATCGGTCTGGCTTCTATTTCAGCGCTCGTGGGAGGTGAATTCCAATGGTTCGCGTCTTGCTACATCGATGAACAAGACTCAGTACTCAACCTTTTAAAATGTGCAGCCACTACACGCCGACAAAGGCAGGTATCGTGTCGATGATGCAAAGTTGTGCTATCGCACTTGGGAAGTATAACATACGTTGCAACGCTATACTTCCTGGCACGATTGCTACGGACATCAATAAAGAGGACCTTGCAAACGAAGAAAAGCGGGAGTATACGATCAAAAGGACTGTACTCGGGAGACTTGGAGGTACGGTTCAGCTGAAAACATGTGTGTCTGCTGTTGCTGAAGTTTGATCTCCTAAATTTAGCTCCCGATGATATAGCTGGGCCTATGGTATTCCTTGCCAGCGATCTCGCAAAGTATGTCACCGGCGCGCAACTACTAGTGGACGGCGGGCTGTTTGTCAATCTTCAGTGACATATTTTCCCGGTGCAAACAAGGAGAAATGATCGTCTTCCTCAGACGGACAGCTAGTATGCGTATATCAGATGCTACTTATAACACGCAAGCGATACGCAGACTTGGATGTTTCATGTCTGAGTAAGGAACACGTTCAGCAACCTGTTCAGACAACGCTTAAAATTATGTGGACACCTACTTCAGTGATGCAGACCTTCCGAATTTACTTGTCCGTCTCCAAAAGCCATCCCAGCTCCTGTCCATTTACCACCGCTGGTTTCGCATCGACCAGAACGGTCGCCCACCGTGTCCATTCCTTCCCAGGGTTCCTCCAAGCATGATTTGTCCCTTTCTGAATCACAACATCTCCTGCATTCTTGAGATGCGTTTCTGTCCCATCGTCTGTTATCAAAATGAGTTCCCCATGGACTATTCATGATATGCTTTAGTCAGGCTATGTCGTGCATGGGGAAGCGTATACGTACTCAGGATGTTATAGTCGATAGAGGGAGTCCGATGCTGCTCTTCTAGCTCCATCAAATTCGTATGTGTCAGACAACTCTACGCACCATCGGAGTCCGAACTCCCGGACCAAGATCACTGCATATGAAGTTGGTCGCATTACTTGCAAATAATCCGAGGTCACCCACTTGACGGGCTCCGCCGTCCTCCCTATTGTATCTCACGTCGAACCACCGAGCTAGGATATTTCAAGTATACTACTCACGAACAATTGTTGTCATTCGTTGGCAGACCATCGGTAGAAGCCCAAAATGTGCCCGTACGATGGCCATTCAAGCCTTCTATCATCACCTAGGTTTGGGACGACGATAAATCATTCCTGTGCGCTAAAAGTAACCTGAATGGAATGCGCACCGATGAATGAACTGTTCCATCAACTGAAACCACGGCTTGTCCGTCGCTATCATGCGAAGTTACGATGCGGCGAGGACCTGGGAGAACTGGGGGTAGAGTACCAGACATGAAGCTTCAAAGGAGGTAGAAAATGTCGTATAGCATTAAGGATCTCGGTCCACCTACTAAGTACTTGAGGAACTTGCATCCTTGACGTAAGTAGCCTATGAAACATAATAGAACTTCGTCAGTATTTCAATCACTAGCATAGCGTAACGTCATCATGATCCGGCCACGAATCGTGAACGTTTGAACTTCCGCGTACTACGGTCAAAATCAAATGGGTCAAACAATAGGACTTCACATGACGCCACGCGAGTGATGGAAATACAGACGCTGGCCGATAGAAGGACGGGAATCGCGGAACTCCGGGTATTGCGGTCCCGATAGGTTCGTGCATGACTTGAGTTCGCTTGTTTCCTGAAAAGGTAAAGGAAGAGCGCTGGGACACCAAGACTTCATTGATGTTTAAGTGCAAAGGTACAATATTGTACATGAAATCGGGACGAAGATGATATTGCTAGCACGCTAGCGTTCAAACGTTCAAGGGGCAGTGTCTAGCGCCAGCCACTGTTAGCGAGAGCAAGGATTGATTAAAAATACTCACAATAATAATATCCATCAACAAGAGGTATCCAGTCCTTCACGATAGAACTGACGACTCCAAGTATTGGCGTATTAGCGGTCTTTTCCACAACAGCCTCGACTTTGGGCCTAAAAAAGACCGAGATATTAGGCTTCAACAAAACTGGCATAAAATGCACAAACCTCGAATACGTCTCCCATACAGAGCCACGTAGAAGGTACCAGAGAATATCCCTGTCTCTGCGGGCATATTCTTCACGTTCTAGATCCGCAGAATTTGATGGCGTCCGCCTCAAACTACGAGAGATGAGCTCCATAGCAAAAGCAGTCACAAGAGCCTTATCCTTGTATTTCTTGGTACTTAACATACTCGCTACAAGAAAGTCGTGAGCACGTCAGGTCCCAGCCCGTGCTTTGCACTCACCGTAAACCCAGGGGCGAATAATATAAATGCACTCAGAAACCCACTCCAAGGGCGAGGACATAGGTTTCATCAGTAGCATAGAAGGCTTAACAGATGACGTTGTAAGAGCTTTAGGGAGGAGATAATCCTCCACTGATGTGTCAGCACGGGCAGGTGGTGAGGGGGTGAGCATTAAAGCATTTGGCTGCAAGGGAATGTGATTATTCTTGAGGTGATCCGGAGTCGGTGGGGAAGACGACGGCGGAGAAGTGGGAGCAAGCGTCGGAGAAGTGTGCGTAGAGCTAGGTGGCATTGATGCTGGATCGATGTCGCGTTCTGGAATTGGAGGAGACAAAAGTGGTCTTGTCGTGATTTTCAGTAGCGTGAACCGTAAAACCATTCTTTAGAAGTGAATTCAGATACGAACTCAGGGTAGTCAGATCAGCCTCGGAACTTACTTCACAGTTTCGAGGAACACGATACCTCTCCACCGGTTCTTGTTCGAGACTTTCCTCCGAAGCAGCATTTCAACAAGGAGTTGTGTAAAGCGAATTAGCTCTAAAGATCGAGCAGCCCATTTGTATAATGTTTCCTTGTCTGACCAGGCGCGGGTATAGCGCGTGTGCAAGGGGATGGGAAGTATAGGCTTCCAATGAGGATTACTCTGCACAACTCTGGCCAGGAGGGTATCATGATACATGCTGGACACATGGAGTATGGCAGACACTAAGACCACACGTTATTGCTTGAACCAAACACAAAATTATAGCAATGTCAATACTGACGACCCTCCGAAGCAAGATCGGCGTCTTTGAACCGTCCAGGTAGAAACCATGTTATAGACCTCAGCGAGGATTCGAGGGTGGATATGGTAGAGACGTTCTTCACGAGGAAATTTTCATATTTTTCCAACGTCGACGACATGTATAGAGGTCCAGTATACCGCGAGCTGGAGGTGTGTTGGGAAGACTTATCGCCGCTCTGGCCAGGTATGTAATCTCACGTGATTTGCGTTGCCGCCGGTTTCAAATTTCAGCACCAATGTAAGTAGGAAATGAAGCAAAAAATCCTATTCGCAACGTAGCACTAGATGCTCTACTAATTTTCGAATGTTTAATAGAGCGTTATGATATTTTTCACAATATTCATGAGGCGTGACGTTAGCACTGCATGAACCAGAGGTCATTTTGCAATTTAACATACCATATAGGATCTCCGTGGAAGGTAAGTAGTGACACTGAGATAAAGTTCACCGGTTCATCCCAAAGCCCCTAGTCTTCGTCGATCCGCTTCCCGTTACCGTGTTCACTCCACCCGCTTCTCGCACGCGCCTCTCCACCTCATTTACCTTGCCCTCGACTTCACGCACAGCCCCATCGATCCACTGCAGGCTGTCCAAATGGCTGCTCAAGATCTGAGATATCTGCATCATGGGATCGTCGTTTCCAACCGTCCCTTGTGACCCATTCGGTATTAAAGATAGCGCATTGACCGAATCAATCATCTGCGTCAACGATCCAGACAAATCGTCCAGGTGAGCATGCAACTCTGTGGCTAGCATATAACTAATGGAGAACGGAAATCAGAATTGTGCAGTCTCAAACTGAGCCAATACGAGGGCTCACTTTTTATCCCGCTCGGTGTCAGCAGGTCCAGTATCGAGCGCCCGCAAAGTGCCGCTTTCTCCGAAAAGTTCTTCCGCAGATCGCTCGTATGCATCTAGCGTCGCGGAGAGATCCTTCTGCTGTTGCTCGATGTGGTCGAGAGCTTGATCAATGTCATTTTGTTCCCGCTCCACAGCCTGGGCGTGAGTAAACAGAGTAGCCAGCTGCATCGTATACTGTCAGATGACGGATTCGATGAATGTGGAACGAACGAACATACATTGTTGCCATTTTCCATCAAGGCCCGATCCCATACAGCGACTTCACCAGCGAACTTGTTGAACTCTCGGACATGCACTTCCAGTTCAGATGACCACTTGTTTACTATTTCCTCGATGGTTTTCCCCCTGAGCGCCGATGGTGGAGGCACTGCTACTGAAGTGGCGGCAGCGGTGGTTGCTAACAGTAGGAATGAATGGATGGAAAGGATCAGTTTACCGGAAACTGCTCATACCATCTTTTGGCTTGTCGGACTCCTTAGAGAACCCAAGGGATGATTGCCCTAGTGGTGCGGCTGAGAGAAATGAAGTCGTAGACAGGATGTGCCAATAAGACATGCTTACTTGTTGTTGCGGTGGTTGTGGATTTACCCCCAAACAAGTTGGTCACAGGCGCTGTGTGACTGCTGAAGATGGACCTATTTCATCTGTACAACGTGATCTCACCTGCAGGGGCCGTGGTTGTGGAGGCATTCTTTGCACCAAACAAATTAGCTGGTGGTGTTGACACTGTACAATATCCGTCAGACGGGTCATCGACACTACACGTAGATAACTCACCTGCAGGGGTAGTAGCTGCCGCGGTTGCAGGTTTCAGGCCGAAGAGGCCAGTCGCAGGCACTATATACAAAGGAACATCTTGTATGAGCAAAATGTTAGACGCGAAGAGAACATACATGTGCTAGCATCTTTCTTGTCTGATGAAGTATCCTTGTTTCCGAAGAGGTTGAATGCCGGAGGAGTAGTGGACTGCATTTCTTTGCCAACGTCCAAGAACACGACTGGGGACAAGTATTGACCGAGAGCGTAGACTTTGCAAACAAGCCAAGCAAACGCGTTCAAGGCTATGTAAGTACTTGTTCCACAACTCAAGTTCACTCACTAGCACTGCTCAGGAAGTCGGTGCTCCAGACAGGAGATACACCGTAGACGCGTTGTAGTCGGTGCCATTAGCGCTTGAATACGACCTCTCGCAATCATTTGAATCACAGTTCATTCATCAATACAGCAGGCTCGATGATGCCAGCAGTAAGTCACGGTACCGTGACTGTTGACGCATACTCAAATGCTTCGATACGACAGTGGACACTCATCATTCCCTGACAGCTCGAGGCTATTAGGCACCTGCTGGATGATTGATGTGCCCCTCATTTGTGACAAGAGTGAAAAGCAGACATGCATATCTTATACATCATTTCTCAAATGAAAACCACGAACATCTTGGCGTTGCAACTGGTTGAATAACCACACTAGAACTTCGCGCACTGAACTGGGTCGTGCATGCAGGCACCATTGAACAGGGATGCCCATGAAGGGTCAACGTTCCGCACAGCAGCTTACCTTCGAAATCAAGGACGAATCCGCATGTTTCATAGCCTTGAATATAGTGCACACGGCCCCTATAGTACATACAAATGCATGTTTTGCGATGACCATTGGAGATTTCATTTAAAAATTTCTCAGAAGTTATGCGGTCCGATGGCATGGCCATTGGAGGTGTTTTTTACCAAAGTGATGTACAAAGCTTGTCACCAAACAGGTGCATATGCAACAGCCGATCAAATAATGAGAATCTCGCTTGAGTCATATGTATAATTGCTTTTGTAAAGTCTTTCTCCGCTCCGCTTTCCTGACTCTCTGATGCGCAGAGATTCGACTGCCAGCACTGCTACACTCCCTCCGTTGGACTACCTTCATGCCAGTCCGATCAGAGGCCAACTAGAGCCCTCAGATGAGGTCACAAAAAAAACCGGCTGGCGTTTTCTCCAGTGCACAGACACTCCAAATGAGCTCAAAGTAGGTACAATGACTTTCTCCTTCGATGGTTCTCAATCAGATGTACTACAGGTACTTTTACCTCCCCGCACAGCTCAGCTATACGCCCGCCTGCTCAAATCTGAGAAATCTGAGCTCGCCAAAAAGTCCAATGCATCTTGGGACCGTATCCTCGAAATACGGCACCTCAAGGATAGGATGATTAGAAAATGCCAGAGACTTGCTCGTTCCTATTCCGCCAGCAGGCCTTCTGCAAAGGCCCCCTTCTGTCCATTCATGCGCCACTAGATTTTAGATTAAAAGAGATGGAGAAGTGGATTCGCCTGCACGGCGAGCCTGATGAATCCAGCAAGACGATGCCCATGGGCAACTCTATCCGCCCACGTAATTCATTCTGCTGTGATCGCTGCACAAATATGGTTCCTCATCAGCACACCATATCTCGTCGACCATCCACCCAATCCACCCACTCCCGTCGCTCAGCACTCTCTGACCATTCCCCGTCAGGGGCTCTTCCGGCATCTCCTCGACGCGCTCGCTCCTCCAAGGCGAGTTCTGTTCAAAGCGATCATAAACCTTCTCCCGTTGCGAGCTCCATCATCCTGAATGAGAGTCATTCGCATCATCAAAGTCAATTATACGAAAGCCGGGTCCACGAAAGTAGTGTACACCAGGAGGCCAGGGATAACCAAGTGCATGCGACTTTCACCACACATGAGAACATGTTCGATGATAGTAGCAGTACTCAGGAGAGCAGGATCCGAGACACCAGCAATATCCGCATGCGACAAAACAAGCACTCCAGGAGTATGTCGTATGATGCACAAAGATTTGCCGAGAGTGGTCTTCAGGAAATCACGCGCACTATGCACGTCATTCCTGAAGCATCAGAAGTCGGTACCGATCACAGCACGGTGTCGGCCAGCAAACTTATCGATCATTTCGCCGGATCCATTGCCTCACCCATACAATGGTTCGACTTCAGCGGTTTTCTTGAACATGGTCGAGAGCCCCGTAGATGTTCCTCAAGTGCAGAACGCTGAACCTTTCTATGTTCGTATCACGCAAGATGAGGGCGTAGGCACACCTCCTTCCGAAGACGAACCTACCAGCGATTCCCCTCCCCAGCCGAATACACTTCGCAGACGCAGTAGCCTCAAACGCAGCAGCAATGATCTGCGTGTGAGTATGGCGTTCTCCGCCAAGACCGTATCCTGGGCGATGGACCGCGACTGGGCCGATCAAGTTTCAAAGTATTACGCTGCGGCGGGTGAAATCGAGCATGCTGGTAGGTTTGTTTCCTATTTCCAGTGGCGTTGGAGGTTCACCAGTCTCGTGAGACCGAGAATGGAATGCTATTTGTGCGACTTATCATGAAGAACTTGCTGGCATGAAGGCTCTACGTCGAAATGTCACGCAGACCCTGGCCAGGTTACGCTTGGAGGCAGAGAAGCTACAACGCGAAGACGAGGTGATCCGAGATCAAGAGGACAAAACTGCAAGAAGGATATAAGCAACTCGAGCAGAAACATGGACAGTATCGAGAAAAGGGTGAGTACCCGTCCTCGTGTTTGCAGCCTGTCAAGAGATGCTGATGTTGAATAATTATCGTCGGTTAGTTAAAGCTGTTCTAGAAGAGACCGAACAGGTTCTTACATTGTGTGGCACCAAACGAGATTCTTAAAGTCATGATTCGTCCGATATTGGAAGGTGCTTAAAGCTTGCAGTCCGAGTCGTTATATATCTATTTTGCTTTCCATTACAATTTACACAAAATTTACATACCCATATCTTGACTGCTGTAAATCACACCCAAGTACATGCCGCTATTGGTATTTTAGATTAGGTTCGACACCGTTTCGAAATGAGCATTAACAGGAAATATGAAGAGTCCCTATGAAAGCTTTGATCGGGTACGTTTTGCTTGATTCCACCAGCGCCGCACGTTGGCGAGAAAAACAGCCTCGACGCCACAAAACAAAAGTATGACCATGGCGAAATAATTGTAAGGGCCTGGAGGATCAACGCTATTCTTTGGAATCTTGACGTTTTCTGAAAATATTCCTATGAAAAAGCCAGAGGTAAGCGTGACACTAGAGGACAACTGGTAATATACCGATCGGAATTTGAATGCACATTATCCCAATACTAATGAGAGACACCACCAAAATGGCCTTATCAGTGTATTGTTTAGTCTTAGCGAGATGAGTTCGCAGTTGGGTCAGATATGCTGGGTGAGAATCGCTGAGCATGTGCTCGTAGTGATGAAGGGATTGCTGTAAAGTCAATATGTGGTCTGCAAAACAGTTCAGTCACATCGTCAACAGTCAAAACAGCTCTTTACCTTGAACGTCCCCCATGTAAATGGCGATTTCAAGGTCGTCGTTCCCCTGAGGGGAGGCTATTTGTCGCCCACCGATCAAAAAGCGTTTGCGGATCTGCGATATGACCTCCGACTTTGTAGCAAGAAGACGAGTCAAGGAAGTAACAAGTCTTCTCGCCCTGGCCATGCGTAGTAGTGTGTTTGTTGTTGTCGCTTGTGCTTTGGCCTCATGAGTCGTCGCAAAAGTGTTCCACAAAATTTGGAACCTGCATTTCAAACGTCGGAAGAATAGTGGCTGGGTGAACCGGGAAAGGCCACGATTCAAACTGGGAGGGTTTTCTCCCATTTCTTTTGAAAGCGTATCTGGCAGTTTTTCAATGTTGGAATCATCAGTAGGTATATGAACGAGATCAACAAGAGTGTTTGTCGACGAAGTGTGGGAGACGTCGTTGCTCGAAAATACGAGAGCTTCCACAGCTAGAACTTGTTTCTCTATTTCCTTTAGGAACGGAAAGAATGAATCCACAACAGAGTCCAATATGCCATGAGCAATCCAGTCTTTGAAGGATGTCAGTGTGAAGAACATGCAATTCACATAATAGTTACCTGATGACATATTGAAGCAGTCCTGGAGAAGTTGAACTCTATTCCTGACTTTCTCTATGTGTTCTAGACAAGGTTAAACATCGAGTCTTTCAACTCGTATGCAAGCCCACCTGAGACATCGGCGAAATAAAACTAAACGTCATTAAGCATGATTTTCACGAACCCGATGCAGAATGCGAACCTACCGTGCAAATGCCTTCCTTGAATACTACCACATATATGTTGGCCTCTCTTAAAGCACCGTCGTTAGCCTCGTAAACATCGTCATTACTTGAGATGCCCTGATAATCCGGCTGCGTGACGGCTGCATTCTGTATAGTTCGGAACGAGATGAAATAATAACCCAGTTTTGAAAAGAGCTCCATCTTTTCGCGCGGATCTTGTTGGAGAATATCCTCAAGTGTAAGAGGATGAATATGTAGGAGCTACTCGTCAAATCAGCATGGCATACTAATGACTCGAATGCACCTACCTTGCCAATGGTTTGTAAGTCGTCCCAAGTTGGACTGGCGACGTCAAGCCACCAGGCTTTAGGAGCTCGGTTGAACTCGGGCGAGCCTCCGGAAGCCAATTCATTGGGCATACGATTCCCTGAAGAGAACTCTTTCTGTTTCCCTGGGACAGAAGATATCAAGGCGGAGGAGATGTCGCCGAAAGACGCAGGTCGACAGAGCATCGCATCAGACATATGATCATGATGCAGGGGAAGCGGAGGTATGTCAAGGCTGAATTGACGTTGTTTCCCTCTGCCTTTTTTTGCCCTTGATGCCTTCTTCAGTGCAGCCTCCAAACAGTTGAGGACCACAGGTAGAGAGGTTGTTTGAGAGACAGGCTGCTGAGATCGGTCCAAAGATTCCGACAACCGGGTCAGGGTGATCTCGGGATTCAGACTCGGGGGTAGGTATAGGGTAAACCCTCTATCAACGCGTCTAATTTTCTGTCTGACCCTAAGACGAGCGGCTACCTCACGTTCGGAATGTGTGGAACGCATGTTAGCGGAGCTTGTTCGTCTCTTGCGCCGACTAGGGCGAGAAGGTGTGTAGATAGAAGAGTGGAAAGATGCAGAACTAGAGGACGATGATGAAGCCGAAGCTGAGGAACTTCGCCTTCGAGCCCAACGAGTAATTGCATTTTCTAGTACAGCGGCGAGAGCTCCCAAGCGACCCGTGTGCGTGATGAAGGATCCGGATAATGACGAAGCGGATGATGCAGGTGCCACCGACTCCGACTCCACAATGATAGGTAGGGCAGGGGCGACCTTGCCTCGATAGATGTCGTCCTCTGAAAGCATGTCTTTAAATATATTTTGTGGAGGAGACAGGATTTGACGGGAGAATTAATGTCCAAAGATAAGAACTGTTTAAGACATCCAAGTTGCCATGCAGTTTTGCGCCCACCTAGCCTTAGCTAGTGAATATTTCCTGCTTCCAACGCGCGGGCAGTTGTGAGCACAGCTACATAAGATCCGAACGTCATAAATTAATTAGTACAAAGCTCCGACCTCTTTTAAGCTTACGACTGTAGCATGTGTACCGCGCGTCAGACCATACAAAAGACATACATAATGTGATATCTTAGAAAGCTTCAATGCATCACAAGAAAGACTCATTTACACAAATTATTATTCATTACCGCGCCAACATATGTCGGAGCCGAGATGTATGTGTATGACCAAATAGGATTTCAGCTCACAACGACGCAACAGTTCGAAAATCGTCTTCAAGTTGGGCAATGAACTTGATCTTACATAACCTTCGTCGTCAAGTCGTTTGTTGCACGATAAATTCAAATGGAGATCTGGTAATTATGTAAACGAACTTCTGCGATCAGCTTACTAACCGGGCCAACAATTAGTCCGATCGCCGCGGTCTTCGCCGCCGATCATCAGACTCAGTTTGCAGTTTCCTCTACCTCCTCGTCGACGTGAATGATTGACTGAAGACGCCCTGCCAAACTCTAACTGTAACGGTGTTTCGAGTTTGGCAGTGGTTTCCGTGCCACACAGATTAATGGCGCAGCATTTTCCTAGTGCCCGGTCACGTGTTTTGACTTCCACTGGCAGCAGTATTTACTATTGACTCCACCGGCCGTGACAATCCAAAATGCCTCGTGCAACTTCAGGACGTTTCTCGCGTGCCCACCAGCCATCAATAAAATCAGCCGCTGCATCATCTTCATCCAAAAACCACAGTGCAAATGAAGGGACTTCAGCCGGCGTCCGTAACCCAATATTCAATACAGAAAGATTCGGGCAACATATCTTGAAGAATCCGCAGATTGCTCAAACGTACGCTCACAATTCTCATGTAATAAAACTCGGGCTGATTCTACATCAGTATCGTGGATAAGGTGCGGCTCAACTTATGTGTGCTGAATCCATCTCATAGATGCTAATCGTGACGTGTAGGCGAACCTTCGCCCCACGGATAAAGTCCTCGAAGTTGGCCCTGGTACAGGTAACCTTACTGTCAAGATTCTCGAACAAGCCAAAAATGTTACTGCTGTGGAGATGGACCCACGGATGGCAGCTGAATTAACGAAGCGAGTCCAGGGGCAGTGCGTGTACTTCTTCCCGTCTTAATATCATTAACTGACGGGCTACTCCTCGGAAGACCAGAACAACGAAAACTCGACATAATCATCGGAGACTTTGTAAAAAGCGGATCTCCCATATTTCGATGTATGTATATCCAACACGCCCTATCAAATATAATCACCACTTGTCTTCCGCCTCCTCTCTCATCGACCAATCTTTCGTGTGGCAATTCTCATGTTCCAAAGAGAATTTGCCATGAGGCTTGTTGCTCAGCCCGGGACAGAGCTCTGGTCGCGGTTATCTGCGAACGTACAGCTTTATTCAAAGGTAGACCTAGTTATGCACGTCGGCAAAAATAACTTCCGACCAGCACCGCAAATTGAGTCGTCAGTGGTTCGACTGGTACCTCTCGATCCTCCTCCCCCCATCAAGTTCGAGGAATTCGATGGGCTGGGTAGAATCATCTTTTCGAGGCGAAATAAAACGGTGCATGCTACATTCATGGCAAAAGGGGTCATCGAGATGCTGGAACAAAACTGGAGAACGTGGTGCTCGACTCAAAATAAGGTGATTTCAGTTTTTGTATGTTGTAGATGGAGATTTGACCACCATAGATCAGATAATCGATGACGACACAAACATGAAAGCTAAAGTAGAAGAAGTCCTCAGCTCATCGGGTTACTCGGAACAGCGGGCAGCCAAGATGACCCTTGACGATCTTCTAAAGTAAGTCGTATTAGTTTTGTCTCCTGTGCTTTCTTATCGGTTCAACAGACTGCTATCCGCATTTCATGACGAGGGCATACATTTTGCTTGATAGAACGTTTATCGGATGTATTGTATTAGGCTGGCGAATATACGTAATCCTTCTCTACGAAATTGGCGCACATCCTCCTTTCAACAAGTCACGATCCAGTCGCCTCATTCAGTGTCACTAGACGCACTGGACTCCAGTGACCGAAACGGAGAATCTATGACACAATGGCTCGACCCTGCTCCTCATGTGCGAGCTTTTTCCCCCTGAAGTTAGAAGTACTGTGCATGCTCGCCCATGGTGAAAGGTGAGTGAGGTGGGTTGAAAAAAATAAGAACATGAAATAAAACATTACACAATCTACAATATAAATTTGTACCTATCATTGCTACCAATACATAGTCATGTATGAAACTTATACTATAATGAACCCACTAAAAGGTTCGATGAAAAAGGCTTGCAGTGGAGTGTCGTGCGAGGCAAACCCAAATGTCACTACAAACGATTATAGAAAAACGTTACTAATCGCACATACACTGCTTCATTTACCTGATGTTCTAAGTGTTTCCCTTCAATATATGGCCATTTCTTCTGTAGCTCTTCCTCCAGAGGAAGCAACTTGCAAACAAGAGTGGGATCGAATGAGATCGATTGTTTCTGTCGGAGAACAGAAGGGTGGATTGTTTCGTGCGTGATGTCATCCGTGACTGTTGGAAGTTTTCTGACATATTCCTTCGACAATACGTATACACCGGTGCGTGGACTGTAAAAATTTTATGAGTGTGGTTCCAAATGAACTCTATGATACACTTGTCGACTTACTTATGTGGGGGCTGCTCTCCCCAAGGCGCCACTGGATTCACTAGCGAAAAGATGTATGCAATATCAATGGATAACATGTCACCGATATTGGCCTGCATAGTGAACGACGCATTCAAAAGTGATCGCACCATAGATTCAGGGACTCACCACCATCCACGCAAGAGTTATGTCAGATAAGTCATGTTGTTGCCAGCCACCTCCGATCTATTGGTTCAGCACAATCAGCAGCTAGTTGGGATACTCAATAAATGTTCGTCGCTTACGTCTGAATGTTCACCTATGATGTATGTTCATTAATAACATTTGTACAAGAGTTGTATCGTCCCGAAACTTACCAGAAAACCAGCACTTTGAAAAACTCCGTGAGTAAAAATCTACAAACCAATCAAAATACAAATCACCTGTTTCAGAATCTGCCCTTTCCGCCGCCCTCCGACCGTCTGCACAAATTTGCAGCAGTCCTAGAATAATTGGATGAAAGAAATTCCGAGGGTTGGTGTTCGACTACTTACAAAGTCGAGTCTGATTTCGTTAATAGCAAGCGCTTGATATGCACGCTCAATATGTTCCCCAAGTTCACTGTTGGGGAAGCCAAAAATAGATTTTGTGGAAGGCGACTTATGCGTCAATTCTTCAGGTAGACCGACCGAACCGACAGTATCAAAAACACCGACGCATCTGAAAACACATCTTAGCCGTTGTCGCCGCCGTGTATGAACCGGTAAAACTCACTTTATGGAGAAAGAGTCATTAACAGACTCAGCTCTTCTCTTACCCCGGGAATCGGGGGAGGTCCACCGGCTCAACGATGCATCTAGCCTTTCGATCTCTGAAGTGTAATCAGAATTGCCGGAATAATTATAGTCAACGTGACAAACCTCCTGGGTCAGTCTCTTTGCCACGTTTTTGGTACGTTATAAATATATCGGCGAAGTGATCCATGTCGGTACGGTCCAGAACACCGATAGCGCCCTGAAAGAAGGTCTGAGATGAGCGTTGTCAACAAAGGGTCTACTTACGATGAACATGGCTATCATCCGTGCGGTATATGCACCCTGATGAAAACGTCAGTAATGGTGCATTTCATGCTAGCATACCATTGCATACCCTAGAGAAGCCAAAGAGGAATATCTTAAGTGATGACATTAGTCTGAAATTGAGATGTTGACCAAAACCGACGAATCTCTTACTTCATCACCGGGGTGGTAGTTTCTGCAAGGAGACGTCTAAGCCGCAACTAAGCATGTATTCGGCAAGACTCACTGGGCGATGAACGCATAAGCCTCTTGAACCTTTTCACCTGCATACAATAATAAATCCTCGCCAGAATCAGCGAGCAAAATGTATTCTTACCGAGGGATCCTCCTGTCGCACCTGATCCAAAGAAAGATAGTTAGCCCCATACTATTAACAGAATTGGACGGTCCCGCGAACCATCGACATATTCAGAGTAGAAATTTTGCGCGCATCCGATGCCACACTGGTAGTAGACAATCTGCGGTATCGGAACCCCCCTGTCGATGTATATGAATGACAAAATAAGGACATGCCTCAGATGAACTTACGATCGTTCGTCCACATGTTCCAATCCCCGTGATAGTTTCTGAAGAACAAATATGTATGAAATTCCCAAATGCGTACAATCGACGCACCAGTATGTTGGTTTGCTTCCAACACTGCGAGTCCTTGGCGATCACTCCGTTTTGCCAGGTTCTAAAAGAACATCGGCATCAGATAACGGTAGCGCCTGAGATTTCATATAAACCAGCTTACCCATCGCAGCACACAATGAGTCTCTTCTTAATTTTAGCGCCAGCCTGGAAGGGTTCAGTTGTGGCCCTTGGTAGTTGTGCAAGGTCGAGCTTGAATTGAGCGGGGATCATGATTCGGTCCGGCGGGGGGAAGTTGAGGTGCAGACAAGAACGATGTCACGGTGGGTGTATTTATACTGAATTCCTTCTCGCGGCCAATATTATTATAGCCATATAAGCACGCTGATATCATAACACAGGACTCGCCGCAATTGGTGAGACCGATGAGAAAATGGCAAGCTGTATCGCGAATCAGTGATATCTGAGCGCTCGACCTGCGATCTAATACCGGTTTGGTTTCTAGTTTCAGGCAAGTTTCGTTTTACGAGTTGCTACGTCGGGGGAATGCTGGTCCCGATTCCCCATCTGATAAGAGGTTCGATGTAAGAGATTGGTCTATTCCAAGGCTGTAATAATCCCGAAGCCTGTTGCCCTGCAGGGCCTGCAACTCTCAAAATTCGAGAGTCGCACAGCTTGAACACAGCAGCGGCTGCCGGCCCGAGTGGCTGTCTCAATCAATCAGTCATCAAACACCAACCGCTTCGTCCGGCCTTTGAAAAGAACCGCTCTCAATTTCTAATTAGAATGAACAATAATCTATAGTATCCTCTAACAGCTTGGGAGTCGGTACCATCATGTTTGTGCCGTTGCTAGGAAGCTCTAAACATGCTATACTGAATCGGGCAACGTGCGTCATTCCGGATGCATGACGGTGAAAGGCATGTACAACCAAAAACAGGCTACAAGAGGCTACAGGATGATAAAATTCATTACCTCCCCAATCGAAATTGAGCACCGGCATACTCGTCCAAGGCACGACAGAACGCTTCCTCGGTGATTACACTTGGCATTGAACTGTTTGGATATTTCAGGGAAGCGACGTCATGAGCAATGGTCTGGCTGTGTCATGCCATGTGTCAATCCTAACACAGCAATACATCAATATGCGACTTACTGGATTTCTGTCAGCGCGATCTGCCATGGAGGAAAACCGTGTAGTTCGAGAGGAGTTGGGGGGTCCTGCGTGCGGACATGATGGATGATCATAAAGTCCGGTGATGGCAGACCTCCTGGTACAGAAGTCAGATGGGTGAAGTTTGACACAGAGTGAACCTTCCTTCTAATATCGAGTTCAATTTAGAGATAGGAAGTTCATATGCCTTGACGTGGTCCAGGTCATGACTGTTCTGGCGCCTGCAAAATTCTTCATCTAAAAGAAAACGTGCAACAGATGCAATGGCAGCTTTTGAGGCACTGCGTGAAATTATATGGAGTGTCAGAGGATTATAAGGAGGATGCTTGTCTGTAAATGGTATGTTAAGAGTCCTTGTTGACTGTAGGAATGCTCCGCCTACCGTGCGCTCGTCGGCGAACTGCAACTTCTCTTGGCCTATGATGCGAAGAACCTTTCCTGAAAGAGCATACTGTTGTAACATTGAGTTGTATGGGGAAGCCTTCAGAGTCGGGCGAATGGCTTCTTGACTCTGAGGCCTCAGAAAGTGGAGGGGTCAACGGATATTCGAGTTCTGATTCACTCTCGTCGGTGGGCAGATCATCACAGTGTGTTAGGCGTTCCCGAATAATGTCAGAGCACCCTAACAGTGTACCTGTCAGAGGATCGTTCAACGTGAACCATAATAATAATATCCCGACAAAGAGTTTACCCTCGGCATCATATGCAGTAAGCTGCTCTATAGCCTAATGCTCTGCACCATTTAACAACCCTAACTAAGCACTCCAAATACAGTTCTTCTGTGTGCTTGGGATTCGCCGCGTGATAGGGAACCAGAATAATTGCCAAGTGTTTTGGTAGCTTGCTGCGGTACGCGGTTACCGGTTGAGGGGGCAAATATCGGCGATTTTGAAACTTTGTTGTCAAATACACTAGCGAGGCATGCAGAAGATGCAGGAGCCAGAGAAAGAGAGGAAGCCACCATTTAGCCAGCATGGACCAGAAAAGAGAAATTTGAATTAGCACTGAGCACTCGCGTAGTCTTGCACAGGCATACGTTGCAACACAGGATCACGTGATACACTGCAATCATGATGAGCGTTACCTAAAGGACATACATCGTCTTTCCGTGATCACCATCATGCTCCCCAGTCAAAGAAATACAAGAACGATCTGACCGTCACCCCAAGCCTGCAGATATCAAATTTCAGTATGGGACTGCAGGTTTCAGAACGCTGTACGTTGGTGTCTGATATCCACATTCATCAATCTGATAGTAGCGACTAGGGGAAAGACCCTCGATTCAGTACTATTCAGGGTGGGCGTTCTCGCAGCCCTTCGGAGCAAGAAACTGGATGGAAAGACTATCGGTGTAATGGTGACTGCCTCACACAACCCGGAGCCTGTATGTACTTCATACGTGCACTAAGTGCCTCGGGTCCAACGGTGCTCTCCTTTATAGGACAACGGAGTTAAACTCGTTGACCCACGCGGCGAGATGCTTGAGTCGTCATGGGAGGCACACGCCACCGCATTTGCAAACGCACCTAATAGTGTTGCTTTCATTGCTGCGGTCGACGAACTGGTGAAGGCAACCAAAATAGACCTCTCGATACCCGCTCGTGTGGTGTATGCCAGAGACACACGCCCGACAAGCCCGCAACTTGCTGCCGCCCTTAAGGATGGGTTGGAAGCGATCAAGGCAGACTATAGGGATGCTGGCGTTACCACAACGCCGGTGCTCCACTATCTGGTGAGGACAATCAACACCAAGGGCACTAAAGATTCGTACGGTGAGGATACCGAGGAAGGATATCTTACGAAACTAAGCGATGCCTTCAAAAAACTGCTTGTAGGTGACGCATATATGCGCATACATGACGCTCATTTCCGGTACAGGCTGGAAAACCAACCCCGCCACCGTTACTCATCGACTGTGCGAATGGCGTCGGTGCCTTGATGGCTGAAAGGTTCAAAGCATATCTCGGGGGTATCTTCAACATCAATCTCGTGAACGCCGACCTACATACCCCTGGCGCACTGAACAACTCCTGTGGTGCGGACTTCGTCAAAGTCAACCAGAAGCTACCTCCTTCCATCACTCTGCAGCCAGGACAGCGCGCTTGCAGTCTAGATGGAGATGCCGATCGCCTTATGTACTATTATGCAGATGAACGCGGTCAGTTCCATATGCTCGACGGAGACAAGATCACGACACTTGTTGCGAGTTATATCGTTGAGCTGGTGAAGGCCTCGGGTTTGGACGAGCAGATCAAAGTCGGCGTCGTCCAGACGGCATATGCGAACGGAAGCTCGACTAAGTACCTTTCTGGGGTAAGTGAGACGATGAATATAGCATGGATAGAAATTTAATTCTGCAATCTCAGAGACTTCCTGTCAAGTGTGTCCCCACAGGCGTGAAACACTTGCATCACGCTGCAGAACAGTACGACATTGGGGTCTATTTCGAAGCCAATGGGCACGGCACGGTTATATTCTCGCCTGCTGCTCAGGAATTAATTTCCAGCCACAAACCTTCCACAGCGCTCACCAACCTGAGGAACATCATCGATGTGATTAATCAAACGGTTGGCGATGCTCTCTCAGATGCGTTCCTGGTGGAAACAGTTCTAGCACACAAGTCTTTCAGCGGTGTGGAGTGGGACTCCATGTACTGTGACCTCCCGAACCGTCTTGTGAAAGTCGTGGTAAGTGATCGGAATGCGTTCAAGACGGAGGATGCGGAGAGACGCCTAGTCAGCCCTCCCGGACTGCAGGCCAGGGTTGACGAGCTTGTGCGTAAGTACGAAGGGGGTCGTTCGTTCGTTCGACCGAGTGGTACGGAGGATGTAGTGAGGGTTTATGCTGAAGCGGCGACACGCGCCGAGGCTGATGGTGACATTACTTCCTCCTGCTTGTTGATGACACACTCATGGTGGCTTAGAACTCGCGTTTCGTGTCGCTGGACTTGTGTATGATGAAGCGGGTGGTGACCTATCAAAGAGACCAAAAGAATTTCTTTGAATTGAGAAGCAATCGCAGTAATGTTTAGATTTGGACATTGGTACCCGGTGATGAGATTAGAATTAGCTGGCATTGATTGTATGAAAGTTTGATCATTGGAATTTGGGATACACTTTTTGAGCGTATTTGTATCGAGATACTGTAAACTTGATCAATTGTAGCAAGTTGGTCACATGTGATAAGACGTAATCTGGAGCGAATCTTGAGCCATCGTCACGTACTTTATGCAACTAACCGCTGCATTTGCGGCTGAAGTGTTATGACTCCAGTTTTGCTACGTGTCCTTTCGGTCCGATTTCACTCTATATCAGTTACTCTTACAATCGAACAAAAACCATTTCCCCTGGACCGATTTAACACTCGCGCATGTGCCGTTTCGTGATTTACAAGGGCACATCACCTGTGCAACTGTCTCATGTTAGTAGAGCCGATCGTTGCAAAGAAGGCACTGACCCTTCCTGCTCTTAGCTCTTAACTCGACCGTGTCATTCCATTATAAACCAGGCATTTGATTCGCGCCTGCGTCTCGACCATCGTCGACCAATCAACGGTGATGGCTTCGGCGTCGGTGAGTCGCTTTCTGAATCACTTCAAGACAACTTTGGGACGTAAACGTTCAGGCTGGTATGATTCCGTCCATGACGAGGAACTTGGCAGTCAACCTTGTATATTTACCGCCGTCACACCGGTACGCGTGCCGTGTCACCGGGATCATACTATCAACTGACTGAACTTTTGCACATCAGGCATGGAACAACATAAACTTAATCCGATTAGCAGAGAAGATCAAGTCACCACTCGTCTTGTGAGTTGCCATCCGATCCGGTAAATCGTGCTGAACAAATACTGTGTTAGTGGGCACGTCCGTGCGACCACCACCGGTTCTTTGTCTTTGGACAACTGTCACCCATTTGCATATGGGAAACTTATGGTGTGTTACAACCTATGTATGATTTCCTTTGCTGACTTGCTCGTTAAATAGTTCATGCATAACGGTGGTATTGCAGGCTTTCATCTGATTAAGCGACGACTGCAGGCCGATCTGTCGGACGATGTTTTCAATGTAGTACAAGGGAACACAGGTGAACAGAATACTCATGAGAAAGAACGAATCATGACCATATTCTCGCAGACTCCGAGTGCGCTTTTGCACTACTGCTGTCGAAGGTATGTTCCTTGGTACTTTCATTACTTCCATATAAACGTAGTTGTGCACGTGCAGCTTCCCGACCCAAAGGCCAATAGCTTTGCTACTCGCACCCTGCAGCAGGCAATGTTGGATACTATCGCAACATTAAATTTGTATGCTGAGGAAGCCGGTATTACTGAGGTGAGATTGAAGTTGATTTTTCTGTGCAGTATTGCTGAGAGTCGATTAGCCAAGCTTGATGAATTTCTGCGTTACGGATGGCGAGAGTGTCGTTGCAACGCGTTATATTTCCTCTCGACACGACGAAGCTGCATCGTTGGTAGGGTTCATCGCTGTATCATATGGCAAGGGCGTTCTGATCGCATTAAATAATAGTGGTTCTCGTCTGGGACGACATTCAGCGAGTACGCTCAAGGCGGTCATTACAGGATGGCGAAAGCTGATAAGAGAGAAAACATCATCATGGTAGAACCCTTTAAGCCGATTATCCATTCTCATTTCTGATCGCTCTGAATGCAGATTGCTAGCGAGCCGCTCACTTTCGAAAAAGCGGACTGGATGGAGATACGCACGAACAACATGGTCGTGATCACACCCAAAATGAACCTCCTGCAGATCCCTATCGTTGACAAATTCTATGTCTCTCCTTCTGACCCAGCGTCACTGAATCGTGACACTGACTTTGCCGCGGCCAAGGGCCTCCTCAGCCCACGTAAAGCCTTGGTTCCAGTCCAGCCTCGCGAAAACCCCACCCAATTATCTATCTGATTTTTTCTTGTGATATCTTCACCGTATTTTGTATTATCCATCGCTGTCTTTGTTGTGTTCCATTGCTATCATGATCTGTACCATAGATGATTAATGTCGATTAATTGTTGTAGACCTTTGTGTTGGTGTATGTGACTGAATAATACGCGTTGACGCGTTTTCCAAGTGTGGCTTTGGCAACATTTTCTACGTCTTTCCCCTTCCCTGTAGCCTCCACAGTTGCGTTAGACTAATTTCTCTCTCATTCACTCACGTCGTGTTCTTCAAATCATTCAGCATAATGAACCCATGGCTACTTTGGAGCGCGTTATCGCATACTGCTAGGTCTTCGATTCGGTATCATTCAACACTACCTGAAGCATCTGACAATAGGCTTAAATTCAGGTTATCGACAGCCCTACAGATCTTGCTCTTCTTGCCATTGACGCTAGCAACGCTTTCAACGCAAGCCTTTCTCTTGCTTTCACTTCTGCTCTCGATCCACTCTCTCATTCATGGAACTCTCATATTGCTCTGGGGATCCAATGCGCTCTCCATCATGCAGGTGCCAATGCACCCATTTCTCCTTCTCGTTACTTTCAATGCTTTCTCGCAGTCTGCACAGCCTTGGCTTGCCACTGCAGTCTATTGGTGGGGAAAACTCCTCACGTTTTGCGGCCCTTCCTACGTGGCCATGGAGGGTCTGTCTAGTCTATTGTTCGCGCAGAAAGCGGGCCAAATAGGCAGGGGCATTGCGGATGAGGCAGAAAGTTACCAGTTTGTGATTCTCATCGTAACAGCAGCTGCATTCGTTGCAGCTGCGTGGTGGGTCGTCATCGTGCGTGCTGCTTTCTGTCTTCCTGAATCACGTCCCGTACTAAATCTTATACAGGCATACCCCGCAGCTGCCGCATCTCCTCTGTCGTCCACGTTGTTGGGTGTAGCATTGACAGCATTCCTGTTCCTCGTTCTCATCGGTTTTCGGTTACGACGCACCAACGTTGTCGAGGCCTCTCTCCTCGCACTCTTCCTTGCATATAACGTGTGGCTCTGCGGGTTTGATCAAACATCGTTCTCGGACCCTGCTTCCTCCTAGTATGTTCTACTGCAGTCTCATGTATTCATGCTTACTGACGGCTCCCAGTGCCCCTCTGCTTTCAAATATCCTTCCGCATTTACAGACACTTGTAAACTTCATCACGAATACCCTCCCTAAGCCTGTACTCGTTGCGCTACTCTATCGTCTTTCAATATTGCAAGTTGCATCACGTATTTTACCTACGATCGGTGCTGACAACTGGGAGTCGGACCAAGGAGAGATTGATGGACGACCGGTACGAGTACATCATGATGCCCTGTAGTTTCCTCCTGCTGATGGTTACTCTAGACCTCGATTATGACGCGCATCCTTCTAACGTATAGACAACTAATCTTTGTCATGGTATACTCGCACCTTCTTCGTACGTGTTTTCTGTTTGTATGACTTTTCGGAGACCGACTAATGTTTTGTTCAGTTCTTGATCCTTCTTCACAAGTCTGGTGGCGGTGGGCGAACATCATGTTTACTCTGTTCCTGTGGGCTGTGGAACTTGTGGTCAGCCCTGATGGGGACGATGATTCGGCAAAGTGGAAGATTGATTAGTTCTGTTGTCCGATGTCCGGAGAACCCTATGCTGCCCTATGCTGTACTTAGACCGGCATCACACCTTTCTAGCCGCTATTCGCCTTCCATTCCGCCTCCTCCTCCTTTTCGCCCTCGTAGTACTCCCTCTTCCATATCTGCACTTTCTGCTTCACTTCCTCCAGGATCTGCTCACATGCAACGAATGCCTCCTTCCGATGCGGTGAAGATACGGCTATCACGATCGAGGGTTCTCCTACCGGCACCGTCCCCAGCCGATGGTGCACAGCGCAGGAAATGATGGAGGGTACTGCGGCGGGCGCTGGATGGTGGGTGGAACGTGTGACTGATTGATGTGCTGTTCGGATGATGTCTGTCATGGTTTTGATGGCTAACTTGCTGTATGCCTGGTATTCTAGACGTGTTACGACCTTTCCTGTCCGTAGCAGGTGATGAATGTTAAGACATCGGTGACTGGTACATTTGCATGGTTGGTACCTTGATATGAATTTCGAGTCGTGCCGATGAAGAGTGCTGTTGCCCCTGCACCATCATCGCTGACTGATTTTATGATCTCGTCAATCTCCAATGACTTGTATGAGAGCACGCATACGCTCTTGCCCACTTCTTCTCTCGCTTCCACCGAGGTGCTTGGATAGGAAGTCGTCATCTGTATGAGCGCGAAAACTAAGATAGGATCAGATAACGAGTATACGTACAGGACAATGGAAGGATTGACTCACGTGGAACCGATATTATACTTTTATGCCAGCCCATCTGGGCTGCGAGGAGCTGTCTGAGTCCATTTTCAACTACTACTGCTTTTAATTTTGTCTTGACTCCTTGACTTCCAATGCTTCGAACTTCCTTCCGGGGAACCTTTATCAACCAACGTCTCATTTCACTACGGAAGGTATCGAATCTATCCGCTGCTCGGGAGCGTCGAGCTCCCATCGATGTTCACCCCGAGGCTGGAGGATGCACTGGCTACTGGAAAGCCTGTAGTTGCCCTCGAATCGACCATCATTACTCATGGAATGCCATACCCGACTTCATTGCAGATGGCTCAATCAGTCGAGAGAATAGTCAGGTCCACAGGGAGTATACCAGCCACCATTGCTGTCATTGGGGGACGCATCAAGATTGGACTTCATCCAGCAGAACTGGAACGTCTTGCAGACCAACGCTCAACCCCAACCGCCGTAAAGTTATCCAGGCGGGATATCGCGGCTGCAATTGCTCTAAAGAAGGATGGCGGAACTACATGTTGTTCCACCCTCATCTTCGCTGCACTAGCTGGTATCAAGGTGCGTATGGGGCAAATGTTTTTGCATGCCGGCATGACCATTGTTCTAGGTCTTTGCCACTGGAGGGTAGGTCGGGAAATGTTATTTTCGAACTCTTGTATTCTGAGGTGGTATTCCTAGGCTCGGCGGAGTACATCGCGGCGGGGAGAATAGTAAGCTACACCGAGCGTTTACGGGACTTTTGATAATTTCGCCCGTGTTTTAGCAATGGACGTCTCAGCTGATCTACATGAACTCACGCGTTGTCCAGTTGGTCTGGTTTCGGCTGGAGTGAAATCCATTTTAGATATAAGGCGGTATGACATCGTAATCATCTCTGTCGCTTGTCGCTAAACTGATAACACAGAACCCTCGAATATCTGGTGCGGCTGCTGGAAAATTTTGGAGAATTTATCTCTAATTTGTCCATGTAGGAAACGCTTGGTGTACCAGTAGTATCTTACGCGGAAACGCACGATTTCCCGGCTTTCTATAGCGGCCGAAGCGGGCTCGAGGTGCGAGTGTACCAAATGTCGGTGTCTTGGCTCACTAGTTTCACAGTCGCCTTGGAGGGTAAATGATCCTAGGACAGCCGCTCATATTCTGTGTAGGAATGTTGGCACATAACTCAGTACAGCAGGCTTATCAATATGTACAGATACTCATTGGCAACTGGGCATGTCTAATGGGGCCCTTTTTGCTGTCCCTATCCCTGCTGAATACGAGGCCGTGGGGTCAGCCCTTCAAGAGGCAGTCGAACAAGCTGTTCGTGAATCAGAAGAACAAAATATCAGTAAGCTGGGGAAGGCCGTCACTCCTTGGCTTCTTAACAGGGTTGGCGAGTTAACACAAGGAAAATCACTTGCTAGCAGTCAGTATCGAACCTTCCTAGACGTTGTTCACTACTCAACTTTGACCTCAGACGTGGCCCTTATCGAGAATACTGCGCTTGTTGGTACGAGATTGATAAAAGCGGTTTTGTCCAAACTGTTGACATTTCGAGTACAGGAGGTCAAATTGCTGTGGAATACGCGAAACTTGCTAGAGACAGACATGACCAGGATGTGAGGCGAACTGTCAACCATTAGACATAGCAAGTGATGTTTGTTCATCTTAGCAATGCTATCAAGTGACAGGAATACGAGAAAACCCGGATGAGCTTCACAGTGCATCTGATGTCACCTCATCAGGGACTATTGATGATCTCAAAGGGCAACCAGTACCGAACGCTTCGTTGATCGTAGTTGGTTGTGCAGCAGTAGACATCACATCTCAACCTCTTACAGATTCGGACTTTGGACACCAGTCAACATCTCCTGGGAAGGTTTCCATATCACTCGGAGGTGTTGGTCGCAATATTGCTGAGGCTGCTCACCGAGTCCTTTCGTCATATAGTAACGAGTTCTCGGCCGCGACTTTGCTAGTGTCTCCAGTCGGCGATGATTCTTTCGGGAGACTGTTGAGCGAGGAGACACGAATGCTAGGGATGAGAACAGATGGTCTTATTCCCGTTCATGGAGGTAGGTCGTCTGTATGCAGCCTACTTCTGGAGGAATCAGGGGGATTGAGGGCAGGCGTAGCTGACATGGACCTCGTTCGGAATATGGATGGACATATGGTCAGTCTTGTCCTATAACCACTTGTAACAGGTTTGAGTTTCTTGCCAGGCACGTGAATTTATTTTGGCATACAAACCAAAGCTACTCGCAGTGGATGGGAACCTATCACCTGATACACTGAAAGTAGTAGTGAGCGAGTGTCTTCGGAACGGCGTCGATGGTAAGCTTCTTCGTAGATATAGGCTTAGGGAAGTGGCTAAAATTTGTGCTTTCTAGTTTTTTTGTTCGTTCACATTCATGATTTTATCAAATGAGCTGCTGATAACACTTCAAAATTTAGTGAGCCAACTTCTGTCGTCAAGTCAGCTTCGATTCTTCCCGCTATAGCCGGTAATCTCGACCAACTTGCATGGGCGCCCATTGCTTTCGCTTCTCCTAACCTACTCGAGCTCGCACATATGTATCAACAAGCACAACTTCTGGACCTCACTTCACATGATCGATGGTGGCAGGTTCTGGACGGCCTCGGACTTGGTTCGAAGTTCCGCACAGACCTCGACTTGCTTTCTCGAAGAGACGCATCAAATCACGATACTTCACGGGGAAACCTGGCCTTCCTTGTTGAAAAGGGTGTTGCCCAAATGGCAATCAATCTCCTACCATTTTTTCGACACCTCGTCATCAAGTGCGGTGACTTGGGAGTCATTGTCGTAATGCGTTGCACGAGAGATGACGCGGCCGAATCATCGTGGTCAACGGAGTCGACTAACCATCATAGGCGCTGCGTAGTGTCCCACTCGTCAACGTCAGGTGATACTGTGGTCTTGCAGCATTTTCCTGCAATGCAACTCCCAAGCGATGCGTTGGTCAACACAACAGGTGTAGGAGATTCGTTGGTCGGAGCTTTGCTAGCCGCATTGGTGCAGTCTCCGAAGGTGTTCCACTCCGCAATAAGCCTACAACGTACGATAGATATCGCTCAGCATGCAGCCCTGTTGAGTTTGCAGAGTCCGCTTGCTGTTTCGCCACTGCTATCGTCCTTGCACGGGCAACTTTCCCATTAATGATGATAATGATACGTTTCTAGCGTGCCTCGTGGTCCACCAACGGTCCTACCTGAACAATCTCCCGCTCCTTCCTTCGTCTCTCCTTCTCTGCTAGTTGGGAGGCTTTCTTCGCTTCCCTCGCTTTCTTCTCATAATAGGCCTATTCAAGAGTATAAGCACGAGCCGAGATGTGCATATGGACCATACCTTGGCTCCATGTTTCAAGCGAGTGATAATGTTGGCTGCCTCGCCCTTGGTTATGTTCTGCAGGGTTGCGGCAGCAGTATCTTGATCCAGCGCGCGTTTGACGCGCCGTTTCTGGATGAAGTTCTTCTGGCTATCGGACGCAGATGTTTTCCGCCATTTTGCAGTCCGGAGTAGCCTTTCTGCATGTCAGAAATATTATGATTCGTATGTAAACAGAAGTATACCCTAATGCCAATGATCCGCGAAGAACCTTTTGTGCTGCATAAGTGTCGCAGCCTCGGATCGCATCACTCAGTGTCTCCGCGGTCATAATCAACCTTTTTCGCATGAATGGTGACACTTTAAACGCCTTCGCAGATGGCATGTGCATCGTCGCCTCGGTAAATGTAGCGCGATAGTGTGCCGGACTTTCTGAATGTCACATGAGACGAAGAATTACAGCAGAAATTGTCGAACCAACCCTCGTCAGCAGAAACGCACTCAATACGAATATATCCCTTGCCCAGGCACTCCAAGATGTAGACGTCTTCACCACATCCTACCCATGCATTGGTGCTGAGCTTTGTGATGTGAGGGGCACCTGAGCAACCGTCGACTAGGGCGAACGGGTTCTGGTAATCGACATATGTTATGTATTTTGGATCGGGGATATCGTCTCGGCTGTCAACTGGCACTTGTTCATCACCTGCGTCCTGAATGACGGCAATCTGAGCACGAGCCTCTAATGTCTCAACGGACTCATCTATGTATGATATTAGTCCCGCATTCACGAAATGGGAATGCGCCTTGCCGTCGATAAGTTCCTCAGGATCGAGACCAAATAGCGTTGGAGTCGAAACCACACCAGCTACCCGGTTTGTAGAGTCGACAAAGTCAATTATGCGGCAATTCACTTTGCCTGTCGATGGTGATTGCCGCATCCCCCTCCCGATCTATCGAAAGTGAATGGTGGGCACACAGGAAGCGTTTAAGATGCTGTAATTCAGCCTACCATCTGCGCGAAGACATTGCGTGACCGAGTGGGGCGAGCAACTATAATACAGTCGATGTTGGGAATATCGGCGCCCTCAGTAAGAATTGCTGTTCGTCCCAAATAAGTCGTGAAAAAATCCAATTGTGAAAAAACAAACCGCAGTTGACAAGAACGGGGTATTTGCCTGCTTTAAAAGCTGTTATCAGCGTATGCCGCTCAGAAGCGGGCGTCCCGGAGTGCAGATAATGTACATCAACTCCAAAATCTTTGAACGTCTTTGTCAGCGCTCGTATGTGCGCAATGTTAACGCAGAAGACAAGTGTTGATCGGCGCTGCCCTATCGCAGACATAAGATTGCGGGACTGTGCTTCAAAATATGGATACCACTTACTCGCTCTGTCGAGCCACGCTTGCACCACAAGGTTATTCACGGTATCTGTATTAATGATATGCGCCAGGCTTGTAGCATTGAAGTCGCCAGTTTTTGAGTTGACAGTGACATTACGCAAGTCGATGTTTGCCTTGACAGATGTGAAACGCACATCACAGAGCCTGCCATAGCAGATTGAGAAAAATCCCAACGGGCATATTGTAAAGGTCTGACCATTGTTCCTTTATCATCTCAAGAAAATCACGATGGTAAACTATTTGTTGAAAAACG